CTTTGGAACCAACTGTAGGATTGGATTCAAATATTGACTTACCATCAGTCTTCACTTCTGGTTTGGTGTTATAACTCACATCCGCTCTTGAAGACATCACGGGATTTGATTCAAAAACTGTCTTTTCTTCTAAAATTAATGGTGCTTTAGAATTATATCCAATATCAGCTTTTGAACATTTAGATGGGATTGACTCAAAAATCGACTTTTCGCTTTTCACATTCACATTGGCTTTGGTCTCAGATTGAACTTGAATTGGAAGCTCTGTTTTGTTTTCAATATTTATCGTTTGATTGCAATCAGGAATTAATTCGTTAATAGGCTCAGAATCTTTTACGGGATACTTTTTTTCATCACTTTTATCATATATATCATCACTGCCAACTTCACTATGTTCGCTTACTTCATTGCTTGTTCGTCTTTCGGCTCCTTCATCATCCTTCAAATAGGTAATATGAGAAGAGCTATTTGGTTTTGATAAGTTTGCTGTTTCGAAAATAGATTGGTGATCTTCAGTTATATAATCATTTGATGAAATAGAATTAGATCGAGATTCCCTTCCAATGTCGTTATTACCTTCTCTCTTAATTGGCAAATTCTCAAAAATAGTCATAGAAGCTTCAGAAGGAGGAGAAACTGAATCCTCATTTTGAATGCTTAAGCCAACAGTAGGATCATTTTCAATGTACTCCCTGGTAATCTCATTTGTTTGCCCTTTTACATTATTATTGATATCTGACTCCTTTCTTTTAATTATTTCACTTACATCAACGGACAAACCATAGTTTGTATCATCATTAGGGTGAACAATACTCTCAGAACGTGGCAATACTTCAAAAACAGTTTTATCTTCTACAATATCCACCTTTTCATTATACTTATAATCAGCATCAGAAGATGATTTTGGTAATGACTCAAAAACTCCAATATCATTACCAAAATCACTTGCTTTGTCATAACTTGCATCTGCATTGGACTCTGATCTAGGCAAAACCTCAAAAACAGTATCCCCACAAATTTCATCCTTTACTTTCTCACTTGATTTAGCATCGATACTATTTCTTTCAACTGGCAAAGACTCATAGACTCCATTCGAAGAAACTTTTACCCTGCATTTTTCAAGAAGTATCTCTTTATTTTTATCTTCAAATTTTTCTTCAATTGTATTGGAATTCTCATTTATTGAAATCTCTTGACTTTGGTTTGAGATATTCTCATTTGTTAAATTCATGGTTATCTACTTTAATTCACTGCTATTCACAAAAATTGAAAAATAGCTCTTATTGGCCTTAAAGTCTCATAAAATTCAGACAAATATCCTTTTAACGCAATTACTTGTTTATTTTTATATTTATTTGACCTTTTTTGTAAACCTCTTCCTCAATTACTTCTTTTCTCTTATTTATTATTAATTCACAAGACTTATAACATCATAACATTAAAATAAAGTTTCTTCTTTTCCACAAAATGTATTCCTTCACCTATTTAAAAATTATTTATATTTTTTATTATTTTCTATATACCCCCCTACAAGTATTTTGTGTGCTCAGTTTTTTTTTACATGTAATTATTATCGCCATTAACAATAATTCAAAGTAATTTCCAAATAAAACCCGCCCATACACGTGTCTAGTTTTGGCGGTTACTGCTATCATAATTTATTCTATAAAAAAAAAATGAGACGAGAAGGAATAAATAAATAGTAATGGTCAATATAGATTAGAAAAACGTAAAAATAAGGTAAATATAAATAAGTTTATAATATTAAATTATAATTTGCAAAAAGAAAACCATTTTTGTTCTGGCGCGAGTTTAATTAGACAAATAATTTAGAAATCATCTTAAACAAAACGAGTTTCAAGAAATTGAAATAAGTTGTCTAAAAGAAACAAAAGTAATTTAAAGACTCAGATATTAGTTTGTGAAGAAAATTAAATAGAAATGGTCAAGAAGAGTTCATCCAAGGGTAAATCTGAAGGTATGACAAGTCGCTTACAGCTTGTTATGAAAAGTGGTAAGGTCTGTCTTGGGTACCGTTCAACTGTCAAATCTATCAGAAATGGTACTGCCCGTTTGGTTATAATCTCCAACAATTGTCCACCTCTCAGAAGATCCGAAATTGAGTACTATGCAATGCTCTCCAAGATTGGTGTTCACCATTTCCAAGGTGGAAACAACGATTTAGGTACCTCTTGTGGTAAACTATATCGTGTTAGCTGTATGACTGTAACAGACCCAGGTGATTCTGATATTATAAGATCATACGAGTAAACTAGGGAGTCCGATAACAATTTTAGTTGTTTTCTGGTGAGAGAGGACATTTCTTTATTTTATTCGGCTTAATTCAGTCTTATATAATATTGATACTTCTCCCCTTTGGAGTTACACCACATGTATTCCAGGCCCATATTATCAGGACTAATAGTAGAATTCACAAACTATTTTAGTTATATTATCAGTAAAAATAATGATCATTTTTTTTTAATTATTGTTTAATTGAGATTTTCCTTTTCAATCCCTTTTCTACTTATATTCTAACATCCTAAATTTAATTGTTACATTTTATATTCGAATAAGTTAGTACTATTTAATTCTTAGTAATTCATAGCCTTAATTAGTTCTGGACAAGTAATGAAGTTCTGAATGTTAACTTCATCACTCATACCTTTTCTTCTCCTCGTTTTAAGGAGAAAATCTCTAGCTAGATGTGCTATAGGAGCCTTCTCCAAAGGCCTTATAAAAATATTCCTATCTAATGGATTCCCAGGGACAATTGCCCAATGATCAAAACAACTTGTACAAAAAGCTTGCCCACTTGTATGTATTCTTAAATCTGTTTCAAATCCAAAAGTCTCTATTGTTGGAACAAATGCTAGTATTGTAACTAATGGTGAAGCAGGAATTGGGTTCTCCTTGCCTGCATGGCCTCTTCTTTTAGATATTATATTATTAATAAATTCATCCAGACCTGAAGGACATATTATCTCTACTAAACAAATTGGTTCCAAAATTTTTGGAGATGCTAAAAACATTGATGTATAGCAAGCTCTTCTAGATGCTGGAACTATTTGCCCTGTTCCTCTGTTTATTTTATCAGACGATAAGTTTACATCCAGAATCTTAAATTTAACATTCCTAATAGGTTCTTCCAGTAAAGGGCCCTCCTTAACAGCCCAGTTAAATCCTTGAATAATGTCTTCTTTAACATCATACAAAAGCTTCTTATCAACAGTAATAGAAGATGTATCATCTAATAATACATTACTCCCTACTTTAGGATCTGGTCCAAATGCCCATAAAGACTTTATTGCAAGTTTATCCCAACCATATTTATCTGCTAGTACATTTGTATAGTATCTGGGATCTTTGTTGTCTGAAATAGTAACCTTCATAATACCATTTTCTAATTCATCTGAAATACCTTTATCTAAAGGCTCTGACGTAATATAAAGCCTGTTTAGTCCATTTGTTGAATCTCCAAAACACTTTACTACGGATTTCTCTGAAACTGTCTCGCAAAAATGTACCATTGGATCTGAAACTTTGACATCTAGATTTCCATACAAAAACCTTAAATCGTGCATCATACAGTCCATCTGCAATTCTCCTGTTCCAAATAGAACATGCTCTCCGTTTTCTTCTACTTTAGTAATTGAGCATGTATAAGCTTTCGAGATACCTTTCAGGCCTTCAAGCATTTTTGGTAAATCTGCAGGGTTGTGAGGTTCAATAGCCAACTTCATTACACTCTTATTCAAAAGTCTTATGTTGGATAAAGGGTATATTTCATCATCTTTAATTGATGAGTTGCATCCAATTAGAGTACATGATTTTGTTACTGAGTTTCCAAGACCTGAAATCAGTACCCAATTTCCAGCAGGAGCACTCGTAATTTCTACCTTGTATCTACTTTGCAATATCCAAAGACGATCAACAGTTCTTATAGTAAAGTCCTCAGGATCTTCCTTAGAAAAAGATTCTCCCAAAACTTTAACTCGGTCACCTTTTGATAAAGTTCCACAGAATATCTTTCCAAATGAATAAAATGATTCTATATCTTCAGAATGGAATTGCTTTATGACAAAAACAACTAAGGGACAGTTAGATCTTTCGTATTTTCTCATGAATGATGATACTCTATCATTTAATGGTCCTGTATATATTCTTTCAACATTAGTATTAGCACTTTCAACAGGATTTGGAATGTTTTTTGAGATGAAATCAGTAAATGAACCAGAATTACCAAAGAAACGTTTACAAACAACCTCTAAACGTTCTTTTACATTCAATTTAAGTTCCTTCTTTGTTAAATATATACCCACAGTTTTCAAGAAACTCGCTAATTGATCATCTTCTTCCGATACCGTATATCCGAGTAGTTTGTATATCGGATTTAAAATGAACTCAACAAAAGATCTATCTTGAGAAACACTTGAATCAGTTTCAAATGTACCATTTTCCTTGTTAAAGTAATAGTCACCCCAGAATCTGTGAGATAAAAGATTAGATTTTTCATTCAAAATACAGTTATTGATAACACCATTATGCTTCAAGTACTTTCTAGCAAATGAGTCTAGAGTGAAGAAAAAGTTGTATCTTCCAGAAGCAAATCCAACATTACCTTTTTCTGGCTCGAATAGTAAAGTTTTGGCTTCTTCTGTACCTAATCCATAAATGGATGCATATTCCATAATAGAGTTGTTTACTGCGGAAATCAGATACTTAAGCTTAAAATATGCATCATAGGGAGGTAGTCTGCACTCTAAAACAAGTCTGTCAATTTGATTAATTACCAAAACAACTTTTTTACCCTCGGATAAGCAATAATAAAGTAATCTTTCTAAATGCTTAGTAAGACCAATAACGCAGTCCAATAAAATAATAACACCCTCTGAAATTCTTACAGAAATACAAACTTCATCCAGAAAATTAACATGGCCTGGTGTATCCAATATATTAAATAAAAATGATTTCCCCACAGAGTTGGGTAAGACCAAGGACATTGGAGAAGCCTTGATACTAATTCCCCTGTCCTGCTCATCCTTCCTACAATCAGAGTATCTTTCTGGAAAAGATAGATTTTTTTTATCTCTGTTATAAGAATGAGTACTTTTAATTAACATATCTAAAAATGTTGTTTTCCCAGAATGCAAATCGCCTATTAAACAGATATTTCTTACAAATTCCAAATTATCCATTAAATCTCTGAGAAACTCATAAGAAAATGTTGTTTCCATATCTTTGAGATTCTTTTCGACTAAATCAAACTTGTTTTCCTTTAATGGTGAAATTAAAGGTTCATCTATATGTTGGTGGTCTTCTTCTTCTACCAGTATTTCAACATCATCCCCATACACCTGAGAAGAATCTGGATAATACTCCTTATCTTCATACTGGACGATCTTATTCTCATCGTTAGTTTCTGTACTCATTTCATGATCTTTATCCTTGAAGTTTTGCCTCTTAATTATCTTCACTTCTCCTTGATACTCTCGCAGCTCATTTTCAGAAAAAATATCGCTTCCAAAGTTGTCATCAGTTTCTTTCTGACCAAATTCTTGTATTTCAATACCCTTATTGTTGTGATCAACCTCTAGCTCTGATGAAACATCAGATCCCATACTACTTATACTTCCTTCTGAGTCATCTTCGTCTTTCAAAATATAGTTACCAAACTCATCGTACACATCATTCAAGTCCATCTTGGAGCTTTCCACCCCTAGAACTATCCAGAATTACTTTTACCTTATTTACTCCTATTCCGTTTTAATTTTTGTTGTTTCTTCTATTGTTTTCTTTCATCATTCTTGACCTTTATATATTTGGCGCCAAAACAGTCATGTTTAGGCGCCTAATTTTGTGAATAAAAAGCATTCAAGTCCAGGATGACTTTAAAAACTGTCTTAGTGATTTATATTTGTGCAGAAAAGAGTGGAGAGATGCCAGACGAAAACTTAATAAGTATAAAATCGAAAGAGAGAAAAAAGGAGAAGGAGAAATTCCAGGAAAAGTGATAAGGTTGCTTTCTATACTTAAAAACAAGGAAAATTAAGAAATGACTAGTAAGAACGCTAGTGATTATTTTAGCCACACACAAAAATCCAAACATGAAACCTCATTCACTCTCAATTGGAAAACCAAGCTTCGACATACATAACAATACATATGAATAATCAAATCTTGGCCCACTAGGCTTCACCCCCCTTAATACCTGTGAGCTAAATAAATTGGACAACTCAAGCATTCAGAAATAAGTTAATGTAATTATATTTACACTTCCAGGTTAAGTGGCACCTCAACAACACTTGTATCAAAATATAGACTCAATGGTTTAGATATGCTATAAAAAAAAAAAAACAAATATTCTTTCTGATTACTCATTTTTTTCTTTCTCAACTCTTTAAAGAATTATTAGAGCGAGTGAAAAGCATGCATATACATATATATAAATATATTTTTATTTTATTATTATTGGTGTATTCTTTTGAGTTAATAGGGATCACAATTTATACAGCTTTTCAACATCACCATTACTCGTAATTTTGGTATCATTAATACTCCTATATTAATCATACTTTCAGTCATCCAAAGATATATGACGCAAGTGAACACATCTACGGTTCCCACAAGCCATATTGAATGCCACTCTTGGCTTCAATTGTAACTCCTCAAAGGATTCATCGCTAGCATATAAGAATACTAAGGCCCTGTTTACATAAGTATGGGTTTCAACTACCTCATCTGGTCTTTTCATCCTTATGACGGGACATCCATCAATTGCTGAAACTTGTCCATACCACATTATACATCTTTGGGGATCACCTAATATTGGGTCGTCATTATTATTAATTCCACGGGCTATTGCTGAAAGCACCTCCATCAAACATTCTGAAGTCCTCCAAAACTCTCTACCTCTCTCATGTACACATTTTTCCCATTTGAGACAAATAGAATTGATTTCCTCAGAACTTCTTGGTTCAAAAGAATTCAAGTTGGATGGAGTGGCCAAAAGTGAGCTTCCATATGATTGAGTGTCATAAACGGAATCTCCTTCACTCAGCTGGTAAGACGTTTTTTTAGTCCCCTCGTCAGAGAAATATCCATTAAATATTCTCAAATTAAAAAAATGGCTAAATGGTGGTTCGGTACAGATTCTACAACGAAACATATTTACGAAACTATTATTCTTATTTGCTGGAATTATAAAACGGTATTTCTTATATGGAAGCAGTATATATTAGCTTCTACAACAATTTGTCAGAAAGCTATATTATCTTAAAACACTGTTCTTAAAATTACCAATCGTTCTTTTCAGACTTACTCAAAGAATTTCATAGATCTCATATAATCATTACGCTATATTCAACCAATAGAGTATCATGAAATCGTATTGAAAAGAAACTGTTTAAATCACTTTCTCAAATTGCATAAATTTCCTCTAATGGTTTCGATTTGATTTTCCTTTCCCCAATCTTGTCCATTAATTTAAAAAATTAATTTGCCGCCACGTCTACCGCCAAAATTTGGCGCCAGGTAGGTTTTATCCTTATGTCATTTTTTGAAAAATGAACTGAACAAACATAAAAATAGGTAATATATAGATAATATATTAAACGTAAGAGTGAGGTAGAAATAAGATATGTAGATAATGAATAATTAGGTCTAAATATTTACTTGATTTAACTAAGTTATATTTCTGCGAAAAGGAAGAATTTAAAAGAAATGTATATTAGTAGTTGAAATAAATAATTTGTAATATATTCTAATTATTGATTATATTGCATTGGAATTGTGCTATCTACGGAGTTCATAGTCGAGTTTTCTTTTGAAGGTTCATCCAAGAGTTTTAGGTTGTATCTGGAGTTTAAGTCATTTAGCTGGCTTATTAGCTGCTTTTTGTACCTAGTGAGAACATTTAAGAGCTGGTTGTGCTGAACACTGAGTGCATTGATGGCCTTTTCATGATTTACTTTTGAATTCTGAATCTCCTTTTCCATCAATTCTGCCTGCCTCTCAAGTGAAAATGCCTCACTACTTTGAACATCAAGGAACTCTTGCCCCTGCTCATATTTCTGTTTCTCCTGGTTAAGTAAAGTCTGTGCCTCCTCAATCAGGCTCTCATAATGTTGTTGATTATTCTGAATCCTAAGGGAGATTTGCTCTACAGTTTGTAAGAGAAGTCTTTCTTCTTCTGTAGTCTGTTCAATCGTCCACTTATCCTTTTCAATATGGTGTTCAATCTCTTTAATCGACTGCTTAATGTTGTTTGCATCTTTGATTCCACTGATAGTTTGCTCAAGAAAAGCTTTCGCCTTTCCGAGCCTTTTTTCTGTCTTTTGTAAAAGATTTTGTCTTTCTTTAAGCTCATTATTTCGGACACTAATCTGATCAATTTGCTTTCTTTCATTATCCAATGATTTGTTTAATTCTTCTACAGTATTTCTGAGTCTCTCTGGAGACTGAACTACTTGGTCTTTCAAATCTTGTATATCTTGATTTCCGGAAGCAATTCTAAACTCCACGTCTTTAAGCTGTTCCTTTAAATCATGGTCTAACTGTGTTAATCTTTTTAGTTCTTGTTGGTTTTGCAAAAATTCCCCATGCAAAGACCTCATCTTCTCCTGGTATTCTTGATTATCTCTCCTCCTATTTACGATCTCACCACTCTGTTCACTGTATCTCACTCTAATATTATTTAAGTCTTCTTTTTTTTGCTTAATTTGCTCGTTTGATTTGTCTACCGAATCCAAAATCTCCTCGATTTCATAAAACTCATTCTTATAAGTCATCCAACGATCTTCTTTGAAACGCATCAAATTCACAAATCCACACAAAAAAGAATAAATCCTATCTGGAGTTGGTCTGTGAATATCGTTCATACTGAAATCGTCTATTCCTATCATTACCCATAATATCTTACAGTAACGCAAAAATCTCAAATTACCTATTGGTTTAATCTGGCTCTTTCCGTTTTCAGATATAATTCCAGCAGCTGAAGATGGGATTTGCCCCATTAGTTCTTCTGGTCTTATATCCTCTGTATCTATCTCCAAAGCTATTGACAAGCAGTTCATATAGAGTTCCACTGCTATTTCATGATTAATGCTTTCCCAAAAATTACTTCCAACCTCAAATCCTAACATATCCAACTCATTCATCAACTCTCCCATCTCTAAATCAGGAAACTGGTACTTTTGTTTAGATTGTAGCCTCATTTTTACTTCTATATTATCATCGCAGGAGTATCTTTCGTTCTACTTTACTATATTTTCTTCAAGCTAAAATGCATTGTTTTATTCAACCACTTCACAAACATACTATTGTTTTCTCCCTTATTTGAAAATAACTTCTTGATTCTCTTTACTTGGGTTTTTTACTCAACAAAATATTAATTTAAATGATTTAATCGAAAAACTACCCCCAATCTATGAAAAGAACTTAGGCATTTAGAATAGAAGAAGTATGTAGAAGAGCAATTATTCCAATAGAATAAGAAAGGGATGGTAATAATTGTTGTAGAAAAAACCCGTTTTTTACTCTATTTATATTCTTCACTATTTTTATTCGAATTCAAATAACATCCTCCCCTCACATGAGCCACAAAACCCACATTTTTGCATGTTACCGCCGGCGGTAAACCTTTTCCTTACAATTAATGCCACGAAAATTTAGACTAGTTGAATAACAGTTTGCATTAAAACACCAAGTTTTTATTAACCAAAGGAGTTTGAATTGCTAAAAAACAATAAGGGAATTTACTTTTGCTCTGTATCGTTTCTTTAAGTGAGATTTAAAGCATTAATTTTCTTTTTTGATTTCGCATTACAAAATAAACATAATTTACATATAAAATGACGTGTATTCTAGCTGGATTAAGTTAAAAAAAAGATAAATTCTTAAAAAAAAAATGAACTTTAAAAAAAGTACTTATAACACTTAACAAACTGTTTACCAGCTATTCCAAATGATAATTAAAGCCTAATAAATACTATTACGATTTTTGTGGAAAAGAATTCCATTACTATTGAAAATGAGAGAATAATGTGGATATAAATAAATTAGAAAATAAGCGCAGTCATAATATAGTGTATCCACTAGCTTGATATAAAAAAATTTCAAACTTTGTAAAGGTATTTCAATCTTCACTAACATGACTATGTCTCTTTTTTTTCTTAGATTTATCTTTAGATGACTTCTCTCCTTTGAATTTACTCTTCTCATCATCACTACTATCGCTACTACTACTGCTATTTTCACTTAGAGGTTCTGTATTCTTTCTTTTTTTCTTTTCCTTCTTACTTTTAGAAGATGATGAATAAGATTCATCATTAATCTCTTTCTTTTCTTTTCTTTTTTTTGATGAACTGGCTTCTATATTAGAGCTAGGCTCTGATTCCGATTCCGAATCTGATTCTGTCTTGCTTTTTGACTCTTCTTCTTTAAGGCCATCATGGTCACCTGTAAGCTTTGGGATGTAACCCTCATATTTAAGCCAAGATTCAGGAGTTTGCTCGTTTGGCTTTCCATGCTTGTCAAGCTTGCCACCTAAAATAAGTTTCTTCTTCTCAGAAGCTCTAGGACCATGTCCCCATCTCATATCATAAGTATCCCTCTCCATAATGACTCTCTTAATTATAGCAACAACTCCATGGTCAACACTGGCTATAACAGCTGTGGTCATTTGAGCAATACCGATTGCGATAGCTTCTCCTTTTGTTGTCATCATAACAACCTCAGTACCAACATCTATTTCATTATCAAACCTTAATACACCCGGAATCATAAGCTTTGCACCATAACAAATTGCATTCACACATGAATCCTTAACTACAATTCTTGGTAAATCTGTCAAAAGTAATTCTAAAGGCGAGATAATGCGCCTTAAATAAGACTCATCCCTATAGTTATCTAACATATACTGAGCGTCCAAAATATCGTGCATTGTTACCATATTATCATTTTCTGATAAACAACCACTTCTAACTCTTCTTAATTCCTGCATATGAGCTCCAACTCCCAATAGCAGTCCCATATGAACACACATCGTTCTTATATATGTGCCTGCCTCACACTTCGCCCAGAAAACAGCCAAATTCCTTTTCTCATCATAATCCAAAAGTTTAGAGTCATATATTGAACGTACCCTAAGTTGACGTTTAACTGCAGAAATTACTGGAGGTCTTTGAAATAGAGCACCAGTAAGAGTCTCAAGGCATCTATTTACTGCAGATCTACCTCCAACACTTGAGTGAAATCTTACAATGCAAACATACTCTTTACCTGCACTTTGTTGCGACTTCACCAATCTGGTTGCTCTGTTTAAACATACAAGTAAACATCCTGTAACCTTTGGATCCAATGTACCACTATGACCTGTTTTCTCACATCTCAAAATCTTCTTAATCCATGCAACAACTTCATGAGATGAAGGATTTGCTGGCTTGTCAAGATTGATTATTCCGTAGCTCAAATAATCAACCAAATTTCTATTCAATGGAGAATTACCATAGGGAAGTGGAGTATAGTGTCCAGTTCTAACATTCAATTTTGAATAATTCTTCAGGAGTAATGGCCAATTAGAAGTATCAATCGGCTGAGACTTACTTTCTGGCTTTATTACAGTCTCAGTTTTGGCATCACCCATTTCTAATTCCTTACGTTTACCCATGGATTCCTATCCTCTACCTTCTCTTCTCTTCCTCAGAATAAATATTTGTCTACTTCAGTCCAGTAAAATCGATAAAAAGAGTAAAGTCCTGATTTTTCTTGTCCTTTTATCTATTTTTATTTATTTTTCTACTTTCAGTCTCTTTATTATTTTAGCATTCCCGCCCAAACATTGTCTTTTTTTGATTATGGCGCCCTAACAACAAATTTATTCCCTAATTAAAATTGGCAAAACAACATTCAAATAAACATTTTTTGAAATGCTTATAAAAAAAAACTCAATTTAAGTTAATATGTGAAAAACTAACTTATTAAAGAAGTGGGGGAAAATTAAATTTAGATTTAATATATATATCGTAATACAAACACTCATTTTAACTATACTATAAATCATCCAAGTTTAATTACTTAATATTGACGAAATTAATTAATCCATTTAATGGAATTTTTCTCAATATTATTTTCTACCCACAATTTATTCTTAAAATATTAATTTACATAATATTAATCAAATCAAAAATCTTAAAAAGAACTATTCAATTTTCTATTACTATCACATTAATTCTATCATCCATTCCAACTTCAATCTCACACTCAAATAATAATCTTGTTCTTAAATCTTTAGATTCTTCGATTGGAAATTCCATTATTGGTTTTCTTATAATTTTCTGTAAATAATCATTATAAGATGTTATAGCTGAATAGAATTTACTTAATCTATCATTATCATTATTAGATATTAATTGTAGATATATTGTAACATTTGCATCTGGGTCCATATTCTTTTCTTTACGTATCTTTTGAATCTTATTTGCTAATTCTCTAGAATAAGCCATATTCTCAAATTCTATATCAGAAGTAAAATCCATTCCTATAACTAAATTTGAACTTCCTTCATATACTATTTCGCTATCAGAATTAGTTATAGAATGATCTACAACAGTTTGGATCATTATTTCATCTAAATTTAATTCAAATCCACATATTTTTATTGTTCCATCTTTTACAAATTTTTCAATAATTTCATTATTCATTTCATTCTTAATATAATTAGTAACATCTTTCATTGATTTACCTAATTTAGAACCTAAAATCTTGAAATTTGGAGTAGCAACCAATTTTGTAATCTTGCTAAATTCTGAATTATTATCTGTAATTACATTTAATACATTTAATTCATCTTTAATATAATTAATTAATTTAGATTCAATTAAATAATCCAAAACAGATTTATTTTTATGTACAATACTAATACTTTTTAATGGAGTTTTAACACTAACTTTTTTCTTCTCACGTAAATTTCTTCCCATTACAATAATTTCTCTTAATTGATTAATGGCTTCTTCAATATTTTTATCAATAAAATCTTCTTCAATTTGAGGAATCAATAATAAATGAACAGTCTCAGGTCTATTTTCTTCTGGTTCATTAATTAAAGCATTTTTTAAATTTGAATATAATAATTCACATGTAAATGGAATAAATGGAGCTAATAACTTTACTGTTAACATTAAAACTTGATAAAGTATTTCTAAAGAATTCTTTGTTTCATTTAATCCAAAAATTCCTCTCATTCTATCTCTATTTAAACGAACATACCAATTACAAAGTGTATCTAAAAATGATATTAATCTTGGAGTAACATTATATAATCTATATCCATCCATTTCAGTCTTAACAAATTTAAGTAATGATTGAGCTTCAGAATATATCCATTTATCCATAACATTATTAGTTATTTTAATTACTTGATTATTTGATACAAATTTTGTATTATTAGTATTTTCATATCTAGTAGCTTCTTGTATAAAGAAACGATAACAATGATACCATGGAAGTAATACATCTTTAATAACATCTTTTACACCTTCTTCTTTAAATCTTAAAGTTTCTGCTCTTACTACTGGTGAATTAATTAAAAATAATCTTAAAGAGTCTGCTCCATATTTATTAACAATATCTAATGGATCAGGATAATTTTTTAATCTCTTTGACATTTTTTTACCATCTGATGCTAATACTAAACCATTTACTATAATATTCTTAAAAGCTGGTTGATCAAATAATGCTGTAGATAATACCATAAGAGTATAAAACCATCCTCTTGTTTGATCTAATCCTTCACCAACAAAATCAGCAGGAAATATATTTTTAAATAATTCTTTATTTTCAAATGGATAATTAATAGATGCATAAGGCATTGAACCAGATTCAAACCAACAATCAAAAACTTCTTCAATTCTTTTTAATGGTGGATAATTTTCACCTCTAGGATCTGGAATTTCAATATAATCAATAAAATGACGATGAATATCAGTAATTTCTTTATCTTTTAAATTAGATGCTAAAGATTTAAGTTCTTCTACACTTTCAATACATTTGATTATTGTATAGTCTTCTGATACCCATAAAGGTATTGGTGTTCCCCAAAATCTATTACGACTTACACACCAATCTCTAGCTTCTTGTAACCAATTATGAAATCTTTTCTCTTTAACATAATTAGGAATCCAACTAGTTTTTTCATTATTAATTAATAATTTATCTTTTAAAGTTTCTACATTAATAAACCAAGAAGGAACAGCTCTATATTGTAAAGGTGTATCAGATCTCCAACAAAAAGGATAAGAATGTGTACATGTATTATCAGTTAAAAGTCTTCCTTTTTTTTTTAATTCTTGTTTTATTATTTTATCAGAATCTTTAAACCAAATACCTTTTAAATTACTAACAGGCTCAGTAAATCTTCCATTTGGATCCATTGGACATGGTAAATTGATTCCATGATGATCTATTAATTCATTATTTACACAAACTCTATAATCATCTTCTCCAAAAGCTGGAGCCATATGTACAATTCCTGTACCTGCATTATCTGTAACATAATCGTCAGCAAGTATTTTCCAGAATTTATTACTAGATTCATGATCTTTAAAATAATCAAATAAAGGTATTACTCTTGTATTATGTAATTTTGCACCAATACATTCTGAAATAATGTTATATTCTTTAATCTTAAGTTCAGAAAGTACCCATTCTAATCTTGATTCAGCAATAACATAAGTTATTTCTTGTGAATTTGGTGTCTTAAAATATATATATTTCTTTTCAGGATGAACAGCTATTGCTACATTTGAAGGAAGAGTCCATGGAGTTGTTGTCCATGCTAAAAATTGTATATTTGGGTCATCTACTGATGGAAATGTTATGATTATTGATGGATCATTTACATCTTTATAATTAAGATTACATTCAAAATTAGAAAGTGGTGTTGCACATGCTGTTGAATATGGCATTACTCTATAAGCTCTATAGACTAGATTTTTCTCAAAAAGTTGTTTAAATACCCACCATACTGTTTGCATATATTTTAAATCCATTGTTCTATAACCATTATCAAAATCTATCATTCTTCCAACTCTTTCTACTGTTGATCTCCATTCTTGAGTATATCTTAATACTATTGATCTACAAGATTCATTATAAAAATCTATTCCTTTATTTAAAACATCTTCTTTACTTGTTATATTTAGTTGTTTATCTATTTCATGTTCTACTGGTAATCCATGGCAATCCCATCCAAATCTTCTTTCACAATAATATCCTTTTTGAGTCGCATATCTTGTAACAACATCTTTAACTGTACCTGCAAGTATATGGCCATAATGTGGAAGTCCTGTTGCAAATGGGGGACCATCATAAAATGAATAATTTGGTCTTCCTTTTGTCTTTTTTAAAGTAAGTTCCAATATATTAATTTTTTTCCAATATTCAAGAATTTCTTCTTCTAATTTTGGAAAATTTGGTCTTTCTGAAACCACAGAAAATGTTGCCATTTCTATTATTTATAAATAATGTCTTTTTTGTTATTATATTACTTAATAAATTGAATTTAAGTAAATTTTTAAGTATTATAAGGCAAAATTTAAACCTAATAAGTATTTATTTTTGTTTGACTTGACTTGAATTATTTAAAAAAAAAAATCCCCTCATTTTAATTAATTTAATATTTTCCCGGGTAAATGCGTAAAATAATAACCTTGTCAAATATATATATATATATTTTTATTAATAATTGACCAATATGAATAACCAATCAGCCTAAACATATTAATATTAGAAATCCTTCTTTTATATTTAAAATCAAAACTTAATTCATATTTTTTTTTCTTTATATTAAAATTACCCAAAAATATATACTATTGGTTATTTTTTTTTTATAATACCCAGAATTAATACAAAATGATAATATCACATTATTGCATGCATACCGCCCATTTTAATATCTTCAATAAATGGATTATTTAATGTAAAAAAATTTACTTCCTTTTCACATTTTTTTTTTATTCAGAAGTAATTTCAATATTTGATTTTTATAAGAAATACCCATTAATACGTCAAAATTACATTTAAATGAGCTGAAGTCAAATAAAGAAACTGAAAATTTCTTGAATACCCAGGAATTAATAATATAATTATAAAAAAAAAAAAGAAAGGAGTAAAATTGTAATTGAGTTCTTTGCATTCCAAATTCATTACTGAATAATAATACTGTTTAATATTACAGTTACAAATAAATATATTAGAAATTAAGCTAAGTTTATATTTTTTAGCTTATATATTATTCTGAAATAGTTATCCAAATTCGAGTTTCTTGAAATATTAGTACATAACATACTTACTTTGACTGAAAATTCCCACAAATTTCTTTGGTCATTCCACATAAAAATAATTTGAAATCCAATTATATTTTAAACTTGGAATAAAGTGAAGGTTGTATATTTAAGTATTCATATTGAAATTGACTTATTAGTATAGATAAATCATAATAATACAAGAATGGGCTCAGATTGTTCCAAGTCAAAAAATGATTCTGTTTCGAAAGGAAATACCAATATAGTTAAAAAAAACTCTAATGATGGTGTTAATTCGAATAAAAATAGAATAAGCCAGGATTCAAGTAATAATGGAAATCATGAACAAACTAAGAATAAAAAGGATAACCATAAGATTTTGGAAGTTCCACAATTCACCAGTAAAGCTGTTAAAGAAAGAATCCCAAGACCATGGAGATCTTTAGAAGATCTAACTTTTCAATGGAAAGAGCTTGATGTTAAAGGTTCTCATTTTAAAGTTAGATATATTACACCAAATATGTTCTTTAATCTTTGGGCTCAATCAAAAAATTCGAATCCATTTGGAAATTATGGTATTACTTTTGTTGATTCTCAAAGTTTTTATTATGATGTTAAAGTATTGGAAGCCAATAGTGAAGAAGAAGAAGCAATGGCTAGATTAGCTTCAAAAGGAGCATTGATGAAAAAAACTGTAATAGGAGCTTTGCAACCTTTTAGAAGCTTTTCAAAACAGAGTACCACAATTTATGAAACTAGTAATGAATTGGCCTTTAAAAAAATTAATAGTACCAAATACTCTGATGCTATATTAAGATACTCAAGAACAATAAATACTTGGCTTCTTGAGCAAATTAATAATAAAGTTGTTGTTCTTTTCGATCACCTTTGGGAAGGGAATGCTTCAATAAGAGGTGATCGTGTTTCACATGAATCACAAACTTTTCTTGATATTATGAGTTGCTGTTCATGTAGACCTGAGCGTATTTTCATCTTAGCTGGAGGGTTTGCTTCACTTAGTCCAAGATATGAAGGATGTATCGACGAGAATCCAATCTGTTCGGAATTCTCTGATAATAATTTACCATCCAGATTTGCATGTGAATCTATTCCTCTGTTTCCGGTTCTCACTCATTTTTGTGTTTTTACATGTGATATAGGAATTCTCGCACATAATGATTGGGATAAAAGTAAAGATAGATTCAATATAACCAAAATTGTGAATTTAACTAATTATCCAGATATCTTTAAATTCCCAAAAAGTTCTAAGATCAAATATTACAGTGTTCCATGTTATAATACAGAAAGTCCTGATTATTGGGGAGTAGTCAATATTATAAGGCAAGCACATCATTTTCGGAAATCTGTATTATTAGTAGATTCCTCTGGTGATTATCACTCACTGAATATTGTAGCTTTATTCTTAATTGAATTAGGATATAAACCATCAGAAGTTGTTAAATACATCACAGAAAGAAGATTTGGATTTAGCTTTGATGGTTTTATTCTTGACCTATTTGAACAGGTTTACGAGAAAACTCAATCAACTCCTGAAAAACTTCGTCCTGTTAGACCTCCAATTAAATTTCCAACTGATAAGATTAGTAATCATGAAGTTGAGAAAAAGATAGTTGATGCTGTTGAAAATATTTTTTCAGAAGAAACTTTAAATGGCAAAGAAGGAAGCTATGAATGTCTTAAAAATGTTGTAATTCTGCTTAAAAATGTTATCTCTTTTCCAAATAATCCATTCTATAGAACTGTCAGTCTTGAAAATGAGATCTTTAAAAACTCGGTTGGCAAATTTAGTCAAGGAATTGAAATTCTTCGAATTTCTGGTTTTGAAATAGTTGAAAAAGACAATGATAAGAAGATAAAGCTTCCAATTGAAGCTAATATTAACTTGTGCAAATTTTCCTTATCTTGTTTGTACCAAGAAATTGCGAAGCACTCTTTCAAAAATAAAGAGCACCGTATCTTGTAGAATAATATGAAAATCTACCGGTTTTGATCATTAATTAAAATGGGTTAATATTTATAAAAATAAATGATTCATCGATTAAATAGATCTGAATTCATGATTACTTAATTCCAGTTGAAATCAAAATTGGCTTCTAATGGGTAATTTCAATAATTTATCAGTATTTGTTTTTGACTAAATGTTGCATATATATTTTTACTTTGAGGTCGTATTATTTTCACTTATATCTTTTTTTTTGATTCCAGTTTCAAATATATTATACTTTAATTTCTGAGTTTGAGATAAGCTCCTTCTCATTACTAATCATCCTCATTAAAATGATCATCATTCATATTAACCTCATTTTTCGCCGTTATTAACTGGTTGTTGTACATTTCAACAATCTGAACTGATGTAGTAGCCTGTTCTGGAGATTTATCATCTCTGACTCTTATAAACCTCGGAAACCGAAGTCCTATTCCTCTGTTTTCATCGACAATTCCTATTGCTGCTGTATGCACAGGTGATAATGAAAGGTCTGCACCTTTAACTTCCCATACAAATTTTGGTTCAAACCAAACATCTTGCTTAAGTGAAGATAATTGTCCATTTGAATCAAACCTATAGTAACTTTTTGGAGCCCCTTCTTCAATTATGTGATTCTTTAAACTTGCAAACAATGATTGCAAAATTTCGTCAGAAAAACCTGTACCTGCTTTACAAAGTGTTTCATATACCTCCTCATCTGTATTATATACAGCTAAAAGAAAGGTCCCAAAAACGCCATTCCTCTTACCTTTGCCATAACACGCTGCAATAGGGACAACATCTATACTATCTGTAAGCCCATCAACATAATCCTTTTTAATCTTTAACCAATTAAGAGATCTTTTTGAGGGTTCATAGCTCGCATTTTCATGCAAAGTCTTGACCATAAGTCCTTCACAGTTATTTTCAATAGACTCTGAGAGGAACGAATCCAAAAGCTCAAGTTTGTCGGTTTCAGTACTTGTAGTGAATTTAATATACTCAGACTGGCCCTGATTGATGCATTTTCTCATATATTGTCTCCTTTCAAATAAAGATTTTTTCAGCAAAGATTCTCCATTAAATTCCATACAGTCAAAGATCATTAGGCAAATCTGGATTTGAATATCATCAAAAGCAACATTCTTCCTTTTTCTAGTACTCAAAACTTGAAAGGGTAAAATTTTCTCCTCATTCTTGGAGTACGCAACAACCTCAGAGTCTAAAATGCAATCTTCTACATCCGAACTAAGTGACTGATTCAAGTACTGTATTAAATCTGGATACCTATCTGTGGCAGATTCCAAATTACGAGTAAAAATTTTGATCACTCTTTTATTAGATTTGTCCTTATATACGTGTATTTGAGCTCTTTCACCATCGTACTTATATTCAGCAGTAAAGAGAATGTTTTCAAATCTACTAAGTACTTCATTAATGCCTTTTGTAGGTCTTGCCAACATTGGCTCACAAGGTATTCCAGTAGTTAATTTACATTGATCAGATATCTCATCACTAGAAGCACCTTGAATAGCAACTTTAATGATTTTTTCAATATTTGGAAGTTGGCAAAGGGATGATCTGAGTGAGTTTTCCATGTCAAGTATTTCAGAATCTAACTCTTGTAAGTTCTTATATTTTTTCTCATTTTGTATAAGTCTGTAATCAGAAAAACTATTCATTTCATTTTCTGGGATATTTTTGGTTAAGACAAACGCACTTGCCAAGGCCTGATAGACAGTAGTCTGTTGTATTCCAATCCTTAATCTTCCTTGTAAAAATCTTACTATATATTTAACTTCTTGCTGCTGGCCTGAAACTAATAACTTTTTAATCTTATCTTTTTTAAGTTGTTGAGATTGTTTACCTGAAATTTCTGTTAGTGAATACAACTCAATATAAACATCATGTACTGTCAATCTTGGTGGCTCAAAGAGAAGCCTGATCTGTTTTTTGCTGTTTGCTGCAATTTCACCCAGATCCTCAAACTTTCCACTTATTTGATCTTCTTTAATCTTCTTCTCAGAACGGCTGGATGACTCAGATATACATTTAATTAAAATAGAATCCCCAATTCCGGATTCCCTTCCTTCGTAGTCGGGAGCTACTTTGTTCATGCAAATATAAACTGCATATATTAAATCGCTTGGATTATGTTGTATTATCATTCTAAACAAATTTGCCAGAATTACAATGCATCCTTTTTTACTTCCAGAACCACTTCCTTTGAGCTGTTCTATCCTTGAGAAAGCATCAGCCAATACAGAAAACAATATTGAATTACTCTTTCCCTTTGCGATTATCTTTTCCTTGTTTATTTTACAAGGATCAAACATTGGGCTTTGAATATCGTCATTCCCAATTGTAACATTAATAGAAAATGGGGAAAAAAATCCAGAATTACCAGACTTTATCTTTTTAGTTAAACTCTCAGAGCAAGTTTTTAGATGGAAATTTTCTTTCTCCTCGTTTTCAGGAACTTTCTCTAGCTTTGTGCATCTATTTTTAATGCTAGGTGTGTTTTTTGATTCCAAATTAAATGATAATTTCTGCTGAACATTTGAGTCTACCTTCATTTTCTTAGATTTCTTCTCATTCTTAATACTATTAATCAATTCCCTCCCAAAAATACTATCTAGAGATATTTTGTCATTTATAAACGATTCTTTTGAATCCACAATAGAATCCTCAGTCTCTATAATCCCACTCTGGCAATCTTCCTCATCAAATAATGAAGCTCGGAGCTTACCAGTCATTGTAACTCACAACAAACTATAAATGCAATTATTTGCATTAATTAAAGCAACTTTTGATCCTAGCTCTTAATTCAAACAACTTTCAGACCCAATTTCTGTGTTTCAACTCAGTTCAAACCTTTTGGAACTTTTTAAAGTATTATCAATAGCTCTCGAGCAAAAACTCGTAATTAAAAATTACCTTTTTTAAAAAATTGTTACTTCCAATTTTATTATTTTAATTATTTCATTGGTAATTATATCCCATGTTAAATTAATTCATGTAAAAATTACTAATTATTACGTGTGGCGGCAAAATGTGGGGTGCAAATTTTTTTTTAAAGTCAGTTTCCCTATACCGTATTGCAAACTCAGAACCACATAAATAAATTTTTCTTAAATAAGAAAAATAATAATAAAATGCAATATTCGTTGTAATGACGGAGTTTTGACTAAATCTGGTACTTTAGTTGTAACCAGTATTCACAGTTTTATTAAAAAATAATATATATATATATATAAGAAAATGATCCACTTTTTTATAATTCAAAATTTGAATGGAAATACAATATTTTCTAGGTGGTATAATTTGGAGAATGCTGAGAATAGAAACAAGATACAAGAAGCAATCAAGGGAAGGCTTTCATGTTTGGAGGAAAAACACTTATCCTACTTTACCTTAGAAGACACACGAATAGTATTTAAAAAGTATAAGAAAATATTCATGATAACGGGAGTAGATTTTGATGAAAATATTCTACTAATTCTTACTACCATTCAACTAATAAACGAAGCATTTGGAAGCCATTCACGTGACATTTCTGATGTAGATGTTATATATAACAATAAGAAATACCTAAAAATATTAGACGAAATTATTTTAGGAGGGGAAGTCATAGGGACTTCAATAAAAAACATAAAAAGCTTAATTAAGTAGCAATAGTTCTTACTGAATTCAAACTAAGATTTATAAGTTTATATATCATTACTATGTAAAACCCCTATTGAATATATTTACTCAGCTTTTGACTTTTTATATATATGTAGATGCCCATCAATGGATGATGAAGCTATATATCTGCTGCATGGGCTAATATAGACACTTGTAATGATGTCATAATGATTTCCTATGCAGTAGAAATGAGTATATGTAGATGTTCCGTTACTACCATTACCAGTACTGTTATTAATATTACTATTTGAGCATTTAACAACATCTTGAATATAAACTTTGAATGAAGAAAATGATTGGGATTTTTTGGTCAAATTTTCTGAAGTAACAAAAATTGGATGTCTTTTTGCTGAGGAAAATCTATTAAATCCTACAGCCACCATAGAATTATTTTGTCCATCAATTGGAAAGGCAATAGAATTAATCTCACTACAAGTTGAAGTACCATCTGTTATTTTTACTAAATTTATTTTTTTAACTAAAATATTTTTATTTTCAGTATCAATAAAACAATAACGTAATAATGAATCATCAGTACCACATACAAGACATAATCCAGTACTATTACTATTACGAGGCCTCCAGACTAGTGATTTAATTTCTGTAGATAACTCACTAACTTGGTGGCATTTCCAAAGGAAATCTGTACTTGTTAAATTAATTTCTTCATTTTCAATATTATTGGTTTCAGACAATTTTTCAATCTTTGTAATTGTTGCATGTGGCAGGTATATTAAAGTAATTAACCCATTAGAACCACCAATAGCAACCCAAAATCCACCCCCAGAGCTTGATCTTTCTATTGCAATGCTTGTGAAAGAAAATACTGCAAGCTCAAAGTTTTGCTCTTTAATTTCTTTCTCGTCCATTTTATAGTACATTGGCCATGCTAAGCCAGAGATTTCATTCTTTCTAGAAATGTACTGGCCAATTCTTTTCCCGGTCTTTACTGATAAAAAAGTAATACTTGATCCTGGATTTATCCCAGCTGCTACTATTAAGTTTGAGTTAATAAATTCAACACAAATTGAATCTCCTGGATGGCCATTCATGAAAAATATGTCTGGCTTAATTACTGTAATTTCCCCAGCTGAATAGTTCTTATTATTCTCCACTTTGTATGTATTATCGACTTGTTCGGTACTCATTTCAATATCTTTATTAACATTGTTTAACTTCTGAATATTCCAAATATATATCCATCCATAGCATGTTAATCCCATCAATAAATTCTTGCAAGGAGACAATACTAATTTAGAAATACCACCATGATTATTTTCTAATATATATTTAGGTGCTATACTCTTGCATTTGTCTTGTTCAAGATCTTTATAACCATATACATTCACATTTGACTCTTCGCCTATTAGTCCAACAAATGCATAAAATTTACTTAAAACTACAGATGAGATGGATGAGCTGCAATCAATATCTAAAATCCTTGAAAAATGCTCTTTTATTTCATCCATGTTAATTACCAACCAAATTATTTCCTAACTTTAATTAATATAAATTTGGACTTTTGGCGGTAATGTGCAACCCATTTATTATATATTAATGTATAAATAAATATTTATTATGTGCTACTAACTGAATTAATAGCTTCATCTCTAATATATTAAAACAACTAACTTAAATTTTTAGATATGACGGAATAGACCTTTTTCAGGCAAAAATTTTGCTTTTTAGTAAAAATAAACGAGTAAAGGTCTCGTTAGACTCGGCTTAATCAACTAGAATGTCCTAAACTCCTTTACCTTATATACATCTAATTCGCAATAATGAAACTATAGATTCTCAGTAAATATGTTCCAAATGATAATTTGAGTTCATTATTATGCTATAATTATAGTGGAATACTTAATGTGGGACTTGCCCTAAGTATTAATAAGAATAAGCAATAAATAAATGAAGCAAATAAGTCAGGAAAAATAAATAGTTATTTTGGTGTCAACAAATAAGGATTTTGTTTCATTGTCTACCTTCATTTTCTCTTTAAATATATACAAAATATCAATAAAAAATTTCCCAAAATTTATGCTTAATTTTTATTACTTATTATTTAGTTATTATACTGTTTGGCGCCTATTCTTGAGACAATTTTATTAAAAAAAATTATTTTTTCTCCCCTTAAAAAAAATTAATTGACCGGTATTCTGGCGGTATCGACGAGACAAATTAATTATTTTAAAAAACTATTAAATAAAGCAATTTAAAACAAAATAATATAATTGATTATAATAGTAAAAGTCTAAGTAAAATATACACGTGACAAAAATTACACTAAATTTTTTTTATTCAAGGTGAATATTTTTCAAGGAAGAAACATCCACCGGAAAAAAAAGGAGGAAAATTATTAAAAAAAAACAAAATTTAATTTCAAGTTAATTAAAGGAATCAAATAACTAGTAAGAATGGTAAGTTTATTTTTACACTTCAATCTTAATATCTTCTAATTCTAGTCAATACTAACTATCTTTTTTTTAATTTGAATAATTAGCCTTTGATATTGCAAAAACGTCTAGCAAAGGAAGTTTTAAAATGTGGAGCACATAGAGTATGGTTAGACCCAACTGAAATGGACACAATTTCAACAGCAAATTCTCGTCAGAGCATCCGCAAATTATATAAGGATGGTTTGATCTTGAAAAAAGCAGTTGCTACTCATTCAAGAGCTAGAATTAGCAGAGTCCATGAAGCCAAGAGAAAGGGTCGTTCTATGGGTCTCGGTAAAAGAAGAGGTACAAAGGATGCCAGAAGGCCAGAAAAGGTTCTATGGATGCGTCGTCAAAGAGTATTGAGACGTCTTTTACGTAAATATCGTGAATCTGGCAAGATCAACAAGACTATGTACAAACAATTCTACATGAAATCAAAGGGTAATCAATACAAAAATAAGAGAGTCTTGATTGAAGCCATTCACATTGCAAAGGCAGAGCATCTTAAAGAGAAGGCATTACAAGATCAGCTTGATGCTCGTAAAGCTAGAGCAGCTAATTTGAAACAAAAGCGTAAGGTTCTTCAATAAATCCTGAATACTTGAGGAACTACTTCAGAATAAAACCCTCTTTTGCCTATTCTCAGTTTTAAATTGAGAATCTTCTCTATTTAAGGGCACCTCTCCTATTTATATATGGGTGGTATTTATGCATCTTATAATTTATCTGTTGAGATACTTTAAGGCATATTTTTATAGACTTAGGCTCTACTTATATAGTATAAGAGGGGTGAGACAGAAGAGGTTTTGTTGAAAAAATAGAGGTATTCCAAACTAAGGATAATAGATTCTATATTTTGTTATTTGGAGATTATGATTTTGTCTATAATTTCTTTTTTTTTACAATTTTGTTTTTTTTTCATGTTATATATATTTACTATAATAGATGGGAGTTTAGTTGGCCGCATATTGTATATTAAATTTAATATACGAATAATATAATATGTAGATAAATATATATATATATATATATTATACACAATATATAGGCTAAATTCAATATATATTATATATATAAAAGCAGATAATATTAAATTAATGAACTGAATGGAAAATTACGCACTACCATGTGAAATCGAGACTAAAGAGGATCTCAAAGATGGTATTTCCCTGATAACCAATGAATTAGTGAACAAATTAAGAGATAAGCTAGTAGATTTTAAATATGATAAAATTCATTTAATGGAGCTAACTTTTGAAAACCTAAAAAATTCGAAGTTTCTAATTCCTTTTAAGGCTTGTGTTGACACTACCCATTTTAAAGAAGATAAAGTATATATTCATTCTGGACTTAATTCTATTAAGGACTTTAATAAAGGATACATTAAATATATTAAATATAAAAAATCTGAAAGTTATATTAATAATATAACTTCAGTAGATATTGTGTTTTCAGGACCTCTTTTTGCCCAATTGAGTACTCAGTCAAACTTATTTCTACTAAACTATAAGAATTTATTGGTGGAAGCCCTTAGAAGGCAGTTTTATTGCTATCTAAAGCTTATTTCTGCTGAAATCCATTTACAAGATATATTTACAAATACAATCTTACCTTTTATAATTAATGAAAAGTATTACTTTTTTCAGGTTCAGTACATTAAAGAAAATATTTGTAAAAAACAAGAAAATGATTCACTTTCTGGAGGATTTGAAAAGATTAATCTGAACTTTATTTCGAGATTATTAGTTATTCCGAATATAAATGAATTAAACTCATTTCCCAGTATTGATATCAGTAAAACAAAGAATCTGGAAATTGAAAGCTACCTTGTTAAAGATATACAAAATATTAAAAACATCCTAAAATATAAATCTTTAGACTATAAGAACAAGAATAATTTTACTAGTACCTTTTACTTAGACACAACATACATGCTGAATAAATATGTAATGGAAAACAATATTTCTATAAAAATTTTGAAAAATATTAAAAACAATATAATCGAGAAAATCAGAGATATTTTAGAGGAAATAACTAAATTCAACAATTTAAACTCTGATAAAAACATCTTTATCTATTTGTTCCTATACAATTATATCACTTCCTTCTCTAAATTATCAGCTCAAGACTTTTTAATAACTCAACTAAAAGAATGTTTCTCAAAATTTGATTGCCTTAAAAAACTAACTTTTTTAGAATACAAAGACTCTCAAAATCCAATATCTGTTAGTTATCTTGACAGAAGTAATATTTGCACTAATACTTTGCTTAATACTCACTACCTCAAATGTTTAATTATGACTAGAAATAACTATAATAGTTTTGGCGGGAAAATTTTGCATGAAAATGAGAAATTGGTATGTTATAAGCAAAGTGGGAATGAAATAAAGAATGAAAAGAAAGAAGGAGAAATAAGTGAGGATGAGTTAATTGGTAGATACTTGAAGTTAAAAAAAGATTTGAATGTGTTTGTATCAATTTTACTTTTAGATAAGAATTTGGATGCTTTCTTAGAATTAATGTATTATCAAAGTTTAAATGGGAATAATTTGGAGTTATTAGAGGAAGATTCATCAGAAAATGGAAGTATTCCAATAAATATAAGGATGGTGAACTGGATAATCAGAGTTTGTTTTGGAATTTCCGATAAACAATTAGTTTATAAGATTGTGGAAATATTATTTGAGAACTTAGTAATCGGGAATATATTATATAATAGCTACATGGAAAACAAAGAAATACTACTATATAATAACAAAACTGTGGAAATTTCAGATGGTAAGGTTTCTATTTTAAAGAATGGAGATTTAAGTTTTAAAGATGAAAGTATTAAGTCAATTATACAACAAGTAAATGATCAATTATTAATATATAAAGTATTTGAAAACGAGTACAGTAAAATTAACCAAATAATGAACCAACAATTTACTCCAAGAATACTTATATACAACAAAGGTGAGAATACAAATAAGAGTAAACTTTCTATAGTAAAACAGGAATTAATTAATTATATTCAAAAACATTATATTGACTACAAATTTGTTCATAAACATATACTTAACTTATTAAGTCCATACGTTGGACAGTCTGAAGAAAATATAAGACAATTATTTAACACAAATATCCCTACAATACTTATTTTAGAAGGGATTGATGTAATTTCTAGTAATTTTGCTATTAGTAATAAACAAACAAGTAATTGTCCTGTTAAAGATAATACAAATTTCAGATTAAAAAATGATTCAGATATTGATGATACGAATTGTAATTACATTAATTATTCACCTGATTTATTCAATGATATTTCATTCAGGATTAATTTACACAAAGAAAGGATTAAAGATATGTTCAATCCAAACTGGGCCTTAAATAATTTAACTCAGTATAATTGCCATTTAAAAAATGACGATGACAATCAATCTCCGTCAGAAAACTCAAATGATTCTAGAACTTTACTAACTACTCTTCTTCTTTGCTTAGATAACATTGAAAAGAAAAATCAAAATGTTATTTTAATAGCTTTTTCAAACAAACACATTCTTGAGCTTGACGAAAGCATTACTAGAGCCGGGAGACTAGATATACACCTTTCTGTATAATTTCATGATACATTAATTTTAATTAACTGCTTTGACCACACAAATGCATGCATGCATGCATGCACGTGCTCACCTTTCTTATTTAGAAATTACGTGTAATATAGATTTATGTGGACAAAAGTGTAATCAACACTACAAACAAATTAACACTTCATTTACCCCATAACTTATGGATTAAATTTTTCTAATCACTATTTTAAGTAATAACTAAACAATCACATTAGTATGACCGCAATTAACTCCGTTTATTATTGAATAGAGTTATAATCTAAATAAGAAGATAATCACTGTTGGATTTGAATTAATAAATTAGCAATTACAATATAAAAATCATAATTTTTAATCAATTCAAAAGTAACAATTCTCTCCAAATTCTATTCAATCGTGAATTTTTTTTTTTTGTTAAAATTAGCCAATTAAACGACCAAATCTTACACTTTTTTCTGTCTCAATGTAATGTATTTAGTCAACCTCTTCCATCTTAGATGCCTGAAGCTCTGCATCATTTACTGGTTCAAGAGGTGGCAAATCATCAACAATATCTTCTTCATCAATAGAAAGACCAAGCTTGATCATTCTGTTGATTCTAGATGAGAATTGAGTTGGGTCCTCTAGTGAGAAACCAGAAGTAAGGAGTGATGTCTCGTAAAGTAACCAGATCAAGTCCTTTGCTGTCTTATCAGACTTGTCATTAGAAATCTTGGTCTTAAGTTCAGTGATAATAGAATTGTATGGATTAATTTCCATAGTCTTTTTGGACATCATGTAAGATGTCATACTAGTATCTCTAAGGGCTTGAGCCTTCATAATACGTTCCATATTTGCAGACCATCCAAATTCGGATGTAACAAGTACGCATGGAGAATCAGAAATACGTTGAGATGTAACAACTTTGTCAACTTTGTCATGGAGAACTTCCTTGATTAACTGGCACAAGGGTTCATATTCCTTTTGAAGAGCTTCAAAGGCTTCTTTCTCCTCAGCTGTCTCTTCTAAAGTAAGACCTTCCTTGGTGCAGCATCTCAATTTCTTACCATCAAATTCCTTCATTTGTTGTACACAGTACTCATCAATTGGGTCAACCATGTAAATTACCTCATAATCCAACTTTCTAAGTTTTTCAAGGAATGGTGAGTTTTGTACTGCTTGGATTGACTCACCAGTAATATAGTAAATCTCCTTTTGGTTTTCCTTCATTCTATCAACATACTCTCTCAAACTAATGAGTTCCTCACCACTCTTTGATGTTTGATATCTAAGAAGCTCACTAATCTTATTTCTGTTGGTAGTATCTTCATGGATACCCAATTTAAGATTCTTGCTAAATTGTTCATAGAATTTCTTGTAGTCATCTGGTTTCTCAGTAATTTCGGTAATCAACTCTAAACATTTCTTTACAATGTTCTTCTTGATAACCTTAAGAATCTTGTTTTGTTGTAGTGACTCTCTCGAAATATTTAATGGAAGATCTTCACTATCAACGACACCTCTAACGAATCCTAAGAATTCTGGAATTAATTCTTCACAGTCATCCATAATAAAAACTCTACGTACATAGAGTTTAATATTGTTTCTCTTCTTCCTGGTTTCGAAAAGATCAAATGGAGCTCTTCTTGGGATAAAGAGAATTGCCTTAAATTCTAATTGACCTTCAACTGAAAAGTGCTTAACTGCAAGAGGATCTTCCCAGTCATTGGATATGGATTTATAGAAAGAAGAGTATTCCTCGAAAGTAACTTCTTCTGGTTTTCTCATCCAAATTGGCTTATTTTTGTTAAGTAAATCCCATGATTGGGTTACTTCTGTAATCTTCTTTTTCTTTGGCTCCTTTTCTTTAACCTCTTCTATCTTTGGTGCATCTTCTCCCTCCTCTCCTTCCTTCTTTTCCTCTTCTTCATCAACATCAGAATCGGTGATTTCTTTCTCTGTAGTCTTTTCAACTGAAAGTTCGATTGGGAAGGAAATAAACTCAGAATGCTTCTTTACTAAATCTCTTAATGTACGCTCCTCAAGATAATCTAATTGATCTTCCTTGAGGTGTAAGATAATTCTAGTACCTCTTTGTAACTTATTATCAGATGTATCATTAGTAATAGTAAATGAACCACCTGCTGAAGATTCCCAAATATATTGTTCATCACCATTGTGTTTGGTAATTACAGTAACTTTATCAGCAACAAGATAAGCAGAATAGAAACCAACACCAAATTGACCAATCATGCTAACATCACCACCAGCTTGGATTGCTTCCATAAATGCCTTTGTACCTGAACGAGCAATAGTACCCAAATTGTTAATAAGTTCATTCTTAGTCATACCAATACCAGAATCTTCAATAGTTAAAGTATTGTTAACCTTATCTGGAATAATTCTGATATGCATTTCTTCATTGCTCTTTAATTGTTCTGGATCAGTCAAAGATTCATATCTGATTTTGTCCAAAGCATCAGAAGCATTAGAAATCAATTCTCTCAAGAAGATTTCCTTATTGCTGTAGAAGGTGTTGATGATTAAGCTCATCAGCTGCTGGATATCAGCATTGAATGCAAAAGTCTCTACCATTTTGATGGTCTTTAGTTTTATAGAAATAAAAAATCTTTAAGTTTTCTTTTTCGAAAAAAAAATTACCCTTCTTTGATAGAATGATTGTTTCTTATCTCTTACCTGCCCCTTTTTGAATTCAATTTTATTTTAAACTTTCCCCCCTTGACCTATCTATTTAATATCTCACCATTTATTTGGCATTAAATACCTTTTTTTTTACTTTTTTACTTTTACGTCTATGCATTTCCAGTCTTTACTATCTAACTATCTATTTAATTATTTTATCTATTTATTTAAATTGATTATTATCCTCTTTTTAAATGGGGGTAAAAGCTGAGACGTTCGCCGCGTACGTGTCTTACCGGTACCCTCATAACAAAATATTTTAAAATTCCCCTCTTAATTATACCAGTATAATATAAATAGATAATATAAATACTAGGAAAAATGGTTCTTACTTATTTTTCTTAGCATTTTTGATGAAACCAAATTAAAAGAAATGAATTATATTTGATTATTACTTTCTGAAAATAAAATTGTCGTCACTTCAGCCCATCACACTTACAGTTCCCCCCACCCACACATTTTCTTCTCCAGATTATTTTAAATTCTCCAGCCATTTGAGTAAAAGTCTGATTACACAAGTAATAAAATCGTTTTTTGTCGCTTTTTGTTGATTTTTTTTTTTAATGTATAAGAACTTCTGCCCAAACATTCTGTTCTCTTGCCTCATTATTGTTATTAATAATATTTTGACTCTCAGGAATGTGTCTAAATTAACACAAGAACTTGAATTATTAGACGGGCTTTATTGCATATATTCTAGTTCTCCCTTAAACCCCTTCTCTACGTACATCTTGTTCAAATCATATTTCAATTCTCATTCCTTCATTATTATTTACTTATACCCCTGTTATTTAAACCTGACTTTATTATTAAATGCACATTAAACTTTATACACTGGCAATTCAAACACTACATTAAAACCATCCCCCCTTCCCCTCTAGCCACCAATTTATTCATTAAATTTTACAATTACGTCATGTGGATACAGCTAAATGCATGCATGCAACTATGTGGATAATCATTTATATAATACAGTGCTACAGAGATTAACATGCATTTTAAAAAAAAATGAGTTAATAATAATGAAAATTTGTGTTTGTTTAGTCTATATTTATCAGGTGAAATTTAATTTGAAATATTTCTAAAATTGATTACAAAACACGAACATTTTTGGGCCCTTCAACAAGCCTTTTCGCTAATTGAGTATAATCGAAATTTCCATCTTTATCAACATTTGCAAGTAGTAATAAGTCTTCAACATCATTTGTTGGAACGGGCTCTCCTGCTGTTGTCATTAATTGAATGAAAGAATTTGCTGGCATAAGTCCTGTGTTATCTGGATCAAAAACTTGAAAAGCTTCTATTATTGTATTTTCATCAAAAGGAACCTTATATTTGGCTCTGAAAATTTTGATAAATGCGTCAAATTCTATTGGAGCCAGAGCATTAGTATCTATTTTCTTGAATCCTTTATCTCTAGATCCCTCAGATTGAATATCTAGTCCCGGCCAACTTTCTAATAATGCAGTTTTCAAATCACGATCTGTTATTGTTTGACCAAGTACTCTAAATAAAATGCATGCCTTAAAGAATTTAAAGATAAAATAATTAATTAGTTATTTAATATATCAAAAAAAATTTGTCATAATAGGTAATGAAAAAGTAATTATTATTGTAAGGATGGATCATACAGAAAGTGGGCAATACAATATGATATTATATAACCAATTTGAAACCTTCACAACTGATTTACTCCATATGCATTATCTATGTATCTTCTCGATCTGATATATTTCCATTTACCTATTTAATGATAAAGAAAAAAATAACTTACCTGATCAAAATTAATCTTTCCATCTGAATCGTCATCAGCTAAATCAAAAGTCTCTCTGACAGCTACTAACTGTGCCTCATTTAATCTTAAGCTTTGCTTAGTTGACATCTTATTCTTTATATAGATATTATTCACAAAGCAGACTAGCAGAATTATTTAAAATAATGTAAAGAGAAATATACATATATATATATATATATATATATATATACATGTACACTAAAGAATAATATTTCTCTGCTACCTCGCCTCTTTACTTATCTCAGCTTTACAAACAATACACTTTTCTTCATTTGACTTAAATGTATGAATTTTCCAGATTAGCGCCACCCCTCACACACATTTACTAAACCACAATACATTGTCTAATTGACATTTCCCGCCATTGGCGGGAAATTTGAATATTAACCAAAAAAAAGTAATTAACAATACATTGTAAAAAATAATTAAATTTATTTAGAGTCTGATCAAATAATTATCATTGGTTGGGTTATATTTCTAGAATGAGTCAGGATTGGAATCAAGTAGTTTGGAAAAAGGGAAGCAATAGACCAAAGGGAGTAACAAAAGAACAGGATATTAATCAAGCAAGAAGAAAAGGTGAAGAGATCATTACTGAGAAAAAATTTCTTGGAGGCAGAAATGCATCGACTAAACAAAATATTCCCCAAAATGCTGCCAAGCTAGATGAAGATACGGGTGATTACCGTATTTTCAGAGTTTCTGGGGAATTCTCCAGAGCTCTACAACAAGCCAGAGTTGCTAAAAAACTTACTCAAGCTCAGCTTGCACAAATGATTAATGAAAAGGCTAGTGTTGTCAATGATTATGAATCTGGAAAGGCCATCCCCAACCCTATATTGGTTCAAAAAATGTCCAGATGTTTGGGAGTCAATTTACCAAAACCTGCTCCAAAAAAAAAGTCTGATAATAATCTTGATTAAAAGTCTTACCAATCTACTCATTACTCACCTCCCCTATTTTTTACTTTTTTTTACTACTTTTATAAATCATAATTCTCTTCATAGAATAGGTGGTACCTCTTACCTATCACAATATTAATCAGCAATTCTTTTAATCGTACTTTTCAAAGTATATTTACATTTTAATATTCAAATATAGATCTAAAAATTCAAGTAAATATTCCATATTCATTACTAGTTTTTTGCTTCTTAAATTTCCTTTCTAAACTTTGCTTTTTCATTATATATATTATTCTGTAATTTAACTTAAAGAAAAAAAAAATGTGATTACCAATTGGAATTTTTAATTCCTAATTATTATATATTCACTTTCTCTTACTTAAACTGATTTTAACTTTAAAAATCGGCTTTTCAAAATAAAATTGTTCATCCAGTTGATAATATATATACTATTTTAAATTTTTACCTCATTAATAAATGCACACAATTATTTATTAATACATGTAAAAAAACATGTTATTTCATTCTTTTCTCTTTCAAATATATCCCAAGATATTCCTTATCTTTTTGCTCAATTCATCTAAACTTGTACAAAATCAAACTTGAAAATACAATAATTGTTGAGCTTAATAACATTAAAAAAGCTGCCACAACTGGTGAAATAATAATATTTGGATAAAAAATTCCCGCCGCCATTGGTATTGTCAAAACATTAAATATATAAGCCCATATTAAATTTCTGTTAATTACTTTATATGTTTCTCTATTGATTAAAAATTATAAATAAATAAATAAGAGTTATAGTGAACGAATTATTAAAGAAATAAGAATAATTCATCAATTTTCCTTAGTTTAATTTTAAACTTACTTTCCAAGCTTAAATAAAAATTTAATATTATTCTGATAATTTGACAATATAATTACATCTGCATGTGTAAAATTATTTATCCCGCCTTTTCCCAGAAGTATTCCAATATCTGCAGCTTCTATAGAAGCTGAGTCATTTATCCCGTCCCCAATCATCATTACTCTTTTTAAATTTTTCTTTGATTTATTTTGAATTCTCTTCCTATTCTCTTCTTTCTTTTTTGGATACTCTAAATCAAAGGATTTGAAAAATTCTTTGTCAACTTTATCATTATTTAAATCAAAGTTAAAATCAATATTAGAGCTTTTATTTAGATCTTTATTTGACTGAAGATCTAGAATAAGATGAAGCTTGTCGTTGGGAGTTGAATTACTCATAATCTTATCAGAATCAATTCCAACCTTGAATTAAATCAAATAAATTTTAAAGAAAGAAATTAAAATATTTAAGTTAGAATTCATATTTCACACAATTATTTCTAAACTTACTATTGATGCAATTGAATTAGATGTATAAAAGGAATCTCCTGAACATAGCCATATTTGCTCTGTTATATTTTTCTTTATATAATTAATAGTAGATTCTACTCCAAACATTGGTTCATCAATCATAGAAACTGCACCAATTAACTTCATCTGTCTGACATTAATTATTCCCTGCTCATTTTCTTTGAAATTATTTAAATCACCTATAAATATGTAAATAATTATTGATCCTTTTTTTGACCAATATTTAAGCCAATTCTGTAGATACAATGATGAATGTTCTACAATATTATTTTCAGGATTATCCAAAGAAATTTCCAATGTGTTGGATGGACTTTTTAAATAATGGTTGTATTCCTTAGAATTTACTGAAACTAAACTAAAGTCTTCGTCAAGATGTTTATATTGGTTTGTAATTAAAACCTTCATATTATTAATAATACATGTCATACCTACTCCTGGAATATATCTACAATCACTAGGTTGAATAAATTTGTATTGTTCTTTATTATTAAATAATCGAATTGAAAAAGATTTTAATACATTTCCAGCAGGATGATTGTTATAATATTCACAAGAACCAATAATCCACCAAAATTTCAAATAGGACTCTATTAATTCTTCTGTTAAAATATTATTTTTTGGTTTATTGGGATTCTTATTAATATAAAATGTCTCTATAGAAGATATAGAAAAATCTAAATCTGTTGGTTTTGTCCATTTTGAGTTACATCCATTATAATCATAATTAGTTCCATTATTAAAGGTAGAATCCAATAATTCCCTAATATTTTCTTCATCCATAATAATAGATTTAACACTTGGCCTTCCATTTGTTAAAGTTCCAGTCTTGTCAAACACTATATTGTCTACAAATCCTATATTATTAAAAATATTAGTATTTTGAACCAATATATTCTTCTTTGAAGTTAGTGAAGTTGAAATAAGAACAGCAATAGGTACAGTAATGCCTATTACACATGGGCATGATATTGCCAATATAGAGAGTGAGAAATGCAATGCAAACATAACTTTAGATGAGATTGGGAAATCCTTGAAAATATTATCAAATTCTGTATAAAAATTAATTCTGTCAGTATTGAACATTCTTTCTGGATTTACTTTGTTAAAATAAGCCAGCATAAACCAAATTATGAAAGCAATTATAGATAATAATATTATCGAAGGTACAAAGTATCTTGAGAATTTATCAACAATCCCAGGTAGTTTTATTTGACTCTCTCTGGCTTTAATCTTTAGCTTTTGAATCTTTCCTAAAGTACTTTCAGTACCAACTTCAGTTACAAATATATATACATTGTCTGACAATACCCTGCTCCCACTTGATATATAATTTCCATACAACTTTTCTATGATTCTACTTTCACCAGTAATCATTGATTCATCTAAGACTGCAATATCATCAGAAACAACAATTCCATCATATGGAACAATTTCGTCTTTTTTCATTATAATAATATCTCCTAAATCTATTAAATCAACATTGACTTTTTTGTTAATGATTGAGCTCTCCTCCTTCATTTCCATAGATTGAGGTGAAATATCATCCAAACAAATAGAGTCAATACTTGTAGTATTCATTTTTTGTCCTCTTTCTGTATTTTGATATTTTGAATAAAGTCCCCTAATTTTATTATTCTCTTTTGAAAATGTTAGTGGTAATACCTGACAATTTTCGGAATTTGAGAAATGATAATAAGTCTTTTCGAGAGATTCAAATTTTGTTTCACTAACTATTTGAAAACTGTCTTTTATATTATATCTCATAGAATCTCCATTTTCACCAGTAACCTCATTTCCATTAGTATTATTATTAATGATTCTTAATATCAACAGATTTGAATGTACATCTAAAATCCTTCCAAATAAACTAATTGTAATAAGCATACAAGCAATATCAAAAAAGTTGGGTAGCTTATCTGAATATATTTTTATATTTCCAGTTTCTTTTGATGATATAATTGAGATATAGACCATTATATAAAGTGAATACAAATAACATGTATTTGTACCAAGTGAGATTAAGCTGTACATATTTGGATTCAAATGCAACATACTCTTGATTCCTTTTTTATGAAATGTATAACCACATAAATATACTACTAGAGTAACTAAAATTAAAGTTACCATATATTTCCAGCTGATCCCTAATAATACTGTCTGCTCTTGTAAAGACTTGATCAAATTAAAAGAGATTATTCTTGTAAACTTGGACATAAAGGCTTTGTCACCAAAGAAATTATACATTAATACTAGGATTGTTAAAATTAATGAAAATGTGAAACAAATGACAAAGTATCGAGATTCTTTATCTTTAATTTTTTGCAGGCTTGAGTAATTAACACTTTCATCCAAATTACTTTTTGTAATAATTTGCATAGAATTAACCAATCTGTGAGAATACTGCTTTAATTTATTTTCAACAACTTGTTCTTCTAGAATAGGTTCATTAACATAGTTTTTTAACACTTCATTCATATATTGTAGTAGATTCCGTCCTGAAATAAAGTAAGGATTATATTCGATATTAATCATCAGAACAAGATTTCTCTCTAAATTACTTTCATTCATTCTTTCTATGGAGACATTATATATCCCGAAAATTCCACTCACAATACAGCCGATACTTGTTGTAAAGTCTTTAATAAACTCAATATTTGCATTTCTTCTTCTCAAACAATTATATATCTTTTGAATTAAGCCTATACCTTCTCTGTCGGAATTCAAACGGAAAATGCACTTGATTCTAAGCTTGTTTACACATGAAAGCTTTTCCTTGCCAAACAAACAGTAAAACTTCATATAACTTAACATCCAAATATCCGATTTTTCTAGAATTTGTTGGATTTGCATGATGGTAATCTGATTTTCATCAAATAAAATACATAACTGACCCCATTTTAAATAACTTATGATAGTAATTATTCCTGTTTTGTTTTCCAACGCTTTGACAATTATCTTCATATCTTCAATGGGTATTTGGTGCAGCTTTAAAAACTTTATACCCTTACTATTTAAAATTTGTTCAGCTATATCTTTTGAACTTCCATAAACTATTTCACTTTCTAAACTTCTCTCTTCTAACTTAACATCATCAATGCTTAAAGATAATACATTATTCATGATTGTACTTGATTTTAATAAGCAAATAAATCCTGCATTATTAATTGTATCACAAATCTTTTTTCTTTCATCAAGTGTGATTTTATTGTTCAAAATTACACGTACACTATTTAATATGATATTTATTTCAACATCTTTCACAAATTTGTAGTGTAATAGTAAATTCTTTATTGTGGTGGCACATGACATACATGTCATTCCATTAACTTGCAAATCAAGGGAATTCATTTTTAAAAAATTACTGAGTAATTAACCTTCAACTAAAGTTATTATTATTATATTATTTGCCTTTTAATTCCACTCAAATATTATCAATTAAGACTTCATTCAAGTAAATAATCTTATTTTCATCAAGTTTACCTACAAATTTAAATAACTTTTTTGATTATCTTGAACCAATTCTTAATAATCTATAAAAATACTAACTTGATATAAATTGATGTATTCATCCTCAAAAAAATGTTTAATATAAGTTTTACTCAAATTAATTATATAGATTTATTAGAGTACCGGAAATATACGATTTTTTTGTAATTTTATTGTTAATTAGTACTGCATGCACAGAAATACATGCACTTACGTGTCTTTTCTTGCACATTTCCCCACATATTGTGAAATTATTAAATAATTACGTAAAGTAATAAAATTTAATTTAAGTATTAAAAAAAATAAATAAATAAATAAAATTTAAAGATTGGCTAAAAAAAGTTTATTTTAGTAATTAATTAAGTAGTATACTAAGGATTGAGCAAGTGTGTGCCTGAGAGAGAAGTGGAGAGAGGGAAAGAGATATTAAGTGAAAGTTGGATTATTTGTTCCATTTTCAAATTACTGCAGTGTCACTTTCATCCTTTAAATTAGGTTAGAATTTTCGCGTATTTAGATTATGTTTTTACTAAATCTTACTTAGCATGGGGATGTATTTATTTGGATATATTAAAAATTTAATAATTAAGCAAGATAGTGAGTAAAATGAAAAGAGAGAGAAACTTTGATTATGAAAATGGAATAACTTTAAATACAATAAGAAGGTCAGAAAGAGTTATTGATAAGGATAATAGACAAAAACATACAATTTGGTGTTTAACTCAAAGCCAAAAGTACTTGAATAAAATAATTAAGGATTACTGCTCTCTATGCAATAGAAAGTCATTGAATAAGAGTCATTTAAGCAAAAAAGAAATGAAATGTGGATACTGCGGTAGAAATACTTGCGATCATGTTAATTGCAAATTATCAGAATGTGGTAATTGCCAACTACTTATATGTAATTTATGTGGTAACTATAATTATGATGATAACTTGAACAATAACTCAATATATTGTCCAAATTGTATTTAAGAGGAAAATTGGGGTCTAGATTCAAAAACTAGCTTAAAGTTAATAATATCATATATATTTAATTGTTTTTCATTGTTTTCTTGAGTTTTTGATAAGTTTTGGATGATTGCTAAAGGTTTAGCCAGTTTTACTAACTAGAAATTATTATCAATAACAAATTTAAAAAATCATTATATTAATCAGAAAAAACTTACTTTACCGATAAGTGTGTGATATCCTATTTTAAGTTCAATAGGGTTATTTTTAGAATATTGTATTGCAGATTCGAAATTATTATTAGCTTCAGAGTTATCTAAACTTTTAGAAATTTTATCAAAGTTAATTAATTGTCCAATTACTGTGTTATTAAAGTCTTCAATATTTTCAGAGTTGGCTATTTCACCAGTTTCTGTATTAATTTTAGATATAGTTAAAGAACCTTGGAATTCCAGTAGTAAAAGTCTTTCTTTGTGTTTGTTTACATATTTTATCGGAATAGTTATTAGCTCTCCAATATTATCTGTCATTATTTGTTTCAGTTCAAGAAATGAATCTAACACACAGTAATTATATTTGCTATAATAATATATCGAATCTTTACAAAATATTTAAATTCACATATATGTTAATGAAATTATGTTGGAGAATTTTTATTTACTTTATGTTTAAATCTTTAAATCATCCAAGGTAGTTACTAATTCATACAATTTATAGTGGTGTTAATTAACTTGAAAAGAATAATTATCATCACAATAGTTTAGTTGAAATGCGCGGCAAAGCTCCCACATTATGCTTTTCCCTAAATAACTACCATTCAAACAAAAAAAAAAATTCTTGTAAATATGAATTTGTATATAATATATTATTATTATTATCAATATTTTCATAAACAAAAATAGAAAATAAGAGTGTAGATAACAGTTTATAGTCTAAATAACAACTTAGTAGTTTAATTTAAAGTTTATTTATATTAATTGAAAATATAGCACATGCAAATTAAATGTTATTCTCAAAGTAAAATAGGCGGGCCCCCTGTTTCTGTATTAGTAATATTATTTGGAAAACTATTTGAGGTAACTTTTTCAGTGGAGAAAGAGTTGGAGTTGTGACTTTGTTCTGATATTGGATCGTTGTTCGCACTAGGGGTAATAGGAAGTACATCAGATCTGATTGATCTGGACTTCCTTACTGGAGTGGAAGAGGAAGGAACTACAATTGAGGAAAATGCCAAATCTTCCTGATAGTTGGGTTTATCGCAGAATATTCCGTGTAAATCTTCAGGCGGAGGTCCGAAAATTGATTCTATAGCATTACTTGATATTTTGTCCTCAGCTAAATTTGAAATATCAATACCCATAGAATTGGATGGATGATGTGAATTTTTGACTGTAATCTTTAGGTTGTTTAGTTCATTGTCTAATTCTTGGATTTGTTCGTTGATTATTTGTTTATTCTTTTCAATATTATCTATTTCTCCTGATTCAGGATTGATCTTAGATGGAGAGTTCACTTTAGATTTAAGGTTTTGTGCTGAAGGGGAGACATGATAGTATTTAGAGGCATTTCTTGATTTATCTGGAGAATATTGTTCATTTTCATGTTTATAGTTTTCCAAGAAAATACTTCCCCCATTAAACATAATGCTTCTAGCAACGAATTCTTCTTGATCTTTCCCAGGAAGCTCAACACGCAAGATTTGAGAAGTTCCTTTAATAATCCTAAACTCAACCAGTTTAATAAAAAGTGGGAAATCAATAATTAAATCCTTGTTCTGAACTGAGTAAGGAACTGAGCTAACATAACTATTGTTACTATTATCAAAGTAGCTATATTCTGAATGTCCAGCATTATTATTCATATTACTGCTATCACTAGCATTAATAGAAATACGTAAACTATCATTCTTTAAAATTCTTGATCCATTATTAGCACTTTTCAATGATCTAATAGACACTTCACGGCTAAGCTGTTTAAGTCCTTCTTCTAAAGTTTCTGGCATTGGAGTTCCTATTTTACTTGTCCTATTTAATCCAGATTTAAAATCTTGGTTATTATTTCCATCATATAATTTTCCGTAATAAGTTAAGTTCAGTATATCACTTCTTAATCTCTTCCAATCAGACTCATCTAAATATCCTTTCCAACCCCAGTCATAATAAGAAAAAACTAACTTTAATCTAGAAATTCCAGCTGGAGAAGTTGTTGTATGAGGAGTAGATCTGTCTAAAAGACACATTAATCTTAGAAAGCTCTTTTTATCAATGTAGGGAATTCCTGTCATTATCACACATAGATCATTTCTTGAGAAAAAATCCATATTAAAATCATCATTCTCTATACCTACTATAGCTATTGATTTTAATAATGCCATCAGTCTATGGTTTGACATTAACTGATTTTGGCTTGTCCCATTCCCATTATTTGAATGATTACTAGATGATAAAGTATAATCACTTGGTAGGATATCTAAATCATCCCTACAAAATCTTGAAAACAAGTCTAGTGTACTATTTACTCGCTTTGTGTCCCATTTTACTTCTTTCCAAATATGTTCAAAATCTGATGATGAAATTGAAAGTAATGATTTTACTGGGAATATTGGTCTGATTCCCATTACTTGAGATTGGCTTTTTTGAAGAGTGTTCATATTTATTTTCTCATTAAAACGTATATAAAGTATATATCTTTAGTTATATTTATTTCCTAGAATTATTTATTTTTCCCTTTTATTTTAATTTAATTATTAAATTTATACTGAAATTAAATTATTCAAGAACAATACTCTAGAAACGAGGTAAAAAAAAAAAGTAATTTTTTCTTATTCCATTATCAAGTTGAATATATAATAATAGTTTTCATTCAAAACCAGAATAACCTCAAATACGAAATGCAATATTCAAAAAGAATATTTTTTTTTTTTTTTTTTACTTCGAATTCAATATTCTCAAAAAAAAAAATAATTATCTCTTTCAGTGGGGTTTATTTTATTTACCTCACATTATTTTTCCCTAATATAATATTAATATTATATATCATGTGTTCCCGCCAACCACGTTGAGCGGTAACTATTTTTTATAATAATAAAGAAATATACTATAACATCCTAGAAAAAAAAAAAATGAGCTTAGTTTCTTATTTAGCCAGCCAAAAATAAAGATATATTTCTAAAATCACTTTCTTCTCAGAGCTAGAAAGATTAGTTTGATTAAATTTTTTAATAGTTTTTAAATGAACAAATCATTTTTTCTGATAAATGCAAAAATTACTCTTGCATGTGGCGCCACATGCAATCGATATTAAATAAAAAGTTATTAAACTTCTAATTGCCCTGGACCTTCAAGATTCCCCAGCATTTCAAGGTTTTGTAGTTCTCCTATGTTCCCAAAGTAGCCCAATTCGTTTAAAATATCTCCAGAACCTTCCAAACTTCCAAGAACTTCAAGATCTCCTATTTCATTAAGTCCTTCTTGTATTGAAATAGGTCTACTATTAATAATTTTATTCATATCCATTTTTTCTTCTTCTTTTTTTTCTTCTTCTTCTTGAATACTACCATTTTTTTCGGAAATTTCATTATTTGTATTCAATTCGTTATTATCTTCTGTGAATGTACCATTCATATCTTTGTAATTATTGAATTTTGAATATATTATGTCAAGTATAAAACATTTAGGGATAACAATATTAGAATTTGGGCATTCTATAATAGGAGTTGTTTCATTTATAGATATACAATTATGATATGTTTGGGGTCCAGGAGAATGCCTATAAGGTTTTGTTTTGTTTAAATGTTTGTTAATATAATAAAGTAAATCACTATTTTCGTGCCTTCCAGTATATTTATGATAATCTTCTGAAGGACTTCCATATCTATATTTATGATCAGAAATTGCTGGCCTTCTAACATGTCCATAATCATTATTAATACTTGGCTGTTTACCATAGTAATATAAAAATGGAAATTTTCTCTTGTGTTTATAATTATTAATACTTGAATAGATTATTTGATTCTTTTTCATTAAGTCTAAGTCCATAAAATAGATTCTTGCAGATTTCTCCCAAGCATTGTATTCGTTATCTTTTGTTAAGTTTAAACTACTAGTAATATTTGTATCATTAAGAATTGAAAGCTTATCAATTATTTGAGAAATGTTATTATTACTTGTATTATTTAGATCATCTCTCAGGTTAGTTATATTTAACTCAGAATCCATTTTCTTCATATTTTCCAAGGTATAATTGACAAAACTTTGGTAAGTTGGATCTAAATTAATGTTTAGTTGGTAACCTCCATCTATAGTTAATGCTTTATGTGAAACAGAAGAAACTGGGATATTGGATACAAATTTTAATTGGTTTGAAACATAAACTCTGTAAAATTTACTCATGAAATCCCATTGATAGTCATTAAAGTACTCGCCTTGTTTGGATAAATCCTTTTTTAATCCTTGTATAAAATTGTTATATTCCCTATTAAAGTGTTTCTCATCAACCACTTTTTCTATTTGAGAGCCTTTCGAATGACCTAAATGTAATTTTCCATGTTCTTCTCGTCTTAAATGACTACTACTACTACTAACACTGGTATTCCAAGGATTATCCAAAGTTGTGTTCAGCCTAAAAGGATAATACGAGTATTCATGGTTATTGTAATCATTCATTGATTTCAGATGTTTGTTTAAAGTATCATTATAGTAAAAACTGTATTCATGTAATTCGGTTTTGTAAGCTTTATAGTTGTAATATGGACTGGATTTTGAGGAACCATTAGAAGAGCTTGTATAATTAGAAGAAGCGGAGCTATCAGGGCTGGAGAAATCAGAGCTGGAGAAATCAGAGCTGGAGCCATAGGAGCTGGAGTCATCAGAGCTGGGCTTATCAGAGCTTGAACCATCAGAGCTGGAGCCATAGGAGCTGGAATCATCAGAGCTGGGCTTATCAGAGCTTGAACCATCAGAGCTGGAACCATCAATTGTGGAATCATTAAAAAAAGAGACAATAGGTAGCCCAGTTTCGTTCTGATCTTTTTTAAAGTCTCTGGGAGTACTAGAGTTGTTAACAGAGGTATTATTAATCTGACTAAGCTGAGCTTCCTTCAGCTCATTCAAAATTCCCGGATTATCACTTAAAAAATCTGAATAGCTTGTAAAATCAAAAATTCCTGACTGATAGTTAATGGCTTTTTCAGTATTGGAATGGGAATCCAGATAGTATTCACTGCTTGGAAAAACATATCTTAGTCTGGAGTAATAGTCCATATTAATTATAGGACAAACTATATTTGGTTTTACTCTGTCTTGTACTTGACAGGAGTAGTGAGAGACATCTATATACTGTTTGAAAGGAGTAGGATTAACTTCATTGTCAACAATGTATCTATCTGTAACTATAAGTCCATTTCTTAATAATATACCAGGACAACTTATACTTCTTGGAAAGTACTTCCTAGCTAAACATACTGGAGGAAAAATAAACTCATCATCAATTGCCTTTCCCTTTGAATATGTTGGAAATATAATTTCAAAATCTTTTGGGCATTTAAATGCTGCTGGTACCACATTTACCCAATCATCCTCTGTAATCCCTACAATATAATTGTGATTACTATTATAACACTCCACTTTAGCAGTAGATTTAAACCACGGATGTATTGTTTTAATCACACAACCAGGATTTGTTCTCTTAATCACATTCTCCATTAAGCTTTCATTTAATTCCCTCTTAATATATCCACACCATTTTCTTGGAGTTACATGTAATCCTTTGGGACACTCATATAAAGGATTTGTAACTTCCTCCCTTACACAAAACCCATCCTTTAACTTTCCATCCTATATATTACCAAACTTTAATGTTATCAATTAATTATTTATTATATAGAAACTTACCTTACATATAATCTCTACTGGAACTTTCACAGTTTTAATACATAGTTTATCACTTTTTATTGCATATTTCTTCTCTCTATTGGTTCTTGGTCTAATCTCAGATTCACCATATCCTAACTTTTTACTTGGATTTTCTATCAATACTTCTGTTAATTCGTATCCACTTTTACATTGAAGTACCTTCTGTAATTCTTCTATTACTATACATATAAAAGTTTTCTTTATGTTATCCAACTCTATCAACTTTGACTTTGGATGACTACAAGAATATAATGGATTCTTAACAAATTCCAATTGATTAAAAATTATATATGTGTTTATATCCTGATATTCTTCCTTTATCTTTAATTTTTCTTTCAAATTCTCAATCTTTTTATCTATTACTTGGAGAATATTATCTTTCTGAAAAAAAGTATGATTGCATTTGAGTAAAAATAATAAAACAAAGTTATTTTAAACCTTTGATATAATACTTACTGGTACACAAATCAAGTCAGATATATTGTTTTCATTACAGTAAGTATCTTCCCTATCTAAAAAATCAATAGAAAAAACTAATTTTCCGAATAATATTAAACTGAAAGTTATATAAGATAAATATGCATGGGAAACTCCCATTTAAATTCTTTACTCTGAATACTTTTTTAAATTTTGGATTATGCTCTTTATTACTTAAAAATTTTCTTAAATCTCTTCATCTATTAATATTAGCTGAGCAATTATGGCGGAATCTAAATTGATTATTCTTCTCCCTCAACTAATATGCATTCCTGCATTTATAAAGACCTCTCTTTATTTCTTAAACTCTATTATGCATATTTCTAACTTAGTCTGTTTTATAAAAAAATACAAATCATCTTTATTATTATATTTTATCTCATTTAAGTAGTGGAATTCCTGAAAATTGATTAATGATCCTATTCTAATCGTTTGTACATTAAATATTAATAACCTCTATTTATGTACTTATTTTTAAACTAAAACATCTAAAGTCTAATCATTTTAAAACTAATTCCTTTTCTATTTAAAATTTTTTTTTTCTTACTTTAATAATTTGATTGCATCAGTACATGCATTTTTTATCCCAACTTTTCCCGCCAAAAAATCAATTATACTCACCTTTAGAATGTAAATGGTACCACAATAATATTGCATGTTTTTGGCGCTGGCGGGTTCAGTGAATGGAATGTAATAAGAAATTATTTAATTTTAATCACAAGGAATGTAAATATAATGCTGAAGATTCCTGGACTAGAGAGGCTGGACAGGTATGAAAGTGACCACTCGGTAGTGGGTAAAAAAATTTGTTCGGATGAAGATGGGAATGGTAGTAGGAGGAACGTGGAAAAAGAAAGTCGTAATGGCTTTGGTGGGAATATAGAGGAAGAAAAAAGCAGAAAAAGACAGAGAGGTGTACTACAGTTTGAATGGAGTAACAGTGAAGATACATTTTTATTAGGTTCAAATGACTTGTATATGAATAGATTGAATTTGGAGAAAATGTTTAATGAAAGAAACATGAAAAAAATATCGAGAAAAGAAGTCGACAATGAGAAGAATAATAAACATGAATTAGGAGACGATGAATTTTTGAATGAAAAGCCGAGTTTAGGTTACTTTGAAATGGCTGAGAGAGATTGGAAGATATTTAGAGAAGATTACTCAATTAATGTACGTGGCAAGGATGTTCCAAATCCAATACGTAATTGGGAAGATTGCTATGCTTTACAAATACACAAAGAATTAATTAGAAATATTGGGTATGAAAAACCGACTCCAATTCAAATGCAGTGTATTCCTATTGGACTAAAACTTAGGGATATGATAGGAATTGCAGAAACTGGGAGTGGTAAGACCATTGCATTTCTAATTCCATTAATTTGTAATGTAGGTAATAAGCCTGCTCTTGATTATAAAACGAGCCAGGAAGGACCTTATGGACTTATTCTTGCTCCAGCTCGAGAGCTAGCATTGCAAATTGATGATGAAGCTCAAAAATTACTATCTAAGGCTAATGAATTAAAAAGAATACGTACTTTAGCTATTGTTGGAGGAAGGAATATTGATCAACAGGCATTTTTACTCAGAAAAGGAGTGGAGATTATTGTTGCTACTCCGGGTAGGATGCAAGATTGCCTCGAAAAAGCATTGACAGTATTGGTACAATGCTCATATGTTATATTAGATGAAGCTGATAGAATGATTGATTTGGGATTTCAAGATTCTCTTAACTTTATTCTGGACCAAATACCCACAGAAATTCAAAGGACCACACACATGTTTAGTGCTACTATGCAAAAAGAACTTGAAAACATCGCAAAACGGTACCTTAATTCACCAATTAATGTTACTATTGGAGATATCGGTACAGGAAAAAAGTCAATTCAACAAATACTCAACTTTATTAGTGAAAATAAAAAGAAATCTACGTTAATTAATACTTTAAATAATAAGGAATTGGCAGTACCACCAATTATGGTTTTTCTTAACCAAAAAAAGATGGTTGATATAGTATGTAGAGAAATTGTATCTCATGGGTTTAAGGCAACTTCTTTACATGGTGGAAAAATGCAGGAAGTTAGAGAAAATAGTCTCAATTTATTTAAAAATGGAGTATTTGATATTCTGGTATCTACTGATGTTGCTGGGCGTGGAATTGATATTAATAATATTAATCTTGTCATTAATTACGATTTTCCAAAATCCATTGATACTTATACTCATCGTATTGGAAGAACCGGGAGAGCAGGCAAAAATGGCGTTGCTATTTCTTTCATTACACCCGAAGATTCAGGATTATTTCCTGAACTCAAAAAAATCCTTTTATCTTCAAATAATCCGATTCCAAACGAGCTTAAAAATTATTAATTCGTAATATATAAATCTTTAACTTATAGACTCAATATTTGTGTTTCTATTATAGTCTCTCCTCCCCATCTTGTTTGCAAAATTGATATTAAATCTAATTCTTCAATAGATTTTCTTTTATTAATATCATTTTGATTAAATCCAATTATCTCTTCTTTATGACTAGAAAACTCATGATAAAGATCTTTAACTCTCGAATAGTTTTCTAGTGGAAATATTGCGGAAATGATTAATTTCTTCCCAGCTTGTTTTTGGGCATCAAATATATAAACTGAAGTCCATAATTTGTATTGACTAAATGAAGAATCCTCTCCAATTTTGTTTCCACTAAGCCTATTGTCTACCTCATTTTCAATTCCCACAAAACTTAATATACTCTTCTTTAAATCATTCCACAAAATAATCCCATTTTCACTTAATTTTTGAACTTCAAAGATATAGTCTCCCAAATTAATTTCATTTAGAAACTTTTCCAATTGACTATCAAATATAAATCCAGAATTCTCAGTATCAAACTTTTCAAAAGCCTTTTGTATAACCTGAGTAAATTCTTGAGAAACTGTTAATATGCACTCAGTAAAGTTAAAGCTGAAGGAACACTTATAGTGATTTTTATTCACAATAATCCAAATAGGGTATAAAGGATATTTGTAATTTAATCCAACTTTACAATACTGTAGCGCCTCATGTTCTGTTAAGTAACCCAATAATGATTTCTTATTGATGCCTTTTAAAGATAATGATCCAGCATTTTCTCCTCCATTATCATTCAGAATTTTTATACCATCAAAAACATTAGATACTGCACTTCCTGTAATAAAGAGATTTACAAGTTCTTGGCTACAATGGCCAAACATTCCAACCAAAGGTGTCATAAAGTCATCCATATCCGACCGGATCTTATCTGTAGTTCTTGAACCAACAACAGATAGTAATATAGAAAATAATGAACCTTTATTAGAGAATATTCGGGATTTCAAACGTTTAAAATAGAATTGATAAACATCCATTATATTGTCATATTCAACATAATAATACAAATTTTTGTCTTGAGTAACTAATAAGTTCCTTGTAAAATTTGGATCTTTATTCTGTTGAAGCAATTCAACTCCTTCAATTTGTCTATATTGAATAATACGATACTTACTTTCAGGGCAAGATTGGAAAATAATTATACAAATTGATTGAATTAAAGCTTGCCAACAATTCTCCTCTGATACTGAATTTAAATACTCAACCAAGTTCTCAACTTGATTTTCCTTGATCTCTTCAAGTCTTAAAGGATTAAATATTAGTTGACTCACTATAAACCCATTTAAAGAAGCTAAAATACCACAAGGACCACCACCTTGTTGAATTAGACAGTAATTCATACTGGTAAAGTCCTCTTTAAAAGTAAAAATCGATTTCTTCCCTTCTAAAAAATTAGATTTATCATGATTTTCATTTTTTTTCTCATCTTTTATTTTTGGACCTGAATCAAATATAAACTCAATTGTATGATTTATCCATCTTTTAATGTCTTCATCCTGAGCCAATATATTTCCTTTGGTCCCAAAAATAACATCAACTAAATCATTAATTTTCTCTATTGGTAAAGGTTTTAATTCTGTATCTCTTAAACAATCATAAATCTCGTTATAATTTACATATGAACTGTTATCTATACCAGCTTTCTCTCCTGTTAGTATCTGAATTAGAGAATCGACGTCGTTTTTTTTCTTACTATTATTAAAACTCAATATATTGACCAATTCATTCTGTACAGATTTTGAATAGCTTATTAAGTCATTAAAAGTCACAGATTTATTAATATATTCAAGATCGTCATATTTTCTCTGTTTTTTATTTTCCTCTGGTGTATTAATAACAACTCTTGAATTATTGTTGAAATTGTTATATTCACGAAGAGATTCTGCTAATGCACGTTGAAGATCTAAATCATCTTCATCCCGTCCATTTGATATACCAAAAGAACTCATTCCGGTAATTATTAACTGAAATAATACAATAAATTCTTAAAAATAAAGTCTTAGATTCTGTAAAATGTCTGAAATTAAAATATAATAGGGCTTAAATCAATATTTTCCCAGTTTAAAACTTTATTTGGATGAATTTAGTTGAATTTCGTTTGCCGTTTAATATTCAATCTTAATATAAATGATTTGAATTATTAGAGTTAATATTATTGTATTTTTAAAAATGGGATCTATTTAAAAATATCTTCAAACAATCACTAAATAACCATCTTGTACATTAAATTGATTCTTAAAAAGGTTTTTCTTGAGTAATTTGTAATGTTATTTCTCTCTATAATAATTATTTGAGGGTAAAAACAGAAATCGCAAAAAAAACCTCATGTTAAATACCATCCCGCTTTTTTAATTGAAGAATTATTATTTATATCTTAAAATAATATAATTTTCTTGATATAACTTGAATAACCTGAATATATAGATTAATGTAAAATATGGCTGAAATTTAGCCAGATAGATGTTTAATTATCTTTGTGAATTATCTTGAGTTTTTCTTGTGTACCAATGGCCTAGATTCACCATTAAAATCCTTTTTAAACTCATTAGCTTCTGTTTCTATTTCAGCTTCTGCTTCTTCTGCAAGCATGTCTCTTTTATTTCTATATACAGCAAAACCATATATTCTGGGGACATAGTATTGAGGAGACTTATTCTTTGAGTTGACTAATCCATATTGTAACGCAAATAGTGGAGCAAAACTTGTCCCGAAAAATGCACCATCTATTGAGGATAGTCTTGTTGATTTTGGGTTGTATACTTCATTACATGTGGCACAGTAAACTTTACAACTATTAACATTGGGTAAATCGCTAAGACCAATAGGTAATAATGGAAAATTATTGCATGAAACATTTGGACAAAGACCATATTTTTGTGTCTGATATTTTTCAAATAAGAGATGCATTCCTTTAGATGTTAATATATATCTTGCGTGTATTAATCCGTAAAGTAATTGAGCTGAAGATTCAATTGCTCCGATTTCATCTTCACTAAAGTCATCATCAATACGATCTAGAATCATATCAAGTGCGTCATCATAGTATATTACATGTTCATTTAAACCAGTCAAGTTAAAATCGTCCATAATATATTCATCATCTACCTCAATAAAAAATTCACTTCTTTTTAGTGAACAAAACCATTCTATCCAACTGACTTCTTCTTCATAATCTAGCTCATTACCAGAAAATGAATACTCCATACTATCTCCAGGTTCTGAAGTGTTATCCATTTTTCCAGGTGTATGTGTTTTGTTTAAAAATAAGTTTCTTTTCACGGATGTGTTTTCTTTCTAGAGATTTTCACTGAAATTAATATAATATCGATATTTGTATATATTATTTATGTACAAATATGTCAATATATTAGTAAATTTATAAATTTTGTTCCATTACGTTTTTCTTAAAATTGTTTATTTTTATATATTAAAAATTATTTTTTGTTTTAAACTTTTAATTCAGGCGCATGATTTGTCTTGACAAATATTTATTACAAGAAATTCTCTAAATAATAATAAAAAAAAAAAATTCATTTTACTGAAAGAAAAATTCCATTTTTTATTAATTTGAAGCTTAAAGACTTGGTTTAATTTCATTCAAGACTTCCTCCTCAGTTTTAAACATTCATTTTTCCTTATAATAGAATTATTTCACATTGGCGATGAACGTCCAAGAAACCATATATGAAAGAATTTTCAAATCTTTGAATCCTACACTTCTTGAAGTTGTAGATGTTAGTAATTGCAACTGTGGATACATGTTTAATATTATTATTGTTTCGGACTGTTTTTCTGGTAAACGAATCTTGGAAAGGCAGAGATTAGTCAACGAAGCTATAGGCGAAATTTATAATGAAATTCATTCAGTTACTATGAAGTGCTATACTTGTGAAGAGTACTCTAAATCTCAGAACTCAACCTGAAATTCATATCTCTCAAATTTCTTTTTTTATTCTTATTTAATTTAATCAAGCTCTTATTCTTTTTGATCAAATATTAAATATTGATATTTGGAATCTCCATACCACATATATTTGTTTAATTTAAAAATTTATTTATTTAGATATTCTAGAAAGTTGTCTATTTAAATTAACAATATTTATTTTTTTATTTACATAAATTGATTTGTCTGCATTTCCAAACTCCATACCGGCATTTATGCAATTACGTGTTCCTTTTTAAATGAATTCAATGTGGACAACATAATTTTCCAAGTACATGTTTGCATGCACTTTGACAAAAAAAACCATATTAATAATAAATTGAGTAACAGGAAATTGTGTATCAAGAAGAGAAAGAATGAGTAATAATGATATTAGTTAATATTTTGTGGATGAGTTTTATTATCAGAATATTGTCGTTTAGTTTGAGTCATTATCGAGCATAGTTAGAAATTAGATATGAATAAAACAAATATATTCATATTTATAAATATAAAATGATTAAAATAATAAAGAATATAAAAGTTGAAGAGTATTCTTAATCTTGGTATTATAGCAGGTTGATAATTTAAAATAAATAAAAGAAATCATAATTAATTGTGGAATAGAGGAAATTTTAATTAAATAATGAAAAGAAATGGGATTTAAATACATGCGTAAAATTCTTATTTATAATAAAAATTTCCAACATTTATATGGCGCAATAATAATTGACATTACTTTCAATAAATAATTCCATTTCTTTTCTTTTTTTTACTCGATAAATTAATTAAATAAGAAGGTGATTAAGAATACAAATATAAAGGGTTTTAGTAACACATAAATTGGAAAACAAACTTTTAATTATTCAGAAAATAATTAGAAAGAAATTAACAGTGAGGGGAGGGAACAAAATTTGGAGAAAAAAACCTATTAAAGCCAAATGGAAATCCAATTTTCTTACTTGAATGATTTTTTACTTGGGAAGAAGCTGATTCCCGGAAATTGGGGTATTGTTTTAAAAGGTATAGAAAAGGATTTAGATAATTTGGTGAAGGATAATATTGATAACAATGATCAATTAGCAGAAGAAGTAAGAGTTTATTTAAACAATAGTAAAAATGATGATAAGAATTACAAGTTTCTGATTAAGCTTATAGAATTTTTGATTTCCTCCAAAGAGGGTGAGATGAAGACATTTTTTGGTAATTATAAATCTACATTAATTAATGAATTATTGAGTATAAAAAAACGATATCAAGATAAAAATTTACATTTACCCGAAGCAATAAAAGAAGCTAATTATATGTTAAAGTTCGGATTAAACCATTTAGAAAAGGAACAAAGAGAAATAGTTTCAAAAATAAAAAATACAAAAAAGAAAATACTGGAATTAAATGCTACAAAAGATGGGAATATAGAATTATTTAATAGTAAATTATCAAGTTTTGGATTTGAAAATATTAATGAATATAGAGTTGGATTTGATACCGGTTATTTTCCAAGGGACAAAATTACAGATGGAATACGAAATTATTATGATTTGAAGCTTAAAAAATTCTCAAATGAACTATTTGAAGAAATTAATAAATTATTAGAAAATAATGATTTATTTAATTTATATTTGGAGTTAATTAAAGAAGCAAATACTAATTTAGTTGGTAATGATAAGTATATTTTAGAACATATTATAGATTTCCCAACTTTAAATATGTTGAATGGAAATCAAGAAAAAAATGATGAAAAGATTGATTTCACTGATAGGGGAAAAGAAAATGAATATTCTATAGAAATAATAGATAATTCAGATATTAATTTAGTAGATGATGAAAATTATAAAGATTTTGAAATTGTTCAAGAAGAAGAACCACCAATTCAAATTCAAATATTTGAGAATCGCCAGCTCTTCGGAAAATTACTAATGGAACTTTATGAAATTGAATCATTCCTTAAGAGGTATTTAATTGAAAATTTTGGTACTGAATGGAAGATCAAACTAAAAGTAAATTTGGAGGCAAACATTGATATAAAAAATAAAACAATAATAGACTATTACAATTTGGTGAGTAAAATAATAGGAAAATTAACCGAATCTGAAAACTATGAAATAATTACATTTAGAAGGAATAAATATGTTGTTATTGAGAAAAAAATTGAAATAATTTTTGCAGTCTTTAACAATATAATAAATCAACAAAATTTGATCGAGAATATGGAAGGTAAGATCAAACAATATTATCAGGATCTGAGTGAATCTCAACAAAAGTATACACAATCTACACAAAAACTGAGGGAAAACATAATTTTCCTACAAGAGGAGTTAAAGAATATTTTAAATAAAGAATATATAATTAAGGGAGTAAACAAATAAGTTGATCTGAGTTTTGGCGCCATCTGGTTTATATTCTTATTTTCAAGATAAAAACAAAACAGGTTCTAGCGTTCATTCAAATTGGTTTACAGAACTTTAATCCATATTTATATTACTTATTCATACAAAATTATTTCTGAGGAAAAAGTTTAGAGAGACTATACAAACACAATACAATATTTCGTAACAAGAAGGGATTATTTTGTTTATTTTAAAAAAAGTAATTAATTAAATACATAAAACGCACTTATAATTGACAAAAGAGGACGAATAAGTTAAACATATTGAAGTTTATTGTAGCTAATATATAGTATGAATGGTGTGAACATCTATTTAAAAAATTTGGTATTATTAGTATTTTCATTTTTATACATATTTATTCATGAATCTCAAGTGGCCGCTATTCATTCTGGAAACCATCTTTTAAATGAGCTTAATGATATTTATTCACCATGTGATTTAAAAAACTCTCCTTTTACGGATTGTGTATCACTAAATCCAAGAAAGATTGGTAGGAAGCGTGGAAAAGAAATAAGAATTCATTCTTCGTTATTGTATATGGCAAATTACAAAATGGAAAAAGTAATATTAAAAAAACCCGTAAAATTTCATGCATTGAAAATTTCTCAATCTTTAGATGAATACGAAAATAATTATGAATATCATCAAAATGAAATTGAAGCTGATATTATTGAAGATAAATTAATGGGATCAGAAGATATTAATGATGACGAAGGGAAAATTATGCAATATTTGTATGAAAAAGCCAAATTTTCAGGTATGCCAAAATTGATTGATTCTAATTGGGAAAATACTGGATGGATAGTTATGGGATATTATGAAGGAATATCTTTACAAGAATTCTATCAGACAGTATATAAAGATATAGACGATATTAAGGTACAAAATGATCATCAATTTCAAGATAGGATGATATTAAAGAAAGGAATAATATATAAGGAGTTACATGAATATATTAAAAACAAATTAAATACTAAAGAAGTGCATATGCAAAGTGAAAAAGGAGAAGAAATTTCTTATGAAAAAAAAAAACCAACTGATACTTTGGATTATTTAGAGTTAAACGGTGATTATAAAAGAAATAGCTGGTTTTTTAATTTATTAATATCTCAATATAATGCAATATCTCAAGTATATTTAGAGTTATTAAATAAAGGAGTAATACATTGCAACCCAAGTCCCTCATCAATAATGATTAAAAAGGGTAAACTAGGAATACATCCAAGTGAAATTATTTTTGTGGATTATTCTCAATCAATTAAATGGAATATTGAAACATCACAAATATTTTATTCAGATGTTAAACAATCATGTATACCAGATTTGAAGCCAATATTAGCATTTTTACTTGCAGATTTTGGAGTATATATTCCTATGTCATCAATTGATATCACATTCTTTGGTGAAATTTCATTAGCACCTATTAATATTATTTCTAAAATGGATGATTCAACAGTATCTGGCCAATGTGTTGATTATAACAATTTAATAAAAGAATATTATAACTCAAATTTTAATTGCAAAGATTTGCTGGCAGATTATACATTAAAACATTATCATTCAATCAATTGTGATACACCTTTACCATTTAATCCAGCATTACCATATCATTTTAAATTATTCCACTTTTGTCAGAAAACATGTCAAGTATGTAATAAAGAGTGTGAAGGATTGATATCATTAATGAATACTGAATTATATGAGGAATCATTCAAAGATGGAAAAAATAATATATTAAAAGATTCATTTGTGGAAAGATTATTTAGGGCATGTAAACCAAATACTGATTTATTATCTATTGAAAAACTTTCTAACTATTGGCTTAATAATGATTATTGGGGAAAAATGAATTTAATTGATGGTTCATTAAATAATGATGATTTGGGAGCTGATAAAATTGATAATTCAGTTTTGGGTTGTAAATGGTGTATTGTACATCAGAATATATTAAAGAGCATATTAATATATTATGAATTACCTCAAATCATATTATATCCAAATATTGATTTATTTATAGGTAATATTAATATATTAATTGATTCACATCAGTTAATACAGAATAACTTTAGGAATTATTTGATAAATATGAATATTGATATATTTCATGATATTTTATCTGGTAATATATCAGAAAAAGAATATTTGGGACAAAAGAAAAGTTTTATAGCTAGATTTAAAGACATTCAGTTCAGAAAGACAGTAAATTCATATCTATTAATTGGGGGAGATATTGGAAAAATTCGAATGAATAATGTGAATCCAAATCCAAATTTTGGTTTTCCTGAATTATCACTAAGGGTTGAATTTCGAGAAAATATTCCATCAGGATTGTTATATTATAAGATTTTAGAAAAAGATTATTTACTTATTAATATAAAGATTATTAAGCAAGCTTTTGTAAGATATATGTACAAGGGATTCAGTTCAAGGTATAGACAAAGAATACTTGAGATGTTAAACACTTATTCATTAAGGTTATTACCAAATTCATTGAGAATATTTCCTATTTTTGAGACAAATTTACAGTGATATTAAATTCAAATTAATAAAAATCTACTTTATATTCTAATAATAATAGTAATCATCATCATTATTACTATTATTTCAGATACTTTATTTATAACATAAATCATTTTTACTTAATGGTATTTAATATTTGTTTGAGTTCAATTAAGAGGTTTTCTTGTGAATTAATGATATTACACAATTTTCCAAAGGTTTCTGGTATATCTCCAAGATTACTATTTGAAAATTGGTTTAAATTATGGCTTTGATTTTGAATTTGACTTTGGCTTTGACTATAATTCTGGTTTTGATTTTGGCTATGAATATTATTAATATTACTTAGTCTGGAGAATTTTGATGTGGATAACTTTGAGGTAAGAGGTATCTTATTAGAATTATAGTTATGGTTATGAAGAAATTGGTTATTTCTACTTTGGAGACGATTGTTATTGTTATTGTTATTATAATTGTTTTTACCACTTTTTGGAACTTGTTTTAGACATGGAAGTTGTTTTTGTAATTTCAGAAAGTTTACAATCCAAAGCAGAATAATTGAAGATAATTGGGAATTGATTAATACAGAAGATGATATATTTTCTGATGAATGGCTAATGTTCAAATTATGATAAATATCCTTAAAGAAATCAGAATTATTATTATTATTGTTATTTTGAATAAATTGATCTTTAATAATGTGAATATTGGACCTATTTATTATATTACCACTATTGCTATAAAATGTTAATTCAGCTTTGGAGTTTTTATTCATAATAATAGAAATTTGCTTTCGTATATTCGGATCCAAATTTCTTATCTTTAAAATTCTTAACAATACATTTTCTATAATATTTTGATCAATAATAGAATATTTAGGATCTTCTATTTTTTCTGGCCAAAGATAATATTCAAAGATTCCATCTGACTCACTTAATAACTCAGCATTAGAAAGATTGTATCCAGAAAGTTTTGCTATTAGCTTCCAAATTGCCTCATTTCTAAAAAATTCTTGAATATATATTGGTATATTTTCATGATTATTAATTTCAATACCTTCATTACTAGAAAAATCTGTGTCTGGTTCAAGATCTAAATCCAGATCATGTTCAAGATCAAAATTGTGATTTTGTTTGTGGCTATAATTAGAAGATAAGGAAGGATCTAAATCATATATTGAATTTAAATGATTTGTTGTGATAGAACTAAAGTTGAGTCCCTGTTTTACGTTTGAGATCAAGTAAAGTAATATCTTGATTAAGAAACATAAGTTAAAATCATAGTAATTGACTTTTTCCATTGAATTTTTGTTTGAATAAATATTCCAAAGTTGAAGAAATTTCATTCTTAATTGTGAAATGTTATTATTTAAATTATTAACTTTACCTATACCATATTGTTTATTATTATTATTATTATTATTATTGTTATTATTATTATTATTACTACTGCTATCATTATTTTCACTCTCAATGTTTATATATTTTGTCTTATCTCTATTAATATTCATTTTAATAAAATGATCACTAATTAGTTTACTGCAAGAATTTAAGTTCCTCATTTTAACTAAATCAGAGATTTCCAAGTATGAAAATAAATTCATAATAATTTTGGTATTATTTAAAATAAAATGTTTTTTAACCATTTTTATACATTTAATTTTATTATCTTGTATACTCCTTTTTTTCTTATAGTATTTGTTTTGGCCAATTTAATAGTTTATATTACTATTTGAGCTACCCTTTCAAATACTGAATATTGGCTTTATTTTCAAGAAAAAAGTATTTTTTTTTAATTAATTACAACATTTCTTTCCCAACTTCTATACTATTTTATTTCAAGATATTTTTTAATACATCCAAATTGTTAATTACAAAAACTACACACACAAATAATTATACTTGTATTAATAAGAACTATTTTCAATTTATAAATAACTTAATATAAAAACTAAACTAGAAAAAAAAAAGACGGACATTTTCTACAATCCACTAATTACTACTAATTTTTATTCACAAAAAAAAAACTCTAAATTATATAAAACTTACAATATATATAAATATCCAAAGAAAAAAAGGGTCCCTATTTTATCCTTAGTTATATTTTTAGCCATTTACGTGTGCATGCAATTAATTATGTGTGTATGTATATATGTGTGTAACATTAACTACTTATCACTGTATAAATATTCAGTAAATCAGCAAAAGAAAAACATGCTATCTGTAACTTCACTACTTTATCTCTTGTAACCAAATCTTTACAATCTATATCCACATTCATACTCAAGAAATATTCTGCTGGTATTGTGCAATTCATTATATATATTGGATCATCCTTTAACTTTAATATTTTATTCCCGCTTGGGCGCGAAAATTTGGACTCTTTTGATATAACTTTGCCGCCTATATTATTATTATTATCATTATTATTTGACACAGTATTATTACAAAATGATATAAAATTATAATTATTAAAAATATGACTTAATTTGTTTTCAAATTCTTTTGATATTTGAAAACTAGCTTTTTGGTTTTTCTTATTAATTTCTGCAGGTTGGATTAGTGAATTCAGTGTAAAACTGTCGTTTTCTGATGAAAATAGTAAATTTTCTAGTATTATGATATATTCTTTAATTTGATTCTTAAAATCCATATTATTATATTCACTAGTAATATTATTAAAGTTTTTATCTTGACCTTTTTTTATAACTTTATTCACGTTTAAATCAGGAGGAGAAGAAGTTTGAGATGATGTTTGGGAACTTTTAATAATATTAAGTTTTATTAAGTTATTAATTACATTTGTGATATTTTGATTTTTGTTATTATAATAGACAAGAATCCATGGAAATACTGTAGATTGAATAGATTCAATGGAAATTAAATTTGTAGGAATTGACATTAAGTAGTTACCATTCATATTTTCTTTTCTATTAAGTTTATTCTCTTGCCTATATAAAATTGAGTTATGGCTAGATATTATTAATTTCTTCTGAGTATGGTTATAATGTAAATAAAAGAACGGCCATAATTCATTAGTGCTATTATTAATAGAATTTGTTGATTTTAATATTGTACTTAATTCTAAATGTATTCTACATAATACATTTATATTCATATTTTTAATATTTTTAATATTATGTAATTTTTGTTGTTCCATCTCTAATGTTGATATATTCGAAATAAAATTTCTCCAGTTAATATTAATATTACCATCATCCTTAGTGTTAAAGATAAAATTCCAAAAGATGATTTGTTCCATTATACTTGAAGAATATGTCAAGAATTTCAATTGTTTTTCTTGGATAGCCCCATCCAAAATCAAAAGTAAGTTTTCATTAAATATATCCATCAGATCCCATCTTCCATTTCTTTTATTTATATATACCAAATTCAATGTTGCTGATATTAGCAAATTTACTATATTAAAAATATTAACTAATATTCCATTAAAGTTGTAGTGGTTAATTACAAATGTATCTAAAAATAATGACAAACCCATTTGCATTATCCCTACAATAAATAATATCCAAATTGATCTTCTATATTTATCAGTACTCTCGATATTCAAATCTTCCATTATTTGAATATAATCATACATTAATTGAGTGTAAATATGCTCCATAATGTCTTCCTCCACTTCTTCTTCCACCAATTCTTTTTCATCTTCTACTACTACTAATAGTTCTTCTTCTTCTTGTTTATCCCTTTTTTCTTCTTCGTCTTTTTCATATTCATCTTCTTCGTCTTCATCTTCATCTTGCTCTTCCTCGTATTCCAACTTTCTCCTCTCTTTTCTTATTTGATTAATTCTTTGTAAAAGTAAAAAGTAGTCATTTAAAATTGAATTATTGAATTTTTTAATCTTATTGGTAAATACATAAATTAAAGTACCATTAATTAAGTAAAATATAAGAAAATTAATTATTGCATTTACAGTTAATATTGGGAACAATGCATTTTTAATACTATAAACTATTGGAATGATTATATTTGCCAATGAAATTAATATAATGTTAGCTGAAATAACAAAAATTAATATTAAATTTCTTTTCTCCACGATTACTCCTAATTTCTCATAACTCATGATTGTCTCTTTCCAATTCCTTTGACGATTCTTATTTTCCTCTTCCACTTTCATTTTTTCCACTAATCCTGTATTCATCACACCTTTAACCTTAAACCCAAAGAAACTAGATAATATTCTTGCTAAACTGAAATTCTTAAAAACTAACATAAAATCCTCAGTTAGTCCCAAACTGTTATAATATCTTGTACTGGTACTAAAATGACCCCTATTTTCCGAGGAAGTTCTTTCATATTCACTATTAAGATCATTTTCACTTTCATTTTCTTTTTTTTCATGTTCATTCTCCTGTTCATTCTCCTGTTCATTCTGTTCACTCTCCTGCTCATTCTCCTGCTCAGATTCCTGCTTCCCCTGGGTATTCCTTTCATCCTTTTGAACATCTTCTACCTCAATATCATTCTCAATTTCCTCAAACCTGGAATTTGGAATGTCAATCAAGTGATTCCTACTGGAATTCTCTTCTCTTCCATTGAAATCTAAAGATGAAATTAAAGGAGCATGGAATTCTTTTATTTTCATCTCTACATCAGTGACTTTCTCTGTTTGATTTACTTCCAAACTAAATCCATAATCATATTTATTTTCATCAACCATTTCCACAATAAATTCCTTTTTTGGAAACTTGTTCCTAACATCTTTAAATTCCTCATATATAGTTTTATGTATGTTTTCCTCTGATAGTAAATTATTGGAAATATTTCCAAATCTTCTTGTTTCAATACTCTTTAAATTATCTCTTAACTTTTGTATTGATAATTGTTGATCATTTTTATACAATCTAACAACTTTTTTATCCTTATGTTCATCCCTACTCTTCTTTTCTATTTTAAAGAAATCTTCAAAACCACTTTTATTATCATTTTTATTATTATCACTATTATTAACATTACTGTTTTTGAATTCTTGAATGTAATGTTCATACTTATTCCCAGATTCAAGGTCCAAATTCACATCAAAATCTTGATTACTAATTTGATCTAAATCTGTTATTTTGTCTGTCTTACTTTCAAATATTCTTCTTTCCTGTAAAGAGTGGTCATCCTTAATTGAACGGCTTCTTTTGTTGATACTAATCCTACTTTTTGTATAGTCTGAATCCATGTATGTTTCCAAATCCTCTTGATTACTTCTCCCTCTTTCTTTGAATTGATAACTTAAGTTTGACCCCATATTGCCATTATAAACTTCCAATGAACCATTACTATTGTTACTTGAAGAAACTAATTCACTAGAAATTACTATATTTGAACGAGTATTATTACGAGTAACATTATTATTATATTCAAAACTTGCCAAATTATTCATTGTTGATGCTCTTGTGCTCATATCTTCAATTAAGATATTCTCTCCTCTATCATCTATTTGTTGCTTGATTGATCTCATATTTGTAAATAATTCTTCATCTTTTTGATTATGTTCCTTAACATATCTTAATAAACCCATTGGATTGATCATATCAGTGTCACTGTTTAAGTTGAAAACTTTATTAGTATTTAATGCTTTTGTTGGTATTGTAGTTTTAATCTTTCTTTTGGAATTTATCATGATTAGATCTGATTGAAAGGGAACATGATTCAAATGTGAATCCTTATCCAAATCTTCTATCTTATTTTGGTATAAATCGTCTTCATATCTCTTTCCTAACTCTTTTCCTGCATCATTCCAACACTTATTAAAGATATCCGTAAATTCCTCACCCTTAAATATCTGTGAATATCTTTCTTTATTACTTATTTCCTTCAACTTTATTTCATTATTTTCTTGTTTTAATAATGATACTGGAATCAATTTATTCAAGTGATTACTTAAGTTATTCTCTTTTTTAAAGTCTTCTTTTTCTTTTTCTTCTTGGTATACTTTAGGACCATTAACTACAGATGCTAAATTAGTTTCTGGTACTAACTCAGAATTCTTTTTATCCTGGTATAATTCATTTTTTGAATCATATATAGATTCCTGACAATGTTCTGTACCAAATTTAGAGTTTGTTTCAGATACTGACGTAATTCTTTGGTTTAATTCAAAATCTGATCTAGAACTTATACTAGAATTTGACATAGATTCATGTTTTAAGTATTTATCCTTACTAGTAATAGTACCATAATGGGATTTATAATGTTCAAAAGCAGAATCTGATTGGTTATTTGAATTCTTTTGAGATATATTTCCATTATTTGCAGTTTCAGAAGGTGTAGAACTTTTTAATAATCTTTCTTGAAAAATATTATCCTTATTAAATTGATTCTCATCTTTATTAGAATAATGATTATTTAAATAATTTGATAAATTGTTTGAATGAATAGGTAAATGATCAAAGTCAAAATCATTCTTAGATATATTAACTTCTCTTTCACTTATTTGATAATTTTCTGAGTTATTATTTAATATCTTATTATTATTTGGAAAATCATATTTTAAAGAATAATTCATGTTATTAATGAAATCAATATTATCTAAAGATTTATCTTCTTTTAATATTACTTCCTCATCAATCATATTATTCAAACTTTTTATTGGAAGATGAAATTTGGGAATATTTCTCTTCTTTCTTGATTCATAATTTGTTTTAGTTTTTTTAATTTCAGAATAAATACTTGAGTTTGTTTCATGATTATTAATCAAAGGGTCACTATTAACTCTTGATCCAAATATTCCCTTATTTTCCTTTAAATTACTAACTTCGGATATATTTTCCAGAGTACTATGATTTTGATCATTATTATTATTTATACTAAACTCAACTTGATTTTTATAGTTGTAACTGCTTGAAACCTCTCCTTCTGCCAATATTCTAAGTTTTGGATTCACCAAATCCTCATCAAGATTATCATCATTTCTTCTTGAACCTAATTTATTTTTTATACCAGGAGGTGAGTTACAAGTAGCATCAAGTATCAAGTCTATTGGAATATTTTCCAGCTTTAATTCTCTTACCAATTCCATATTTATGTTCATATTTCCGATTAATACTACAGTGAACTGTTAAGAATTAATGCTGAAGGAAAAAGGTAATAAAGAATCTTATTTAACAGCGAAAAGATTCAAATTACTCTCTTTCTTTCTTGTATGAATGCGTTAAATTCTTATATTTCTTTAATATTATATTTCTTGGCAAATATGAATTCATAAAAACTTGTCGAATTAATTGTGAAAATATGACTAATTTTTGCTTATCAATAAAAGTTCATTAATAAATGAATTTATTTTCGAAATTCCCATCAATTAAAACTTGATCAAAAGTTTTATTGAAAAAATAAAATACCACAGTAGTTTTTGTTTTAATTAATATTACAACATTTAATCAAAGTTAACCTGAATCTCAGATTCTTTCTTGAAACAAGTTAATTATTTTCTTCTCTTAAAAGATATTTTTAATTATATTTATTTTTTCATTTATATTAATTACTTTTTAATATTTGTCTTAATTATTACACTGAACACTATTTCAATAAAAGTGGCGGGAATTCCACGTCATCTATATACATGTAATGGTGCAAAGTGCAAAAAGTTTATGTAGTCAAAAAAAAAAAAAAATAGAAAAGAAAAAATAATTTAAAAAAACATTTCTATCAAATAGTATTCTAATCATAAATTAACATATTCGGGATTTGTTTTAATAAAAACCCTTTATTCTAGTAACTTTGATTCAAACTTAATTTTAGACCAAGTAATATAAAAAACCTTAATAAAATTTTGCATATCATAAATATCAGAGTAGTACATAAACTCCCTGCATGAATGCATGGCCAACATGCATGCACCAATATCAGCGGTACGGATTCCTAAATTGGAAGCAACTATTGGTCCTACAGTAGACCCACATGGAGAACTATTTTTTACTAGAAAATCTTGAGTCTTTATATTGAAATTATTTGCAATAGTCTTCAAAAACGTTCTAGTGGTGCAGTCTGTGGTGTAAGCTTGATTAAAGTTTGTTTTGATTACAATACCATTATTTGGCAAAGGTTTATGTTTTGATTGATGTCTTTCAGGGTAATTTGGATGTATTGAATGTGCCATATCAACACTTAGAAAGATCGATCTTTTCATTATATTGCAGAATTCAAAGTCTATATTTTTATTAGCAGTATCTCTATTAGATAAAGACCCATTTAAGTTGGATTTTGACAAACTACCTAGAATCAGCTTTAGACTTTGCTTTAAAAAGTCTGAATGAGCTCCTGTAAATGAGACACTTCCAACTTCTTCATGATCAAATGCAACAGAAACCAATAAATCATTTCTATTAGATTCCGAAGCATCAATCAAAGCTGTAAAGCAGGAAAAGAGGCCTCCAAGATTATCCAGTCTTGGAGAATCAATAAATTCTTCATTAATTCCAACATATCTTGAGTCTACTGAATCCATTAAACAAAGGTCAAATGATGAAACATTCTGAGGTTGTATGTTAATTTCTTTGCATATCTCTTCCAGTAAACTACGTGGAAGAGATAAAAGTTGTTCTCCATATTTGTCATTTGTATCAGTTTTTGATATAATTGGTTGCAAATGTTTTTCCTTATCATAAACAAACGAATTTCTTTCTTCAGATGTGGTTAAATGTATTGCCAAATTTGGAATTGCACATATTGGTTTTTTAATTTTAACTAAATATTCATTACATGCATTATCTACCACCTTCCCCGCTATTCCCAAACCTCTATCAAGCCAAGTATGCCAAAGGCCTCCTCCATATGTAGAAACATTCAATTGAGTATAACCTTCATTACAAGTTATGGAACTTGGTCTGATTCTTAAACAAGGACTGTCAGTATGTGAACCTGTTATAATCACCATACATCTTTCATTTTCTAAATCAAAGTCTTCACCTACTTTGAATGCTAAAACAGTACTATAATTCTGAGTCATATAATATTTACCTCCTTTTGTAATTTCCTCGTTTTCATCCAATTTTTTAAATCCACTTTTTTTAAGTAATTTAATTGTTTCATCTACTGAGTGGTATGGAGAGCCTGTATTATTCAAAAACTCTAAAAATTTATCAGAGAACTCTCTCGTCATACTTATCTATTTTCCTAACTATTTACTTAACTTTCTGAAAACTTATGTGTTTAGTAATTTCTATAACTTTGAGAAGTAATAATTAATTTTTCGATTCAACCTTGTCTTAATCTGTAATTTATCCGCACTCTCATTTTATTTTCAAATATTAATAATTTCCCCACTAATAATTATATATAAAAAAATAAATATATTAATTAATTAATTTAATTATAACTATTTTCCTATTTATTAATTCATTGTACATTTATTCAAACTTGCATTCACTTTATTGGCCATTTATGTTCATATATTAAATTTAATTAATATATATATTCACACTTGAATTATTATTATTATTTAATATATTATTTATATTTTAAATATATTATATTAGATTGCGCTCTGGCGCCAACTCTTCATTTTGCATGTAAAATATTATAATATATTGAAATTATAAAAATAAAAAAATAAAAGAAAAAAATTGTGATAAATAAAAGTAATAAAAGGGAAAATAATTGAGGAATCCTACAAATTCTATAAAAATTCCAGATTTTTGGTTAATAAAAACTTACCCGATTCAAAATTTGAATAAAAAAAAAAGGGAAACTGCTCTATATTAATCATTAAAAACTGATATTAGTAAAAATAGTCGTTTCTGTGAAGAAATTTAATTTATTAGTAATCAGTGATATGTAACTTATTTCGATTTATTCTACAAACTCTTGCGTCAATTATAGTTAAAATAGAATTAAAACATTTTTTTACTTCGAGAAATTTAGTGGTAACTCTTCAGAAAAAAATATTAAGAGAAAAATAAATGAAAAAAAATCAATAGGCAGAAAAAATGTCACTAACTCCCTGGATGACTGGGGAATTTAGGGGTAAGCCCCCACTTCCAAGAGCTGCACATACATGTAATATAATAGAAGATAAATTATTTTTATTTGGTGGTTGGAATGGATTTCAAGCTCTTAATGACTTTTATGTTTTATACACAAGTTCAGAAGTAATGTTTTGGCAAAAACTAATACCTTCTGAAAAAAGGCCAAAACATAGAAATAATCATGCTTCAGCTGTATATGGAAATTCATTGTATATTCATGGAGGACACAATGGTGAATTTTGGCTGAATGATATGTATGAATTTACATTAAAAGAAATAGACGACTCAAATATTGACAATTTGAATGCAATAAGTCATACAGAAGAAATAAATGAAGAACTTTTAGGAACTTGGAAACGTATTAAGAGTACAAACAAACTTAAAAAACCATCTGCTAGAGCATGCCACTCATTAACACGAATTTTTGGAAGGCTATACCTTTTTGGAGGTTTTGATGGGATTCAATGTTTTAATGATTTATGGGTTTATGACATTGCAAAGATGACTTGGAGTGAAGTAGAATTTGACAATTACATTCCAAAATGCAGAAATGGCCATTGTGCCATTTCTTCCACTAAAGGAATAATATTCTTTGGTGGAAATACCGGTAAAGAATATATTGGTGATGTTTCATTATATATCCCAGAAAAAAAGGAATTCCAAACTCCAAAAACTTTTGGAGTCTGCCCTTCAGCGAGAAAAGGTCACAGTTTAGCTTTGTTGGATGATGTCTCTGCTATAATGTTTGGAGGATATGACGGAAAAAATAGGTGTAATGATTTGTTTATTTTGGATATTTCTGAATTACCTTCAACAGTACGTTGGGAGAAGATAATTGAAAAGAATTCTCCAAGTCCCAGACAAAGAAACTCTCTGACAACAATTCCAGGCGGTAAATGTCTTTTATTTGGTGGATACGATGGTAATTGTTGGAAATCTGATACTTATTTATTAGATATTAGGAAGTTTTCCAGTTCAATGCATAGCAAGAATGTTTCATTACCAATGCTTTCAAATTTGGAAAGTCTTGTTGACAATCCAGATTTTAGCGATATTGTCTTTATTCTTGAGAATAAAGAAACTTTGTATGCACACAAATGTATATTAGTTACTCAAAGTCAATACTTTAAATCAATGTTTAAGACTGGAATGGCTGAATCAGATTCAAAAGAAATCCATCTTGAACACATTCCAAAAAAAGAATTTAAAATTATTATTAGATTTCTTTATACATCCTATTTGGATGAAACCGACCTCCAAACCTTGTGTAATGTATTACTTATTGCAGACTCTTATAATTTGACAGCTCTTTCAGATTTATGCATAAAAACAGTTAAACAATTAGTGGAAGTTGGTAATGTTTGTGAAATTCTTATAATTGCTCATCGTTGTAAAATTGACGAACTTTTAAAATTTTGTGTCGATTTTGCATCCTTCCACGTAGATGTACTAATTAATAGCCCAAAATTTGCTCAACTTTCCAATGAATTTCCTAAACTCGCACTTAGTATTTCAAGTTCTGTTATTAGTAAACTTATTTAATATTTTTATTTCTAATATAATTATCGTCTATTTTCTTAAATTGTTCTGATTAATTAATTTGAAAATTTTTGGCCTTTCTCCCCACAACATATCATTTTATTTAGATTTAATTATAAGAAATATTCAAAATGACTGGTATTTCAAAATTAGCCCGCCTAATTTTTAATATTTTATAGTCTAAAAATTTTAATGTCCAATTTTTCAATTGAGAGGCTATTTTCTCTTTGAATTAAATAAATGATATAATTTAACGTATTGTGTGTCAAGTATTCAATTATGATGAAAATTACCAAAAACTAAATGTTCTTTTCTGAGTTAATAAAGGAAAATTAATCATTTATTTTAATAATCATCTTAATTTTTGTTATAGCTTTTAAAATTTTGAATTTATGTAGTATCCATGAAACTTATAATTTAGATGAATATTGTCAATCCTTGGAAGTTTCTCACAGAATTATCGATAAGTTTGGGTATCTTACATGGGAATGGGAATGTGTATCTTTATTAAATGAATGTCATTCACCCACTGATTTTTTTTCTGTTTGCTATATAATTATTAATTTCTAAAAATACAAAAATTTTCATTCTCAATTCTTTCAACAATTCCTTTTACCATAGTTCCTATATTTACGCAAAATCCCACATTGTAGAGAATAGTTTAAGTTTTTAGAATTGCCCAAATTATGGATCAGATAGAAAGTTTCCTAAAATTTTATCAAAATTCTCTCCCATTGATTTATACTCTAATGATAGTATTTGAAATTGACTTCATTAACATAATTATAAACCTATTAACTGTCTTTTTAACTCATGTTTTTTTTTACCTAAACCTCAATTGGTTTAATATCATGGTCTTAAATTATAAGAAAAGAGGTGTATAATAGTATGTTCGTAAGATCAAAAAATTGAGAACTTCATTAAACATTTAATTTAATTCGTAAATTTGAATTATATTAATAATTTTTTCTTTTCAATTAAATATTCACTCTTGTGCATGCAAGCATGCATACATGCATGAAATACTAATTTTACACGTAATTTAGTCATTTAAGTACCGGTATTAATTTAAACGAATTAAAAAATGTTGATATTTTAAACAAATAAAATTAAAAATATTTTTGGGAAAAAAATTAAAGAAATTCAGGCTTTAAATTGTATTCATTTCTATAAATAGAGAAAATCAAACATTTTAATTACTTTTTTTAATGACAAGTGAAAGTAATAACATGGATAAAGTAAGATTTAATTAAGCTATTTCATTAAAAAAAAACAAAAATTAATTCATTGTAATTTAAAAGATGGCTAACGGAGATTTAAGTGAATCTAACCATCAAGAAAGTATTATTTCATTACTATCTCCTGTTTCATGGCTACAAATGGATGAAATTAAAATTAGTTCAGATATTCATTTAAATAACCAAAATGGGAATGGGAAGAAGAAATCAGACAGAATTATTAAAGAACTAACATATGGTAAGTTAAAGATTTAAAGAAACTTAATTAAATTTATATAGTACAGTTTAACTTAAATATACATGATTAGAATTATGCCAAGCTAAAGCGACAAATCTTCACTCCAAATTTAGTGTAAGTTAAACTTATTACAGGTATATCACTTAAACTATCGTGAACAAAAATTATCAGTAATTTCTTTTTACCTAAATAAAAAACAAAATCTTAACTTACTTTAATATCCATTAGAGCTCAATCTTTGGGATTCTCATCATTTCAGTCACTATACAAATATTAGTCGTCCTACTTTCCTATTTTGTATTAGATTTCAACGTTCCAACGTTTAGTTAATACTACCTTTTACTATAATTAAATAATGAAATTCATTTATATTTGAAATATATTCTAAAATACATGTAATTTATAACCACCTATCTAAATCTTCATTTTATTTGTCTTTTATTCCCACCATAAAACTACCTTATATATTAACAATTTACCTATAGTGTTACTTGTTGGCGCCAAAAGTTGTGGTTTGTTATTGACAATTAGACAAAAAAAATAAATTCAAAAAGAGTAAAAATAAAGGGAAAAGTAATCAAAATTATAAGAATAATAGTTGGAGTGGTTCTTTGTGGTTAGAAATGAGTTTACTGCAAAAGATTGCCGAGATTGAGGCTGAGATGGCCAGAACCCAGAAAAACAAGGCAACTAATTTTCATCTGGGTTTATTAAAGGCAAAACTTGCAAAGTTAAGAGCACAGGTAATCAGTGGAGGTGACGGAAGAGGAGGTGGTGGTGGAGGAAATGAGGGTTGGGATGTCAGCAAAACAGGAGAGGCAAGAGTGGGTCTTATTGGTTTTCCTTCTGTAGGTAAATCGACACTATTAAATAAATTAACTGGTACTTTTAGTGAAGTAGCAGCTTATGAATTTACTACTCTTACATGTGTTCCTGGTGTATTTAACTATAAAGGAGCTAAAATTCAACTTTTGGATTTGCCAGGAATTATTGAGGGAGCTAAGGATGGTAAAGGTAGAGGTCGTCAAGTTATTGGTGTAGGCAGAACTTGCAGCTTAATTCTCATTGTATTGGATGCTTTAAAACCTTTGACACATAAGAGGATAATAGAGAGAGAACTGGAAGGTTTTGGAATTAGGTTAAACAAACAACCTCCGAATATATCCTTCACTAGAAAAGATAGAGGAGGTATTACAATTACTTCTACTGTACAGTTAAAGAATATTGATGAGGAAACTATTAAGTCGATTTGTTCTGAGTATAGAATCAATAATGCTAACTTTGTTATCCGTTGTGATGCTACAGCTGACGATATTATTGATATCATTGAAGGTAACCGTATATATTTGCCATGTATTTACATTCTTAATAAAATTGATCAAATCACTATTGAGGAATTGGATGTACTTTCACAATGCCCACATTATGTTCCAGTATCTGCTCATCATGAGTGGAACCTCGATGGTCTTATTGAGAAGATATGGCAATATTTGGATCTTATCAGGATTTATACTAAGCCTAAAGGTCAGATTCCAGATTATGCTGCTCCAGTTATTTTAAAACGTGATAAGTCTACTATAGCAGATTTTTGTAAGAGAATACATAAGCAATTGCTTCCACAGATGAAATATGCTCTTGTTTGGGGACAGTCTGTTAGACATAATCCTCAGAGAGTAGGAAAGGATCATGTTTTAATTGATGAAGATGTTGTTCAAATCATTAAAAAGTAACCTATAATCAAAGTTTCAAATTTTTAAAAAGGAGAAAAAGATAGACAAAAATCCTATACTGGCTTTTTTTTCTATTCCCAGGTAACATACCACTAGTATCTTGTCTTTAATATTTATGATAAAAAGACAATGTAAACTTGGAGTAATAGAAATAATATATTCAAGCAAGTAGTATTTGTAGTAATCATTCCCTAGTTAAAATTTACTTTAACAATATAATTCATTATTATTTAATTTATAATAGTATATCTCTCTATTATTAAATTTAAACATCTCCACTAAGCCTAAATCTATTCAAGTAATTAAAAGCTTTATAGTTGAAAAGCTCCCTGTCCATTTTAGATAACAAGTCTTCAGAACCCAAAATTTGTTCTTTTTTTAAGCTTCTTATGCTTTCCTGATCTTTTTCTATATTTTCCTGAAAGCTTTGCCTAATTAGAATTTGATCAGAGAATTGCTCAAACAGTGTTGAGTCAGAAAGAATGGAAGTAAGTGTATTGACAGGTTGTAGGTGATCAAATAAAACATTCCAAATCACCTTTGGAATAATTATTGGCAAAGATGCTGGTTTTTGTTTACTTTTTAGTGAATCTGAAATTGATTTGATCATTTTTTCATGCTGTTTGAGAATTCCTCTAGATAATTCTCGGATCTCGTAGTGGTTTTTTAAATCCCAAGGTGAACTCGGGAAAGATCCTCTTCCCAAAGAAATGGAAGCCAACAAACCATTGTCAAAGCAAGCCATGGAATGGATATATAAGTCATAAATCCAAACAATGATCTCCTTGATCTCTGTATAGGAGCAACTCCCAGAGACTAGTATCCAATCAATATTTCCATTTGTAAAAAGACCAAAGCACTCAATAAAACCTTTTTTGAAAGCCTCCTTTAATAAAGCAAGTTCAATATTATCGTAAAATCCTTTATAATTACTATGAACTCTGACTCTCATGTTTAGTCCTTTATGGAAATTTTGAAGCCACATAGTAGACAGGAAACTAGTTGAGTCAATTTCAAGATCCTCATTATAGTTATTATATATTACAAGATTATTTGGGAAGCTCTTTCCATTTAATTTCGTGTTAATTAGAGAATTCAAACCAGGAACATATATAGAAATCCTATCTTGTTTTTTAGTAGAATCCTGTAATACCTCTAAAGGAGCTATTCCAATACATTTAAATTTTAAATTACAAGATACTCCAGAGTAATTTGAAATCAAAAAAGACTCATTATCTTCAGCTCCTAAAATTAGATCATCTGAAATAACTAATGATTGACACTCCTGAAGGTAATCTTTCAATATAATATCTTCAATATTATTTTCCAAATCCACAATTTCATCTCTAAATCTTTGATAAAATTCTTGATTACCATCAGCCAAGAAGAAATAAGTACTTGGGACATAAGTTACAAAAGAGAAAACTATAGTGATGTTCTTTAAAATTGGGATTTTACTTTTCACTTCCTCCACTGGATACCTCTTAATGTTCAAAACCTTACAGCATGACTCAAATTCCGTGATCAGTTGCTTCTTTCCTTTATCAGATGTAATCTCAAAAGCAAAAGAATCCAAAGACCTTTTCATATACTCACTGGAAGGTTCTTCAGAGTAATCAAAAACACCCGTCTCCACTATACTGGCAATACTTTCATTGCTTTTAACAAGAAAAGGAAGTGTCCAAACAATTACATCTCCATTATTTATCAGATATTCATATAAAAGACGCTCCAAAGTAAGATCCTCTGCCTCTTTAATATTTTCTCTCTCCTTTTCCTTTAGTAAGGAAATGTCCTCGTTTGAAAAAAGTTGGTTTCTTAGACAAGTCCTTGTATTGTTTTGCCATATTGAAAGCATTTCAACATGAACAGGAATCTGAGATTGGTTGTTACTTTGAAATCTCTCAGAAATATAATGGGAAAAGTCAACTTCGTAAATGTCTATAATCATTTGATCTCTTTCTTTTTCGTTATCTGATAATAGTTCAGATTTAACCATAACAGAATTCCAGGGGAAAATAAAGTCATAATTTCTTCCTGAATTAAATTGATCAGTTTGGGTTGTTTCTTTGTCAAGAAAATCTTTATTAGTCAAATTTGAAAGTATCAATTCCAGTTTTGTGTAAAACATATTTAATTGGCTTATATGGAATCTAGATATTCCTTCTATATTCATTAATTGGTTATAAAAGAAAACAAAGCTAAATTTTAAAGATTTGATAACTCTTGAAATAATGTCAGTTTGAATCCGTTCCAAAATACCAGAAACTGACAAATTTAGCCACTGGTTAATTCCACTTTCATTTTCTGGAAGATTGATTCTGGACAAAAGTACATTAATGTGCTTTTGGTTCTCCTTATCATCAATGGTAGTGTTCTCAATCAAATCATTTTCTGATCCCATTTCCAAGCCATTTTTTGAGTTTTGGTATTTGTTAAATAAGACCCTAAAACGTTTCCATCCACTCAATCCAACCAGACCATCCTCTATTATCGGATTTTCGGAACCAGAAATATTTATTTCAGTATTCTCAAAATCTTTAATTCCCACATTTACTGACAACTTCTCTCCAATCTCCAAAATTTGACCACTTTTTTGGAGACCTAAATCAAAATCATTCTCCAGAGAAGACTCACTCACATGAATAACTTCTCTCTCATAATCATATTCACTATGTTTTTCATTTTCCTCTTCCACTACGTGACTATTTTCAGGAACTCCAAGACATGTTCCCGCGCAAATTTGCATGTAATCTGTTTTTATGTCAGCCTCTGTGGTTTGGCGCCCTTTTGAGATAAAGGAGCTAGCAGATGAGTCTTGAGAATAATTAATGTTAAAGGAAGGAGATAGCTCTGTTTGAAAACTGGTGGGTTCTCTTTGTGTCTGCGAGTTATATAGAATTTCGGTGGTACTTAATGAAGGAATGATCTCGTTTTCAGTAAGGGATCTTCGCTTGTTTGTATTGTGGGTTCGCAAAGTGGTAATAGAATCAATGAAAATATCAGAGTTACTGTTGGGGCCTGGGGGAATTTTGGGGAGTTCTTCTTCCATGAAAAATCCTTTTCTTTTGTTTTTCTTGATTGGGTTTGCAGAATAATGAAGGTTGGCTGCAGCCTTGTTTATATCTATATCTTTCAAGTTTTGAATAATTGTGTTTGAGAGGCTATTGCTCTTATAGTTACTATTAATTATATCTCTGTTACTAGAAGAAATTGGGGTAAAGGAGAACTGATTGGGGCCAGAACCTGAGATCTTATCTTTATTGTAGTTTAAGCCATCTGTTTGAGTTTTGGCTTTAAATTCAACTTTGGAAATCTTGCCTAAAATAGGGTCCAGAATATCAATTCTGGGAATTTTCTCAAGGAGAGAAGTCAGTAGCTCAGATGGCCAACTGAGGGAGTTAAGGATACTTAAAGATTCCATTGAGAGATTTATGCAGTCTTTAAAAGATACTACAAATTTTTTGTTGAGACTGGCAATTTGTTGTATAGATTGAAAATGTTCAACACGATTTCCTTGAAAAAGGAAAGTATTAGGGTCGTCCTTATTGAAGATTTTGATATCAAACCTTTTAGTAAACAGCTTTAATGACTCAATAGACTCTATATAAAACCCAAAAATCTCAATGAAACAACTTAAAGGCATAAGCTGGCGTTTACTCATATTGGATGACAATAGTATGTTTAGATATTTAAGACGAATAATATTTGAGTACTTCTTAATTAGTATACAAATGAGAATCAAAGCATGTCCAAACTCCCTATAATGTTTATAATCTAGGCAATCTTTTTTTAGATAATAACTCTGAATTTTGTCCGGGAGTAATTTCGAAGAATTACTCTCATCTTTAATTAGACTCAAAATGATCCCATAGCATTTTCTGAAGTATCTAAAGTATTTGACAATGTTTACCAATCTAAAGGAGCAGTGAATTCCAAGGGAAAGCTTAATTAGAGGATGGTGAATAATTTCTGGAGAAATTGAATTAATTATATCCATAATCCGGTTATCATTTGCGTCCTTTATCTTAATACTCATACTGGTTAAAATGCGATAGGACCAGAATTCAGGCTGAAAAGGAGAATCATAAACTAAGATTCTGGAAAATTCAGAGTCACTTAAATCACTACTTTTTTTTTTGTAATATAAAACATCCATATATCCAGACATAAGCTTATCCAAACAAGTTGACATTAAAGAACCATTCTGGACTGAATTAAACTCCTTAAAATTACATAAATACTCCTCAGAAAGCAATAGAAATCTGAACGATACCTCAAAACTATCTATACTTGCTCTATGGCGTGTAGCATGTTGTACTGTTAAATCTTGCCATACTGCTCTTAATCTGTCTCTAAGAAAATTATATATGTCAACATATTTATATCCCTGCCCTAGTGGTTTTCTGTACAAATAACTGAGATTAAGTCTATCAGCTTCTATGAAATATACTAACAATCTTCTTACAACCATTCTACACCAAACTACTGGTCTAACTAGTTCTTTATGGAAAACTCTGGATGCATCAGATCTTTGAAAGCTTTTCACCGTTAAAAACTCATTCACTATTCTTGCCTCCAAATCATCATTCAAAGTTACTCCAGATAGTCTCTCAAAATCGTTAGCTGTAGAAGTCTGCTGCTTATTAATCATCTCCTCTCTAGAACACATTCCAAACAATTCACCCACAAAAACATCTTGTGATGTCTCAAACTGACCTGATGAAGATAATTGTACAGGATCTTGAATTCTGAAATACATTTTTGCAAGCTCATTTTCTTGATCTTCAAATATTTCCCTTCTCAATAAAGGATGGCTATTAGAGTATGCATTCTCTACTGGTGGTCTTAATTCATTATTAACATTGTAAATAAATTCCCTTCCTGCTTTGTTTTTGCCTCCAAAGCTATCTGCCATAATTATATTCTTTTTTCTATAAAAACTTTAATAGCTCTAATCACTTAATCTTTCATCATAAATTCAATTTCACTCTTTATTTCCTCTAATTTTCCCTTATTCTTCTTAATATTAATTTATTTTATAAACTGAATAAGTGACTTATAAATATATGTACTCACATCAACATAAAAATATACATATATTATTCTCCTTATTTCTTTAATTACTCACAGCTGTCTCTACTAGAAAAATTAAGTATCTATAGTACATATATCTTTTTTCGAGAATCTTCCTAGTGCCTGTTCTTTTAAATTCTCTACTTTAGCTGTGTAATTTCCTATTCTTAATTAATTTTTATTTACTCTTACACTTCCCCTCAACCGCCCATATATTCTTCATCCTTTCTTACACTTCATCTCAAATTTTTTAATCTCATTATTCCCGCCAAATTTGGGCGCCAACGGCGGTACCGAAACTAAAAAAAAGATTGTTAGAATTAATTAAAAAGTGGGGTTAGAGCGAGGGAAAAAAAGATCTTCAGCATGTATGAAAAAGCAATAATGGAAAAATAGCTAAAGGAACAATATAAATTTATAAGACTAAAGGTAAAGTTGGACAGGAAAAAGAGTCGTTTTTTTCTTTAATAAGATCTTAAATAGAAGGTCAATTTTTCTGCACAGAGAATGTGCCCGAAGTTTGGAATAAAGACTGGCTAATATTTTTTCTTGTTTGAAATCAAGTATACTGAACCAGAAAAAAAAAAGAAGATTAACTCTAAAAGGGGAAACTAATTTGGAAAAAGCCTTTTGGATTTTTTATTTTCTTATAATTTGTAAGCTACTTTATATAAACATAAATTGTGAATAGTAATTATCAGCTGATCATGAAAAAAAAAACTAAGATATTTTCAAAAAAAAGCAAATCTGAACAATAATGAGTTATAACAGCAGTGAATATCTCTATGGAGATCAAGAATACATACAGATATCTCCAGAGTATTCAAAAAACTATGAGGAGTATGATGAAATGGAGGAAGAGAATGAGGCAGACATTGGTATTGGAGATGAGGAATATGGAGGAATTTTAAATAGTAGGTTTAGTAGAATAAGAAACAAAAAGAGAGAATATGAAATAGTAAACATGAAGGAATTAGGTATTAAAAATAAACTCCATAGTAGAAATCAATCATACAAAGAAAGAGAAAACCGTAATAAGTATCTAGGCAGAAAACATTTTGGTTCAGCTGAAAAAATTCAAACTCTTGGATCATCTTTCCTAGAAGGTTCTGAAAGCAAAAGAAACCAACACTGGGTTGAAAAGTACTCTCAAAAGCAAAGAAAGATTCTTGTTGTGTGTATTAAAGATGGTAAAATCTCCCAGAAATATATGCAAACAGCTGAGCTTCTTAGAAAAGTACATATGCATAATGAAAAACAAGTTTTAGAAGAAAGAGCAGCTGGAGCTTTAACATTAAGAGATCTTCGTCAAGTTGTTGGTTTACATGGTTTTGAAAGACCTTCTATTGAGATCAGAAGAAACTGTATATTAGTTAACATGCCTGGTGTCAGGTGTCTTATATTACATGATAAGATTTACTACCTTCCACTGTGTCCCATTATATTTCCTCCTGGATATTCTGAAAATGAAGCATTTGAGTTTGATACTGAAATTGAATCCCATCTTTTAAGTTATGGAAACAAACAAAAAACAGATACATCAAATTCACAAATGCTTGGGTCTCATTTAAAACCACAAATTAAAACTCAGCAACATAATAAAAACTCCAATCATAGAGATCTCTCAATTATAGAAAAACTTATTTTTATTACACGTAAGATTGGTATACAAGAAACCATTAACAGTGAGGAAATACAAAATCATACTTTGAATTCTGAATCTAAAAATAATAAAGATATAAGTTCTCTTACAGATCAACATCAGATCAATGTTTTAACTCCAGAATTTCCAAATGAAGAAACCATATTCAGCCCCAAAATTGTACATAAATCCATTAATTGCAGTCCTGTAAAATTGAATCTACTCGAGATACCACCTAGTAACTTTAATGAAAAGAATGAACATCAATATAAGGTACCTTTGGAACTTAATGCCTTAGAAATATGTTTAATTGAGGTATGTAAACAGCTATGGGAGAGTTATTATATTATAGACGATACAGCTCAGGATTTTCTGCTTCATATTGAAAATAACCCTACTTCTACCCAAATGGTTTATGAGATCAATGATTTAAGAAAGCGTTTGGATTCTCTTAGAGATAGAATTAAAGGTGTATACGAAGCAATCAAAGAAATCCTAGATGACGATGATTTACTAATTAGAATAGAGATTTCCAAATTTTGGAACAAACCTGAGAACTGGGATAGTAAGGCCATTTTAGAGTCAACTTTTTTCGATTCTGAGATACTTTTGGAATGCTATGAACAGGAAGTTGAGGGATTAATTCGAACAGTGAATCGTTTAAATGCTCAATTAGACGATGCAATTGAGGTCATGCAAATACATCTGGCTACTATAAGAAATAACTTTCTTAAAGGTGAAATTAGCCTAGATATTGTTGGAGTATGTGTTGGTTTTGTTTCTGCAGTTGCCTCTATCTTTGGAATGAATATCCAAAGTGGATTAGAAAAGAATATAGACATATTTTGGTTTATGGCATATACAATGATTACATTGTGTGTTTTTGCTGGAATTGTTGTTATCTTAATGTTTAGAAGATTACAACTTTAAATATCTCATTAAATCTACCAAATTTCTTTTTATTATTACTTAATATATTTAAACGGTACTAATAATTATAAAAATAAACTGTTAAAATGATCTTAAGTAACTTACTTTGACTCCCAAATTGAGGGAAAAACCCAATTAGGATTAATAGAATTAAGAATAAAAGTATTCTAAATATAAGAAAAGAATGTTTGGAGTAGGATAGGAAGATAGAGATAAGAAATCCAATAAAACAAAAGAAATATGTAGAATTTGAAATGATAGATTATTATCAGTTTTGTCTCGAATAGAATTAATACGATTAGATAATAATAATGTAGGGGTAAATAAGTTATTATTATTATTATTATTATTAATGTGAGAAGCTCCAAATTTTTGGATTATGGTTGGAAATTAAGATAAAATTCTCCTTAGTTTTTGCTTGAACTCATTTAAGTTTGGAAATTGAAGTTAGATTAAAAGACAAGAAATCTCAGTTTATATATCCTAAATGAGTCAGATCTTGTAATTTTTCTTGGTTCTAATTCTGGTAGTGGTTTAGATTTGAATCCTAATTGTGATTTCGGTCTTGGTTTTGGTCTTGGTCTTGGGTTTGGAATGAATTACCCCATAAAGACACATTTTCAATATTCTTCTCTGCATCTATATGATCAATAAGGATAACTGATTCATTATAATATCCACTTTGATTAGAACCAAACACATTTTGAAGTTGGTTTCCACTAAAGGGATTATTTATAGTTGAGATATCAGTGGTATTTGCTAAGTAAGGAATCTTAATAATCTTTCTGTTTCCACCTCTAAGATGTCTAGTCCAGAAGTTAGGAGACTTATCAGCAAGAATCATAAATCCAACCCAAGAAAAGATACGATTGAAAGAACTAGAGGGGTTCTGAATAACATTATTCAAAAGAACCTCAATAATGTCTTCAAGGGATGAATTTTCAAGTTTGGGATGTATTTCAAAGGTAACAGATATTCCATTTTGATCCGTTGCATAGAAATTTCCCAAATATGAAAATGAACTGGGATTTGATAAAGAGGAAAAAGATGAAGTACCAATCATAGATGCATCATAATTTGAAATGTTATAAGGATTTTCTGCAGGAGACAAGGAACTGATAACAATGGAACTGGTTTCAAAACCCATAGAAAGAGCGAGACTGGATGAAAATAAGTTTTTGAAGAAAGAAAAAGAGTCTTGAGATTGATCCTTATAGTAGAAATTAGTGATATTAACTTGAGCTGTTATATAAGTATTATTGCTTGGATTACTATCTGGGTTATTTGAATCTTGTGGAGGGAAGAATGGAGGATAGTTGTCTTGGTTAAAATCGTCCTGGTTAATATCCAAGTCTGATAGAGAATTGAGTGGAGAAATTTGAATCCCTCCACTAATAATTGTTTCGGATTGAAATATTATACCTCCCGGTAATATAGTACCTTGTGATAAAATAGCTCCAATTAACAACTGAGAGCCAGAAGGAACAGTGCTATTTCCAGAAAAAACAGCTCCACCAGGCAATAAAGCTCCTCCTTTTATCATATTAATTGTACCAAGTAAAGTTGATGTAGGTGGAAACATTGTACCAGGTGGTACCGACATTGGTTGTATAAATTGTCCATTTGGAATAAGAATTCCACCAGGGAAAATTCCACCTCCTGGTAATATTAATCCATTAGTAAGTAAAGCATTTGGTTTAATGTATGAGTTAGAAGATAGAGAAGTTCCAGATTGAATAGTTTTCCCTGATGGATAAATTATATCTCCAGTTAAAACTCCTCCTAGAGGAAGAAATGCTCCTCCAGGTAGAATAGTTTTTGAGGGCAATGAAGTTGAAGAGCTTAATCTGACAGATGGGGGTATTACAGCAGTACCTAAAACTAGAGATGGTCCTTTAAGTTGCATATTTGGAGTTAATAAAGCTCCAAAAATAAATGTACCAGGTGGAAGTGTTACACTTGACTTAATAATAACAGGACTTGAAAGTACAGTACCATTGGAGAAAAGAACTGGACCGTTTGAACTAAAACCATTTGGGAAATATGCACTATCTATTAAAAGAATTTGTTGTGGTAACTCCATGTAATTGCTTGAGGATGGGATCTGGTAATTTAAGACTCTAAATCCAATGAGATTTGAAGAACCCGTTTGAGACCCAAAATTAGAATTTGAGTATGATGCTGTAGTCGCATATAAGTCAGTATTATCATCAAAGTATGGGTGTAAATTGTTGCTATTAGTAGAAAAATCATTGAATATGTTTGAAACAGAAGAGACACCTCCATTTTTTCCCAGTTGATCATTAGCAGAAGACATATAAACTGCATCTTTATAACCAAAAGGTGCATTGAATTGATAAAAACCTCCCTGTAAAGTTGCCAATGCAACTCTATTAGAAAATCCTCCTGGAAGTAAAGTCCCAGAAGGTAGTACCCAAGAAGATAGATTATCTTGAATACCCAAATGATAATTAAATAATAGAGAAGTTTCTGTGATGACATTATCTGGATGTACTGGAGGTTGAAGTATGGTTCCGGGTTGAAGTATGGTACCATTTGGGAAAATTGCTCCACCTGTTAAATATGAGATTCCCTTAAGTATTGCTCCTCCTCCAAGAGAAGTTCCGAGACCTAGCTTGCTTCCTGCTGGAAGATTAATCATGAATGGGGATGAGCCAAAAGCTATTAATCCTCCCATCAAAACGCAGCCAGTTTCCAAATAAATTGTTTCAGCAATAAATGTACCAGTCGGTAGTATTGTTCCATACGGTACAGTAGTATTTGGGGAGATTATTTCTCCGTTAGGCAATATGGCTCCTCCTCCAAAAATTGTATTTGTAGAAATAGTCAAAGGCCCCAATAATAATGAGTTATTTGGGAGATTTGATCCAGATGGAAGAATTCCTCCAGCTGGTATTGAGACTGATGTCATATTACTAAATCCTGAAACTGAATAACATAATGTATTTGTAATACAACAAGATGCTTCTGGTTTTAACTCCGCTTTATTTGAGCACCTATATCCATATGTTTGAGATCCAATAAAGTTGCAATTCATATTCAGTGTTAAGACTGGCTTATAGGAGGAATCTTCAAGAAATGTTGCACCTCCTGGAAATAAGGTCCCTCCTGGAAGAGTTGTCATTTGGCCTAACTTTGTTCCCGCTTGTAAAAGAGTTCCATTTGGAAGTAAGGCACCCAGAGGTAAAATTGCTCCATTTGGAAATGTTACTGGGCCAAAACTTGTTGTACCTACTGGAAGTCTTGTTCCATTCACTGCAAAGCTTCCTTCAGGTAGTTTAATATTCAGTATTGTGTTTCCATTGTTATTTCCCCCATTATTTTCTCCAATCCCACCATTAGTTCCACCAGAGCTTGAGTTTGGAAGTAATTGAATTTCTTCTTGAAAAAAAACATATGTTCCATTTGGAGCTCCAACTCCTCCTCTTATAACTTTTCTAGCTTCAAATGAAGCGACTGCATCACTTTGATCAGGAATAAAAGGTTCAGTAACAAAGCTTTCATAGTAATACTGTGCTGACTCATGGCTACTTGGAGGATTAAAAGCTCCACCAGTCAAAGATGTAATATTTAAAGGTAGCGAAACATTATTAATTTCATAAAAAAATGGTCCATACACTATTTTTGTTAATGGATCCGTAATATTTTCCATTCCCGGATATTCCATAGACTCAAATTTTCCCAAAAGTTTTTTTGCCAACTCTTCAAGTGTTTCATTTTCATTGCTCATTTTAAAATTTTCTCCTGAATCACCAAAGACCATTGAAACTCCCAGGTAAAATAATAGCAATGAATGCAAATACCACATCATTACTCCTGAATTTTCCCTTATAATCTATTTATCTGATTTGTTGATAATTATATATGAAAAAAAATTAACTTTGCTAATTGAATGATGCCAAAATCTCAAAAATATGAACGTAGCCCTATTTCAATCAATATTTATTTCCAAGAGTAATGTTTCTTAAAATAGAAAAAAAATTCATTTCCTTTCCCTATAACTTGAGAAAAAAACATATCAATCATTTTTTTTTATTTTCAAACTCCACACTCAAATACCACACCAGTTTGTAAATTCAACATAAATTATTTTTATTTGTTTTTTCCTGTTTTTGCCACATAATTTATATTAAATAAGATCATAGTACATCTTCTCTTATATTCTAATCATCCTGATCTGACCAAACAGAATCATCCAGAGATAACGGTAAGAATTCATTATTATGAACTTCCTTAGTAGGGAGCCCAAAAATGCCCTCAAACTTGGATTCATCTTCAAACTTCAATCTTTGTCCCAACATACTTAATAAATTCTCCACATTTGTATCAGTTTCACCAGAATTTGTATCTGCTTTGTTCTCTCTTCTCTGTTCAAATTCCTCCAATAGCTTTGCATAATGTAACTGACTTCTTGCCTTATGACCCTCATCCATTGTAATCTGCCTATTTTCAATGTCTATATTTATCATCGTTTTTCCTATAATTCACAATTAAAACATAACTTTTAGTTAAAATAATTTTTGAAAACCTACTTTTTGCTGCATTTTCAGCAGATTCCTTTGACATTTTTAACGCCAAAAGTCTTTCCTCCCTGGTATTCCAAGGGTTTTCAAACTCTGAGAACCAGTCAGTCTCTTCGTCAATAACTCGCGTTCTATTTGTTGAATTTTTTGCATACTCTAATAACTTATCTCTCCTTTCTAATGCTTGAAAATAATGAGCTATTTCCTCATCTTTTCCGCATCCAATTGGAATACGATCTCCATCTTCATCTTTAGTTAACTTTGATTTACAATATATGCATTCCTTTTTTGATTCTACTAATTCCTTTTCTAATTCACACGAAATTCTTCCTAAAAATAATAATTTAATTAATTTAACGTATATTTGAAGTCACTTTCCATTAACCAATTATTTTTCATCCCATGTAATTATACATTTGAAACTTACCACATTGTATGCATGTAATATAAAGTGCATGTAATTTTCCATAACATCCACATTCTAATACCGGAGCTTTGGCGCCAACACTCGAACTGCTAATTTCATTGTCATTATCTAAACTAATATTGTTTTTGTTATTTTTCTTGTTAACTTTTTTATGTTGAAATTGAATATCGGAAATTCGAATAGACCTCATTTTGTATCTTCCTACTGATAAAATTCTCACATAAATGTCCCAAAGCCCTGCATTATGCTATCAACTTGCTTTTAGAAGTGAGGGCTGAATTATTTTAATATTAATAGTTATGGTATTATAAAATGACGTGTATTGCAATTTTCTTCTCTTACTTTAATTAATTTTCACTATTTTCTTCATATAATTTACTTGTAATTTTCCTCATTAATTTCAGTCTCTTTTAAGCACAACAATTGTTTTTCCCCACCTATTTAATCTCCATTTTTATAGATATATATTATTATTTTATGCAGCTATATTAACTCTGTCTAAGCGGGTATTGCTGACCAGAAGCCTATTTTGGCGCCATTTTTTTATATTTAAATTGTCAATAATGTACTAAAAATGTCAAATAATTCAAAAACAAAAAAATTAGCGGTATAAAGAGGATTTAAGTTAGTACAAAAAGAAATCAAATAGATAATTTTTTTTTCTAGAAAATATTACTCACTTAGAAGCAGAAGGCTAAATAAGAGCTCTAGGTAATAGTCCTTAAGATTTTATTTGCAAAATTGAAGGTATTTCAGGTTTTTTACACCAAATATCCACAAGCGTTTATTTACAGGATTTTTCAGTCCAAAAATTCTATTAAAGTTGGGCTTTTAATTTATCATAACTGAAGAAGACTGAAAGATTTCAATCTATCCAAAATAATTTATTCATGCGCCGTTTAAGTAATATTATTTAAAATTACTAATCCTTATGTGGTGAATGTATATTCGCCATTATCACTATTACTTTGGCCATTAAATCTCTGCAACATACATAACTTACATTTTTTTTATTTAAAACCAATACAGAATCCATCTTTTTGCGTTATTAAATATTCTAATCTTTCTTATTTGTACAGTTTGTTAAAAATTGGCGAATTAAATATTATTTAGTTAAGTTACATTATTTTCTTTCAAGAGTAAAATTCAGCTAAAATGAAGCTAATTTTTGTACTCCTGGTATTTATTATATACCTGTCGAATAAGAATTATCAAACTGGTGGGTTTTCTTTTCAAGAAGAATACGAGTCATACAGTAGCTGTAGTGCAGATGACCATGGATCAGAACTAAACATCTTGGATCAGTCACATTGGATTAGTGAAATATCAGAGCAGTCCACTCTAATTCCGTATTCAAAAATATTTTATACCTACATTTTTCAACCAATTTTTGAAAATGACCAACCAAATGAAAAAAATTCTGCATTTTTTAGCTTCTTTTTAAATAAAGTCACTTTTGCTATATGTCTATTGATTTGGTCATGCATTCTTTTCATTGCTTGTGGTACCGTTGCTGATACCTATATTTCCTCCCTAATGATTAAACTGGCTGAATGTCTAAGTTTGTCAGATACTTTTGCAGGATCTACGCTTTTAGCATTTAGTAATGCAGCTAGTGATGTTATTCTGGGAATTATTAGTGTATCTATTGGTGAAAAAGATGCAATAGATGTATTTCTTGGGGATGTTATTGGTGCATGCTTATTCATAATTTTGGTCGTTTTTGGATGTGTAATGGTTTTCTCAAAGAGTAGTGAAAATGTGAATTATATCAATATTCCCATTTTTAATCATCTTAGAGATACTATAGCACTTACAATTGGGTTGATTCAACTACTTATAATCAATCACCTTGGATTTATTAGTTCGAAAATATCTTTCATTCCATTAATTGCTTATGGATGTTATGTCCTTCTGCTTCAATGGAGTGAAAAATCTGCATCACTCTCAATGCCAGTGAACCTCACCATTAAAGAGGAATATATTGGACCAGTATATGAACAGGTAACTGATTCAGATGAGGCAAAAGGAGAGGGCAAGCTGAGCCTTAGAAATGCTACTTTAACAGGTGAATTTCAGAATTATCGCTCTTCTAATACTATTCAATCAGTTCTTCCGATACCTTTTACACCACCAGATTTTATTAGAGATGTTCAAAAGATCGATCGAGGAAATACACCAGATTTAGAGATCCCTCCAATTAAGTTATCTTTCTCAAACTTACAATTTTCTTATGATGAAAAAAATCATCTTTTAGAAAAAGGAACTGTTATTAATAGTGATATTTACTGGGACAGAATTGGGTCTAAGTCTAGAAGTATTAAGAAGACCCTTCTCTTGCTCACCCCAACTCAATCTCCTTCTCCTAGCCTAACCAATGATGAATTAAGTGGTAGAGTCCTTACTCCTTCTTCAAATCATGGGATTTGCAGGGATAAAGATAATGAGGATTTTGAAAAGATATGTGGTAGTAATAATGCTCCATCTAACAGGTTTCCAGTTCCTCAGAGAGATTCATTCAGAAATCCTCCTAACAGAGAGAAAAATTACACAAATACTCTTGAGCTTCCAAATCCTTGGAATGCTCAAAATCACAGATCAAAATCTCCTGTTTACTCACAACCCCCACTTTCCCAGTTCAAAAATGATCAGGCAAATCAAATCAGTAATATCCCTCCAATTTTAATATCCGATTCTCACCAAAATAGCAATCCCTCAGCTACTTCATCATCTTCCTGCTCTAACCTTGGGTCAAGCCTGCTTCAAAATAACGGGAGCAATAGATCTAGTTCTCAATCACAGCTTGTACTAGTTAGCGATGACTATGCAGTTAGGCTTTCTAGAAATCTTTCAATGAGTGAGGTAGTCTATCAAACTGAATCACTACACAATTCACTTTTACCTCCCCCAGCTCATGAGGAGAATGTCCTTAAGCTCCAAAAAAGAGGAAGACAGAGAATAAGAGATAACAGACACATTAGAGATGATCTTACTCATTTCCCAGCACTAAAGCTTGAAATTCCACAATCAAACGAAAGAAGTCAAGGAGTTTTTCGAAATATGAGCTTTAATACGGACTTTGAAGGACTTATGGATGGATTCTTCGAATTCTGTGACTTCATTAGACAGCTTCTTATGACTCCTATCATGTTTATCTTATATTTAACTGTTCCTTCTCCATCACTGAGAAGATCAGTACAAATTATGCAACCTTTATTTATTGTTTTAGCTGTTGGATTTGAGAAGAAGATTTATACCAAACATCCACTATTCTATCTGATTGCTCTTCTTCTCGCATCGATCATCTCTTTGGTACTCTTCTTCGTATATACTTGCCTCCTTAACACTGAAAATGGTGATCAAGCTGATGAAGATGATTTAAAAGACAACCCTCAAAACTGCCAATTTTCTCGAGTTAGGTCTTTTTCCAATATTAAACTTCCAGAAGTACATCTTTCAGTTAAAGCGAGGAAACTTATTAAAAATTTTTTAATGTATTGTGACATGTTCTTTGGTATCATTATGTCAATCTATTGGAATGGAGTTCTCGTAAACGAGCTTGTTGAATGCATTAGAATCATTGGACTCACTCTTTGGATTAAGCCAGCAATTCTTGGTCTTACAATTGTTGCAATGGGTAACTCAATTGCAGACCTTTTTGCTAATGTAGCAGTTTCCAGAGCAGGACATGCACATATGGGGCTTGCAGGTTGTTATGGGGCATGCGTATTTCTACTTTTATTTGGATTTGGAAGTTCTGTATTTGTTAGAGCAATTCAGCTTGGATTTTCAAAAGATATCCATCTACACTTTGAGTCTCAAATCATTACAGCTACTTACCAACTATTGTACTTCCTTCCTATATCTGCATTGGTTGTAGTACTTTCTAAGGGAAGAGTTCACCGTATTTGGGGTTTGATATTCATTCTTTACTTTGTCGTTTGCATGTCTTTCATTCTAAAAGGAGCTATTTAGGTTTAGTATTTCGTTTAGTTTTCATATATTTAGTTTTTAAATAACTTTAAATGTTCAAAAAATACTCAATCTTATATCAAACTTACTTAACTATTATTTTAATATTCTAGGAGTTTTCTAAATCAAACTGTTATTGAATAAATTCCTATGCATATCTACAAGGAATACATCAAATCTCACTATTTAATTACAATCTTCAAACTTGATGGCTCTCTGTGCTTGATCCTTTTTTAAATCCAACCCTGAAATATCAATTTTATCCTGAGAACTTACTTGCTCCCTTTCTGAGTTAACTAAAGGCTTCTCTAAAGTTGCTCCAAAAACTTTTCTTGCTGCATCGCGAGCCAAATCTTCCTCATGCTCTTTCTGATTACAATCCAGACCAATAACACCGTTTCTATTACTTATTTTTGTTATCTCATTTACTATTTGAGGTGGATCCAAGTCATAGCATTGTAATGTTTCTTTTTCACCTTGAAAAATACACTTGGAACAACACAATCTTCCAAATCCTAAGACTTCACGTACTTGGTTGAGTAAAAACTCTCTCATTTCTATTTTTATATTATTGTTAATTTCTAGAGGTTTAGTCTCTTTAAAAAATCCTCTCTGCAACTATTTACTACGTGTTGTTTTGCATGTAAAACTATTTACATTTTGATTTGGCGCCAAGCATGTCAAGGCGTAAATATTTATTAAATAAGAATGGAAATAAGGGATTTTGGAGATAAGAAATAAAAACAAGGATAATCGTTGAAATATACTATTTAGGTAAAAACTAAATTAAAATATAAACTAAAAGAGTATTATCATAGTTTCGATTTGGCTTTTTTGGTTTTGGGTTTTTTTTTGATAACTTTTTTAAGTTTTTTTTTAAGCTTATTAACTTTATTTTTGGCATTCTTTTTAGAGATTTGTTTTTTTTCTACTGTGTCATCTTTTTCTTGTTTAACTTTATTTTTGGCCTTATTCTTAATAATCCTTCTTTTTGAATTTTCTGAATTATTTTTGCTTTTTGCTTCTTCTTCTGATAAAGCTCTTGTAACTGAAATATTGGAATCTTTGAATTGGGCTCCATTAAGTATCTTAACTGAAGAAAGGACAAACTTTCTGTCATTAAATAATACGAATCCAAACCCTTTGGGTTTTCCAGTAGTAGCTGATTTGATAATTCTGACAGAGTGAACACAATCTTCGTTTAATGATATATTAACAAATTTACGGAGTTCATCTTCAGTACAGAATTTTGGTAATCCTCCAATAAATACAGTTCTCTTACGGTCAAAAGTACTGAATTGATTTCCCTTCGATGCTGGAGTTAAACGAAGAATATTTCCTGCCAAAATAGCTCCCGAAAATTTGTCAATAATTTGCTTCATCCTTTCCTTTTCTTTCAAAACAATATAAGCGTTTTTAGTACTGCAATTTCCAGAAAAACACTCCAATGCTGCCCCAACCTTTTTCTTTGAGGCAAATTTGGGATGAATAGGTAAAGACCTAAATCTCATTGATTCCACTTCATTTTGTTTAATTTCCAATTTACGTAGTAACTCTTTTTCAGAAACATGAAGGGTTACATTTCCGACAAATAATGTATTTTCAATTCTTGGATCATTGTTCTTGTCATATTTAACTTTTGTAAATTCCTTGGGTTTTTCCTCTTTTTTAACATTATTTTCAGATATATCTTTTTTCTGGTTTTTATGGATTAAAAGCTGGTGATTATCGCTACATTCACTAAGGAGTCTTTCAATATTCGGGTTAATTTCTTCAACTATTCCTTTGGATCTATTATGTTTGGAAATTAAATCCGTTATTGTAGTAACTTTTTCAACCTTTTCCATATTTAGTAAAATATAGAATTATAATTCATCTAGACTGATACAGTATATCGAATTGCAACTGAATTATTCCAAGTTTTCTAATATAAAAGTTTATTTACACCTTAATTAAATTACTCAATTTGCTTACTTTAGCAATTTTTTTTTTATTCCTTCATTTTCATAACCAAAAGTCAAAAATAACTAGGGCTGCATACCGCCACTTCTTGGCGGTATACTCGCCCCGCCAATTTTTAAAAGAATCTCCATGCATTTTTTTCACCTAATGTAAACATTAGGGTTTTAAGAAATAAAGAAACGGTAAGAAAAGTAATGTTTTTAAATCAAATGGAAGGTAGTTGGATTATGGAATTTAATCGGGACCATTTACTTGGAATAGCATTGAATGGTGAAAGTGAGCTTTTGGTGCTTAGAAATAAATTAATGGAAGTTAATGAAAATAATGTAACATCAACTGAATCTATTGATTCTTTGTACTTAACATATATAACCCTACTGAGTTATGGCGAAGAAATGGAGCTGGGTTTGAGTTATAAACTACTTTCTGATAAGATTGTGGGTATTTCCAAAATGTTGAATAATACACCATATTCTATTGGCAAATACTTAGGGTTTACATTAATATTGAGTATTTGGATATTGAAGAGTCAGGATTGGTATAACTTAGATGACCTAAGTAGTACCGATGTTTGTAACGTTATTATAAAATTAATGGTTGATTGCTGTAATACTGAACATGCTATTTCTTATGAATTTAGTCAAGATGAAGAACATGAGAATTTGGTAATTTCTGGCAAAAGCTGGATGGATGAATGGGGTGAACCTTCAAATTCTTATTTTGGATCAAGTATTGTTGAAGACGAAGAAATAGATGGGGTAGTTGAGATAAAGAATGAAACAGATATGAATATATTAAATATTTCAAATAATGCAGATTTTACTATAAATAAAAAGAGAAGATTAGATGGTATCGTCAGTGGTGAATACGAGGATGATTTTAAATACATAGTTTTTGAAATAACTAAAATTAACATTGATAGTCTTAATTTATTGTTTGAAAAGAGGTTCAGTGATGATCTATTTACAACTTTTCAGAATATTAATTTCAAAGACAATACACAAAAGAATATTTTTTTTAATAAGATATTTTTTTTAAATTCAATAATTTGTTTTTATAGGTGCTCTGGATCATTTTTAATGACAGCTCTGGTTTTCAAATTGCCACGTGGTAGATATTTACTTGAAAATGGTGTAGAAATGGTTGCAGATCATCTTTTGAAAGAAATATTATATTCTTACAAAAAAAGTGCTCCTGATAAAGTAGTGGCAATGGAAGATAATGCTATTTTAGCTCTTGATGACATTTCTGCAATTCTTTGGTTCAAGACATTCGAGGCAAAAATCTCAACAATTTTGGAAAATAAGATTCAAGAATTATCTAATGAATCTTTGGAAAAGCAAGAAGTTGATAAAGAATACCAAAAGATGGAACTTCTAAATAATCATTCTAATCTAATTAACAAAGTTTTTGCCAAATTCATTGATTATAATTTAAATAGATCTAATCAAATAGAATTTCTTCCCAAAATATTTAATAAAATCAGAATTAAACTGGTTAAAACAATTCTTGGAGCAATCCATACAACATTTAGTATACCTTTTATATCTAGAAACCATTTCATGGCTCACTTTCATATACATGATACTTCGAATGGCCAAATACTAAATCTTTTTTTCAATATTGGTTACCTTGCACAACTTTCTATACAAAATTGTTTTTCTGAAGTAGATATAATAATCCAAATTCTAAAAACTTATAATAGTACCATTTTTTTAATTTCAAGGTTTGGAGAGAGCTCTACAAAACAATTGTTTATTGAGGAATTATCGAATGGATTAAATCATAACTTAACCCCGGTTGATTTTATTTACCAAAAACTAAAGAGTTTATTATTTTCAGATAAACAAATTCAATTAAGTAATAAATCAAATGCTCTTCATTATTCATTGTTCAAATTTGCTTACTCCATTCTCTTAGACATTAAGTCAATCATTTTGAAATTTAATTACAAACAAAAATCTTCAAATTCAAAAATTATTAACTCTTCTTTAATATTTAATAACGTTAACACAAGTTCTCAAAACACCATTATTTTTGAAAAAGTTATTTATTATAAAATTGCATCTCTTTTTTACACTCTAAACTTTATTAACATAATTTTGGATCGTTATTCAATGGATTCTGAATCATCAAAGAAACCTCTTTCCATTTTTATCGAAAATTTTTTTTTAAATTTTCTTTCTGAACCTGAAATTGAGCAAATTTATCATTTTGTTAATACTGAAATTAACCTTTATAATACTGAAAAGAAGTTTTTTGATCCAAATCTCAGATTTGAGATCGATTTCATTAAAGGATACCTGTCAAAATTCTCAAACAAAAATTTCTCACTTATATATTAACTTTTACTCGGATATAATTACACAAACCTTGTTGATTTCATTCATTTTTTACCTAAATATTTTTTCTCATTAAAAAGAAATACAAATATATTAATGCAATATAAATATAAATATAAATATAAATAAATAAATAATATATATGTATATATGTATATATTTATATCAGAACTAGTATAACTAATTTTTTTTTCTATTAATGCATTCAAATTTTCTTATTGAATGCAATTGTTTCTGCATGCATCCACATTAGTTATTACGTGTCAAAAATAAACGATGTTAAAGGGCCAAAAGGATATTAAAAAAACTGGCCTATTTATTTATTTTTTAATAGGAAAATGATAAATTTAAACACAACAACTACACGATCAATTATAAAATTAACAGCTATTGGAGAAATATATTGAGGAAATCAATTGTTATCAGTTCCAAATAAAATTTTTTATGTTAAATGAATGCCATAAAACAGAAAAGTTTTTAACTTAACTCATTATAATCTCAAGTAGAAAATTAAATCAATATTTACATTTTGTTTACCAATTTCAGAAAATTTTATATTTAGGATTTTATTATAATTATATTTATTCAAAACAAATTCAACATAGTAAAAGAAAAAGGCGGCAAGATCATCAAATAATTAATATGCGTTAACTAAGTAAAAAATTGAGGAATTTTCAACAGATGTGTGAAAAACTGTAAATTTGAAAGAAATTACCAAAATAAAATAACAGGAATGGAAAAGGTAAACTAAGCATACACACTAGAAGGTTGAAGAGAGATTAGTACAATAATTATTTTTTTTTAAAGAATTCTGGTATGAAAGTTAAGGTTTGTGGAATTATGATATGATATTAAACACTATTAAGTCTATACAGAAATTTTCAAGTACATCCAGAAAATACAAGGACCTGGAAGTTGTTGCATCGCACTGCATTGACAAGCTAAAGTTTTTCATTGGGTATTCTCAACTTCAAAATGAAAAAGAACTTCAAGATTTAATTATAGAGTTTGACAATAGCTTGGATTTGAAAGATTATCTATCTGGCACAATAAATAATGATATCAAAAACCTTATATACTATGTAGATAAAAAGAAAATTAAAGATTTATCATTTAGTGAATATGGAAAACATATAGATCTGTTATATCCATATATATTAGGCCCTATTTTTAAAGCATGCAAGCAATATAAAAATCCAAAACTTACAATAATATCCTTGGAAGGAATCAACAAGCTCCTTTCTTTTGAGCCTCTCGCAAGCACTTTAATTGAAGAAGCAAAACTTTATGGTTGTGAGGATATTACAGAAAATACAGAACCAGTCAATGGATTAGAGTTCTTATTCACATTATTATTTGACATATATGACTCAAAAATTGATGATGAGTCAATCATAACTCAGATTATAAAAACAAGTATATTTTTAATTGGAAAAAACATTGAATGTTTTAGTTGTCAAATATTCTACTCGATATTTCTGGCTTTATTTAATATATATAGTAATACAATAGATAATGGAATCAGAACATCATCCTACTCTATACTAATACATTTTGTAAGCTTGTTTTTTGATGAATCATTTGAGAATAGGGATAAGTATTTTGAAAAGTATTTTTTATTACTATTAGAAATACTTTACACCTTAAGTATGACAAATAGCATGATTCATATTAAAAAACATGAAACACAAAAAGGACAGTTAAACAAAATCAAATTAACTTCTCCTTTGAACCTCGAGCTTTATTCCAAGGATTTTGTTGAAATTGAAAATAATTTCTTCAAGTTCTCACAAGTGAAGGAATTAGATCCCAGGATTTTAAAAATTCGAAATCTTAGCCTAGAATTACTAAACAGTGTCTTTTCAAATATTAAATTGAAAAATTATCAAAACAAAAGTATTAAAGACACTATGGACAAATTACACAAACTACATTTTCTTTCCATAATGAAGAATATTGTTTTAAATGATTTTCAAACCAGGAAAAATTCCATCATTTTATGGAGTAGTGGTCTTCATGTTCATGATATTAGTCAAAAAATTCGTCTACATGGTATTTTAATTTCAAAGTGTATTAGAGGTTTATTTGAAAATGGAGTATTAGAGATTTCTGAAAAAAATGCAATAATAGAATCTATATTTAGCATTTTTACCGAAAATGTCTCTTTTCTAACATTTCTATTTATTGAATTTGACCTTAATATAAATAATGAAAACTTGGTTTTAGATACTATCAATTTCTTAATTAATCAATTTATAGAAATGGGATCTGCAAAAACCCAAAATAAGAACATAAATATTGACATAACTACCCTTATGGCTAAATTGCTCATTAATGTTATGAAAGAATTGAAGAGAATTAAAAATGTAGATAATTACAGTGGCATTGAATTCAACTTGAATACTGTTCTTATAAGGAAATATCTAATATATGAGTATATTAAAGATTTTAATGAAGGTAATTATGAAAAAGGTATTAATTTACTTTCTGAAATTGGAGTCATTGATAAGGAAAATTGTCTTTCTATTGCCAGATTCCTTGCTCAAAATAAAGCAATAAACAAAAAAGCTATAGGAGATTACATTTCTCTTCCTAATCCAAGAAACAGAGAAATATTAAACTATTACTGTAACCAATTTTCATTCAAAAACAAAAGTTTGGATTTCTCTCTATATTTATTTCTTTCCAATTTTCATCTACCTGGAGAAGCTCAAAAGATAGACAGAATAATAGAAGAATTTTCTCTTAGATATTTTTTGGATAATCCCGATTTATTTCATAATAAAGACAAGATTTACATCATTGCTTTCTCATTAATTATGCTGCATACTGATGCTCATAGCAGAGAGATTAAAGATTATTATAGAATGTCGAAAAGTGACTTTATCAAGAATCATAATGATTTAATACTATCATCTCCGAAGCTTGTTGATTTTCTTGAAACATTTTATGACAACATTACTTTAAATGAGTGGATTTTCTTTAACTCAAAAGAAAGCTGCAAAGCTTGCTTTCCTTATATTGAGTACCTAGTTAACTTCATTAAGAATCTAGAATTCAGCAATACTACTCTGAGTAATGACCACCATAGCCCCAAATCTAATACTAATTCTAATTCTAGTTCTTGCTATAGTTCCAACTTGAAAATTAAGATAATTAGTCACGAAATAATTCACAAGATTGTTAATTTAATCAACTCAAAAACAGACTCAGGAACCATAAATCACGAACAAGATCTTCTCAAATTCATTTATTTAACAATTAAAAAGAAATTTGACATAATTTACTTTAATGGCATTTACACAGAAGATTTAGTTTATTGGAAATTTATTGCAAATACTCCTATTCAGTCTATCACTAGCTTAAATGAATGTTTAAAAGGCAGAAAACTACCAATTAACAACGATACACAACAAGAAAGTACTTATTTCCAGTATGATGGGTTAAATTTCAAAAGAAATTCCAAAGTAATCAATAGCAACAATATTCTTCAAACCTCCAATGTAATAGGAACCAATCCAAATTTATCAAAGTGGATGACTAATAATAAGACAAGTGATACAAAAGTAAGAGATATTAATAGTGTTTTTCAGACTAGTATTACTGATTTAATTAAAGAGATCATTCCAAATTGGAGTAGCAGACAGTACAATGAAGTTAGTAAATCTATTGATGAAAAAGGTCTAATCATGGAAGAGAGCCACATTATATTATTAGGGAAAATGATATGTTGTTATTTTACTAATATGTTATCTAATGTTGATTTTTGGATGTGTTTTGGGAAAGATACTATGGTCAATTGGATACCTATTCTAAAATATACAACAGAATTGGGAATTATACTCGGTCTTGAATCATCTTTTACTATTACTTTAACAGTTTTATCCTATCTAACCAATACATTAACATTACCTCTCAATTTTAATGAATTATTCTTTTCTAATTCAAATATTACACAAGAAACTCCGACTATTTTAAACGATCATGATTTTGAGAATGAAAGATATTCAAAAGTATTGAAGTTTCCAGAATTGGAGAAATGCAGTTTGATTAATCAATGCTCTGATTTAATTATTAGAAGCTTTCAGTCTGGCTTAGACTACCTCAATACCTTAGATACTAGGCAGGAGCATAAGACAAAGGATGAAAACGAAAAATCTATATCTCATTCTCAGATTAACAGTCCAAATCAAGGATCTGAGCTACTTTTAAATTGTCTTATATCTAATGAACCTTTCTCTACACATTCTAGCCTTAATTACTTAAACATTGAAGCAATCAAAACTATTTTTGAAATTACTCAAGATTTTGGGAATAAATTACCTTATGTATTATGGGTAATAATAATTGGAATAATATCTCAGGTTGATAGGTACTTTTACGTTAAAACCATATTAAAAGGCAATAATACAGAGATTCCTGATTATTTTGATCATAATAAATTTATAATCAGTAAAAGTAAGACCTTTGGGAATAATTTGTCAAAATTTCTAACTTTAAGTAAAATATGTATCAATACAACCAAATCTCATACTATAAGTAATCGTCACTTTAATCAATTTTTTAACAGAAAGTTGATTAAATCAACAAAAAACATTTTCAATTCTACCAAAAGTATTATTAATTCAGGCTTTTCTAATAATTCAAGAGATAACTCCAGAATAGTTTCTAGAGCCTCTAGTTCTAGAGAAACTTCTCCAGACTACACTAACAAAGATGATAGAACAATTCCATTAACAGAGGAAAATGAGAGAAGTACTTTAAATACAGGTTTACAAAACACACTAATATATGGACAAAATAGTCAGTGTATTCAAATATACATAAATCTCAGAAATTCAATTTCTCTTAATAATTTATGGTTTAAAGAAGATGAAATTATTGAATCCAATTCAATTGTTGGAAGTAATGAAGAAGTTCTTTGGATAGATGAAGGCAAATATTCATTAATATTGAATCAAGTTTCTTTAATTAACTTAAGAAAAATAGAAATGTTTAACTCAAAAATAATTACAAGTGAATTAGAATTTTGTCAGGTAATGGAGAGAATATTTACAGCAATTACAACTGATCCAATTAAAAACAGGAAAGTAATTACAGAGTTATTTTTAGCACTAACCTTTAATGCTAAAAACCAGATTGTTTTATCAGGAAGAAAATCTGTTGATTTATTTCTATTCCGTAAAGTTTTTGAGTTTTTAGATTTAATTTTGGACTGCAATTTTAAGAAATTTTCTGAATTAGTTCTTTGGGACAGTTATTTTATTCCAATCTATTATACTGAGATTATTCATACATTGGGTATAAAGGCATACTTAGAAGTTTTGGATCTAATAAAAAGCTTCATTATCAAATATATTAGATCCCAGAATAAATTTCTAAGATCAGAATACTTAAAGAATGAGATTGAGGCTAAATATCAGGAAGATGATAAAATTATCATTATTTCTTCAAATTCTGATTTTATTTCCAAAAAAGCTTCTAATCAATTTAATACAAATTTTCATTATTTTTTATCAAAAGATTTAAATTTGACTCAGTTTTCCATTTTTATCATTTTTAAAAAGTTGGTAAAGACAAGTCTTGATAATCAATCTTACAATGAATTTATTAATTTAGTAGAACTTTCACTTGAAATATTAAAGAATATACAAAACTTATATCAAGATTTGAAGCTATTTCATTTCTTAGAATTAAATGATATACTTGAAATATACCAGTATTTTATCATAGGAATTCAAAAATGTTTGGAAAAGTCTCAGGAACGCAATAATAATAGCAATAATAATAATAATAATAATAATAATAATAATAATAATAATAAAAAGAAGAAGCTAATAAGTTTATTAAATTCAAATTCACATTCAAATAAGGAGGAATTATATAGGGACAAAGAGAATGAGATTTTGGCTAGAATTTTATTTTGTTTGTCAAGTATACCAAAGGTTTCTTTTCTTTTTGATGATTGTGTATTTACCAAATTAATGGATACTTTATATATTTTATTTAAAATCTTTGTTCAAAAAAATGGATGTAAATTGATTTGTAAGATTTCTGATTATATATTGTATATATTTTATCTTAAAATTAAATACATTAACACTCAAGATTTGGAAGGAATAGAGAATCTAGATTTGGATAATATATATAAATTACCACCTATAATAAAAATTCAAAAAACTAATGATAATATAAGATTAAATAGATTTAATCAAAATCAATATAAATTGGTTTTAGAATATTTTAATAATTTTTCTCAACAAATTACAAAGAGTCTAGTTTTAGAAAAGAAATATTTGGATTTATATTATTATTATTTAGTAAATATGTCAAAATTAATTAACTATTGGCTGGGAATTTGTCCAAGCGAATTAATATTTCATGAAGTATTTATAATTCAGAATATAATTTCTGATATTATAAATTTAATTACTTTAAATAATAAAAATAATACACGGAGTGATAGTAATATATATTTAACTCAAGATTATAGTAAAAAAAAAGAAGTTAATTTTTTAGAAAAACTAGTTAATGAGGAGAATAATGAGACATTACTATTAGAAGAAGAATTGAAAAGAAAGAACAATTTAGAAGATGACTCTGGAACTGAAGAATATTATGAAGATTATGATTTTGAGAATGAAGATGATGATGATGATGAAGATAATTGTTTTGTTAATGATGAAGCTGATTTAGATATAATACGTTATATAAGTTACAATTCAACTAGAAATGAAAAGAGAACTTTTGAAGTAACAAACAAAAATTCTCATTTAGATAATACACAGTTAACATTAAGTAGTCTGGAAGACCTTAGGATGAAGGGAAATACAAAAAGTAATTTTTCAATATTTAATAGGAAAATTAAAGAAATTAATAAGGCTTTAACAAATAAGATAGAACATAAAAATCAATTAATTTCTGATGAGATATTAGAGAATTCAAATTATGATGATATTAAGAATATTAAGCCAGATAAAGAGTATGTGGACTCAAAGATTATAAAGATAATACATAACGTATATAAAATAATAGATTTTTATATTTTTAGAACAAGTATTAAACATTACAGATTTCTTTTTAGAGATTGGTTAATATTAAGTAATGAAATTTTATTATGCCAAGCAATGAATATATTTTGCAAGGATGATGTAAAGATTCAATACAGAATGATAATTATATATATAAATTTTCTATTTAATAATAAAAGTTTATTTGGGTACAAAGAATGGCATCAAATTTTTTATTATTATTCAGGTTTTATGGTAGAATTTACTAAATTTATACAAATTGATCCCAATAAGTATATAATAGAAGATGTTAGAAGTAGATACTCAATTGATGATTTAGGTGTTGCTTATGGGGATAGAAGTTTTGAAAATCAGATTAGTGAGAAGAAATCAAAAGATGATGGAATAGTTGATTCACATAAAAGTAGGCAACAGACCCAATTTGAAATATTTTTCAGATCAAAATTTTTCAATAAGAGGTACTTTGGTTTGATAGAGAATAAGAAGAATCACAAAAATGATCATAATGGGATAGATTCCAATAAGAATGGGAAATATAAGAATAAGGGAAGAAGAATTTCATTAAAACAATGTTTAGAGAAGAATTGGAAGTGTTATTCTCATAAGTATATTAAGAATACTAATGATCAGGAAATGTATGATTCTTTTATGAGATTAAGATTAAATATAGAGAAATTAATATTGGAAGATTTAAAGTATAGATTAAAATTTGAAGAAGAAAAGAATAATATGAATAGACCAGATTGTATTCATGATATATATACAGTTTTATTAGTAATATACAATTTAATATTTGATTGGTATATTATGGATTTGAGATCATCTGAAAAGGAACTTGATATGGGGATTAATAAGATGATATATGATACAATAATGAATTCACTAAATAAATTATACTATGAGTTGATAAATGGATTAAACTTAGTGAAATTTGATCTTTTTCAATATAATATTTATTTAATTTTATGGATACAATTACACATTAGAATGGAGTTTTCTTTGCAATTTAAAGATAATTTACAATATTATAAGAATGAATTACTTTCTCAATGCGAAGATATTTTAGAGAAATACGTAAGAATTGAGAAAGAGAAGAATGAAATAATGGAAAAAAGAGAAAAAGGCTTTAATGTTGATGATTATCATGAAAAGAAAAGATTAAATAGTATAATTAGTCCAAATATACATTTTAATCATTACTTTAATTCAAGTTATGACCGTATTTTGAAAAATAAGGTGGATATTACTTATACATATAAAGTAGTTTTGAATGGATTGTTAAGAGATCTTAAAGAAATGAAAGAATCTGAATATATTATGAATAGTTCTCGTTTGTATAAAGTATTATTGGATATAACTCTATTGGAAGATCAAAATCTACGAATACTATCTAGAGATATTCTAATTGGATTTGCAAGGCAGGAAAAACCTTGTCTGAAATCTTCGTCATCATCTTTGACATTATCTTTACCTTCAGAAGAACAAATTTTACCAATAATGGATGAATCTTCATCTTAGCTTAGGAGCAAGGTAAAATTGCATGTTTCCATGTTCGTATTTATCATTTAGAGGAAATTGTAACCTAAGTGGTACTCCTTTTGAAATACTAATATTCAGAGTAGTACTTAGAGGAGAAGCTTTCGTGAAATAAGAGAGATATCTAAGAGCGTATTTTTGAGAAATTGTGTCATCAGCTTGAATTTGTACTGCTTTAGTTTCATCTGGGCTATCATTAAGAGGGAAATTGAGATCAATTTTTCCATCATCACCATCAACACAAAATTTGATATATTTTCCACTAATTTCAAGACTGACTTCATCTCCAATGCCTGACATGTCTCTAACAATTGATTGAAATAAGTTTGAAGGCATTGTAACATTACATTCATATTCTTCTTCAGGAATTGAAATGTGTTCTTGTTCAATATCCATTAATCTTAATGTACATTCTTTTGATGAAAGAATACCACTATTATCCTCAAAGCACATAGTGATTCTGTTATCCTCATTATCATCATATTTTTTGAGAGTCATGCTTGTATCCTTGTCACAGAATTTCATAAACTTGGAGAGTTGTTGCATGTCCAAACCAAGAACTACTGGTCTATCACATCTATAGTGTTCAAATGCATCCGGTTGTATATTTAAAGAGACTAAGGCCACATGTGAAGAGTCCATTGCTTGAAGATGTAACCCGTCACTATCACAATCTATGTTGATATCATGGCAAAGCTCTTTGAGAGCTTCTGCTATTTTTTTAAATAGCATAGCATTTTGTAATCTAGCTTCAAACATTTTTCTCGAATTAAAACCAAGATACTTTTATTAATTTTATTGCTATAATATTGTTATATTAATTCTTTTTGTTTAAATTTTGTTATTTATTATATTCTATTAGCTTTCAATCCCCCAAGTGTGGGGTTTTATTACTTTTTTTACCTGTACTATTGTATTAAACAGTGTTGGCGCCAAAATGCCGACTAACTATTGCATGAAGGAGGAAATGAGTTAAGAGAATAGATGAAGAGAAAAAAGAGCATATTAGAGAAGATAAATAAAAGTATATCTATTTTTACATGGGTTGATAGGATAGATTTTAAATATACAATTTTGAGCATGCAAAGACGGTTGTTGAGTCATTGTTAGAAAGTCCTGGGGAAGTTAGATAAAATAAGGACTTTCTAAAAAAAAAAAAAACTGACCTTCTTTTATCAAAGACTTACATTATAACTGTAAAATAACTCTGTTCAAAATTTTTAGGTTAAGAAAAAATAAACTTTGGGGAAATTCTATTGAGTTTATGCATAACTTGTTACGCGCCAAGTCCAAATTGGAGTAATTATTATAATCGAGAATTTAAAAGTTTAAATAGAAAACGGTGGATAATAAAGAATAGATTAGATGAGAAATTGTGCCAAATAAATTTAAAAGAAATTACTTAATGTGTTTAATTGAGTGGCAAAGAGATAAAATCTCGATATAATTGAGCAACAATAAATTTGTATTAATAAAATGTCGGTATATTATCGCTTTTTACACGAGAAGTCTGATTCATACCGTGCTATTGAGTTGAATGTAAATTCAGTCAGAACTTCAGATTTGAAGATGCTTGTAGCGGAGCATGCAGGTTTAGGTAAGGAATACATGAAACTTTTTGATTTAAAGGTATTTGACAATGACGAAAAGGAGGCATTTCCTGACGATAAGCTACTGCCAATTTACTCCAGAGTAGTAATACAGCGCATACCTTGGAGAGAGCTTAAAGAGATACATCACGAAGCTCAGAGAAGTATTGCAGAAGGTGAAGAGACAGAAGTTGTAGAAGAAGCAAAATTAACCTTACCCTCAGAATATATCTGCAAGTTATGTGGATTTCCGCTGTTAAATCCAGTCCTCATAAAATGTGCTGGGAGCTGTGGTGCATCCGCCTGTAGGGATTGTGTAAAAAATTATCTTGAGCAAAACAAAGCAGTAGCTGTTAAACCTTGCCCTTCCTGCGGACAAAGATTTAGAGGCAGTGTACCTAATAAGAGCCTTGCTAATGTGTTGGCAACCATAGACTGGGATAAGTTTAACTACCCTGTTAGAAATCCAGAAACAGATGTTTCCAAGGATTCAGATAATTTAATCAAACAGCAGGATTCTAGTATTTCTGGAGAAGCAATAACACATGATTCTGCTTCTTTAACAAGAACAGATCCTGAATTAGATGACTTCAAGACAAATGCAGAAGGGAATGTATTGTTACAAGATTTAAATCCCGAATCAAATTCTATTCCAGTGATAGAAAACATTCAAAAAGATGTATTTGTCGCAAAAACTAATCACAATGAGACCTCAGAGCCCAATCCTGTATTACCACAAGCTTCTACTGTTGACCCGGTATCGAGAAGTGAAGGAAATGTAGCTCCATCCAATATTCAAATTACCATAGATGAAGGCACAAGTATTAATTCTTCCAATACAACCACAAACTTAACAGCTGAGTCGAAACTACCTTCTTCACCTACAATCACTGGTTTGACTGAGCAGAGCATTGAAACCTCAATTCCTATACTTCCAAAGGCAAAGACTATTCCACCTTCCTATTCTAGTTTGCCTGCTCCTATATTACCCCCTCATCATGCTTCTCCTCTTATAGCTACTCACCAGCTCCCACCACATCCTGGTATTCATGCACCTCCATATATGGACCCTTGGAACATACAAGGGCATCCCTATCCAGCATACGCCCCAGATGGTGCGCCACATCATTTTCATCCAGGATATCCCGGAGCCCCATTTCCACAGCCAGGCCCTACACACCCATATGGATATATAATTCAGCCCCCAAATATGATGAATCCTGGAATGTTTGGTACTCACTTTCAACCATTTGTAGAGACAATTTTGCCGATTTGTGGCCCTTACTTAACAGAAGAACAACAAATCCAGCTCGCAATGTCATTTCCCATGTTGTCAGAAGAGAACTTTGAGCTAATTAAGCAAGCCCAACAAAGTGTTAAAGACATTTGGGGTTTACTTCCAAAATCAATTCGCTCTTCTCTTCTTCAGGAAACACAAGATTTTGGAAATCCAAGTGAAAAGAAAAATAAACTATTCAAAAAAAGAAAGGAATATAATTATAATGCCCAAAACAACGGAATTAACAATGGATTAAATTCAGTAAATAATAACAATAGCATTAGTAACTCTTCTCACTCTTATAGTAAGCATCCAAGCCTTAAAAAAAGGTCTGTCTAACTCTAAATTAATCTTTAATTCAAATAACTATTTTCTTTAAAAAAATCTTTTTCTTTTCTTTTTCTTTCGATGTTTCTAGACTATAATGGAATCAAATTCCTTCCTAGACAACTTCTATTTCCTACAGCTACTTTATTCTGAAACGGAAGTGGTCCAACAAATTCCTGTTTGTTCCAATCTACATTTCTTAGAGATCTTGAAGACTTAAATATATAACTGTCTTCTTTTAAAACATCAGCTTCTTTCATTACTTCTACACTTGAGTTACTTGTTATATTACTCATACTTTTACTATTCTTACAAGATCCAGGTTGTCTATATCTTTTTATTTCTATCTCAGAATCAATAGGAACTTCCTTTTCCATGCACTTTCTAGGTTCCGCATATTCTTCCATGACTGAATAACCTCCTCCTGGGCCCATCCAAACAGTCTTGTATTTTAATTTGTTTCCCTTAGCTATCAATAAATTTGATTCCAATTTAGATAAATCTTTAATGCATATTGAATCCAAAGATGAACCTGAAACATCACAGCATTCGTCACCTTTCAGCTCAATTCCAGAGCCAGGCAAGCTTGGGAACTCTCTACTTTCTCTCTTGGTGGTCATTGTTTCAACTTCTAAATCTTTGTTTGTTCTTGGAATATATAATACATTACTTAAATTAGAACTTTCATTCTTGTAATACCCTTTCATATTAAATTTTGTTTCTAAAACCTAATAATTAATTTCTTAAAGAGCAAACAAATATTACTTATTTACGTTAGTAACAAATCAGAAATAAATTTTACTAATTATGCTAATACTGAAATGGACTAAAAAATCTTTTCATTTGAAAAACTTTTATACCCAAACCTCTACCTTTCCAAGTATGATGTGAAAAAAGATAGAAAAAAAATTGACATTTGTGTCCGTTATTTTAATAAAATAATCCAAAACACAATGCAGAAGTTAAAGTGCGTTAAATCGTACTATTATAGTTATTTGTTCTTATTGCCACTATTAAATGTGGAAAAATACGTCTCTAAATTAAGATTAAATTCTCTAAATAGCTATATCATTGCTTGCATGCAATTTTCTTAATTGAAAATTCATTAAAATTTTAAATTCTAGTATATTTTAGTAAAATATATCTTTGATTATTTTCATTTTCTATCTATTTTTGACAACCTCAAAAAACACGTGTGGCGCCAAAAGGCTCTGTATAACAAATCAATTGTAAAATAAGGAAAAAAAAGTTACTTTGATAATTTGATAATAAATTAAAGGTACTTTAATCAGAGGAGTTATTTTTTAAGTGCCTAATTTAGAATTTGTTCTTTGGAAAAACAATTTACACATTTTCTTAAAGAATGTCTATGATAGTTAATAGTGGCTTTAATGGGGTGTTAAGTTCGTCCAGCATTGCAGCTGGGATACTTAAAAGAAGCTTTCCATTGGTATTTTCAAGATATATGAGCTCAAAATGTGAAGGTAAAAAGTCTTCAAATAGGAGAATTACTGGTGACATTATAGGAATCGATTTGGGAACTACAAACTCTTGCACTGCCATTTTAGAAGGCACTCAACCGAAGGTACTAGAAAATTCGGAAGGAATGAGAACAACTCCTTCTGTTGTGGCTTTTTCAGAGGATGGGCAAAGGTTGGTTGGTGAAGTTGCAAAAAGACAAGCAATCACGAACCCAGAAAACACAGTTTATGCAACTAAGAGATTAATTGGAAGAAGATACGAAGAGGAAGCAATAAAGAAAGAGCAGGGAATTTTGCCATATAAAATTGTAAGGGCTGATAATGGAGATGCTTGGGTTGAGGCCAGAGGTGAGAGATATAGTCCAAGTCAAATTGGTGCTTTTATTCTTGAGAAGATGAAAGAAACTGCTGAAACTTATCTCGGAAGAAGCGTGAAGCATGCCGTTATCACTGTACCAGCTTACTTTAATGATTCTCAACGACAAGCAACTAAGGACGCTGGCTCTATAGCAGGCTTAAATGTTACAAGGATCATTAACGAGCCAACAGCAGCAGCCTTAGCATATGGAATGGAGAAAGCTGATGGCAAGACAATAGCTGTTTATGACTTGGGAGGAGGTACCTTTGACATTTCTATCTTAGAGATTCTAGGGGGAGTTTTTGAAGTGAAGGCAACAAATGGAAATACTTCACTCGGAGGTGAGGATTTTGATCAACGAATATTGAATTATCTAATTCAAGAATTCAAGAAAACCCAGGGAATAGATTTAAGTCGCGACAAGCTTGCATTGCAAAGATTAAGGGAAGCTTCCGAAACTGCAAAGAAAGAGTTGAGCAGTAAAATTCAAGTTGAAATTAATCTTCCTTTCATTACTGCAGATGCTAGAGGTCCTAAACATCTACAAATAAAACTTACTAGAGCTAAGTATGAAGAACTTGTTGATGATCTACTTAAAAAAACTATTTCTCCCAGTGAGAAATGTATTCGTGATTCTGGAATACCCAAGGAAAAGATTAACGAGGTTATTTTGGTTGGAGGAATGACTAGAATGCCCAAAGTTTCAGAAACTGTTAAGAGTATATTTGGAAGAGAACCATCAAAGGGGGTTAACCCTGATGAAGCCGTTGCAATGGGAGCTGCAATCCAGGCAGGAGTTTTAAAAGGAGAAATTAAAGACCTCTTGTTGCTTGATGTTACTCCTTTATCTTTAGGTATTGAAACTTTGGGTGGAGTTTTTACTCGATTAATCAATAGAAATACTACAATCCCTACCAAGAAGAGTCAAGTCTTTTCTACTGCTGCAGACAATCAAACTCAAGTTGGAATCAAAGTTTTCCAAGGAGAAAGAGAGTTTGCTGCTGACAATAAGTTACTTGGACAGTTTGAGATGATGGGAATTCCTCCAGCTCCAAGAGGAGTTCCTCAAATTGAAGTTACTTTTGATATAGATGCAAATGGAATCATGAATGTCGGTGCGATTGACAAGTCAACCGGAAAGAAACATGAAATCACCATCCAATCTTCTGGTGGCCTTAGCAGTTCTGAAATTGAAAGAATGGTTAGAGAGGCTGAAGAATATAGAGTCCATGATCAAGCTAAGAAAGAGCTCATTGATCTAAAAAATGATGCTGAATCATTTATTTATTCTGTCCAAAATCAAATCTCTTCTTTGGCTGACCAAATGACTCCCCAAGAAAAAGAAAGTTTAGAGTCCAAGATTTCTGATTTACAATCCATTTTGCAAGATTCTTCTCAGTCTGGCGAAATCGAATCCACAGTTCAGAATATCAAAACACAACTCGAAGAGCTTAAAAAGGCTTCTTGGGCAATCACACAGAAGGCATATAAACCAAGTAGTTCAGAAAACCAGCCTAATGAAAATAATACTCATCAAGAAGATAACACTACAGAGTTTGAGGATTCCGATTCTTAATTCTATTTCCTCGCACGCTTTCAACTTAAATTCGAGTAAAATCTTAACTTTATTTATATTTCCGTTCAGATATTCATTATTAGAGAAGCTTGCAAACTTTTCATTCAAACTATACCTAGCAGCTAATAGATTTTTTTTGTCTATAAATGTATTATATAGAAAAATAAGTTGTTTTAAAATTGAAATTTTAAAATATTTAGCAAATATAGATATTATTTTCCACCTTCATTAAATTTCTTCCTAATATTTTATTTTAAATTAAATATTATTTGAGACGATATACATGCAGATTGCATGTTGCATGCAGAAATCCGAGCATGGAGATGCAAAAAAATATGAATTCTGTATAATGTAAAGTCTAAAGATGTAAAATTGATATTATTTGCAACATTTATTTTTTATTAAAGAGAAATCAATTGGATTAATTCTTGAAAATTAACAATAATTATTATTTATTATTTGGGTCTTGAAGAAAATAGATTAGAATAATAACCCTCACCATTTTTTTAACATTAGAAAGTATAAGCATTGAAGATAAATACATTAATAAGCTAATCTAGTATTTAAAAACTAGAGATATTGCTATTGTACAAAATAATATTAATGAATTCATTCAAATAATAAATTGAATAAGAATAATATATAGTTTAATAAAAAGGCTGAATGCAGCTAAATAGGTATCGAAATTAAATCACTGTATTTTATTTAAGTTAAAATTGCACAGGAAAAAAAATGATTTTTTGGCTAAAGATTTTGTTTCTGACTTTTTTAAGTCTATCGAAATTAATTAGTAGTCAAATAGAGGAAGTTGACGCTTCAAATTCATCAACAGGGAATACAGGAATACTTCCAAGCATTAATGAATCTTCAATAGTTGAAGAGCTACTATCTTCAGAAAGGCAAGAAAACTCGAAAGTAAAATCTTCACTAAGATCTTTACAGGAAAAAAACAATGCAGAAAAGATTTTAACTTCTGGGAAAAAACCTGAAAAGGGATGTGTCTTGTATGTGTATACACAAGATTCTCCAAATCCCACAGAAATTGTTGATGGGGCCTCTTCCTGTCCAGAGGAAGGAAATAGAGGGTATATGTTACAAAGTGGAGTCGAAGATGAGGCAATTGCTGGGCCATCAAACTCAATTGTGGAGATTTCACCAATAGTTCAAGAATATTTTTGCATCAAAAGATCTAACTGTATAATTGCTATATCTGGAGTAGGGTTGACTCAGGAAGACTCAATTTACCTAATAAAAAACGAAGAATACTCTCCAGAAAAGAGTCAAAAACAAAAGAGCCTATTGTTAGGGGAAATTTTAAGGAAATGCCCTCCAAGCAAAGTTGGTTTGGGACCATTTAGAGGAATAAAATCATATGAAACTTCAGAGCTTGTTATTGGAGATAACATGCAAAAAGCTGCAACGAGACAAGCAACAGTAATTTTTAACGTAAATGGGATAAAAGAAGATGCTGAAAGCTTTACAATTTGTTATTCTCCTGCAAGAAGTAGAGCATTTAGAGAAACGATGAATCCAAGATTACATATTTATTCAGCTGGTATATTAACTACGAAAGAAAGTGTATCATTTAATTGTGATTTCGAACTCCAAGGCTATCTGGGATGTGGATTCAGTTCTCTCTTAGACTATCAAACAAAGACCAGATTTGAGCTTGGAGTAGGTGAAGAAACGGTTGTAGGATCAAGACCAGAAAGTGACACAACTACAGGAGTAAAAGGAGAAGGACATTATATATTCTTTAGAGCACCTGGATACATGCCTGGAGCTTCAGCAGTTCTGATAGGAAACCCAAGAGTATATAGCTTTGGTAGTCACTGTCTAACTTTAAGGTATTTTATGGCTGGAGCAGATGTAAATGTATTAAGAATATATATGGCATCAGGCCTTTTAAATTCGGCTCAGCTTGATGGAAGAGGAAACCGTTTAGGAAGCAAGATCCCAAAACCTACGTTGCATTATGGACGCCCAAATTGGCTTGTAGTGGGACAGCAAGGTCCTTCATGGCAGTTTGGAGGATTTGAATTCTACTCAGATGGAATTACTCCTTTGAGAATAATTATAGAGGGAGTTGGAGGTCGTTCAGAAGATAGTTTGATAGCTCTGGACGATTTTATCGTTAAGTCAGGACATTGTTCAAACGAGGTTATGAGATCCAGTGAAAGAGAGGATCAAAGATGTGTATGGGGAGAAGTTAGGTTGGTTAGCAGTAACTTCACAACTGAGAAATCTTGGGAAGTAGAAGGAGCTTTGGGTTGTAGTGGAAGAACCTACTCTTTCAGTAATATTAATGTGAATTCTGAGATGGTTTCAACCACTGACTGGATTCCCTGTTGTCTGCCAGGATATGGAAACTATACCGTAAGCTTGCATGATTCCTATGGGGATGGATGGAATAACGGAAGTTACTTAGAATTCAGGTTCTTTGACGAAGTGATTAAGGTTGGAGAAGGATTCAAACAGGGATCATCTCACAAGACTGAGCTGAGCATTGGTTCAATTCAAATAGAAAAAGTTGAGGCAGATGAGAAGTCAATTAGGGCTACAATAAGGTCCAACAGAGAAGGTGTGGATGTTTGGTGTGGAATAACCAGAGCTGGGAGTATTACCCCATCAGTTTCATTACTTAAGAAGCATGGACAAAAAACCCCAAAATCTCTTAGTATAAAGGAGAATCACACTTTTGTGATCTCATCATTTTCCAAGGGTGAGATAAGACCTAATACTGAATATGATCTTTTCTGCTTTTCCGAGGAAGTTAGCAGGATCATTAAGAATAAGGACAGAACAGATAGTTCCAATGCAGATGACCTTTCTGTAGAGTATTCTAGAGTAAGGGTAACTACAGACTCGAAAAGTCCAGAACTTGAAATAAAACAATTTAAGACTTTAGAAGAAAGTGTTGAACTTACTTTGAAGATGGATGAATCTGGAACAATTTGGTGTATGGCAGATAAAAATAACAACTTTTCAAGAATAAGAGGGGATTTATCTATAAAAGACCACCATATTGATGAACAGAGGCTTGTAAAGCTTATAAAGAGTAGTGGAGTTGAGAGAAATGTCTCCAGCAAGGAGATAAGCGGAGATATTAAAATATCAATAAGGAATTTAATTCCATCCACAGAGTATGATGTAGTCTGCTTGGCAGAGGATTTAGCATTACCAAGGTCAAATAGAATAAGTTTTTCAAAAGTTTTAACAAACTTAACAAAAAGGATGACTACTAAAGACAGAGTTCCGAAGATCGAGATCTCAAGGATTGTACCAGAACTTGGAAGATTTAACATTGTTGTTAAAAGTGATACTCCTGGAACCGTTACCTGTGTGGCTACCTTACCAGAGGGTATGTATCCAAGTCCAAGTGAAATAGAAAAGTATGGTCAAAAGATCGAACTGAGTGATCCTAAAGAAGAAAAGCAACTTATTTTGAATGGAATTGAAGGTAATCAAAAGTATATTATTTATTGTATGGCTCAGAGTAGGACAGGATTGACTATGACCATTTCAGATATATGGGCAACAGCAAAGGATATTTCTTCTTTTGGAAAGTTCTGTGATATTCCTTCATATCCTTCAGAAGTAGAAAATGGAATAGAAACTCCTTTTGATCCCCTGACATATTTAGAAGAAATGAAAGTTAGGAGTTATTTTGATTCAGTAAAGGAGAGTGTCGGGTCAAAAGGTCCTTATAGAATCACATTATTTGTAAATAAAACTGAGGCCTATGAATACTTCGATTCACTAGACCTTCATAAAAGAACACCTGAGCTTTATCCAAAGCCAGACCCTCCTAAGAGATTTGCAAGAGTTAGATTCGGATCCTGTAATGAGACAGAAAACATGAATAATCCTCTTGGACTTAATGGTCTTTACCACCAGTGGAAAGTTGGACCCATTACTTTAACCAAAAAAGAGACTGAGAATATTGGTTTATGGAATATAGCAGATTCAAATAGTACTACGAAAGGAATTGAAGGAACTGATGAAGCTACAACTATGAAACATTACCCAATTTCCGAGCCAAGGCCAGTAGAATGTGATGGTTGGAATCCTACAGGACCCTTTGGAAGGAGGTTGGAGCAAATCATAATAAATGAAGGAGGTAACACCAGATTTGCAGTCCCAATGCTAAAACTAGGAGAACTTTTGGAACAGAATACTTTGGATAAGATAGTATTCGAGACTTGTGGGAATTATCTTCCCAGGGACCAAGTAGTTGGAAAGGACTATGTTAAGTTAGGCCCAATCATTTATCAACCCCATAATGCAACTTCTGGAGATAACATAGAAGTTCAGGAAACAGAAGACAGAGATGAAGAGGATGATGATGAGGATATGGAGCCAAAGCTATGGATTGGTTTGAAGACAAAAGAAGGAAACCAGTGCCCAATCTTTTTTGAATTGAAGGCACCCTATACAACAGTAGAGAGTATTAGAAATGGCCACGCCAAGATAGAGTTTGACAGAATGCATCAAATGCTGGTAAATAAGATTTGGTACGACGGGACTTCATTCAAGAGCCTTCAGGATCTGGTTAATTCCTATAATGAGGCCAAAAACAGTATTGAGAAAAACAAAAGTTTAGGTAATGTATTCAACAACCTTCCTTTGAATCTGGTTACTCCAAATATTCTACAGGAAAGAAGAATTCAAAGAGAAAAACAGATGAGCGAATTAAGACTAAGAAAACTTCAATTCCTTGAAATGTTCAGTAGAGGAGGATTGGAAACAAGGGCCAAGCCAGAACACTGTGAACCTGGAGGAAGAAGGTTCCAGGTTTTTAAGTCCCCAAATAGAGAGGCATACACAGTTAATTGGATTGGTTGGGAATTGACTTTAACAAATGATCGAGATAGTGGACTTAAGATATGGAATTTAACATTTTTGGGTAGAAGAGTAGCTTTTGAAGTTGCAATGGTAGATGCAATGGCTCACTATACTGTATTTGAAAGACAGTGGTTCTTCTTAGATAGCTGGTATGGAGGTCTGGGTACAGCAGCTAGAAAGGTTCATCCTGGTGTTGAATGCGCAAACACTGCTCAAACCATCTTCTGGGATAATAGTGCTTGTATCTTTGAGCTGGATTCTGGAAGGCCAATCAGATCTCACTGGAAATCTGGAGGTATCAAAGATGCTGCACCTCTCACTAGTCTAATTATCAGACAAATTATTACAGTCTCAAACTATGATTATATTGTAGATCTTATTTTGTATAATCAAGGATCATTTGAAATGGGAGTAAGCTTTACAGGTGAGTTATATGCAGGTTTGGAGGTACCATACTTCTCTGCCAAACAAAAGAAGTATGGGACTCAGATTACTCCATCTGGACAAATGGCAGCTCTACATTCCCACTTTGCTGTTTGGAAGGTTGATTTTGACCTTGGACCAGATTACACAGATAATTCTGTAGCGTGGATCAAAGTAAGGAGAGATCCTGAAAAGGAAGGACACCATATGTTGGAAAGAATTATAGCAGAGAGAGAGACTAATGCCTACTCTATGTTAAATGAGACTCACCACCACCCTAAAGCTTACTTCGTTATTGATGAAAAGTTACAGACTTATGGCAATGTTGGTGGTTTTATGATCAAATCTATAAAATCTATTGCAGACTTAATGCCTGAACACGAACTTTACTCAGGCCCTGCATCTTGGTCAAAGTATGATTTGGCATCCTCGGTATTTAAGTACTCAGAACTGGATGCAGATCTTCCAAGAGACAATAAATTTGCCACAAAACCAGCTGTAAGATTTGACTCCTTTATAATGGATGATGAAGTAATCAGACATAAAGACGTTGTAACATGGGTCACATCAGGAATTTGGCATATTCCAACATTGGAAGATGTTCCTCAAACTACTGCACTTGGAAATACTTTAGGATGGTATGCAAGGCCATTTAATTGGTGGCCTATGGACCCTAGTATTACTCTTCACAATGCTGTCAGAGGAGACTTTGTTGACCCAGGTACATGTGCACTCCAAAGAAAAGGGAATCTGTTCCAACTCATCAAGGTGGTTGAATAAAGGATTATTTTGTTTCAATTTACACAAGAGAGAACTATAGTTGCGTTATTATAACTATAATAAATTGTTAAATGTTGAGCTACTCGTTTTAAAGGGTAGCCTCGATTGATTTGTTAGAAGAACAAATTTAAATGTTTTATTCAAAATTCATTGATTTTAAAAACAGATTCGTAATATTTAGATTTAAGTTAGGGTATGTAAGTATAGTTACTATTTTTAGGTGCATCTGTGCTTGTGAAATATATATATATATATATATATATATATATTCATACCACCTCTCTGCTATTGTTAATATTTAGAGCATGAATTTTCCCTATTCATGCCTTAATATATTAAATCTGCGGTTTTTTGATATCTAATTTTTCTTAAAAAAATTCATTAATCGAGGAAGGGGGGAACCATTTTTATGCATTAGCAAAATTTTAGATACCAGATGCCGGTATAGGAATATAAAGAGGGTCAAAAAATTTGAAAAATTAATTAAAAGAAAAAAAAAAGAAATTTAAAATTAAAAATCATTTTCTCTCTTTTTTAGTTTAAATTTTAAAAATAAACTACTTTTTGATTTATGTTTATATTGTTTCTATTCTCACATTCTTTATTGAAATGAGAAGAAACAATCCTGATCAGAAAATTACGGGCTCCGATAAAAAAGAGTTCAGGTCCTCCAAGGATTCCGTTATGGTTTATGAAGAAGATGATGATGATGATGAAAATGAATCTGAGACTGAGAGGGAGAACAAAAAAAACACTAACAGTAATACTAGGGCTATAACAAAGGGATGCAGAAAGGAAAAAGAGAATTGTAAAGACAAAGAAAATAGGGAACCCAAACAAGAGAGCTTTGAAAGCGATGAAAGTGTCCACCTCTTAATAGAGGAACACATGGATTTCAAAGCATCTCGGGAAAATTATAGAAAAGAAACAGATATTCAAGACAAAACGGAAAATGAACTTATTCAAAACTTAAAGAAAGAGGCAATGAATTCGTTTTTAGAGATAAAACGAGATCTGCTTGAACAGTACTTAGAGTTTAGGAATCAGATATTTAAGGGCCAAAAGTCATTCAGAGTTGTATCTCAAATAGCAACAGCAAATCTGCTTCTAATGGGCTCATTAAACTGCATCTTTGGACTAGTCTCATTAAACTTGCTCGCAGTACTCATTTCATTATACATCATGTCCATTTCCTCCGTGATTTTAATGCTTGAATTATCTAAAAAGAAGCGTATCAAACGTATAGTTGTTTTCGTCCGTACTTGGTTTAAGTTTCTGGACTTATCGGCTGGAAGAGGATTTCTACAAATTCTGTTGTGCACTATTTCTTTGTATTTAACTCAATCTACATACTTCTCACTCATGTCACTATTTGTCGGATTTACAGGACTACTTAACATAATATTTGGGATATTAGCGGCGTTTAAGCTAAGAAAGATAATAAATATCCTTAAATACTATGGAAGCAGGGATTTGGAAGATCTAGGTATTCATGATCAGAATGAAATTTCCCAAACTGATCTAGAAAACATTAAAATCAATAAAGACCAAGATCCCGAATACAAACTTAGGAAGATCCATCGTTTGTTTAATGCTCTGGATGAAGACGGAAATGGTAAAATTGACCGGGATGAACTATATGATGGACTAAAGTCATTAAATTTTCCTTTTAGCATTTCAAAGAGTGAGGTTGAAGTAATATTTGATCATTTGGATAAAGATTCTAATAATATAATTTCCATTCAAGAATTTGAACATTGGTTTATCTCAAAGAAATGCCCTTATTTTATACTATAACTAGAGATATACATATATAAAGGCAAAGCTATACATGCATAAAATAATATATAATTAAGAAAAGGAAAGTATTTCCCAGATTCCCTTCTTAATATTGTTAAAGAAAATAAAATGTTACCATATTATAATATAAAAAAAAAAAACCTTTTTTTTGCAATTCTAGTATTACATATATACTAAATCTCCTCTTAGCATTATTTTCTCATTCCAAAGTCCTAATGCTAAAATTCTTAGGGTTTTCACAGGATCCAGTTTTGAGTCATCTTCACTTAGTCCTTTATTAAGGATCCCCTCTAGTGGTTGTTCGTTAACCTGAACTTCCAGAATCCGCACTTCACATTCGTCCGTTCTCAGGCTTGACAATTCTGAAAAGTCATTTCCAAGTAAACTTATTGCGACATTGGAAATTACAGGGCTGAATTTTCCAGAAAATAAAGTAATGTGAGGATGCCCGCCCTTTCTAAAAGGCAGTAAGGACGTCAATAGTAAAGCTGATTGATTATTAGTTGCCTTTGAATCGTCTTTTGAATCTTCCCCACTTGATTTTTTTCTTGACCTATTTCTTCTACCTTTTTTAATCTTATTTCCATTTATTTCACCCTCATCACTTTTTGAGTTACTATCCTTTTTTGCTAAAGAAATAGTCGTTTTTCTGTTAATTAAAATGTCATAATTGTTCTCATTTGTTGGAACCTCAAGCAAATTTTTCTGGGAAGAAACTGTCAAGAATGCCAATTTCCAGTCGTGGATATAAATTAGGTAGGAAACTTGAAAGTTATAGCTCCTACCAATATAAGGCATGGAAAACAAAATCATCATATCAGAGATAATTTGGCTGTCAAGTAAAGATTCAACATTTGAAACCTTTTCAGTGTTTGAACCAGTTTTATACCGAAAGAAACAGCAAGTAATGTGGCTTACTTTCTTTGGAATGTCTCCAATATTTATTTCATCATGATTCCCCTTCTTAGAATTGTACTCTCTAATCACCTTGATCAGGGATTCTTCGTGTTTATTCCAAACCTGAATGATTGTTTCAATACTTGATTTGTGGTTATCAAAACCAATTGCTGTAAATCCATACTTACTTCTTACTTGGGATAAATAATCACTCAACTCACCTCTTGTAGTAACTTCCAAATCGAATGGTTTAATTGTGAATTTATCTGTTAAATCATAATAAAGTTTTCCCAAAGCAACATCTGAACCCTTAAAGGGGATATTCTTGCATAAAGAAGTGATATTTGAATAAATGTTATCAGCCATGTTACTATTTATAGGTTCTGGAAGTACATGAATTAATTTTGAAAGTTCCTCAAGATTGGACATAAATCTATCCATCAGTTTTTCGTTATTTCTTGGATTAGAAATATCCACACTATTTACTACATCAGGTAAATCCGAGATCAACGAATTAAAAAAAGGTTTTGCTTCGCTACTTAATTCAGAAAAGAACTCACTATCTTTATCTTTGAGTCCAATTATTCCTTTGAAACCCAACAATTCCAAGGTTTCCTTTGAAAGAGTTGAATCAACTACTTTGCCATTTAACTGTAAAACCTTGATAGTTTGAGAATATATAACCAGAAAATGAAGCAGAATACTTACATTTTTCTTGGAAAATCCTTTAAGAGTACTATGACTTGTTCTTCTAATCATTCTTAAAATAGATAATATTACATGTTCCTTGCTAAAGATATATTTCCAACCTGCTTTAGACTTATCACCAGTGTTTTTAGAATTCTTAGAAATAAATAATACAAAAGCTCTATATAAAGTAATATCACTCAATTTAAATTTGCTTTTGAAATCTCCACTCATCTGAAGAAATACCTCTGGAGTATGATTAACATCTACAAGAACCAATAATTTCAAGTTTCTGTAACCATCATAGACGCTTTTCAAACGCTTAATCCATTCAGAAGAATCATGAGTTTTTGTGGAGTCTTCGTTTCTACGTTCTTCAACTATTTTTGAGCACAATTTAATGAATGATTCAATTATAAGATCCATACAATTCTTTGTTTTTTTGGAAAACTTTTGAAATTTTTCTTCAGACAGTTCATAAAGTGAATTATTGGGTAGTTGGGAATTTTTAGATTTATTTGAGGCTTTATCTGATATTAATGTATTATAGTTCCATTTAGATCCATTCATTAAACTCTGGGCACATCCATCTCTAGACACATACAAAATCAAATCAAATCGTTCATTTCCAGAAGAATCTTCATTAGAAGGAACAACAAGTGAGTAAACAGACTCATCCTCCATATTAAACTCAGTAACACGTTCACCTGAGATTAATGCGGAAAAATAATAAGAATTAGTATGTTTACTCAGTATTGTTTTTATAAGTGATTTGAGTATGAATGATTTACCAGATCCAGGAATTCCAAAAGGTAGAAGAAAAGTAGATTCTAGTCTTAGGTCCTTAAAAATAGCCTTTTCAGCGAAATGATCAGTAATTTTGCTGGGTGTCTTTGAGTCATTCTTTGTTTCACGGTGATAGAATGCATCAATTACATATTTTAAGTCATTGGAGCCAAAAACTGCATACATTAAATGCTCGAAATCCCTGATATTAATTACGTGACCACTTGGGATGATGCTTTTAGTACTAGTATTAACCCAGGGAAGAATCTTTGGGAGAATCTCTAGCTTTCTGACAAGCTGTTGATTGGCATTTAACTTACTGTACTCTGTAATCCCCACTTCATCAACAATAATTTTGGTAGTTTTATTAATTAGATTGCTGACTAAATTTTTAAATTGACCCAGTGAACTTTTTCTGAATGTAGACATCTTAATACTATTCTCGGTAAAGGTAAAAATAACTTCTTTTTCTGAATTAGACGATGAGTTAAGTTCATTAAATATGGTTATTTTGTAATAGTTATAAAGCTGATCTCTTCCCTGTGTTATATCATTGTCAAATATATGTCTGATATTCACAAATATATGATAGTTTGGTTTTATATATGAATGGCCATCCTCGGAGTCGCTTGAATTAATATTCAAATAGAATTCACTAGAATCTAGAATCCAAGTATCAACGCCTAGAGAAAAATCTTGAGAAAGCATATTCTTGATTTCTACCCAAGACCAGTTTAAAGGAGGAATCAATAATTCAATAGTAGATCCAGATGGAAGGTTTCCAAGATTTTGAAGCTGAACATTGGGTTGTCCATATAAACAAGGTTGGTTCTGATTGCAAAGATTAAAATTAATACCGGTAATCTTACTAGAATTAGAGATCTGAAACTCCATATCGGAAAGAAAGCTTGAATATGAATCAAAAAAGTATCTGACTAGCTGCACAGAATCGATTTTCTTAGTCTCGAGACTCAGATATGCTATTTTTGTTAACAAGTATATGGACGAAGATAGAAACAATTGCTTAAAAAATATAAAGTCACTCTCCATTTGGTCAGTAGCTTTTTGGTCAAAAAGGTTATACATATTAGAGATTTGTCTGCAAGTTCTTTTAAAATCTTTGTTAATTTTATTAAAAAAGTCATCAGTTGTATTTTGGATCAAAATGGCCAAATATTTATACACTGAAAACCAAAAATTGTCAGAAACGAATTTCAAAAAAGATTCACTTTCTTCATGTGTGTTTAAACTGGCCAAATTATATTTATAAGGTACATTAATTACAAAATTTTTTATGACTATGTTCTTTAAATACTCTCTTATAAGCCTCAAACAAGAAAATCGTATGGTTTTGAGCTTCAATATAGACAATACAACATCTTGATCAGATTCCCCAGTGCTTCTAATGAAATACAGCACTATACCTTCAGTATTTGTTCTTAAAGTAAGTAAAATACTTTGAATAACTGACAAGTAGTCGTCCAGTTCATTTATACTTTGAAAATTGAAGCATTGGTTTTTAAAAGAAAATACTGGACTTAAACTCATACAACAATTTTCAAAAGATCTTTTCTCTAAACATTCTGAGACATTGTGTTGGGAAGGTAAATTAACAAATTGGACAATGTATTTAAAGAAGAATGGATTCAAGTATTGCATTAGAGATAAAGGACTAAAACAATTTTCATACTCGTTTTCCTTTGAAACTAGTCCAAAGAAATAGAGTTGAGGTGAAGTGTTGGAATAATTAACTATATGCTGCCTGTTGGGATTGCCTATTAGTTCACAAAGAAGAGTATTGTTTTTAAGGAATTTTTTCAAATTATTTATTTCTGTTTCATAGTCTTCCATAGAATACATTTTGAACTGCTCCAATGTGTGAAACCAAGAATATGCACTACTCTTTGCAGACTGATATCTATTTTTGTTATAGTATATATTTTCAAGATCACTAATATCACTACAAAGTATGGTTACATTCTTAGAACCAATAACCCATTGGTCAGTAACGTCAAAGTAAGAAATTTGTGAGTTCTCACCATCTAGCTTTTCTAATGCAAGAAGCTTTAATCCCTGCAAATCATCTCCTACAATTGGAGTTATTTGTTCTATTCTTCTTCTATAATCAGGGAATAACTCACAAAACTTCTCCATTCCGCGCTTAAGAATCCAAATATTAATTTGATCAACATTGTAATCAAACCATCTCATCGGTTTGCTGCCTTTCCCGTCATTTTGTGAGAGTTTAATACCCAAAGAAAGTCCTCTTCTTAATAAACATACTAAATGTTTATTTGCACTGAAAAGTTTGTCTTCTGAGCCCCTCGTACCAAAAGTCCCTATATCCCAAATAAAATCCAAGTAATTATTAGTTATAACCGATGCATCAGTTTGGACTAGATGGATAAACTTTTTGTTTGCAACTAGCTCCCTGAACAGAGACTTTGGGAATGAATCTAGATCCATGCTACAAATATCCAGTATCAGTCTTCTAATAAGGATTTATATTGGCTTCCGAATGATTTGGATAAAAAAATGTCTAAATAAATTAAGTTTGTCTCAATTGGCAATTCTCAAACTCAATTTTTGTGTAATCATCTGAAACCAACCCAAAAGAAACTCTTGGCGGTAAAACATTTATTCATGTGTAGAGACAGCAAGAATAAGGTTAAAACTAAAAATTGAAGAAAAACATTTTTATTTTAGATCAAATTATACCGAAACAATATAGAAAACCTAATGAATACACTAAGCAATATTAGAAACTGGTTCCCAATGTTGTCTCAATTTGGGATGGAATGAAATTTTAATGCTCTCATTAACTAAATCCATGTTCAGTGAGTCGCCCAAATCAAACATAAAGTCTGTCTGAGTCAGGGATAAGTCGGGCATAACTTGAGCAATAACTTCAACATAAGTGCTTGGTGGTGGACTCACAGTTTTACATTTGACAGTACCACCATCTGGCGCTTCAAGTATTGCTATTTCTCCTTCAATTGAAACTACCTTTCCAACAAATCTAACTTGTTTGTTGATAAAATTGTGGAGTTCTCCCTTGTTCACTCTTCTATTAGTTGAAATTCGGGGAATTTTAGAATTAACAGTAACGAATGAAATGCAAAATAAAAGCCAATAGTAACTTACCTTGCATTTTCTATTGAGCTTTGCATGATATTTGTGGCTGAAAACGTTTATAAGACTTAGTGGCTTTATGGCTTGTTTGAAATTAGAATTTTTCAAAACGAAATTAATAATGATATTAATAATATATTCCTAGTTTTGTGGCCCGAATTTATTTCCCGTTTTTTTTTTCTGCTATATAACTCGCTAAATACATTAAATGACTGAATAAAAACATATATTAATTGTGGGGAGGCGCCACTTTGAATTAAACATTAATTAGTAAATAAAATTGATCAAAATTCTTTTGAGCAGGAAATAATTAATTAACTGAGAAATTTTAAAATTTTTAATAACTTTCAAGGATTATGCAAAATTTCTTATTCTTTTTATCTGTTTCTTTTCACTTTATTTTTAATAAATTTATAATGTTAAATTAATTAGGCGGGTTTCATCTCTAAGGAAAATGTCAAAAGAGAAAAATACTAGAACGAATACAAATTATTATTAGAAAAGTTTTTAGATTCTAATGGTCTACTAGAAATGCAAATAAATGCAAGTACTGATGATTATAATATAGTGGAGGAAGAAATTAACAACTTAGTTACAAATAAGGCATTTCAGTCCAGCCATCCAAATACAGGATTTCCTGTGGTCTATAACAGAAGAAAATCTGAAAAGAAAAGTGAATTGAAATTAGAGCCGGATCTTTTGAACAAAAGTTTAGGTAACGAAGATTGTGAGTTAGAAACTTCTTTAGCTTTTAACCTGACTCAAAATGACATTTTAAAACTGCGTTGGACAAATCCACTAGGTGAGGATGTTAATGACTGGGATTCAACAAGTGAATCCGATATGAATCTTCACAACCTTAGGTTTAATTTTGAGGGCTCTCTTTGCGATAACTCGAACTTTGAAGAAAAATACAAACATGATGATTTATATTTTTACAAGGGATTACATCATCATTCCAACCAGGGTGAATTTGAAGGATACACTATTCCTGAACTTATGCACCTTTCCAGAAGCAGTAGTGTATCACAGAGATGTATAGCAATTCGAACATTGGGAAATATTTTTCTTAAAATAAGGGAGTACCATATCTTTAATCATCAATTTGGAAAGGCTTACCATAAATATTTACTTGGGTATTTGTTTGGAATACATAGGTGGTACAAGTATTTAACTGGTGATCTCTCAATCCACTATTTGTTACTAAATATGTTATTCCATGAATCTTACGCATCAAGAACTGCAGAACACTCAGTAATTGCCCTGAACAATTTACTTAGTGGTGGACAATTTCCTATGAGACCATTAAATATTGAATTGCTGGAAACCAGCAAATTCAGGCTCTTGAACTGCTTTATGACTCCTTCGGAATTTATTTTTGAACTTTTGGATGAGAAATTATTATATTATCCTTCTTATTTTAGATATAATATAATTTGCCAGAAATTAGAGTTTTTAAATCAATTAGTGCAAAAGAAATTTCATAATGTCAGATATAACGATTTGCAAGACGAAGAGCATCTAATTAAGTTTGACTTACCCGATGGAAGAAGTTTAGAGCTAATAAGAGATACAATGCAGGAGATATTTAAGTATGTACCATCTAGATATGATAATGGTGAGTTATCCATTCAGAAAAACTATTTATTCATTTTTCTATGCAAAATGGCTCAAAATAAAGTTGGAACCCTAGACTCCCGTATATCCAGCATCAACATTATTAGGTTATTTGTTCAAAGAGAGTGTATTTATGACCAGAGTATTTGCCTTGAAACTTTAAAAGAAATGTTAAACTCTCTTGGAGATGAAATTTTTAACTTTTCTTCATCAGAATTAGCTTCCCAAAATTACTCAAACTCTAATATGGCAAAATTACTCTTCAGTTTTATATACTTAATTAGCACGTATCTCCAATCTTTATATAATGGCGATAATGATACAGATAACACATTTATCAAAGCTCAAAAGAATTTTTTAGGCAATTTTCTTATTACACCAGTGCTCCAAATTTTAAGAATTGTTATATTAGCAGTACTAGGTCTTGAAAAACTCCATCCTAGTGGAATAAATGAATTTATTCAATTAAGCTTGGTTGAAGGAACAAAAATAATTGGCATTATGTCATTGAAGAATATCTATTTAGAGGATTTGTCCATTTATTGCAAAGATCTGATTCGTTACTTCGCATTTCTAGATTTGGATGACTCAGTACAATCCTTCATAAGCTATTATTTATATGCTTTAGGTTGCAATATATTGGTTTTTTCTAAAAACCATGAAATTGAACACGAACACTTACAATACATTCAGGTTTTGAACCAGTTTATAGTAAAAATTAATGAAAAGGTTAAAATTTTCAGAAAAGAATTATCTATTGTCAGCTATGAATACTTTAACTTAGTTCTTTTAACAATATCAATTATTAGATTCCAAGTCCTTTTGGCTGAAAGATCAAACTTTGATCTTGTTTCTGATACTTTTCAAACCTACCTTGAACTTATTGGTTTTTGTGAAAGCTTCCTAGAAGCTCATTCAAAACAGGATTTTGACTTGGATTTACTCACATTGGAAAGTGGTTTTTTACTTGAAATTGAAATGGGTATTACAAATATTCAAAGCATTTTAAATAACAATCAAATTTATGGAGAGTTCTACTTTATAATCCTGATCTCAACCTTTTTGAAAGAATTATCTCGGCTATTTCTATTAACTATAAAAGGAAAAGAAATATCTTCTTCATATTTACATGACCTAAAACCATCATTTAATTTACTATCAGATATATATCATAAGCTTTCTAGAAATTACATTCTTTCAAATTACTTAAGAAAAGATAATTCAGACTTTCATTCTGAGGCCAACCAACTTTTCAGCTATGAACTTTGCTACTTTGAAACTTTAAATATGAATGATAGCAAAGCATTGGTTGTTAATAATAACATTGTTAAGAAAAATTCGATCTACTTGCAGCTTTTAAATTCAAATATGTTTCATATATATCTCCTTATATATACAAACATCAATCATATTAACACTACAAACACTTCTATACCCAATTCTTTGGCTCTTAATTCTAGTATAATGGCTTTTAGATATCAACAATTTATTTCTGAAATAGAAAACTCTAACTATGATCCACAAATTTTGTATGAAAAGCTATTTATTCTTCTATTCAGTAGTAAAAACCTCGAGGAGTATTCTCTTGTTTTATTTTGGATTCTCAAATTGGAAGGTCAAATCTCAGAATCATTTTATGAATTATATGACAAATTACTGTGTGAGTATTCATCTTGCTTAAATAATACAAACTTATTAACTGTTAACCCATTTATTTATTCCGTTAACATTGTTTATAATCAGATTATGAGTGCAAACCAACCAATACCATCTTCAGAAAATCCATTTCTTTTCTACATAATGAAGAAAGTCCTAAATAAGCAACTAATTTATATTAATAACTCTGAATTTGTGAAAGACCTAATTATTTTCTTGTCTAAGTATATTCTTGAATGCTCAATAAATCAAATTATACATGTTTCAAAAATAAAAGAACCAGAAATGAATAGTATTAATTTTAAGCTAATAGGGGACACTATTTTAAACTATGTGAAGCTTTCTTTGGAACTTCAGGGCTACATACATATATCTAAAGAAAAACATCTTGAATCTAATAAAAACTTCCAAGACTCTTTATTAGAGATGGTATGTAATTGGGGACAAAACAGAGAAATTGCTAATGTAACAATCTACGATCTAAACAACAAAAAAGACAATGAATGTTTAAGAAAGTTGATTGACTCACTAATTTCAGCTTTCTGCGACTCAAATATGTATTTTTCTGAAGAGTTACTTGATTGCTTTTATTTCTTATTCACTTTTTTTTTGTTTGAAATAATATCAGACAGTAATATTGTATTAAAAATTATATCTGATATTAAAATAATGAAGCTTTTACTATATAATAAAAAATCAGACATTTCATGTATTTTAAGACAAATTAATTCTGTAAATACAAAAGTTAGCGAAGCTTCAGGTGGTGAACAAGTAGTTAATTTAATATCAGAAATTATCACGTTATATAAAGATGCAGTTTCTCAAAGTACTTTATTGGTACTATTACTAATTTACTTCAACTACTTTTCAGGCTCTAAATTAGAATTAATAAAAGAAATTACAAAGCTCTACGAAGAAACAGAAATTGAATACTTAAATCGTATCTTGGTTGGTTTAAACAAAGATTAAATTAAGAACCTCCACTCTAGTATAGAAATACCAAGAATTGATAATTAAAAGTAAAAAGAAATATAATTATTATATTAATTTTCATTTATCTTCTTACTCCCTTTTTCCTCTTATATTTATTATCATCTATAAAATCCTTGTACTTTTTAACATGTTTTTTGTGTTTAAGCTTCCATAACTTACGGCCTGAAATAGCTGGAAGCTCATCTGGAACAGTGCCTTCGTAAGATTTTGGTTCCTTTTTAAGCTGAGACTTTCTTGTTATAATTCTCTTCTTGTTTCCACTTGAATTTCCAGTTTTGTTTATATTCATTGGATTCAAATTATTTTCTTTAACAAATTGAAAATCTTTTCCGCCCATTCTTCGAATAGCTTCCTGTACCTTTTCTGTCAAATTAGTGCCGTGATTACTACTACTAGTATTAGAAAGTACACCATCCATTAAGATATTAGGCATGGAAGACGAAGAATCTACAACAGAATCAGAATTACTGGAAATATTGCTATTAACCATGTCATATAAATATCCAGGAATATTTTTAATGTGTTCTCTTCCTGAGCTTGAAACATTTAAAGCATTGGTAATATGTTTATGGTAAGACTTAAGTACACTTTTATCTCCTGGGTGTTTATTGAAATAGCCAGACTTAAGAAGACGGGTATTATTTAATATAAGCCCTTGTATTTCCTGTAATTTGTGTTTTTGAATATTGCTCTTTGTTAAAATCCTCATACAATCTTCAATTCTATATCTAAAGCAAGCAACTTCTTCGGAAGTAATCTTCAATTTATTCATTTTTCGGTTTTTGTCGTTAAGAAGCTCATCCAATACCTCCATTTCATTGGGTATGTTGCTATTTATAATAGTTATTGAAACTCCTGAAGCACCGCCTCTGGCAGTTCTACCAATATGATGAATATAGGATCTAACACTGCTTGGGCAATCGAAATTGAATACAGAAGCAACTTCCTTGTAGTCTACACCCCTATAGGTTATTGAATTATCTTTTAAAACACTTAATATTGATTCATCCTTTTCGTTGATTGTATCGCTTGTCACCAATATGTCATAGCTTCCTTGGTTAAAACATTGTATTAACATTCTCCTTGTTGCAGCAGGAATAATTGGAGTGAGAACACCACAACTCATTCCAAACCTTTCTAGAAAGACCTTAATTGAGTAGGCTGTGTCAACTTCAGATACAAAAATCAGGCATTTTCGAGGAATTACATTCATCTTCAAAAGTATATACAACATCAACCATTTATCTACCATACTGTTACAAATTGTGTAGTATTCACTCAATATTCCTGAAGTCAGATGCTTTGAATCATTACTTTCTCCATCAAAATCATCTTCTCTTAATTCTGGCTTAATATCAACAAAAATAGGTCTGTGAAGAACCATTTTCTTCAGAGAGTCTACTTCCTTGTTTAATGTTGCAGAAAGTAATATACATTGATACTTTTTATCTTGAGAATTTGGAAGCAAGTCAAGAACTTTGCTCATATCCTTATCATAGCCAAAAGCAAATAACAAGTCCGCCTCGTCAATTACTAAATGAAGAATATTCTGAAAAATAGATTCCTTGGACTTCATTCCTTTGGCACTTAAAATATCTCCAGGAGTGGAAACTAATATGTTATTACGAAAATTACTGAGCCTCAAATCTTTCCCTTTGTGTAACAAATTGTCGTCTGCATTGAAAACTGTTCCAATAGAAATACTGTTCTCACAGAACACCAATAATTGTTCAAAAACTTCATAAGTTTGAATTACCAATTCTCTCGAAGGTACCAAAACTAATGAATATACTTTACTAGCTGATTTCTTTGGCATATTTAATAAGCTGTGGCAAATAGGAATTGCATAAGCTAATGTTTTTCCTGAACCAGTATAAGAGTTAATTAACAAGTCCTTTCCCTCAATAATCTTTTTAATTACCTCAATTTGCACTTTGGTTGGTACTAAATAATTATTATTAGTCAAAGATTGAATAATTCTCCTATCAAGAATAGAGCCATAAAGTTCTGAAAATGAAAGCAATTCATTGCTTTCATTTTCACCAGTCATTGTTCGTTATCAGATAACTAATTAAAACCTTTGCAATTTTTTACCTAAATACCTTTTTCAAAAATTTTTAAAATTTTCTCCCACCCTAATGATGGCTTTTCCTGTCATTTTGAGACTTTCTATATGACCGCGTATAGAGCAGCATGCCGCCAACATACCATTTTAAAGTTTTCAAGAGAATATATTATTCAAAAAAAAAACTATATATATATATATACTGACAAAACATGTTATAATTTAGAAATTTCATTATAATAAAGCTTCACGTAAAACATTTACTAAATTGGCATTATATATTATTTTCCTCTCACATCAATGATGAACAATTTTTTCATTCGTTTTTTCATTCTCGGTCCACCTCTATTTATTATTTAAAGCAATTATAAATTCTTTCTTCTAAAATGCATTAGCTCAACTATTAATTTATTTTTTGATTCTCTCATAATTTGTTGAGTCATCCCTGTTTCAGCGGCAACGCCCTGTAACTAACACAAATCCAATTACATATAAAACAAATGATATTTAATCAAAAATAACCAACTAGAGCAATCTTATTCGTCAACAAATTGAGATGGAAAATACAGTTTAGCATTCTTTGTGATATTAAGACTATAAGCGGTCTTTTTACATACTTAAACTAATAATAATTACTCACAAAATAAGAATCTAATGATTTAGAGTTGTTATTTATAAATTATGAATCTTTAGTCAATATTAAAATTCTTTTGCAAAAGCCAAATCACTATCAATACTTGTTGTCTTAAATTCAATAGGCATTAGGGGCAGATTATCACATAAAAAATATGTTCTACTTCAGAAGAAATATTGCAAAAAAATTAAAATATAAAAATGCATTATTATTAACTTGAATATTAACTAGGCAAAAATTTCTTAATTTTTTTTTATTAATTAGTCATGTTTTGTGTGCATTTATCGGTTTTTTCATGCGAAAAACTTTCACCAACTTATACACTGATATATAACTTTTTATTTATCATTTGAGAAAAAATTTCTAATTTAAATGAAGACACCGACGAACAAATAATCAGCTTGATATTAAATTTCGTCATTTTTACTTATCAGCTTCCCATTTATACGTATAAAAAATGAGTAATGCGGGAGTATGTCTTGTCTCCGCATAATGCATGCAATATCAGGGGTGCATAATCTGGTTGCGAATTGAAAGCAGACTATTCGTGTGATTAGTCTTCAGTTAGTCGCAGAGCAACTGCGTAAAAGAATAATTGGCAAGGCAACAATATTCTTGGTATTATTGAACTGAAGAAATTTATTATTCAAAAGGAGTGCAGAAGAACGGGTTTAGTGTATTAGTTGTCTTTATCAAAACATTTATTAAAATGAATAAGCTCCAGAAGTACTTTGGAGTATTCCTAGTAGGGCTGTTTATCAACACCTTACTAGGAAGTACATCTGTTTCAGCAACTACAGATGCCGAAATTGCTTCAATTGCATCTCTCCCAAGGGAAAGTTGTAGTCTCGGCTTTTCATGTCAAGCAACAGCATCCTGCAGAGGTGGCTCTGTAATTGGTTTATGCTCAAAAAAACTTGCAGATGGTTATACTTTGAGGTTAAGAGGTAAAATTCCAGAATCTTTGAACATATTTGCTACTAAATTTAATGGATTCCCAGTTGACCAAACAAAACTTGTTCTTAGAATTTACGATGACAACAAAAAACCTTTTATTGATATGATAATTACAAAAGAGACTGTCGGATTTTCTCTCGTTGGTGCACTTGATACAATGAATTTTGTTTCTTCAAAACGTATCAGTAAAGGTATCAACTTAGATACAACTCCATCTAATTTCAGAGTTGAAGGAGGAGATAGTTTTGACATCTATCTTTTCTACAGAAACACTTATTTGACGTTCTTATTCAAACATAAGGATGGAAAATACTATGAGGTAGGCAGTCTCTTTATTGAGAACAAAATTATTAGCTCTATTGCTCCGCTCACTGGGCCAATGGATTATAATGTTCACTTCGAGCAAAGTATTGCACTTTCTATTCCTAGTACTTATGTTACACCAGTAATACCTGGAAATCCAAGTCCCCTAATATATTCAGGTCCATATACCATTCGAAGAGGAACTTATGTTGTATATCCAGGTGGTAGCGTTATTGAAGATGGTATTAAATTTGTATTCAATCAAGGAGAAGTTAGTTCAAACAAAGTAAAGCATAAATTTATTAAATATAATGAATCAAAAACTCAAGTAACAATAAGCATAACCTATTCTGGTAATTACAAATATAAATTCAACATTGTAAATGACTTCAAAAAAGAAACTCAAAATGTAGATTTCGATGCATCTTCATTGAAGAATAATCACCTGGGCGCAAATGGTGCTGATATTGTACATTTGGGTTACCTCTTTACCGATGGAAATTTGGTTGTGTGTATTGGTGACACTTGTTTTGCATCAACCAATATTAGTGGTTCTGAAATAGGTAAGATTGAAACCACAGTTTGGTTTACAGGATCAGTAATGTTGAGTATTCCGGATCAGACCTTAGTGGGTTCTGCAGTCGGTAAATACAAGTGTAAAGTTGGTGAAACATCTTGCACTGGTTCTGAATACAGGTTCAAGAACCCATTGTCACCAGGACAAAAATTGGAAATTGAGGGTCTTTATAGTCAAGGTGATTATTTCAAGGCATTTGCATCTACTGCACAAAAAGAGCTCATAGGTGCAATTGCAATGGGTGATTCTGATCATATGAGGGCAGCAGTATTTCTTACAAAAAATTCTGTCTCTTTAATGATGTTCTCAGATAGTGGTATTGCGACAGATTCTTGTTCTGTTTACTTATCAGGAAACAACGTGCTTGACCGAACAAAAGAAATCAAGTTAATTATTGGGCTTTCTAACAGCAATAAATTAGGAGTATCTGGATATTTTGGAAACAATGTATTGTTATTGTGTGAATTAAATTTAGGATCTGCCATAATTAATAGAGTCAGACCAGTTAAGGATAATTTCCACTCTTCAAGCAGTAAATTCACACTCTCCAATGATTATCCTGCTCAGGGTTATGAAGGTATCAGTGGAGGTAGTTCAACTTCTAGAACACAACAACAGGCTGCAAACTGCTATTTGGCAACAAACGGTCAGTGTAATGCAGCTAAAATCGTTCACATGGATGGTTTAGGTTTCGTTAAAGGTACTTATATGACGGTTAAATCTTCATCAGTTACATTTCCATTCACTTTCTACGTAAAGTCATCTGATAACAACTCTGATCAATTAGCCTTTACATTTATTTCTACAGGTAAATTCAGTATGAGGAATGTTAATACACAAGACATTTTCTATACAAAGATTCCTCCAAGTTGCTTGGAAAGAATCTTACTTCAAGGTTTATCTATACTTCTCTCATCAGATCAATCTAGATTATATGCTTCAATTTGTGGTTTGGTACTTGGAAGTGTCCCAACGACATCTTTGAACAAGAAATTAACATTCATTTTCCATAATAATATGAAGGGAAATACTGTTGAAGTCTCGACATTCCCGGTTTATGGTGGTGGTAGTGTCGCCTTGGACTATGAGGCAGAGAAGTACTCTGCCTATTCCAGTAATATTAGAAAGGATGATGATTTATCGTTTGCATCTCCATGTGATGCTAAAAAAGCTATCTCTACCAGCCTCGGAGATTGTTCTTCCTTGATTAATATGAGCACGAGTAAATTAACAAATGGATACTCTATTTTCATTACAGGTACTGTTGAAAAACCATCTTCCCATGTTGAACAAGCCTTTAATATTGGTATTCCTATTGAGAACACTATTCAAGTCTTCAATTTAAAGGCGGATAATGGCCGTACTATATATCAGTTTTTCATCACACAAGATCAACTAGGTTTATCAATCCATAATCCTAATGGAATTGGAGGATATCCTCCTAGTCATGTAGGTGCATCTGTTCCACCTAATGTGAATCTAGAAGAAGGAGCTAAATACAAAGTTGGTATAGGATTCAAAGATGCAGCGATTAATTTATTAATTGAGAATCCATATGGTTCAGGTAAATTTGCCTTATTAAGAAGAACTCTTGTTTCTCAAATTTCAGCATGGGGTGAAACGATATATAACTGCCAATTCACTGGATTTGTACCCATTAACTCTATTGTCCCTGAATTGTTAGTAAAGAGTTCATACAGTTACTCTCTAAGTAATAATCTAAATGTATGGTTCCCAGTTTCTAAGGAATTCTATGCTTCTAAAACAGGCGATGACAGTTGTACATTAAATGTTTATGGTGTTTGTACAACTAAAAAAGTTTATATGCCAGGTAATAAACCAGTTAACAATGACTCTAAGTTCTTTATTAGACTCTACTCATTCCAAAAAACTGCATTTTCAATCTATTTCAAAAAAGAAGATGGTACTGTTGTAGCACAATTTGACTTTACTTCGTCATCTACTTTATGGAATGGTAATATTACAGTAAAATTCAAAACAGGATTTGAAGAGTCAACAGATAGTTATAATCTCAATTTAGGTTCTAGTGATTTTATTGTTCACTTTACTGGTAATGCTATGGGCTACTATTTAGGTGGTCAATGGAGAGTATTCTTATCACTTAAGGATCACAGTAACTTTAATCAGGTATCAGTGTCTCAACTAGATGGCTTTGTTATAGAATATGTCAGAACCACTAATTCCAATCCATCACCTTGGCAATATCTTAAATACGGATCTACTACGGCAAAAGCATCCATGGTATTGGCTTATGATCAATGTAATTCACAGACTCCTACAGAATCTTGGTTCTCTAGAACTGGAGTCTACTATCCAGGTACTTCAATAGAGAACCTCTGCTCTACAGCTTTGCATCCAGATAAGTTTGCTATTACTTTCAAATCACATTATCCAACATATGTTAAGGATGAACTATCAAAGACTTTCCCTAACTTCCCAGGTTTTCTTAATTCATTTGTATTATTGTACAACGGATCGGTTGTATACACTCTGGTTGTAGCTAGGAAATACATCTCATTCTTCAGTTCTTTATATTCTGGTGAAGCTGGATCATTCTCAAGTTGTTCATCACAAGTACCAGACGAAAGTGAATTCCAGCCTGGTAAACAATATTATATTACATTTTACGTTGATGGAACCGATTTACATGTTTACTTCCATAGTTACATAGTAGGAAAATCTGCATTATTGTGTAAACTCCCATACAACAGCCACTTTAATGCTGCAAAAACATTTGGTCAAGTATACATTTCTTCTTCAAATACTGTTGCAGGTGTAATTTATAATATTAAAAGAACATTGTACAATCCAAGTTTGAACACAAATTACCTGTATCCTATGGGTACTGTAACATCAAAAAATGCGATTTTGTCTTCTGGAATGCCATTTTCACCAAATGAAAGTTTAAGTATTGAGATGACATGTGGTAAGGATTTAATTTTCTCTGGTCAAACAGGAAAGCCACAGTTGAAATTATCAACAAATGGTTCTAAATTCACTTTAGAAAACATTCCAGGAAAAATAAATGCTACTGGTACATTAAGTGGAGATTGTGTATGCTCTACCAATAAGAAAATCATTGTAAACCTTGCATATATTAATGGCCAATTCAGATTGATTGCCTGCAAGACTTCTGCTGCATCCATATTTACTACTGGAGTTTCAATCTATCAAGTTTCTAGTGAGGTGGAATTGAGGGTAACCTACAGAACTGATTTACGTTTAGCAGTTGCAAACTCACTCACATCTTCACAGATTATAAAGGTTGAAGAACAGCCAGATACTTCGAAGGATGATGAAAACGCTGCAATTGCTGATAAATACATCCCAGAATCATTCACAATACAGGCTACAATGCATGTTATTCCAAAATACACTACATCTTAAAACCAAACGTATTAATATTCAATATTAATTCAAGTAAAATAGAATATATCTAGGCTTTGATTTTTTTAATCATAAACAAGAAATTCTCAGGCTCTTTCAAAGATTTAATATTGTTAATTTTTTCCCATATTTATTTGGTAATAAAATTTACTCATGAAGCTTACCTAATACAATATTACAGACACACACACCCCCACCTTATATTTTGGAAGTCATCAATAGTCAGTCAATCTGACGTTTTTTACTCATTTTTCCCAAAATATATGTTTTTCTCCAGCACCCCCAAACTCAGGAAAAATATATAATTAAAAAAAAAAATAATACAAGATGTTCAGTTTTATTCAAAATATAGTTGATGGCTTTCAAATTCGAATATGATGTAGATAAGCGTATTTTCTTGATGGAAATGATTAACAATGGTGAAATCTTTAGAGAAAAAGAGTTAAGAAAGAAAATTTCAAAGCTAGACAAATTTTGACCAATTTGGATATGAGACTTTGAATAATAAGATCAACACTAAGAGTGAAAAGAAAAAAAAATAGAAAATTAAATGTTAACGCTAATTATTGCTTATTTCTTTAGAACATGCCATTTTAATTGAAAAAACAATATTCGACAATAAGTTGTTATTGTTTTTTTAATAACTTTGGTTATGTTTTGGAGTTAATATTCTGAATTCAAAGAAAAAGAGTGCTATTATAGAGAAAAGTAGATGAGATTAATTGACAACACATACTCAAATAACTAAGCTTAATATTTTGATAATAGATAACATTACTTATTAAGCGTAAATTATACAGCCATATATATTAAGGTGTAATATATTCATATTGAATATTATTAATATTTGGCACAAAATTAAAACCAATTCATTTACCGATAGAAATATACCAAAAATAAATTTTTGGTATATATGTGGTAAAGATTACAAGAAAAAAACGAGTCATCAAAGTTTCAATTTGAAATTGACAAGATAATAATAAATATTGCTGTATATTATTTAATTAAGGTAGTGTACCATCTATTACTCGATATTATTAGCATTGCTTTCTAAATTCTCTATTTACTGAAGAAAGTAGCTCTATAAACTCTTTAAAATCTCTCCTCTGATCTGCTGTATAATTAGAATGTATGTGAAAAATTCTGCTGCCCCTAATATCTCTTGTTTATGCCACACCTCAATTAATTAAAACGTAGTTTGAATACTTTTCGATTACTTCTATTTATATTAACAGTTAGAACAACTAGTTTAAGACATGTTCATCATAATTAAAAGTTTTCCATTATATATTTGAAGCCTAATATAAAATTCTATTTAGTTTCGTTGTTATACATAGATGCAATTCCATCTCTTCCACAAGTAATAGTAGGTATATGGTCGGTATTTTCCAAAGGATTGAGGCCAAAGTAGGTGTTTTCATGTTTATTTTTAATTGAACTTAGAGATATTAATAGGTTTCTAGTTTTCTTATCAATATTATGTAGACAATAAGATACAGATTTGGTGGCAAGTTTGTTATTACTAAATGTCTCTGAACATTCGATTGACAATTTTGAAAGATCTTGGTCTATTTCAGAGTCATCTGAATCAGACAAATGAGTGGAAGTAGAATGATTTACTTCATTTATATTAGGAAATTGTAAATCAGATACACTTAAATGACATGTACTCCATTCTTTAACTCCAAGAAACACCAGATACTCAAATGGCGTAAGAATAATTGGAGTTTTCAAACTGAGTTTCTTAATAATATGGGATAAAAAATATTCGGAACAACCAAAAAAACAGAAAATATCAATATCTGGAAAGTTTCTAAGCTTGACTTCACTCACTCCTGTTAAAGAAATTATGTGAGTTTCAATATTTACTTTGTTTCCATTATCCGTATTTCGCCTATATTTGTGCCTTTTAAAAAATTCAATAACTTTCCACTCCGTTGGTGTTATTCCAGGAGTGATCACAAAAGCAACGTGGTTTGTAGTATGGATTGACTTTGCCTTTTCAATTGAAATAAACCTTTTAGATATAATAGAGTTTAATTCATCCAAAGCGTTTAAGTTTAGCTCTATTTTAGAGGTTGAATCATTTGTTTGACATAAAAAAATTTCAAATATTTGATTGTATCTTAAGATAATTCTTTCTAGAAAAGAATTTGGAAGATTGGAATATTTATTATCTTTGGAAATAAAATGGAAGAACATTACAGAAGCATTTGAATTTTCATTATTGGATTTCTGGGAATTCTCTTTCTCTAATTCGTCCAGTTTCAAATCTTTATCGTGCCCTATTTTGGTCAAAAGTAAATCAAAAATAAATTCCAGGTCTTTATTTTGAAAACAGTCTGTAACATTAATTGGAGAAAGTAGGTACAAGAAAGCTTTTTTTTTGTCATTATATTCATTCAAACCCAACTTTCTTATTTCATCCAATAATATTGATTGAAACTTATCTTTTAATATGCCTTGGAATGAAAAGATCACATTAATTGTTTTAGAGGAGTTATTTTGCTCATTAAGTTTATTTTTGAGGTGTTCATGCAAAAAATGTGCAATCTCACGGAAAATGATAGGGTCTGAAACTTCAAAAAAATCTGAGGAAGACGGGATAAAGTAAACAGGTAGTTTGAAATACCCAATATTATGGTAACAACTGTACCCAAAGTGTATTACTAAATCCGAATGTGACTTTTTGATGTTCAAGACATCTAAGCAACATTTTGGGTTCGCAACATCGCATAAAACAAAAAATCGAATATTGCACTGATCTTTGGAACTGCCTTCGTTTGAAACTATGCAATTTATTTGCTCTTCCATAAGAAATTGAATTCTTGGTGCATATTTAACATCAGATTCAGAAAACTGTAATGCAATAACCAGTCTTTTTTTGCCAATAGAATGTTTGGCTATCCATTCTGAGGCAGCTCTGAAATCAAAATTGGAATATTTCCCCAATTCAAAATTAAGGTTCATTTCAATACTAAAAAAATAAGAGAATCGGAAAAAGTATTGAAGTAAACTTGCTCTGAGTAAATTTCAAAAGCTTACCTATTTTTGGCATATATTAAATTGATTTTCCATAAATTTATCAAAAATCAATTCTTGACCTTAATTTTATATTATCGTTTTTATTTCTTTGATGTTTAAGGTACCGTGCTACCCGCCATAGACAGGACGCCAGACAATCTATTTATTTGTGTGAATTTAGAGGGGAGGTAGGAAGAGGAATTTTCTTTAATGTTAATGCTTTCAAGAATTCAAAGCAGATTTTTCTTTCATTTTTATTGTTACTTAAATAAATATATATATATGTTTATTATCAATTATTTGTTTTTAGTACAGGAATACCAAATTATTTACCAAAGCTAATAAAAGGATTTATCCGAGCACTTTATGAAGAATCAATAATCAGACCAAAACTTTTGACATAGTTTACTAATGATAGAATTTGTGTAGAGCTAATCACAAATATTGATAGATAAAGAGCTTGAGTTAACTTACCAAAAATGATAGAAACAACTATTTCTGAGCAAACCCTTTCACCATCCTCTAGCGAAATTATGAGGAAGGCGACTAGGCTGGTCGATCAACTATTACTTAAAACTAGCAATGATTTTTCAAATGGAGGAGCAGCTCTGTTGAAGCAAAACAATGTTTTTGGCTCAAGAGTAGCAGTAGCGGAAGAAAATATGAATTGCGAATCAAACTCAATCACGGACTCGGAAACATTTTCAGCTTTAAATAGTGCAAGAAAGAGTATTCCGAGTATTGATATAATTAAGAGGCTTGCAGGACGCCTAAAGAACAAAGATTCCGATACTATCAGTGAACTTAATTTTCCGAAGAGAACAACGTCTAATAATCAGGATGTTGGTGATCACTGTTTCAAAATGTCAGATAACTGTAGATCTAAATCTGCTTCACCAACTAACGGTGAGAACAAAGAAGAAAACAATAGTGGTTTATCGCACGACTTTGCCCAAATGAACGCGAAACTGAGTGAAATTAATAAGAGAGTAGAAAGTTTAAGTAGCAATATTGAAGATATACAAGATACTGACCGATTGGAAGATGTAGGTTATTCTGCTAAGGTTGAAAACAGAAGAGATTTTAACGGATTTGACGGTGAAGGGAATGCAAATCCTGGAGTTTACGAAGAGGATACTGACGATAATTATTTAAGCCAACTCAACGTAGCGGTCTTACAACAAGAAAGACTGAGAATGTGGGCAAGAGATAACGCAAAATATGCTTCATCTATAAGCAATACATCGGAAAGTGGTAATAACCGAGAGTCGGAACATATTCCTTTTTCAGATGTTTACTACACTCACCAATCTTTCAAGTACAGAAGTGGTGAACTAACAAGTTCTAGTGGTATCTTAAATTCAAGTGTACTTTCTACAACGGCATCTGGCACAACCGGCCAGTTTGCACACAGCAATGACACGGCAATATACGAAGCTAAATCGAACGTCAGAAACTGTGTTTCGGAATTCTCTGGAACAACAAAGTTTTGCACTAATGGCGAGAACTCAGAAAACAAGAATTTAGAAGCTGGGGTTACCTTGGCAACAGGTTCTTTCGGGAGGATCCCAGGTAAATTTGCTGAACCTAAAGCTTTAAGGTTCATTCGCGTTGGAAACCAACTAAGAAGATCAATAACAGTAACACCTTTGGTGGAGGATATGCAGAGAATTTTGAGTAGGGAAGTAGTGAATCCGAATGTCTCTTTCAATGATTCCGATTTTGATTCAAGGATACAATTCAATAGCAAACTAGAGAAACTAATTAACTCTAACATTTCACCTTTCAACTCCTCCAAATCATCAGGCCAATTTTCAAATAACATGGTCATTATTACAGTAAAAGACAGTGGTAGCGGTTTTAAAAAACCCATTAGGCCAAGGACAATAGATGACGCAGCATCTATAGATAGTGCAGAAAGTGACAGAAACTATTTCTTTAGTTGCAGAGAGTGTTCGTGGAACCCTGCTAACGCGTGCCAAATTCAGTAATGGTAATGCTTCTGTGAGACCATTAGTAACGAATTGAAAGAGATAGGTTTACATTTCCTTCTCCTCTCCCCCCCCACCACCAAAATTAGGAAATTTTTAGGTTCGTCTAGATGTTTGTTTAATTTAATATTTTTAATGGCGCCTAAATGTCTTCTTTGTTCTTTACAAGTTTAATGAATTGAATTTAGTTGGATGTTTATAGAATATTATATTCTTAAATGCTAATAATTAGACGTATCAAAAAGTGGTCAGATCTGAATAGTATACAATCATTATCCTATTAAATTGTACCCTTTTTTTTAAATGTAAATAGTAAGGAGGGACACCCGCTTGGTTATATGTCTAGCAGCCTATTAGTAGACGCGAAATTGCGAGAATAAGACAGAATTTACTTTTTATAGTCAAACTAAACGGTTAGAAATATAGATTAAGTTAAAGACATTAAGCGGTACCGTAAAACGTGACGTACAGATAGATTTATACAAGAATAAATAGTTAAATATAAAAATAGTGTTAATAGGTAATGGAAAGAAATAGAATAACAGTACAAACTGACTTTTGATTTAGAATGAAGTTAATTAAGTCTTGATGAATTAAAAATTCTTTGCGTTATGTTGGATCAAGAAATTTGAGCTGAACTTTATTTATTTTGTATTTAATATAATCGAAATAAGTTGAAGCTCAAGAGCTTCATATTTTACATAAATTTGGAATCCATTTCCTTCCACTAAACAGAAAGAGTATGATTGTTTAGATACAAAAATTTTAAAATAGTTTGGAACAGAGAATTATTTTCAAATGAAAATTTAAGCGTCAAAAATTCAAGAACTTGTATGCTGAATGAATCTTTATGCACTTAAAACAAAATAAGCCAAATATTTAAGAGCTTATTAATTGGAAAGTCCCTAATTAATATTAGGAGTTTTTCTAATTTGCTTTTTAGGGACGTTCTAGATTATATATCTACAACTCTAATTTGCAGCAATATCGGTGTATTTACGAGTTAATACATATACCTTATTTTCTCAAGTTTTTTATTGTTTTAGGAGCTAGTCCTATTGGCTAATGGAAAACCTCCTAGATAATAACTTTGAGCTACTAGCAAGCGAGCTATTTGACGTTCCTAGGGATAGTGGAGTATCTTATCTACAGATTGGTACCTCTTATAACAATAATAACAATAATAACAATAATAATAGTAACAATGGGCGTAATGGAGGTAATGGAAGTGCAAGAGGTAGCCAACAACTTATCCAACAACCATCTCAACATGTAAGAAATTCCAGAAGTGATTCACTACTTAGTGACGTTAAAAGTTCGAATATAGGAGTTTCTTCCGTAGATGGTTCTCTTGTGGATTTTAATAGTATTAGGAACGTTGAGAACTCTTCAAAAATTGGGATTTCCGGTCATATTATTGAGAGATCAAGTGGAATGGGAATAGAACATACTAACAATGTTGTTGATGAGCTTCGAGGATTTAATATTACATCAAGACATTCTGGTAGTCGTAGTTTTGGCCGTATAGAAGATACATACCTTGATTTAGATGGTTCTATGAACCGTAGATCTTCTGATACATTTAGTGATGTGTGTGCTTATCAACAGCAGAATAATCTAGGTAATAATAAAAACAATGGTAATGGTGTTATTCATTCAAGATGCCTTAATGGTTCCTTTTCACAAAATTCACACTTAGGTACATCGGGAGGCACAACAAAGATATCCAACTGTAATAACAATCATGGCAATAACTTCCTAGATGATCAAATTGAGTTTGAGACAGAACATCATATTCAGGGACTAATTGGCAGATACAACTCTATGTGTATTGATGACCAAATTTTGAAAATGGGTACCTACTCTAATTGTATTAATAATAATATGAATAGTGGCAATGTTAGCACTAATTGCACTGCATTTGAAGCCAACTCTCTGAACAATAAGAACTCTAATAATAATGGGGTGAATGCAAATGTAGATGTATTTCTTCCCCAAATTGAATACTGTAATGTGGGAACTAATAGCTCTACGATTGGTAATGGATTATCTCATGAAATAGGTTGCATAGAGAGAGATTCTACAGAATGTTACAGAGCTCACCAAAACTATATTCAGAGAAGATTTGCAAACGGTGATTTTGGGACCTGTAATATGACCAATACTACCACCGTTTCATCAGAGCCATCATCTTTATCTGGCGTGGCAACTCCTGGGAGTGCATCTCTCAAGAGTGCCAACTCTACTGACGCACTTACTCAAAGATTTAGAAACTCTTCCAATATAAATCTTAGCTCTTATGACATGGCAGATATACAAGGGTCAAATGGAATAAATTTTGACAAGTTATCAACAGGTACAATAGGTATTAATGGCTATTCAAAACACTTAAATACCTTATCAATGGATGATACCGGAATTCCTCTTGAAGACCTGGTTTCAGAAATGAACCCAAATGGAAAACTAAGATTCAGAAAAAGCAGTGGTTCTAATTCAAATTTATCAAATCCTACACCATTGATGGGGAGTATGAACACATCAGGAAGAGGAATTATTGGAGGTAGTGTATGTAGCAGTGGAAGCAGCAGTTGCAGCACGGGAGTTGGAGGTAGTACTTGCAGTGTGGCTGGTAATACTGGCAGTGCATATGGAATGAAAAGGTCATCAAAAAGTAATTCACTAATTCATTCGGGTTTTAATTCTAATAGAAATAATTCCTTAATTATTGATGAAGAGGATATTTATCCTTCAATTGGGCACTTCGCATCACTTGGGTCTTCCAGCTCGCAGTTACTTGGTGTCATGAATAGCGTGAATAACCAACCTGAAGGCTTGGTTAATAATTTTAAGTCGAGATCTGGCTCTGCGAATACTGATTACATGTGCAGAAATGGAATTGATACTTCACCTTCTATTAAAGGAAACTACATTTCTTATGGGGACTCTATTAATGGATTAGAAGGTAGACATTCATCCCATCCAGTTCTTAATAGTGGTGATATTGGAGGCTCATTTGAAATGGACGGTAATGTAAGTCAGTTTCAAAATATGTTTAATAGATTGATGGATGAAAATAATGGCTATAGAATGGAAAGTTCTATACAAGGAATTGATGAAGTTGAACTTAGAGGTGAAGGTAAATCATATTGGCAACATACCTCACCATATAAGTTCTCTTCCTCTCAAGGACTTGTTGACTGGAAAACTCAACATCAGCTTTCTAATTTTGAAAAGAATGAGTTTCTCGATGATTTTGGTTGTGATATTCCTTATAACAGCTATTTGGTAAATCGTGGTCAACAACTTAGACATAAATATTTTGGTCAACAAAAACTTTATGGATTCCCCTCCAATGGAAATAATAAACAGCAAAAGCATTTAAAACAACGTAGTGGTGTTTCTCCAAATATGAACAGTTTTGATAACAATCAGAAAACAGCAAGCACTTATCGAAATGGAAATTTACCTCTAATATATAATGAGAACAATTTACTTAGATGTGAATCTAATATCCTACGCCATACAAACCGAACGGGAAAGAAGAATAGTAGTGGTAGTTTAAGTGGTGGTATGCCGAATATGTCTTTGAATCCCAACATGAATATTCAGAACCTGAATAACCAGGGATATGTTGGTGTAAACCAAGGACAACTCCAATACTGTAGGAAAACTTGCCCTCCTAATTGCACAATACCTACCCATATTAATGGAAATATGTTTAGGAGAAAGTCTGGTTCAGGAATTATTCCATTTAATGGAAACCAATTAGGATTGGGAAATTCTGTAGGGGTGATTAATAATGGAGCATCAAGGTCTTTAAATGACTTGTCGTATTCTGGAATATCCAATATGCCTATTTCCTCTCTAAACAACCAGAACTACTCTAAAAAGACTCTTGAAGATGCCCAATACAACAAGAACAACAGAAAGAATGTACCTAATCACTTTAAAAATACTAGCACCGCTTCTCATTCATGTAACTCAAACATGACTGGTGGTATGGCAGGTTTTGGTAATATGAACATTCAAAACAATTATCCAAGTATTGGTAGTTCTTTTACCGGTGGTTTGAGTGCATCAACTACAGATATTAATAGTAATGATGCATCTCAGAATGGACTTACACCATCTACAATCGCTGCTTTATGGGCAAAAGCAATGAGCAAGACCGGTGGGAGAACTGGATTTAGTAATAGAAATAAGCATACTGGCTCAAGCTCTGTTCCAAATAATGGTGAGGCAAGTACTAATAACGTCACAAACTCAAGTTCATCTGCAAATCTAACTGATTCTAAAAGTGGAGCAAATGATATTATTACATGTGCTCGTTTCTCCTCATTCTTAAGAAACAATTCTGGGAGACTTCATTGGCTGAGAGTTATGTATCATTATTTGGACACTGTTGATGCCAAAAAAATTCGTGAAACTAATAAGGGAGATAATCTTTGTATGGTTGCAGTTGATGATATTGCATTAGAGGCGGTTTCAAGATCATTTGATCCTTCAGAATGCGCATACTGGTCTGAGCCGGAAAATGGAGCTTTCGTACATAAAAATATTAGGCTTGCTGTTGCTCATAAAGTTGGGCATAGAACTGTCTCATCACCACAAAACTATGTTAATCAGATACTTACAGCATCATTAGATCATAATGTATCTATTTTACTAAATACTTTAAGAGCTATTGATGATCGTGTTAGATGGATGTCTACTGTTGTTAATAGTAAGAATGGTGGATTAAATATTGACATTAAATCGAACAAAGGCAATCCATGCGTTACATCAACAGAAGGGGACTGTAATCAAAGGAACTCCGATTCTAAAAGCATTGTTGATTCTGGCTATACAATAACGGTTAATGGGAATGCTACATCCATCTCAAGTTCTGGAAACGCTTTAAGTGGTATTGAGGAAAGCGCAAATGATTCAAACCCTAACCTTTCAAACTCTACGAAAAACTTCCCAGGAAGAGTTTTCACTGTTGGAGTTAGAGAGGCAATGAGATGTTTGAGACACAAAAAACTAAAAGCTCTTATTGTTGCTCCTGATATAGAAGGAGATGGGGTTGAAGGAAGTTTAAGACACCATGTAATACATATTCTTCTACAAGCTCAGGAATTAAATATTCCAACCATATTCGCCCTTAATAGGCATCGTATTGGAAGAGCAATGGGAAAACACATGAGAATGAGTGTTTTAGGCCTTCTTTCAATTAGAGGCGTAGAGAAACAGTTCCAGGCAATTTCTCACACTGCTCAACTATTACGTAAACTTTACCATTTTTGCATAGAGAATAATTTACCTCCGACTGAGGAAACATTCAAGAAACTTTCCTCTTCTGTAAACATTAACTAATCTATTTTACTCGTATTTAACATTGAGAGTAATAATAATTGAACAAGCTATATCCGTATAAAGGCATTTACGATATTAAAATTTGTTTTAAATGATTATGGATAAATAGGCTGCTCTTTGTTTGCATATACAGACTTACCCAATTTACTTCATTTGGTTTAATGGAATGATTTGATTAATTAATTTTTGATACTAATTATTAAGTGATAATTTTGGGTTATATTAATACTGTATCATTAATGTTTTTTATTATTATAGAGCAATTCATTTTATAATTTTATTTTTTTTTTTGGAATTTTTAAAAATTTGGCTTTTCAGTCTTAATATGACTGTTAACTATAAGATGACAAATCATAATTCCTTGCGTGCAGTTAAACCAGCATATGGGAATTTGGGAAAGTATTATACTATAACACATAACTCCATAATTAGTAATTAATTTGGGATTCAGATGGGTATTAAGAAATAACTTTTAATTCTTCCAGAGCGTAACTGGTTTGGATAGTATCTTGTTGATTTTATTACTTGATACAAAAAATATTTTAAACTGTTCTGGAGTGAATTAGGTCACTTTACAGATAAGTGGAAAAGTTTCCACCTTAAAAATTTGTTTAATCTGTGAAACTAGGACGTCAAAATTGATTTTTTTTTGTGAAGAATTGTTTTGTGGTAGTAATGTTTAAAACTAATTGTTTTATATACATGTTCAAAGTTTGCCCTAATTTTTTTTCTTTTTTTTGAATGCGAGTTTTGACCGTGTAACTTACCACTAAAAACCAGATCACATTGTTCTTAATCCTCAAAATTTGCAATATTAATTTTTTCTTTTTTTGACGTGTGGACAGCGGGAAATAAAATGGGTGGCATCAAATATGTTCTTTTTGTTTTTGGTGTAAATTTTTAAGATCAATAGAATGAGAAAATATTATGATTAATATTCTAAATTTGGCTTTGCAAGAACAAAATTAAGAGTATAAGACCGTAATTCTCACCTAAAGTCAGTTTCAGATCAATGTGGGTTTTCCAATTATACTTAAAATGGTACTAAATAAATGTAGTTAATAGAATGAGTAGAAATTGCATTGCTAGAAAAAAAAATGTTTGCATATTATTTTAATAAATTTTAATTCTCGAAAACAATTTTTTTTACAAAATATTGATTATAGAATACTGAATTTTTTTTTCTTCTATTTTAATAACTTGTTTTAGAGTTTTAATTTATTATCGATTGCCTTGAGATTCATTTAAAGATAATAGTAACACATTAAAAAAATCATAAATTGGATAAAAAGAATAACACATTAACGAAGAGTCAATAAGTAAAGAAATTATTTGTTGAATGATTAAGTATTAATAATATTAAATATTCCAAATTGAGAAATAACCCTTTTTGATTGTAAGAAAAGAGCAAGTTGTTGATTTTCTTGGTCAATAGCTCCAATTGAATCAGCTGGTAAATTACATAAATCATTGGCAAGATTAGACGAGTTCTCAGATGATGCGATGTAAATATTTGATGTCAAAGAACATGAATCTGGGAAATCAATATTATTGCAAAAATACAGCTTGGGAATATTTTTGCTAGATTGTAGGTCATTGGATTCCTGGCCAAAACTGATGCAGTTGTGTTTATTATCATCTCTGATTTCATTAGAAATATATCCAGAATATGGAGAATTCTTGATATTATTTAAGATTTGACCTTCTAAATTCTTTTCATGTGGAATAGTGCAGTTATCTTGAGGTGGACAATGACTTCTTTCTTGTTCTTCTATATGGAAGTTGTTAGATACTTGAATTTGAGTGGATCTATCAGACTCAATCATACTTTTGATATCTTGCACTCCAATTCCAAGTTGAGATTTTGATTCAGAGTTGGCCAAACTAGAGTCGTTACCCTTAAGCTCTTCTTTAATCGATTCATTAGAATTGGAATCATAATAATAACGATCTCTATCATCTACAGCCTCTTTGCTCGTATAGTTTTCAGAGTTACTCAAGCTAATGTTTTCTATGCTGCTATTTATAGCTTCCTTATCCTGAATATTTGTGAACATTCTAAACAAAGCTGCTTCACCTGGGGTTATTATAGTCAAATCGTCTCCAGTGACTTCGATGATCTTATCAGTATCTAAGCATTTATTATTGCAAATAAAAGTCTCCGAGGTATTTTGATCACCTTCTTTACACTCTTTTTGAACTGTGTTGAGTTTTTCACACTGGTCTTCAAGATCATCAAATGAATTGACAACATTTAGTTGTGAATTTTCATCTTCTGCTTGTTCTAGAGACTCTGTTTTAGCATCTACTTCAGTATTCTTCGGGACCTTAACTCTTGTGAAAACAACATTTTTAGTAAAAAACAAATTTGCAGATTTGATTAGATGCTGATAGATTGATTGAGGAATTTTGTTTACTGGAGTTCTGGATAACATATGAAAAGAGTAGTATGGAAGTGACTCAATTAATCCAGAATCAGGAACAAGCCTAGTTACCACATGGGTGTCGATTAGAAAACAGGGCCGGGTATTTATGGTTAAATTTTCCATAACTTCATATAGTCTAAACCTCAATGTTGAGAGCATTAAAGCAACATTTGGTAGTATAAGCATCTCCAATGGCCTTGCCCTCTTGCTATTAGGAGAAATCACAATACAATCAGGTTTATTATATACAAGAGAGACTTTATCAAAGCATGTACCACCCGAAAATGTTCTACTTAAAATATGAAGCAATATAGTTGCAATAATGACGGATTCAGTGTTCCTCTCTTCGTAACCTTCATTTAATTCACCATCGGCAAAGTTAAACATTGACCCATTGCAAAGTTCAACAGTCTTACAGTTACTTTGTGCAGCACTTTCTTTAATATCAACATTTGTATTAAAATTATCAAGCTCTTTTAAGGATTTCAACCAATAGTTTTCAATAAGGTTTGCTACAATAAATACGATTCTTTCATAGCCACCATTAGCTCCACTATACTCCTTTCCATTAACATATATAATGTCTCTCTCAATGTCTTTTGAATCTTGAGCAATATCAGTACATAAAGGATGATGAACAAAATTACTGTTGGTATTCAAGTTGCTGTTAAGGTTATAATCTACTTGAAATAGGGGATGATCCATCTGAGAGACATTTTCATAATTATAAATTGAATCTAGTGATTTTATCCTGACAGAACATTCATCCGGATAAATATCAGAAAAATCAATGGTCTGCTCACCATTGGATTCTATTGTTTTTTGATTTTCATTAAATTTCTGTGACTGATTGATACATGAACCTAATTTAAATGTTTCGGAAAAACATAAAAGAGGAAGTCTCGACATATACAGTTTGTAGTCTTCAATGCTAACGGAGTTAGATGGCCACTTATAAATAATTGGATTAGGTAATGAGTAATTACTTTCTCTCATATCAAGGGATGATACGCTGCCTGAGGGGACAGTAAATGCTGTGAGGAACAGTGAATTACTGTAGGATTCTAGTCTTGATAAAATAATTGGGTTTAACAAGGCCGCGAGTTGTGAACAAAGCCTTAATCTAAGCTCTTCTACTCTAAAAACATCACTAACCACATCTTGAAGGATCCTCAAATGAATAGAATGCACTGCCAATATTCCAGAAAAAGATTCTAAATTCTCAAAGAGCTTGGCAGCTTCTAACTCCTTGAAAAATGCCATTAACATCTTAGATTGGTCTGCAAATTGATTCTCACCACCACTACTCACCGTTCCATATGCAGAATTAGAAACTTGAATATTTCCTTCATGAACTTGAGAGGTGTTTGTAGTTAGGTCACCACCCGCTAGGTCTGCTTTAACTGAACTTTCATTTGTAGTCCTAACAATACCATTAAGAGAATCCGGTATAGAAGTATCAATAACAATAGATTCATTCTTTTGGAGTTTAACAAGTTTATCGGTATTTGCAAAGCGATTATCTCTACGTGAACTTTCTGCATTTTCAGGCGATTCATATGTAAATGGTCTCCCACTAGAATTTAGAAATTTGTTCGGTTGAGCAAGTAAAACATTCTTCAATACACGTAGACTAGATTCAAAAGATGTCTCATTTATATTATGGGCTAAATCCTCCTTGCTCAAAGTCGAAAAAAATGATATTAAATCTTGAAGATCCTCGTCCAATTGATAGCAAGTCAGTGCATAGGGTGCAAGCGAATTATAGGGAATACTCACATCCAAAAGTGGATCCTGCCAGTCTTCCTCAGCGTCGTTCATTAGAGGTTAGTTTCCTACCTTTTTGAACAAAAGTTCGTTCATATATAATAATAGTTTGCTCTTGAAATCCCTTTTCAGCAGAAAAACTTTTAGCTACCTCAATCTAATTGGGACCACAGAAGCTAATTTGCTCCGCCTAAAAATATCATTAAGCAATTAACTTGTTTACCAGCGCTCAAACATGCCGCCAAAGTTGCCTAATATATTTTTCTTTTGGTGAAAAATTTAGGAAAAAGTAATAATAAGTGATCAACACGTAATTTAATGATTCTTATGAAGTATTAGGTGAAGAATATATATATATATATATATATATTGATTCTGAATTAGCCTTTTTACGTAGATATATTAAATAACTATTTCATTTCTGTGCTTTTAGACTTAAAATTTGCGATAAATTACTTATTTAGTTCAATAAGAATGAAAGTTTTATAGATTAGAATTATTATGGATGAACTATTTTCCTATTTTTAGGAGACAATTGAAAAAACGGGTGCCGCTTAATGATATTTATTTTAACTAAATGTCAAAAAAAAGGAAAAATTGATTCCTACAAAGCATTGATTATAGGATAAAACATGGAAATCGAACCTGAAACAATATTGGAAAAGCTTGAATCGTTAAATTGTTCTCTAAGCAGTGTCAGCCTTTCCGAAGAATTCAAATGTGAGCATGAAAGAATAATAGGAATAATTAAAAGTTTGGAGTCTCGCGACATTATTGAAACACAATTCGTTTCGGACAATGTATTATCACTAACAGATGAGGGGAAAGACTATTTGACAAATGGATCACCAGAATTCAGACTTATTAGAATTATACTTGAGCAGGAAGGCCATAAAATTAAACAAAATGAAGCAATGAAGTTGCTTGGAGATTCCACATTTAAAATAGGGCTTTCGAAATGTCTTCAGAAAAAATTAATTAAATTAAATAAAGAGTTGGGATTAATAGAAATCTCGGTTAATTCCAATAAGGAATCATTAAATGTTGATGAATTGAAAAAAAATCTTGATATAGTAGGAGTTAAAGGTATTAAAGAGAGCGAATTATCAAAGCAAGATATGCAAATATTAGCTGAGTTAAAAAAGAGGAAACTGGTTATTTCAAATAAGATGTCTTACTTCATGATTAACCGTGGGGAAAAATTTACTGTGAAGCTTAAGCCAGTAATAACTGATTTGACCCAAGAAATGATTATGAACTCGAGCTGGGAAAATAACGAATTTAAACCATATAATTTCAATGCTAAAGGAAAAAGACTACCAAGAGGGAATGTACATCCTCTTACTCGTACGTTAAGAAAGTTTAAAAGGATTTTATCACAGATGGGGTTTGAAGAGATGCCTACTAATCGTTGGGTTGAAAGTTCGTTCTGGAATTTTGATGCTCTTTTCCAACCTCAGAAACATCCTGCAAGAGATTCACATGATACTTTCTTTTTAGAAACCCCGAGTACTTTCAGAAATGAAATGGAATTGTCGCAAGATCACATTGATCAAGTCAAAAAGGTGCATGAGATCGGTGGTTATGGATCAATAGGCTTATCTTACAACTGGAGTATTGAGGAGGCCTCTAAAAATCTTCTCAGAACTCACACTACCGCCGTTTCTGTAAGAATGCTTTATCAGCTTGCTCAAATGTACCTAAATAGTGAAAATGGGCTCTCTTTTGATCAATTCCAGAGAAAAGCATACTTTTCTATTGACCGTGTTTTCAGAAATGAGTCTATTGATGCTACGCATCTCGCCGAGTTTCATCAGGTTGAGGGATTAATCGTTGACAAGAACCTCACACTTGCAGACCTAATTGGGACTTTGAAGACCTTCTACGAGAAAATTGGTATATCCGATCTTAAATTCAAACCTGCATTTAATCCTTATACTGAACCTTCCATGGAAATTTTTGGGTACCATACAACCTTAAAAAAGTGGATTGAAGTCGGTAATTCCGGCCTATTTAGACCAGAAATGCTTAGACCACTTGGATTTCCTTCTGATGTTGTCGTAATTGCATGGGGACTTTCTCTTGAAAGACCGACAATGATTAGTTATAATATTCCAAATATACGTGATCTCTTTAGCTTCAAAGCCAAAATATTTTCTTAAATAATTAATATTGCTCTAATAATGTCTTTCTAATTTTTTTTTTTCTTTTTTTCCTTCGAGATAACTTTCAAAATTTCCAATATTTATTTTTTTTAACGTTATGATCACTAAAAACCGTCGTTTGGGCGTGGGCGTGTATGGTGTAACGGCTAGCATCTCAGTTTTCCGAACTGATGGCTCGGGTTCGACTCCCGATACACGCACGTTTTTTTAAAGTCTAATTAAAAAATTTTTATTTTTAAAAAGGTATATTTGGTTATTGTTCATTGAAATTTCTAAGTAAAATCCCATTGAAAAATTCAATTATAAGCTCAATTTAATAAAATTCTATCTTTATTAACGTGCGTTGATAATTATTTGGCGGATTTATGAAATAGCTTTCGGTAAAACAACCACTACTGCAATAATAATAATTTCTTTGGATAAATTGTGCAAATTTAGAATATAATATTTTGGCCTTTACTCTAAAGGTACAACAAATCTGTTAAATTTTTGATTTGTGCATCTTTCTCAACGAATATATATTATAAATTGATCTATTAGTATGAGAGCAGCTTGGGGAGCTTTGAAAGGCGCAGTTCAAGAACTTAATGATGCTTTGTTAGAGGAAGATGACGAAGATCATGAAAGAAGTAGAAGAAACAAACAAAAAGAATACATTACTTATCCTAAGGAGAGAAATGATCATGTAGTTAGTGGTAATTTTAACTCAAGCACTTTAAAAGAAAAGCCTAATTCTGAAATTAGAAACAATTCATCTTCTAATGGCAATCATAGGAACATTATTAGTTCAGTTAAGAAAAGCAACAGTTTTGGATTAACAAACCCTTTAAATGGTAATACTAGAGTTGAATTTAATGATAATTTGCCTTTAAATAATAATCAATACTCAGAGCAAAATATATTTATGCTCCAAGGTTCAGAAAGTTCAGGAGAAAGCAATTCTATAATTGACGAAGATTTTGATTGGGGCCTGGACACGGAAAGCATCTCAAAAGAAAAATTTGATTCAAAAACCAATCAAATTACTAAGAAAAATGAATATAATGAAGAATTAGGCCAAGAACCTTGTGAAAGTAATTTCAATATGCACTCTAGAATTAGAAAGTTACATGAAGAATTCCAGCAGAAAGATTATTCAGATGACGAAGACGATGGTGACGGTATTAAGGGTGAGCTGATAGAAGAGAATAACTCTCCAAATAACACTGAGAGTGAATCTATCATAGTTACTGAAGATGATGGGGAGTCAAATATAACTGACCCACTTGAAGATGGCGAAAACAGACCTGAAGAAGATGATGAGAAGACGTTAAGTAATGGTTCAGATGATGAAGATTTAGGGACTTTGAATTTACCTGAAAAATATTTAAAAGAGCTTTTCGAAATATTTCACATGGAGATTAATAATATTGATTATCTTTTGAAAGTTATTCAAGGATACTACTCAGACTGGAAGGGAATAAGAGATTCTCTAATTTCAGATAAAGAGTTACTAGTTAAGTTAGCTCCGCCTCACTATGAGTCATATTTGAAAAACACTGTTTTAGATAAATCCAAGCCATTTTCTCTGGGTTTTACTGTTTTAATTGGACAGTGTATTTATTCATTTTTGCAGGAATTCAAAAAAGGAATTTCATTAATTACTGAACAGGAGAATAAGATTAATGATCTTTTACAGAAAAGTGCAGAGTATTCAACAATTGTTCAAAACATTGAAACCGAAAATACTGAATTTAGTAGAAAGATTTCTGTTTTGGAAAATGAGATAAATTTTCTAAAAGAAAGAAATGAAGAGCTTCAAAATAAAACAGAAGAAGAGGCAAGAGAAAAAGACCAGGTTGATCGTAAAAGAATAGATGATCTTGAATTGGAAAGGAACAACCTAATAGAAAAAATTAACCAGATGATTGCAGAAAAGGAAGAGTCAAAAATAGAAATGGAAAAGTTGCATGATCATATTAATAATTTAACAAGTATTATTGAGGGATACCAAGCTGAAGAAGAACAAATTAATTCAAGGTATGAAATTGAACTTGAGAGAGCCCGTTCTCAAGAAATAAAATTACAATCCAAATTAAATGTTTTAAACTCATGTCAAGATGAAATCAGTTCTTTAAAAGAGAATATTTTAAAGTTAGAGGGAGACCGAAATTTACTCGAAAAACATATAAGTGAATTGCAGGAAAATAATAAAAACCTTCTTAATTCAAACGAACAAATAATGAAACAATTAAAGGATACTAAAGAGGAGCAAAAAGAGTTTATGATTGATAAAAGATTTATTATTCAAGTAATTCAGAAACATAATGAAGATGGATCGAGAATTAAATATAGGAATGATCTATTTAACTTATTGTGCGATGCCATTGGTTTGTCTGAAGAAGAGAGGTCCAATCTTTTTTTTGGTGATAATAAAAATAGTGGTAGCAATAGTAGAGAGAATGCTGTACATGATCTTAATCAAGGAATGGGATTTGCAGATTTGTTTTATAACTTTCTAAATTCCGAAGTAGAAGAAAATACACAGGGAGTTAAATGATAAAAGTATATTAGTTGTTTTTGATAATGCTTAAATTGAAAAAAAAATCTGCCCATTAGAAATTATTGTTCTAGTATTTATTTAAATAAATAATAATTAGTTTTTTTATTTACTTGACATTAAAAAAAGTTTCAAATAAAAAATGAATTGACCTTTATATCTTTCAATTATCTTTTCTCATATACATAAGAAATATTAATTTTTCTATATTATTAATTTCAAATAGACATATACAAACTATTGGGTCAAGCATTAATAATTATTTTTCAAAATACGTTAAAATCAAAATTATAGAGAAAATAATTGGAATTCATAATTCAAAAAAAAATTAATACTAAAAAAATATGAATATCAGAATCTAAATCTAAAATTCCTTAAAATAATTTTACATTTTTTTTTTGGAAATCTTGTAATCAATTTAAACAAATTAATTAATAATACATAAATGTATTTCTAGAGTTACTTGATCACAATTTTAATTCTTCTTTCTTTATGTTAGAGTAAATCCATTGATATGTTTGTTGTTCACGAATAATTTGAATTGCCTCTTCCTTAGATAAGTTCTTCCTAAAATCTTCAATCTGAAGCAGCCTTAATATTTTAATACAGTGAGGATAAGATATATATTTTACATAAGGAAATTCACACCAATATAATAGATACTTTAGGTAATTAATAAATGATTCATTTTCAAAATATCCCTCTTTTGATAGCCATTGAAGATAGTCCGGATTTGACAAACACTGAACAAATTCTAGTTCCAAAGAAAATCTAGAATTGGGATTTTCATCCTCTATTAATAATTCATTTTCCTCATCGTTAATCATTCCAATACACAATAATTAAAAACGGGACTACAAAAGCAATTTATACAGTGTTAATGTAAAAAATAAGCTAGATTTAAACAAATATTTTCATAAATTAAACTGTCTTGAACAACAAATTACCACCTAATTTGTTATTAATGCTTTTTTAACTTATATTCTTTAAAATTCTCTCTAACATTTTTTCCCGCCAAATGGCAGGCTGTGTATATACATTTTCACACAAATGAAAATACAAATTATGTTACTCATCTACTAATAATGCAAGACGAGTTAGACTTGGATTAGATGAGCTTTTGATACGGTATACTTACTTGATATAATATTATTAAGTTGTGATTAATATTTAGTGGGAGATGATCTAATAATTGCAAGTTTTTTAATACAATCAAAAGCCCAATTTTTATTATAGATATCAACTAAGATTTCATATTTATATATAAATTTATGTTACTCCGAGCTATAATTTAATTAATTTATACTTATAACCCTAGATCAATATTAACTTGGAAATCCTCAATTGAAAATTATATTTTGTAACGGGCAATCATAAATATGGAAACTTTCATAAAAACAGCAGTGCTAATACTTTTTTTTATAGCCATCAATTTAGACTCAGGCCATGAACAATTTTTAGAATTAGTTTCAAATCACGAATATTCTTTTATTAGATCAAGACAAAATGCGTGGGATATTGCAAATGAAAACAACGAAATCTTTAATTCTCCTAGAAAAAGAGTCAATGAAGAGATGAATTTTTCAGATTATAAATGGAATATTAATTACGACCAACCCTTCTCATCACAAATAAGTCAAATTATTCTTGTGGTTCTTGCAATTGTTATTCTAATTTGTGTAATTTTAAGTTTAATTTGTTGTTTTTATTCAGTTCCCAAAGAAGAAGACTTTACAAAAAAAAATGGAATTTACTACTTTGAGAATGAGAAAAGGCCCGAAGAATTTGTTCCAATTTATCAAAAAAACGCACAAAGTAGAAGATATATATTAACCGGAGAAATACCAAAGAATATCGAATACGAAGATTAAGATTAGCATTACTTAATATTTAAAAAACCAATAGCTATAATTTATTTTTCAACTAATACAATTTTATATAATATTTGAAAAACAAAGAATTTATCTATTCTTGATTTACTAAGCTTTAATAGGAAAATACTCTTTATCATTTGTTCCCATTGAATTATTTGAATTCAATGCAAAGTAGTTATCCTCATGATTGGAATTTTCTGATGTTAATACTTGAAGCATTCCACAATCAGTAGTTAGTATATTTGAATCAGGAATATTAGTAGTAAGGCAGGATAATGTATTATTCTGTACCAGTGGGTCTTCACCTTTTGGAGATGGCTCTGGGACTAAAATACACCTTCCATATATGTCTGTATTGTATTTGGCAATAGACTTCTGAATATTCTTATCAAAACTATTACTTTTTTGGGAAAAATTCTCTTTCCCAGAAAATTTATTGGATTGTACGGCTTCCGGAGAATTTGTATCATTCTTCAACCTAGAATTACTATTTACAAATACATTTATGTCTGGGAACTTCCAATAATTGTAACATGTTGGGGCAATATGATTTTCGCCTACAAAATTATCATTTCCATACCCATCTTGATCGGAACATATCACTTCAGAGTTCCTTAATATTACGTTTTCATTATAATATTGCCAATTCAAATACTGAATACTTATGAAATCAGAAATATCTTTTAACAAATCTGGATAAAGTAATAGTCTTTCATCATCAAGCCTTATTCGGAAATCGCAATTTCTTTTTAAACAACAATTATCTATGTCCAGAGAATCACACGTAATTCCTAATGGTTGCAGAAATAGCATCATCCAATGGTCCAAACTATCAACTGAAGGAATGACTACGAATAATGCCTTATTTTCATTGTCCCATTCTAATTTGAAATTACTATGGCCTGTATAACTCTGAGCTTTGTAATCAGTAGAAAGTTGAAGGTTTTCAACAATATTCTGTTCAATACCTTGCAAAGGTTGTTCCTTATAAAAGTTGTCAACTTTTGATGGTTCTTGAATGGAATTTAAAGTTTGTTTTTTAATTTTCATATCAAACGGCAGGCTGTTTGATAAATTTTTTGATTGGGAATTCAAAATTAAAAAATTCTCTTTTGAATTATAGTCATCTTGGTTAGTTGAATTTTCATTTTCTGTAGGAAGCTTAATATTTGATTCTATACTATCCATAAAAATTACTTCAGGTACAAAGTTCCCAACGCTCATATTTACTGTTCCTCAATCTTGATTACTATTACTACTATTACCCCTACCTCAATCAGCTTACTTTTATCTTTTTCTTCTTAAGTAACCTTAACTAGATTTCTTGCCTTTTATTAGCGTCATAGAAATGGTGTCTTAGTTCATAATTTCACTATTTTTCAAATCGATTTCTATGTTCACTTACTTGCCGTGAACCACCTACCTCCACCGACTTTATATCAAATTAATTTCAATTTTAATCAGATCTAAACCTATCGAAGACGTGGATGCACCTTTATGAATTGTCCACAATAACTAATTAATAATTACATGTCAAACTAGGCGGGCAAATGCTTATATAATAAAAGATTAAACAAATAATAAGGAAGTCTAAGTAATGTTTTAATTATATTCAATATTTGATATTCTCTTTAATATAAGTTTAATGTTTGATCTCTGTTCACAAATAGTATTACTTTTCAAATCAACTATTTGCTCATCATCAAATACTTCTGTAGCATCGTATCTAATAACTTTGAAAATTTCACATTCAACATTTTCCCTAATTTTTTCTTGACTATAACCTCTTTTTTCAAGCCTATCAAATAAAATATGGGTTTCCGAATTTAAGCAGAAAACGATGTCAAACCATTTTTTCTTAAGAAAATTAACTGAATGAAAATCAAGTATTATTCCAATGTTCTTTGAATTATATTTATCCAATTGGTTTTTTAAGTATCTTCTAACTAACTTTTCGTCAAAAATACTTGCTCCCATTTCGTCATCCCATTCACTATAAAGCTTATATTTCTTAATTGCTTTTGATAGCTCAATTCTTTTGTAACCCTCAAGTTTTTTCTCTAATTTTTTGCATAAAGACGTTTTCCCTGTACCAGGGGTGCCGATAATTAAAATGTTGGGTTTTCTACCTTTAGTTAGCATTATACTGGGTTCAGGAGAATTTTTAGGTACTCAATAATGAAATTACTATTCTTCTACCTTAATACAAAATGTCGCGCAAGTCGTGCCGCCAAAATAGTTTTTTTTGACAATAGCTTAAGACTAATTTTTGGATAATAGGTCATTGCTGTTTCAAGTGGCAATAACAGCCATTTTCTTGGGGTTTTTATTCGAATATTTATAGGAAAAATTCCTAAAATATGGCACGTTTTACACAAACTACTGAGAAACTTAATATGGTTTCAAAGTCTAAGAAGGTAAAATTGGAAATGGTCACAAAAATATTAATAGATTTGAACAAAAAAATTTCCGAGGTAAAAAAAATTGCAATGGAACCCATTCCAATTGATATGCTTACCATGGGAAATATTGAGCATCTTTCTCTAAACTTAACCCAAGAACTAACAAATAATGGGAATGTAAATATTGATGCCAATGGATCCTTATCTTTATTGAAGTCATTAATCCATGAATTTCTTGGACTATCTTCTATTATTATGGATAATTCATCTATGAACGCTGAAAATATATTACTAAACATTGAATTGTCTAAGTGTATTTCATCTAATAGAAATAAGCTACGAGCAATAATAGTACAAATATTTATGAAGTGGCTTAAAGACGACATTATGATTAGAAACTATAAGAATATGAAAGAGAAGGGTAATTTTGTTGAAAATTTCAATTTTCCAATATCCTTGAGTACATTTATAATCAGGAGTATTTTAACAAGTTCAATCCAAAAAGATGAAATAAACAGAATTATTTTGGATAGTAAAAATAACATGTCAAATGATACATTTATCATGGAGAATCTGCTTCTTAATGAATATATTATGAATTTTAAAGACTTGAGGTATTTTTTTCTAAGGAACATTTTAAACCTTCTCAATAAATGCTCAGAAGGAATTGTCTCCAATTTTGATCATGGGAAAAATTCAAATATAATTAGTGATATTAATAATGAGAAAGTAAATCTAATGACAACTATCTTACTAAGAGTATATCATATATTGATCAATCTACCGGTTCCGAATGAGAATCAATTATGCGAAAATGATCATTCAAATATAAACAAAGCTGATTTGTTGTTTAATTCTGATTTTGATGGAGATTTAGATAAAATTGCCAAGTTTGAGAAGAATTATAAAACATTATATCAAAAGCTATGGTTAAAATATATTAATTTAGTCATTACAGACTATGACTATGAAAACAAAATTATTCCACTTCCTATTTTGAAGGATGCACTGGAATATGTTTCAGAGTTCGTGATGCCGATAATATCCAACCCATTAGAGCTCGCAGATATATTTAAAAATTGTTTTGATGGAGTGAGCAGTAAAATTAATCCAATGGATAAGTTGGCAATTTCAGTAATTTCACTAAATGGGTTATTTTACCTCATTGTTAATAACAGATTAAATGAAAGCTCTCATCTAGAAAGTGATAGTGAAGAAAATATAAGTTCAGGTTACTATCGTCGTTTATACGAAATACTATGTCCTCCCATTTTTTCGCTGAAGTTTAGAACAAAATTCCTAAAATTACTGTCAATTTCACTGTTTTCACCATTAATTCCCATGGCAGTATTGAGCTGTTTCATAAAAAAACTGATTAGAATTTCACTTTTTACCTCCATCAATAATACAGTTTGGATAATTGCTTTGGTTAATAGCTTAATAAAAAAGCATAGAAACATATTATTTCCAATATTATCCCTCAACGAAGGTGATGAAATTTATGAATATGTAGACCGAATTTTGAAGAGTACACAAGGTGAGCTTTGGTCATATGATAAAGGTTTGAATGTTTATAAAAATGATCAATTTTTGGATTCGTACGAATCTTCAGTAAACAAATCAGAAGAGCATAAAATGAATAAAGCGGATAATATGAATATTAACAGTGAAATGGGTACCTATTTGTCGAGCAATTTTGGACTTTGGGAGTTATATGTTCATAATAAGAGCGTTATACCTGTAATTAGACATGTATCAAATACCTTAACTTTGAACGCAAGCAATGCCAAAGTCAACTATCATCTCCATAACTTGAATTATGAAGATTTAATTGGTTTAAACATAGAAGAAATATTAGTTCATGAAATATCATCTTCAAACGGAATTATATATAACTACTCAACATTTTTCAAAAAAGATAAAGAAAAGAAAGCAAATATTCCTTATAACTATATTGATTGCAGTAGTTTATCATCTAAAAACTTATCTCAAATTTCGAATAAGTTCTTCACTGATTCAGATGTTGAACTCTTTTCCCTAATTTGATTTAGGCAATTTTCACAGCAATAAAGCGTTCTATTATCTAGCTCGTTTATTGAGCATATAATAGACATTAAACAAACACGTTTGCAATGTCCTAAATTCATTAAGTGGCCATATTCATGCATTACTACTTTTAATATTCGATTATTCATTAAGTTTTCGTTATTATTTTGATATAATCTGTATGCGGATATTATTGCAATTCCTTTCTCTGGGTCACTTTGACCGAAAACATATTCGTGGTTATTCGTTGGGAATATATCCAAACTTGTTATTCCAATTAGAAAAAAATTCGAGCTTGCCTGACTTTTTGAATTCTCTGCAATGTATTTATTCTTTATTTTAAACAAAACTTCCAACATAGAATTTGTAGAAATTTGTTTATGATTCCTTAGCTCCGATTGTTCTTTTAAGTCCAAGTAATCTTTTAAGTTGAAACTGTTATCGCCAATATATCTTCCCTTCAAAACTAAACTTATATCTGAGCCTGTATTTTTAATAAATTTTATTTCCTTACCTGTTAAAATTTTAAGGTTTTTTACAATAAATTTGAGACTACTTAGGCTTACAACTGGCTCAAATGCACCAATTAAAGATAAAAATATCATCTATATCCATTTATTAAAATTTTCCATTAAATCATTTCGGAGATAGTCTAAGAAATATTAAGTTAAAAAATTTAATCTAATTTGGCGGCCTTCGGCTCATTCTGTAATCAAATAAATGAATTAGAGTAAAAGATGCGATTAGATGAGTGAAGATTCAATGATCAGCCTAGTTGAAGAGCTGGAAATAATATCTAGAGACGAACATACGATTATTCACATTTTGGATTTTGGATTTATTTCGACAGAAAGTGCAAGGCTTTGTGGTTTGCAGTCCTTTTCAAATAATTATAAGAGTAGTGGGAGTTTGATTTTATTTGAAGATGGTCAAAGCAATGACGAAATTAATGACAGCTCAATCTGTTTTGATTTAAACTCTGAATCAAACATTAACACTACCAGATCAAATAGAGATTTGTTACTCACTGTTTTGGTTGGGAATATTTGTATTAATAATACATGCTTTGCTTTAGATGAACACATTAACAATAGAATTTTCAATAGTAGGCCAATATCTCCAGAAAATTATTTAAATTCTAGAAACACATTAAATTCTTTTAGCAATTTGGATTCTATAGACCCCAGTATTGAAAACAATCCTCAAAAACAATTTAAAGGGATCGAAATCGAAATATCAATAAATAATCAATACCCAAGTACTCCGCCAGATATTTGCTACCTTTCCCATTATAATTTAAATAAGGATTATAAAGAAAAGATCAAGATCAATGTTGACAAATTTCTTAAAAATTCTCAAATTGAATATCGGCTCACACAAGTAATAGGTATTATTAAAAATATTTTGAATTGTTCAAATAGATTAGAAGAAAGTGAACAGCAAACACAAATAGTTTGCGAAAATGAGCTAAGAAATAATAAAGAGGGTGAAAGGAATTGTCTTGAAGGTTATGACCACAAATTAATCTCGCTAGATGAGAAAAAACATGAAGAAGATACTCACTATATGCTTTCTTCTAATAGATTTGAAGACAACTTTGAAGTGATTAAAATATTAGGCTATGGTGGGTTTGGTTCTGTTTTTATGGCTAGAGAACACTTTGGAGGAAAATGTACTTATGCAATTAAACAAATACCACTAAGCTCAAGAAATTTACGTGAAAACCAAATGTTAATAAATGAAGCTGCAATGCTTGCTTGCCTAAATCATGAAAAAATAGTTAGATATTATCATGCTTGGGTTCAAGAATCTGTTGATGGTAACACCAGATGCATTAATAATGAACTGTTTGATGATAATATCTACAGCTCATTTGCTCCTGAATTAATTTCTCAATTATCTGCAATGACAGCTCAATATATAACAAATGATTTTTCAATACTTGACGATCACAAAAAGAAAAGACCAGAACAAAGTTTATTAAAGGGAGATAAAAAGAAATCTATTTATTTATTTATTCAAATGGAATATTGTTCTGGCTATTCTCTTCAAAACGCAATTGACAAGGGATTAATTTTTAACAACCAGAAACTCATTTGGCACATTTTCTATCAGATAGTTCAGGGGCTCTCATATTTACATGGAAAGGGAGTAATTCATCGTGATTTAAAGCCTTCGAATATTTTTTTACAATTAGATGAAAATAATTCCAATGAAACACAAGAAGAAAATTGGTATTTGGTTAAACTAGGAGATTTTGGGCTCACAACGTTTGTTAATATCTTTGAAAGGTTTTCTTATCCAAACAATTCTATCGATAACTTGAAAGCAAATAAAGAACTTTCATCAGGTGTAGGAACTATGTTTTATATGGCACCTGAACAATGTAAAGGTAACAGTTACAATCAAAGTGCGGATATGTTCAGTCTAGGAGTCATTTTATTTGAAATGTATCATCCACCTTTTAAAACAGGAATGGAAAGAGTACAGATACTTACTCAATTAACTAAATATTCAACTATTCCCAAAAATTGCAATATTCCTAATAAAGTTCAAATACTTATTAAGTCTTTATTAAACCAAAATCCAGAAGAGAGGCCTACATCTTACCAGCTTCTTTATAATGAATGGATTCTGAAGCAAACAAAATTCTATTTGAATTTAGAAGACTCAGTGATACTTGCGAGCGATTTAGACTTAGTTGGTGCAAGAGGAGAATATAGTTCTCAAAAGATATGCGACATTATTAGTAGGAACCCATATATACACGAGAATATTCAGATTCTCTCTACATTGTTTTCAATAGAAAAGAGATCAATGGATAAACAGTTTTACAGAAGTAATGCATGCTTTTCATACTTCCCATTTCATTTAAGCAATTCTGGGTACAAGATCTGTCCATTTCAAACAGATAATATATTACTCAACCATCATCACTATTATAAAAAAAGGTCTGAACTAATTACTTATATAAAAAATATATTCAAAACACACGGAGCGACAGAAGTTGGAATTCCCATTTTGTTTCCAAAAATTAACAATAAGAACTTAATTTTTGATGAAAAAACTCAAAGTGAAATTAATTGCAATGATAGAAAAGTTAACTTTGATCTTGACTATTTGATTTTATCAACTAATGAACGGTTTGAGAATGACTCCCAAAAGAATAAGAAAGGAAGAAAACACTTGTCTAAAAAAAATCAACAAAGTAACAAAGAATATAATGAATTAAATGAAAGTATAACCATTTCTGACAACCCCTTGACTGTTGTTCTCTTAGATAGAAGTGGAAATCCGCTTGTACTATGTAATAATATACTAAAGAGTATGTCTGCACAGCTCGGAGATGGGCAGGGATTGAGAATGGGAGCTGTTATTAAAAGATTTTATATAGACTCAATTTATACTCAAGATAATTTAATTAATTTGGATGCAAGTAATAGCAGAGGTGCGATCACTCATGGGCACCCTAAAGAATTACTTTTTGGAACATACGAAATTGTTGTTAAAATAAATGATCGAGTAATTGAGGAATTTGATAGTGTTATAAATTTTTTTGAATTTCCTATTGAAGTTCAAAATATTAGTGGTAATCTAAATATTTCTCCAATGTGGTATTATAATATTATAATCTATTATGATATTGAAATTATCATTACAGCATTAGATACACTTAAGCCTTATGAAATGTTTATTGGGCAACCCATTTTAGTTTGGGGAGACTCGCAATTTTTTATTGCTTTATTGGAAAGTTGGATTGGAATTAAATATGATAAGGGGAAATACCTTCAGATTTGGTTACAGAATATGATACCTAAAGGAATTTCAAGAGGAAAGTTATTGGATTTTTTGCAAAAAATCACATTAATTTCTCTTGCAGAGTTTGTAAACAGTTATAATTTTGATCGTGAAATTGAAGGATCAAATATTATGAAGACAGAACTTCCGGAACAAATTGTGAAATATTATATTGGATTAAAAATATTATCATACCCCTCGATTTTAGAAAAAGTGGTGGAATATATTTTCTTCATAATTAATGATTTTAAAGGTTCAATACAGAATTTGATTGAATTAATAAATAAAGGTACAAATGAAATTTTTAACCTATTTGAAATGGAAAAGAAAAAGTTTATAATTACTTGTAAAAACGGGATTTTCAAAGAGTTAGCTAAAGTTACAAGATACCCACTATTCATCAATTTGCTAGTTAATAATAAAGGTTTTAATGGGAATTTTGCCGTAAATTTTAAAACTTCAGATAGTTTTAATGAGGAAAAAATTTTAAATCAAAATGAAGTATTTAAAAATCCAGAATTAGTAACTCCTAATTTACTAAAAGTTATATATAGAATATTTTTATTCAACAATCTATTAAATAGCACCAATTTGGGTATTACAAAAATATTTTTTGATCCAATATTGTTTTCAAATAATAACTTTTTTGAATCAGGTTTTTTTTTCTATATCTTCTCAGGTGAAACTTCTTTTGATCAAAACAATATTCAAACGGATATTCAGCCGTTTGGTTATTCGCAAAATATAACAATATGTAAAGTGGGATGCATAATGGATTTAATTTTTGAAAATAAGTATAATATAAATAATTCTAATTCCCCATATAATTCACTCAAACATTCAAATGTTGAGCTACTTGTCAAAGGAGGAAGGCTTGATAATTGGTATATTAGTGCCAACACTGATAAAGTGATATTTTTCAAGAATTACAGTTCTAAGAAAAATAATGATAAGATTTCAGCAGTAGGATTTGAAATAGTACTCGAAAGAATAATATACAAACTTCTCAGAAACACAAAGTTTAAGACTATCACTCCACCTCCAAGTTCGAGTGTGCCTAATAATAATGAATTATTCTCAAATACAGGAATTCATGTATTTATTTTAAATAATACCAAATATCAATTAAAATCATTTAAATTAAGGCAGTTATTGCTATTAAAAGGGATAAAATGCCAAAGAAACATTTCATCAAATAATTTGGACACTATTAAACAGAAAAGCCATATAAAAAGTAGATTTCCTTCATTACATTGGATTGTACATATTATTCGTGGAAATTTTGGCGATAATAGAAAACATCTATCAATGAACTCTTTGAATAAATCTTCTCATTCACCATACCAAGCAAATAACTCATATTCAAATTTGTTGAATAATTCATATTTACCCGAAAACCAAAATAATTTATTATTTTCAGAAATTAAGTACAAAATAGAATGGTGTCTTTTTTCTGATAATAACTTATCCTCTTATGCAAAGGAGTTTATTAATAATTATTCAGGCTCAGGCAATCCAAATAATATGGAAATGATTCTCGACAACGAAAATGCATTAGTTCAATTTTTTATTGAGTTTTATTGTATGAATGATTAATTAATCAAATTTTTTATTCTATTTCTAGTTTTCAAGGCTTTCAGCACAATAGCATCTCGACCTATTGAATCATTTAATTGAGATGCTACATTTGCTGAATTGGCATTTTTCAATGATGGTAAACTTTTATTATTCTCTAATAAATTATTATTTTGTTCAATTATTTCTTTTTTAATAGATTTTATTGGTTTTATTTCGGATTTATTTGTTTCATCCATTTCTTGTTTTGCTTGCTTAGAAACATTCTCATTACTTTGTTTAGTATATAAAGCATTTAAGTCGAATTCTTGAAGCAATTTTCTAATATAATATCTTGAGAAATATGTTGATTGTAGTATTTTGTCTTGAATTTGTCTATCAATATTAACAACAAACTTTAGAATAAAATGGATTACGTCATATTTCCCCATTTGATTACAAGAGTTATTTTTTTTAATACAAATTTTATTATTATATGAATTTAATATTTGGTTTGTTATTAAAAAACTAATGTCAAATCCTTTAATAGATTCTTTTCGTACCAGTTGCAGATAATCCGAATTTTTCTTCATAAAAATCGTAAGTTGATTGAACAGCCTTCTTTCAAATTCGCATTTAAAGTAGAATTTAAGACTAACTCTCACACTATCTATACAGCTTTCAACATAACAAAATTCTTTTGAGTGCCTATAAACATATAGACTCTTAACTAAATCCACTTTATTATCTCTGTTAAACAAACTTTTATTTGAATCGGAGATACCATTGTAATTACTGTTTGATAAGTTTTTGATTAAATATTCTTGTTCTATAAAAGGAACTGAATGCATGCATGGTAGGTTTAATGGCAGATAGAACAAACATATTTCCCTATTTAATGTATTGAACAACCTCCTTAAATATGGTAATAAAGGTGCATTTGAATCCGTATCTTGTAATTCTATTTTCTTTGATTGCATGAATTTTCAAGTGTTATTTACAATTAAAATATACGCAAAAAATAATAAGGCGCTTCCTATTTCAACACAACTAAAAATTTATTTGAAAAAAAAGTAGTAATGACTATTCCTATTCTAACTTTCTTTCATGCTCATGTTTTCAATGAAAAGGTACGTTTGACAATGTAAACTTCTATATAATATTAACAAAGTAATGATCTAGATTTAATAAGGAATATATGATGCCTAAACACATAATTTACATAATAATTTCCTTAAATTGACAAAAGTTCAGTTTCAATTCCCCTCCCCCCTCACCATCAATTTCCAACAATTTCGGGCGCCATAAATTTTTGATTAATTGATATTTCATGAGGAAATAACAAATTGGTTAGCTTGGAATCAACCGTCATATACTAATTAATGCGTTCTTTCCTTTGAATTAATCTTATAATTACCTAAACTCTTATTTAAAACTAGACTGGACATCGAATTTCATATCCCGATTTACAGTGCCAAAATACATAATATGAATTAAATTGTATTCTGAATAGTGAAAAATGTGGGGAAGGATCGTAAGCTCGGTTAGCTCAGTATTGGACATAAACCAAGCAACCTTAAGTGGGTGTATTGATATTATTGTAGTACCTCAAGCAGATGGAACACTTCACAGCACTCCTTTTCATGTCAGATTTGGCAAAGCAAAGTTATTAAAAAGTAGAGAGAAGAATGTTTCAATTAATGTTAATGGGGATGACATCCCATTAAAAATGAAGTTAGGAGCCGCTGGCGAGGCGTACTTTATTCACCAAGATGAACCCCCTGAAGATACTTTTGGAAACATATCTTCTCCAATAGACTCTCGAGAGTCATCGCCAAGTGATTTGGAAATTAATACACCTGAACAATCAACAAATAACTCGGGTTTAAATAATATATCTCATGCTAAGTCATTTGAAACAACAGTTGAGTATAGAAATAAGACTGACAGCACTGATCCTTTAAATTTTCAAAATATAGAAACTGAATACGAGAACAACCAGAATTTGACCAACGTTTTTCAGAGATATAACATTACATTATCCTTATGTGGCCACTTACTATATGGAGGAGAGGAAGATTCAAGGCATGATGAATATGTATTTCGAAGTAATATTATTTCCTTTGAACAGTTTGAGAACGACCCAGATCTCTGGTATCATTCATGTCTAGTCGCAATTATAGATGGGAAGCCTCCCTATTATCCAATTAAAGCGTTTTACCCTATTCTTACATCAATTATTGCATTTGGGAGGCCTCCATCCACACAAGCTCTGAAAAAGTTTTTAGGAATAACAGAAAGAAGCTCCAAGAAGATTCGTTCATCCTCATTTTGCGGAATTATTAATTCGAACTCCGATTCTAATCATGTTAATTGTCGTGCAAATAGATGTCTCTCATCGACAATACCGTTACCTTCTAAGTCCTATATACAAGGCTGTTTAACAGCCCCCGTTTCTGTTGATAACTGTGAAGCATCTTCATTTGAGAGTATTGAAAGCATATCAAGTTCACCAAATTTGATAAGAATGGACAGCCCAACTAATGCAACGGATTGCATGTATTTGTGCAGATCTAAACCTCCTGCAAAATATTTTAGGCACTCTCTAAGGCCAACATCCGATCAATTGAAGAGCATGAATTTGAAGTGGGGTGCAAATCGAGTGACTTATACTGTTGAATCTTCTTTACAGGGTAAAAAAACTGTGAGTGGAACTATTTATCTCTGGCCGCCGGATTCAAGGATTGTGGTGTCGGATGTTGATGGTACAATAACACGGTCAGATGTGTTGGGCCAACTTATGCCAATTGTTGGTAAAGATTGGTCGCATCAAGGTGTAGCGGAACTTATGTCAAATATTGAAGCTAATGGTTACAAGATTGTTTATTTGACTGCTAGAGCAATTGGTCAGGCGGATGCAACCCGTGATTTTTTGTTTGGACTGAAGCAGGTTGGAAATTCTGGTAATGCAACTTTACCTGATGGCCCTGTTTTTTTATCTCCTGATCGATTGTTTCCATCATTTAAGAGAGAGGTAATCGACAGAAAACCATATATTTTCAAAATTGCTGCTTTAAGAGATATTAGAAATTTATTCCCAATTTATAGAAACCCCCTTTACGCTGGGTTTGGAAATCGTGATACTGATTATCGTTCGTATTCTCATGTTGGCATTCCTGAAGGGAAAATTTTTATTATAGATCCAAAGGGGGTTATACATCACGTAAATAAAACCTATGCAAAAACGTAAGTTTACTATATCTAATTTTTGTTCAATGTTAATTTCAATTTAGATATGAGACCCTATCAGAAATAGTTGAATATATGTTCCCACCGTTGATTGAATCTTCAAAGAATAATTTAAATAAAGATGCATGCGATTTTGTTGAGAATGATGATAATCAACTGGACATTTTGGATGATCAGGTTCGTCGAAAATATAAACTGTTGCAACATACTGCTGTTGATGGGGGTTGCGACTTGTTAACATGTACATGTAACTTAGAAAATATTGATCAAGATCAAATTATTGTCTAGGATTAAGTCATGTTGTTGCAATTCTCAATGTAATTATGTTGCTACTATTCTAACAAACACTAAAAATTGTAAATTTAAAGATGATATTAGACTATTGGGTTCAAATTCTATAAAAAAGCAATGTACAACCATTGAAAATAGGATTAGACGCGATAGACTGATGAAATACATTTTAGTAGTGTTTTATTTCGATCTATCTCTCTTATTCTAATTTTTTAATGAATTTGAACTTGATTTCCAAATATCATTGATGTGTTTGTTTGCGAATAGTTTTATTTAATTTACTTGATTAACTCTTTCCTTTAGTATAATTCATTTAATTTCTGGAGATTAGACCCTATAGACATGTTAAGTAAAACAAACAGTAACACAATAGATATTAATTATATAGGCAAACATCAAATAATAGATGTTGATTGTGGTGACATTGAAGACAATAATTCCGATTGCTCTATGAACATAAATTCTTATAAAACAGCAACTGCAATGTCAAACTACTTCTCAAGTATGGATGCATCTGAAATGGTTTCAAATTTCCAGTTCTCACATACAATAGAATCGATTATTGAAAGTGAATTGTGACATGTGAGCTCTGAATACTATGATTATAAACTTTTATAAATATCAAAAAAATAATATTGAAATTGCGATTTACATATTACTATAAAGGTAGTTTTGTAATAACTAATCGATTTGTTTACATAGAATGACTACGTATTGTATAAATATTTAACTTTTTCTCTTTGCGGTTTGAATCTTTGAAAATTGAAAAACTTTTGTAACATGGGGAGACATGATGTTGCGCATAGTGTGCATGTTTGCTTTATTATTTAAATATATAATATAAATAATTGTTTTAATATTACAGTAAATAATAGTTTTTAGAGAAACCTGTGTGAAGGCAGAAATATTAAATATTTGGTTTTCAAGAGATAGTCTCGAGCTCAATAAATAGGCCTGGGTTTCCAATAATTAAGGGTGGACCTAAATATTTATATTAATACAACAGAATTATTCTTATCATTAGAAGATTTGCTAACTCTAAAACATGGGAGAAGATCAGAAAGAATTTTTAAGGAAGGTTGCAAATGTATGTGAGCTTACACTTTACAGTTCAGAAATGAACAATAAATTATTGAAGAATGCAATTAGAGAAGCATCTTCCGATCAACTTTTGGCCCCTGTTTCTATTTCAACTTATCCACAATTTATCCCATCTGTAAAACATTCACTACCTGAAAATAGTACTACTGCATTATCTACTGTTGTTGCATGGCCTAGAGGTGATGGCTGCTCAGAAGCTATTGATGCTGAAATATACAATGCGGTTGAGTATTACAAAGTACATGAAATCGAATATGTTGTTGACTATAGGTAAGTTAATTTATACTTATATTAATTTGAATTATTAATACTCTATTTTAGGAGTTTTATATACCCAATGTTGTACAAATATACGCATCAATTGTTATTACAACAAATGGAGAGAGTAATAAATGAAATTGCACGTGTAAAATCATTGATTGGCCCAAACATATTGCTAAAAGTAGTACTAGAAATAGGCGAAATTAATGAGGCATCTAGATTATCGTCTTTAGTTAGGTGTGCAATTCTCGGTGGTGCCGATTTTATTGTAACATGCACTGGGAAAGTTAAGGTAGGTTTAAACAGTGAAGACTTGAAACAAGTGCTCAATGAAATCAAGTCTTCCATTGAAGGGGAGTCCCCCTGTGACAAGGAAATTGCTGCTGGTGATGATGACGAAGTCTTGGAAAGACTGCAAGCTCACTATGACGAAAGTTTTGTTAAGGGAACTATTATTTTTCCAAACAGATTACGTTATTTACAGAAGCGTACTGTTGGTATCAAACTTCAAGGTGGTGTTAGTTCATTAGATACCGCTAGAGAATTTATCAATCAAGTTGAGAAAGTTCTCGGTAAAGAATATATCTCATCACCAAATACATTTAGAATTGGTTCTTCTACTCTTCACCCACTGATCATCCAAGAATTGCTTGGAATTGATGATGAATTAAGGATCATTCATACTTTAGGTATAAAACCTAACAACATTGAGCAAGTTAATCAAGAAGAGATTGAGTCGTCACCCAAAAATGAATTGACGGGTATTTCCCATCCGTCTGCTCCTATTTCATCAAACCAGACACATGAAATTGTTGGTTTAACAGAAACTATCGATAATAACAAGGATATTATTAAGGTAGAAGCTTTGAATAAAGATAATGCTACTATATCAGAGGGAGACTTTGAAAACAACAAATCAAAGATTATTTCTGTAGAGTATCTTATTAACTAGGAAAGTTATGAATGCACTGAAGTTAGATAACATCAATTATATACATTAGAATTACAAAAAGTTACAATGAATTAATACTAAGAAAATCCACTTTGAATCACAATATGGCATAATTCTCTCTGGGAATTAGTGATTCCACGAGAATATGGGGAATCTTACCGAGCAATTTTTTTGATATAAATTATCTGCAAGTTGCAACAATATACCTTACATCAATAAAAGAATGTGATTAATATTTTTGAGGTGCTATATTTAACTGAAGTTGATAATAGAGCTAGACATAATCTTAGAAATGATATAAAAACTTTGCTTAATTTCTAGTCAAATTCTCACGATTTTCTCATTTCGTTCGTCCTTGTTATCATTGGCCTAATGGCGGGCTTTTTCACGCTATTTATTTTTAAATATTTTTTTCAATGATAAAAATTATTCACAATTTGCCAGGAAAAAAACAATTAATCTAAACATATAGATTTTGGAACAGTTCTAATTTCGCTACTTGATGTCGGCTGAAGAGGCAAATGCCAGCATTGATAGGGAAATCCGTGCAATCGTCTTTGAAGAATTTTCACCTTTCATTGTAGAGAATATTAACAAGAACAACTTAGAAGAAATATATAAAGACTATTCCGACCCAAAATTGTTAAAATTATGTAACAACTTTGATTTTTCTGAATTTTTTAAGCTATCTAACGAACAAGTTGATGCAAATATTGAAACAATAAAAATTTTTAAGGTTACTTTGGAGGAGGTGTTTTCTACTGTGCTTTCTATTATCAATATTCAGCAATGGCTTAGCGTTGAAGCCCGTGAGAGAGGGCCGTTCCCAACTATTAAAAAGGATGAAAGAGCAAGTGTAAAAAGCTTCGTTACGAATTATTTGCCGGATGTAAACTATGAAAATAACTATAACTCTTGGAAGTTATTTCTCAAGAGAGATTCTCCTGCTGGTAGGAAAGTTTGCGAGATGTTTAAGCTTTCATTTTTAAAGTCCTTATTGCTCACAAATATTGGGATAATCCTTAATGATATTGAAACATCAGGAATATTCACTAAATTTGCGTTAAAAAGCAACTTAAGTAAGGCTTTATGTATGAAATTTATTATTAAATTGTGCACAATTTGTGGCATTACATCGAAAGAATCTATTGATCACTTAAAAAGACAAGCATGGGATCATTTGAGGTATATTTCTGATGATGAAACTCTTCAATCGAGTTTATTATCTGAAACTGGATTAGGTTTTCTTCACAGAGATAGTGGTAGTGCGAAGGAAGAAGCATTGGGTATTATTTCCTTCGAATGTATTACCAATGATAGAGAGCCAGAGCATCTTGTCAAACTCATTGCGTTAAAAAATGTATTTGCAAGGCAATTACCAAAAATGCCAAGAGAATATATAGTAAGACTAATTTTTGATAGAAATCATTATTCTTTTTGTCTGCTGAAAAAAGGAAAAGTAATTGGTGGAGTATGTTTCCGCCCATACTTTGAACAAGGATTTGCTGAAATTGCGTTCTTAGCTGTAACTAGTACTGAGCAAGTTAAAGGTTACGGTACAAGATTAATGAATCATTTGAAACAGCATGTCAAGAAAAGCAAAATAGAATATTTTTTAACATATGCGGATAACTTTGCAACTGGTTACTTTAGAAAACAAGGCTTTAGAAAGGAAGTTAGTATGCCAAAAGAAAGATGGTTTGGATATATTAAAGATTACGATGGAGGTACATTAATGGAATGTTATATAAACCCAGAGATAAACTACTTGAGACTATCTGATCTTTTTCATGAGCAAAAATCTGCGTTACTAAGGGCTATTAATGCAATCAGGCCTCTAAAAATCTATCCTGGTATCAATTTATGGGATAATGAAAACGAGAATACAGCAAATGAAGATTTAAACATTGAGCCAACAAAAGATTCAGATAATGTTGAGTCAACTAAATCTGAAGTAATGAATGACGGTGAAACGGGCAATAACTATCAAAATAATCTACGTTCTGAAGACTTTACTCCTATTATGGATTCTGAACATGAAAAAAACTTAGCTGTAAATACAAAAAAAATTAAACCTAGTGATATACCTGGTGTTTTAGAAGTTGGTTGGGTAGAGCAGAAAATTGATCCTGTTGAACAGACTAAGGTTGATCTTTCTATGAATGATCAAATTTGGCAATTACTTGATACTTTATCGAGGCATGAGAACGCATGGCCATTTAGAAAGCCAGTAAGCGTGGGGGAAGCATCAGACTACTACGAAATTATTAAAGAACCTACGGACATTCAGACTATGAAACGCAAAGCTAAAAACAAAGAATATAAAACATTAGCTGATTTTAGTAGTGAACTTAAACGTATGTTCGACAACTGCAGATTTTACAATGCAAAGAATACAATATATACAAAATATGCAAATCAGTTGGAGGCATTTATTTGGCCAATGTTACAAACGATACAAGAATCATAAACAATTAATATATCTATAACTATATTTTTGTACTTAATCACTTAATTTACAATTATATATATCCAATCATATTGGAGCTAATTAAAACCATTCATGTAAATGCAATTGAATTTATCTAATTAAAAAATCCAATCAGTCAATTGTGGATTTATATTTATGCTTAGCAAAAGAAACCTGCTAAAAGTTTCCTTAATTTGGCAATTTTTTAATTTGATAAATAAAAAAACTAACATAACTTTCTTCTTATTCCAAATGCATTAATTTTGCTAAATTTCATCTTCGCTACTTATAAACAATATTTTTAGGTTAAGTATATATATTATTATTTGCCATAATTAATGTTTTTGCTTAACTGCCTGGTATGCCTTTTGAGTATAGTAGTCCATTCTCTGTATCACATCTTTAATATTTGCTCTTTTATTTGAATTAACTTGTACGAGCATATTAAATACATATTTAGCAGCTTCTTCACAAATTTTGTACTTGTATGGGCAGTTCGAATTATCAAATCCCAATGCCATTTTTGCAAACTCAATCCACTCGTGAGGGTCTATTAACCATCCATCTTTTCCTTTAAATTCCAATGGGCCAGGGCCATATGGACTCTTCATGCTATCCACAACTCTTCTTCCCATTAAAACCTCTGCTATAGAAATTCCTGCTCCCCAAGAATCAGAGGAAAGACCAATTTCAACCATCTTTGCTGATTTTAAATCTCTGCTTTTTTTTGTATAATATTCGAGCATTTTCTGTTCAGGGCTCTCATACCATGAGGTTCCTCCTGTAAAATCTTTAGCACTATGCATAGAAGCTGTTCCTAAATCAATAATTTTAACATCTAAATGCCTCTCGTTACTAGTGCTATTGTAATAAAAATCCAATACTATGTTGTCAGGTTTGATATCATTGTGCCTAATGCCCAATGCCGAATACTGCGCAATTCTTGTTAATGCCAATGTGCACCATTGAAGTTTATTGTATTCGTAAAGTGCTTGGCATCTGCTATATACTGAATTTGCAGAAGATGAATGTTCAGATCTAATGATATCAAAAAAATCTGGACCTGATAACTTTCTAGTCACTAACACTGAGTTTCCAGGGTTTTTTTTATCTAAATAATACCCAATCAATTCTGCGCATGGCCAAGCATCTTCCAAATTATCATATCCTTGATCCTGTTGAAGTTGAGATAGCCTCTGATATATATATAGGTGGCATTCTATTTCTCTCTTAATACTTCTTCCATCACGTGTATTTCCATCTTCAACAAACTTTAATGCCATTGGATAGGCAGAGATTGTTTCTGAGCCATTTAAATCATTTGCAAAAGTCTGTTCACAATTTTTTGGAGGAATCCATAAAGATCTGTGAACTTTTCTTTTTGAAGAATTCTGCGAAATCACTCGATCGTGGCTAGTTGGCCATAGTTTTAATTCACCTCTTGGATGTTTAATTCCTTTTAATGGAGCAATAGGGAACATTACAGGACCGAGACGGTCATATAAACGTTTGTGTACTAATGAATAATTTCTTGGAACTATTGGGTTTTTATTTGCTGCAATAGAAGGTTTTGAGATTTTTGTAATTGTAGAAGCTGAAACTGTTACAGGATTTGAGTTTGCAATCGATGAGTTTATACTATTTACGTCAGTACCAATTAAAGCACCTGATGAGCAGCCAGTATAGGTATTTTCGCATTCATAAGTTGTAACCTTGGGATGATTTAAAGTATTAATATTGCTGTTATCTGTATCTTTACTTGATTCTACTGCGTGTTTATCAGTTTCTTCTTGTGATAATGCACTAATATTTGAATAACAAACACCATTAGCAAAAGCCATACTTGGATTTGAAACTGTATTACTTACATGCTTCCCGTTTTCCGCTTTTAAAGATTTATTCATAATTTTTTCAGAAAAACCTGCAAAGTTACTATTGACTAACATGTTCAGGTTCCCGTTAATTTGCTTATTTACTGTGTTAAATTTACCGGTGCCAGTTCCGGAACTGACTGCTAGTTTGCATCCTTCGCTCATAGAAAATGAAGCTGATGATAAAGAAGTTGATGGAATGCAACAATGCTTTTTTAAATGTTCATTCCCAATAGGTTGAATTGAGGTTGAAGAAGAGGATGATAAGGCAAATGAAGCCATAGAAGTAAAAGACGCATGAGGAGAAACCAAGGCAAAACAGTTTTCGCTATTATAACAGCTGCACTCCTGTGGGAAAAAGCTAGCATTTCCTTTTTTATTTATATTTGCCACCCTTTGCTCATTTAAAGAGTTGTTCCTAATTCTTAGTTCTTCATGCATTATTTTGCGAAGAAATTCTTATATTGAATACTATAAAGGTGTTATATAGTAATACTCGATTAATAATAGCTAGTCTGATATATAATTAATAATCGGGTTATTCTCTATAACTATTACTAAAAATTCTTGAGCAGAGTAAGTCTAACCTTTAAAGATCTTTGACTTTCCGTAGATTAATTATAACCAAATAAAGATTAGAATATAAATATTTGTGCTGAATCAAATGTCTTCCAAATTAGTAAATATGTTTCCTTATTCCTTTCCAGCTTTTTCCCTTCCTGCTCATTACCTAATTAACTTAATTTACCCCAATAAATACAATCCACTTATTACTTTACGATTACAAGTTTGGAGTATCCATAAAAGATTCTTAAAATAGACCTACACTTTAATCATATCATCACACCTCCTCTTTTTCAATTCTTCACATGACGTCTTAAAGTTGTAGACTGACTTTTACACACATTAACACACATGCGCGCTATTTCCAAATTTTTTTATATGCATTATATTATTATTCAAAATTTTTTAAAATATTACATAGAATAACTTTTAAACAAAAATTAAATCACCTTTCAATTTGATTACTGACTGCACTTATTTTATTTGGTGTTATTGCTGTTATATCTAGTATTGTTATGAAAGCTACATATAAATTTTCTTTGTATCAAAGATAAATTTACATTTGCCTCGTTAAATTTTATGGGCGGTACTATTTAATTGCTACTAGAAACATTGTTACCTTTATCGTTTGTAAAACAAATTATTCATTAAATTAATTAAAATTATTTGTATTCTACAAATTTCGATCTCAATTACTGAGTTTAATTTCTTAAAATGGAGGAATCTCAATTACCCTGGGTTGAAAAGTATAGACCATCAGGCTTGCAGGACTTGCTATCACACAAGGATATAATAAGCACTATTGAAAAATTTATTAGTTCTGGCCAACTTCCGCACTTGTTATTCCATGGGCCACCTGGCACTGGAAAAACTTCAACTATACATGCAATTAGCAAATGTATTTACAAAGATAGAAAATACCAGATGGTATTGGAACTTAATGCGTCAGATGATCGCGGTATAAATGTTGTGAGAGATGCAATAAAAAGTTTTTCAGAAAGTGCATCAACTACATTAAATCACGTTAGCGGAACAAATTTAAGTAGTTTAGATGTGGAGATGTCCGATTCAAGCGTAAAAAACTTAGACTGCAATAAGAACTTATGTGAAAATATTAAGTTAGTTATTTTGGATGAGGCAGATATGATGACTAGTACAGCTCAAATGGCACTTAGAAGAATAATGGAACGCTATTCCGAACATGTGAGGTTCTGTATTATTTGTAACTACGTTAACAAGATAACTCCCGCATTGCAAAGTAGATGCACAAGGTTTAGATTCTCTCCACTTCCCATTGAAGATATTAGGAGTCGAATATCGGAAATTGCGCTATCAGAAAGAATTTTCATAACTCTAGAAGGTCAAGAATCACTCATCAAGTCTTCAAGGGGAGACATGAGGAAAGTTCTAAATGTACTACAGTCATGCAGCATGAGTAATCATGGAAATATTCAAAAATATAAAAATTCCGAAGAATTACAGGGAATATTCTGTGAAGGTCTTGTCACATATATTAATGAAGAGATGATCCACAGAATTCTTGGGATACCCACAAAAAGTGAAGTGGACTATATATTTGGAGTACTCTCACGAGAAAGCTTTTCAAATGGCTACAACGCACTCCATAATTCCCAAAATGAAAATGGATATTCTACCCAGGACTTTGTGGATAGTCTTTATAACAAATCAATGGAAGCAAATTGGCCCGATGAAGTTGTTCCATTGCTTATGAGACGGCTTGCAGATATAGAATATAGACTTTCAAGAGGGGCCAGTGAAAGTATACAGCTCGCTGCAATTGTTTCATGTTTTCATGAAGTTAGAATGGAAATGGAAAAACTTGTTTGAATTCGCCACAAAAATAGTTTTATCTAATTCAAAATGTTGATTTATCATGAATTAATATTTTTCTTAACAGTTTAATTAGACACGATGAACAATTGTAAGCGGTTATTTTCCCATTAACCCCTTAAAATAATTTGTTTATGCAGTTTTTTTCATTGTTTAGACTAACTAATTAATTTTTTATAACTCTCCCACACTTAAATCAAGAAATGACTTCTGAAGAAGCGCAAAAGGAGTTTTTAGAATATGATTGGTCTAAGAGTACATTATGGCAACAATATTATAATAATCTTTACCCGACACCATCAGCATCTCAATTAACCACTTTTAAGAGAAAATGGTTTAAGAAGAATGTAAATCCTAACCTTGAAATACAAATTAAAGAAAGCTATAACAGTTACCAACAAGAAAGTAAATGTTCAAGCTTTAACTTCCAACCTGAAAGTACCAGATCCAAACTTTTACTTTCTGAAGGATACAAGCAGTGGATGATATTTGCACTTTCCATTTCGCTCTTGCTTTCATCTATTATTCCAATTCTAAATTTTCTACCAATTATTCGCGGATCTAAACTTGTGCGTATGCTTGTGCAACTATGTTCTTTATTATACATTTTTGGCCTTGGAACACACTTATATGATATTTCAACTAAACCTATTAAACTCTTATCAATTGAATTTTGGCAAAAGATTCTTATTGAAGAATCATTTTATTCATTAATTTCCATTGTTGCATATTTTGGTTTAATATATTCATTTCCTATGATATTTTTTATTCCAGCAATTACTTCATTATTCATTATATCAAAGTACCAACCGGTATTGAATAATGAACAGATCATTAATGTTTTCAACCTTGCGAATCAAAACAAGAACAGTTTATATCAAAGAAGAGCATTTTTCGAGGTATTTGCATTAGGAATTTATATTTTGTTTGCAGTATTTACAAGGAGAATCAGTATAATTTACATTTCGCTGTATTGGAGTTTAACAAGAGTGAAATATCCTATTGATCCTTATGTTCAATACGCATTTAGAATTGCTCACTCTCAAATCGATGGTTTTTTTAAGTCCTATTCCAACTATATCCCAGGATTTATACCTAGATCATACAATTGGGTAAGTTCAAACAAAATTTGCTGAAACAATTTATTAATATTCATTTAGATCTCTAATTTCCTTTCAAGACAAGTTAGCCCACAGAATTAATCAATTTGAATTTTTGATTGGCTTAAATTGTTGTTAATTACTAGAATTTGAAATGAAAAAAAAAAAATATTAAAAATCACTTAATTATGCAATTAATATAAATAGAAATGTTCAAAAATTATGTTAATGACGTTGAAATACTATATATTTTAGTAAATATACTTCTTTCTCACTTTAGTGGCAATAATTAATTTTCTTATTTAAACAATTTAATAGACATTCAGCTTTTTTTTGCGGGTGTGAGGATATTGTGTCCATTTAATTATAAAATTTATGATTATTTGTAAGGAATAATAATAGAAAAAGACAAATAATCTTTTAAATAAAAATTCTCAAGATTACGCTTTATTATAGTGGTAACTGTCGTATTTATGAGATATATCTTGCCATTCTTCTCATGCAAAGTTGATCAATAAGAGACGAAAATCATTCATAATAATTTAAATAATGTCTCAAATAGCGATAAAAAGTCCAAAAACATTGCATTTGAAGCTAGTTTTGTTGGGGGATGCTTCAGTTGGAAAATCATGTTTAGTTGTTAGGTTCTCAAAAGACGAATTTCATGAATATCAAGAACCGACTATTGGGGCCGCATTCATGACTCAATCAGTAAATGTTGATGATGATTATACTGTTAAGTTCGAAATTTGGGATACGGCGGGACAAGAGAGATACAGAAGCCTCGCCCCTATGTATTATAGAGGAGCAGCTGCAGCGATCGTGGTCTACGACATTACTAACGCAGAAACATTTCAGGGGGCAAAGTCGTGGATATCAGAACTACAAAACATTAACAATAATGAGATCGTTGTTGCTTTAGTTGGGAATAAGTATGATTTAGAAAGTAATCGGACTGTAGATTCCGAAACAGCACGTAATTATGCCAAAGAAAAAGGAATACTGAATTTCGAAACATCGGCGAAAACTGGATATAATGTCCAGGCACTATTTGAGGAAATTGCAAGAAAACTTCCAAACACTAAAAAGTTAGATTGCAGTAACATAAGTGCTGAAAGCAATGGTAACTCTGGAGGATTTCAATTGTTTAGGTCAGATAGAAATGGAAGAGGAAATTGCTTTTCAAGTAGTTGCTCTTCAAACTAATACTTTTAAATATTAAATAACAAATAGATATAATTTTGAAATGAATTTATATACTTAAAACGTCTATCTAAAATATTTATAATTTTCTGTTTATATTTCTAACTAAAATTAATGTTTGTGTAACTTCCCACAGGTTTACCTGTAACACAACTTTCGGACAAAATTTCTTTATTATATTGAAAGTAAGTTCCATATGTTATTGGATTATCTCTCCTTAGAGGAACAAATACTGCTTTGTTCTGCACATTTATCACAGATGGAAGTTTATTGTAATAATTAGGTTGGTGTGCGAAATTAGTTACACCATTCTTCCCCATACTATTAATGAAGTCTCTTAAATAGAAAGAGTCAATATTATAACCTTTATTATTATTCATTTCATTGAATGGCATTGTGGGTAATGTTTTAAATGATGAAAATTTTGCATTTAAAACTATTTTTCTCCAACTATATGAAATAAGTTTTATTCTTGAAATTTTATATAATGAACTTAATGAATTTATTAATATTTTATCCCTATTGTTAATATCCACTGGTTTTATTAAATTATCTTTCTTTCCATCTTCTGTTTCAACAAAGTTCTTTTTATTAGGCCGTGTTCGCATTTTCCAAAATGCATCAACCATTTGTAGCTTAATTTTGGTATTTATTATGCATGCAAAGTGTAGCATAGACGTTTCATATAATGCAACATTTGTCTCAGTGTTTGAATCCCTCTCTAAATCTCTTTTATACATCATAAATGATTCTTGCGTTTTCTTAAGTTCTTCTAAATGCTTAACTCTTAAATCTTCTACTTGGCTCATTAAATTTTCATTTTCTGCGAAAAGTGAAAGTTGTTCTTTTCTTAATAAGAATAGAGTTAAATCATTTCCTTTTAATCCTTTCCCGTCTTCATTTGTCGAAACTATTTTTGGCCTACTTATTTCTTTTTTCAAAATTTCAAACCCTTTCTTTAGATAATTTTGTTTATAGTGCGCTCTAAGAGTTTCATCAAGTAATTGTACTGCCATTCCTTTTAATAGAGAGTTGTATGCAATTTTTTTTGCTTCTTTTAAATCCATCATATTTGAAATTTTTTCATTTGCTTGATTAACAAGTTCCATAGTTTCTTGTTCTTTAACATATAAAGCTTTAACTGTTTTTTCCAATGTTCCTATTTGGGACTTTTGTATTTCGCTCGAATCTTGCAACTCTTTCATATAATTTTTCATGTTACTGATTGTGCTAGAGCTCATATTTTCTAATTCAGTCTTTTGAACAGTCATTTTTTCCAGTTGCTCTTTTAATGACTCCATTAATACCTTTCCTTGAATAAGCTCCTTATCTTTTTCAATAATTATTTTTTGTTGTTTTGTTTCATTTTTGGCTAACTCAGCTTCTAACTTAATTTTCAAATTTTCCTCACATTGACTTTCTAATGCACTAATTCTCTCAGCATATGTAGATTCTAACGATTTTCTTCTCTCTTCAAAGTTTTCTTCCAAATCCTTCTTTCTTTTGGAAATACCTTCTAAATATTCATTCTTTTTGTTATTATACACTTCCTCTAACTCTGCGTTCTTACGTGAATATTCTTCCTCTAACAATTCTTTCTTCTTTGATAATTCTTGTTCAATTTCCTTTTGTCTTGCGATATAGTGTGATTCAATATCCTTTCTTATTTCTGCCAGTGAAACGTCTGCTTTCTTCTTATTCTCAACAGCAGCAATTTCAATAGTTGCATGCATTTCTCTTTCCATTTCTTCCCTTAACCTTTTTTCAAAATTAAACTTTTCCCTTTCCAGTGCATCTCTCTCCGACTGCAAAATTTTATTTAGTTCTCTCTGTAATTTAATCGCATTTTCACTATCGATCTCACACATACGATCTATGTATTCTTTTTCTATATATGCTCTTACCTTATTTACAGCTAATTCAAATTGAGCTCTTAAGTCATCTGGGACATTTTCTGAAGGTTGAAGTTTTTTGCTATTTGAAACTTTTTTTCCAATATCGTGTACTTCTTTCTTTATTTCATCCTTGTCTCTGGAAAACTGTTTTGCATTGATTTTAACTGAGCTTCCTTTGGAAGATTCTGTAAAGATTGAAGCCGAATCATCAGACGTTATTTCATTTGGTTTTTTTTTTATTTTAGGGGACGAAAAATTAGAGGAAGAACTAGATGAAGAATCATGAATTTTTTTTTTGCTAACTTTTTTTATTTCTGGCATTTTTTTATCATGTTCATTTTTCTTATTATTAATTTGTTCTACTGCGTTTTCTTTTTGCAAAGGCTCAAGTTTTTTTTTTGGTATATTTCCTTTTTTATTTAAAGGCAAAAATTCAGCACCCAATGAAGTTTTAGGAAGTAACTCACTGTGGACTGAGTTAATAGATTCTCTCATTATAATGTTAATAAAGGGTTTTCTGCAAACATAAAACGTAAGAGAACATGTGATGTCAATTACCAGTTCACACAATATAATTACACACATTTTTGTAAGCTAATATTCATTTGAAAATATATGTAATTTTAAGATCAAATCTTGTTAAATTTATTATATTTTTTAACTTATTTTTATGTTTTCCACACTTTTTTACATGGAGTCAACTTGTTTTGTAACTTTTTTGATCTCATTAACAAAGAGCAGATCATTTGTGTAGTTCAATATTACCCAACAATTTTTTGAACAAATATCGATGAATTTGTCTTCCATTAGAAAAATTTCTCATTTTGCAAGATGTGGGTTTTTTGAGAGACTTGAAAGCCCACAAGTAGTTTGTCCAGATGCCGTTGAATTATTGATGAGATATTCTTCACATAACAAAATTCGAAAAAATACAAAAGAAATGAAACTTGACGTGAGTTTAATTGAGCGAGATATTGAATTATATTTCAGATTTTGTAGAAAAAAATCAGAATATCTTTATTACATATTCTTGCAACTTACATCCGAATTTTTCCAATTGAAACAATTCAAGTAAGTGGAATTATAAACAAATAAAATAAAAAAACTTCATTAGATTTTGTCAAATCAATCGTTTTTATATTCAATGATTAGTATTTTTGAAATTGCTCTAAATGAAGAACACGAAAATAATACGAGCGAAATTGAACAATTATTATCGTTAATAGTATTTCATTTTATTGAAAGAGAACAACCAATGTTTTGTAGAGTTGCAATTAAATCTGGTTTGTTGAAACTATTAATCCGAATTTTTAAAAAATCAAATGACAAATGCATAACTTTTAGATTAAAGAATGCGTTGTTACGTACAATAATCAGGTTAATTAGGATTTCTTCAACTTCAGCTTCATATACATGGGTCGAATTAAAAAATGAAATATCTGAATTTATTTTTTCGGGTGATGTTTCAATGCGAATATGGGGTATTAAATACATTTCAACTATTATTAAAATGATCGAGGTTGATAGTGAAGATGGTTTGACATTAAATTTTATCCAACCGCTAGAATTATGCCCTTCCATATTCGTATTGATGTATGATGAATGTCTACCAATAAGGTTACAAACAATTATAATTATATGTAGAATTATTATTGCTAGAAATAGTGAAAAGGAATGCAAACAGTTAGTTTACATGGGAATCATTGGATTACTTCTTGATGTGTTAAAACAACATGAGCTGAAGAACTGTAAAAATAGTGTAGCACTTCCAATTATCATTTCCTTAAATAAGCTAATCAAGCTCTCGGAAAAATGGTGTATGGTTTTTATTTATTCGAAAGGAGTTGAAATTACACTAAAATATTTAAAATATTCTTTAGAAAAGATTATAACTCCAGTAATTCTTCTCATATATAATGTTAGCAGCTATTCTTCGTTTCATACAAATAAAGTCTTGGAATGTAAAACATTGGATAAGATACATAGGATCAAAGAGTTAATCAATTCGAGTGATTTCATAAAGATAATTGATCACGTAATCTATTCCTTAATTATGAATTGCACAGAATACGAAATTCTTTATTCCTTCGTTATGAATAGTGGAGATCCTTATATTATTGAAAATAAATCAATTCAAGACCATCTAAAATTAGTACAGAAAAACTTTAACAAACTCAAACAATTTATTGATTCAAAAAGGAATAATTAAGCATGATTATCTACGGATTTTTTAGCAATTTATTTAAATAAAGTTTTTATCAATTAATTTTTAAACAATTAAAAATAATGAACTTTTTTTTGATAGAACTATTACCACCCGCTCATGCTCACGTTTGATCATAATCTTCTAAATATGCAGGAAATTGCACTTTATTCTTTCTCCATATAAAATATCTCAAGTTGATTATATTGAATTATCTAATCGTTAGAGATTACTAATAAATTTGATCATATCATTTTTTTAAATAATATTTAACATTTATTTTGCAAACAACTTGTCAAACGCGAATATATTAAAACACTTCTATAGAAGATATCTCTTGCCATTTATTCCAAAGGTAAATTTGGTAAATTTGTGTTAACTTAGTCATTTAATTGTTAAGGAAACGATTACTTTGAAGATGTATATTTCTTTAGAAAAAAATGGTGCAAGATTTAAGCTAAAGGACATTGCAAAAAATTATTTTGGAATACCAAAGTAAGAATAATGGATTTGAGGGCGAAGACAAGGAAACAATAAAAAATGAATTTATACAAAAATGTAATCAAGCAACTTCAAATATTAGGAAAAAGGAATTTGGGTTTAAATTCCGCATCCGAGACTTCGAAGAAGTTAATAATGTATGAAAAACTTATTGCACCCAAATTGATTTGAAGAGAAAATAACTTACTATTTTGTGATTGCACTGAACAAGAGTTTTACTTCATTGAATAGTTAAAAAAGGCACGAGAAATATCAGTGGCATAAAAAAATAGTTTTTTGGAGACAGTAGCTAGAGTACCAAGGATGGCTGGTGCAATGTTAAGGTACTTTCATTCACTTTGAAAAACGAAAAAAGTTAACAGGTGGATACATAATCTACTTAAGGAAGCCAAAAATAAGATGATTCATCTACTAATATGATTAAAACTGATAGATAAATTGACAATTTTAATTAGAGTTAGCATAATTGGCACTCAATTTACATTCTTAATATTTCATAGATTATTTTAAATAATTTTTCAATAATCCTCGTACGGATTTGTTGGGTGTTTAGAAGAAAAAGATGCTCGCGCATACACTCATTTAATTTAGGAAATAGATAAGGGCCTAGTCACAGGGTTTAGGAGAAAAAATCCAGAATTTGTTTCTGTTTGCTATGGCTTGCTAGAAGATGCAACTATTAGGGACCTATTTTTAGGAGTGAGAAGAGATGAATCACATCATAGAGATTTCAATCACTGCCTTGCAGATATAAGATCTAACTGGGTATAATTTTTTTGCTATTGATTAGACATTATTCTCAAAAAAATCTATTTTTTTATTACTTTAATGCTTGCCATTTTATTGACAAAATAACAAGCGCTTTTTTTTCTGAATTGATGAAAGAATAAAGTTCAATTAATAACAAATTAATAAAAACTTAATCCTGAGAAAATATTATTATTGATGATCAAGGAATGATTGATAATAATTAATTAGTTTTCCTATTATTTGGAGTATATATTGTTTTTATATTTTGAAATCAATGGATTTTGCAGAGAAATTGGGCGATGCCTCTCAGAAGAATAACTTAGATGAGCAAGAAGAAATAGTATATTCATGGGAACAAGGCCTTGTAAAAAATTGGGAAAGATTAGTTGAAACAGAGAGCGGACTTGTTGTAATTGATGATGAAAGTAATTTTGATTTGAATAATGCAACCATAAATTCTAATATTGAATTGCTAAAAAATAGCTCAAATACTAATATTAGGCGTGGCTTACTAAGAAATATTGTAATTATTTTAGATATGACTTCTAATATGTTGGAGCTCGACTACAAGCCCGACAGATTGCAGTGCATGATTAGATGTAATGAAGTTTTCATCAAACAGTTACTTGAAGACAATCCTTTAACCCAAATTTCGGTTATTTCTATCTACGATGGTATTGGAGAAGTAATAATAAGTTATAACTCTAACTTTCTCGAAATAATAACAAGCATTTTAAACTATCTGAAAAAGGGTTGTAAGGGAAGTATGTCAATACAAAATGGTCTTGAGAAAGCCAAATATCTATTAATTTCAATTCCTCCATATGGAACAAAAGAGATTATATTTTTTTTAGGTAGTATGAGGAGTGTAGATAATTCTTTTTTATTCAACGAATGGGTGGAAGGCTTTTCTACTAATAATATAACAATTAATGCAGTACTGTTTATTCCAGAATTATACATAATTAAAACAATCACAAAAATGACGGGCGGCGTTTGTTTATGTGCAATGAATAATGATCACCTACTTAAGCTTACCCTTGAGAATTTTATCAAGCCACCACCGAGCAATACAACAAATACCCAATTGAACATTAACCTAGTTACAATGGGATTTCCTGAATATGTTAGTAATCAAACCCATCCTTTTGTTTGTTCATGCCATCAATCTTTAACTCATTATGGGTATTCCTGCCCAAAATGTAAGTCGATTATTTGTTATTTACCAACGAAATGCCCAGTTTGTTCTATTTATTTGATTTCCCCAAATCATCTTGCAAGATCATTCGCATATTTATTTCAACACCCAAACATTATTCCTACCAAAAATGAGGAGTGCTCAAAAAACGAGTTTGATTATATAAAAGAAAAATGCGAGTTATGCGAAAACTCGTTTTTCAATAATAGCTACTTGATTTCTGGGTCAAAACAAAATGTAAACAAGTACCTTTGTACAAATTGCAATACTCACTTTTGTAACGAATGTTGCAAGTTCATTCTTAATAATCTACATCAATGCCCAATTTGCTGTTCGTTGAAAATTTCGTAGCGTTTTTGTTATATAATTTATTTTTTATATTTAATATCTACTCATTTATTTTTTTATTACCTCTTAATTTGCGTTATTCTACGATAACCGCCTAAAAAAACATATAGTTGGTGCATGGAAGACAACTATACGCAGAAATGCAAAAATTTAGCATGCTTACGATATCGCTATTGCGTAAAGATAAAAATTATTGCTGAATATTATGGTTACTTTTGTTTAGAATATGGATAAACAAAAGAAGGTTGAAGAAAAAACAATTCCCTTTAGTGGAGGACCAATTATTAATCAAAAAGTATATGATAAAAATTCGATAAAAGGGTTGAAACACATAAATAGTAGCAGTTCAACTATATCAACAAGTTCGGGGTCATCTGTTGAACTTTATGAAGCATCCGAATTACAAAGACTACATAGTATTGCATTAAGGAGTATTGCTATTGTATGTTTAGCTGCCTCTTTAGATGGGTGCGATGAACAACTTCTTCCAGCATCCTTGAGAGCTCTTGAAGTAGATTTGAAATTGAGTCCAAAAGATCTTGGACATATTATTTTGTGCCAGATATTATGCCTCGCATTGAGTTGTCCAATATGGGGTTTACTTGCAGATAGATATTCGAGGAAGTACATTTTAGCAACCGGTGTAACTGTTTGGGGCTTTGTTACAATATTACTTGCATTTAGTAGTTTTTATTGGGAGGTTTTAATCACTAGAGCCATTAACGGAGCATTCTTGGGTAGTGTTGGACCATTAGCACAGAGTGTTTTAGCAGATACACTCAACTCAAAAAACAGAGGGTTAGGATTTGGAATGATACAACTCTCAAGTTGTCTTGGAAGAGTTTTCGGTGCAGTACTAACTACATCAATTTCACAGAAATTAATCGTTGGGTTTCAAGGATGGAGGTTTGCATTCCTTTTGGTAGGAGTTCTAAGCGCAATACTTGGTGGGATAATAGTATTTCTTATGGATGAAATCCCTCACCTGCACTTACATCGTTTTAGGTCGATTCGATCAGATTCCAATAGCGAAAGCGAACAAGAACTATTAGAACAACAAGAACAAAGTGAATTTAGTATTTCTGTCGTTGCACGCCCAGATACTGGAGGGGTGGATTCTGATATTCAATCAGTGAGTGGCTCAATGTCGCAGGAAGAAGGGCAAAGAGTTACTCTTCTTAATACATTTGACACAAATAGAATATTTGTACACGATGAAAATGAGGAAATCTCTGATATAGTTGATGAGAATGTGTCTACGTTTCAATTTATGAGAAATGTAATCACACAAAGTTTGTTTGTAAAAAGTGTCATTTTAATGATTTTAGAAGGAATTAGTGGAACGATACCTTGGAGTTCACTTACATTTATGACCATGTACTTACAATATTGCGACTTAACAAATTTCCAGGCAGCCTTGGTCGTTGCAACAATGCTTGCAGGATCTATGATTGGTGGGCCATTGGGAGGATTATTAGGAGATTACTTAAATCGTATTTCTGCCGACCATGGAAGACCACTTGTTGGTCAAATTTCGATGGGAATAAGAATTCCAATAATGTGTATTCTTTTCTTGGTAATTCCAAAAGATTCTTCATCATTCTATTATTTTATGGTTTTATCTTTTCTTATGGGATTCTTTGCAATTGCAGGTGCTGCCGCAAGCAGACCAATTCTTTCTGATGTTGTTAGAGCATCTCACAGAGCAACTGTATTCTCCATAGCTGTTTTGTTTGAAGGTATTTCAGCGGCTACATTTGGGGCTCCTGTTGTAGGGATTTTATCAGAAAATGTCTTTGGTTATAAGACTACTGCCGAAAATGTAAGTCAAATGGATGCAGAATCGAGGCTTACCAATGCTAATGCGCTTTCAAACGCACTTGTCTTCCTTACTGTTTTCCCTTGGTGTATTTCTTTATTGTTATATTCTCTCTTGCACTTTACATATGGGAACGATAAGAGATCATTGAAAATTCAACTTTCTGAGTTATCCGGTTATACAAGGTCGATTAGAAACAGGTTAGAATCGAACGGGTCGGATACTCTTTCGAGTAGATCTTAGAGGAAATATTTGCAAATATAATTCTTAAGTTATAGAAATATCAGTTTTCCGGCTTTAACATTGTTTATGTAACTAAAGTTTTATCTAGTTATATTTTTATTACTTTTTTAGGGCTGCTTTAAAAATGTGAAAGGCAATCTTCTTTATTTTATTGGCTCAAAAAGTTACGGATTTTGCAAAAAAAAAAAATATATTTATTTCACATAATTACATGTAAAAAGTATGGCATGCAATCTGTATAAAATAACTGGTTTTTAGAACCCGCATGTGGGGAGGTGACGTTATAAGTGAAAAAAAATTTATTAAAATAATTTATGAAACCAACACATAATGGAAAGAGTTAGAGTTGTTCTTAGGGTGCGGCCGAATGCTGATGGGAGTGATGATGAGGACATTGTGGATATAAGGAGCCAGCGAAAAGTTGTGATATCTAAACCTGGAAAAAAGAACACATACTTGCTTTCACAGCAAACTAGATATTACGAATATACGTTTGATCATATATTCCCACCTGAATCTGGTCAAGAAGCTGTTTACAGCATATCAACATGTAACTTTTTAAAAAACGCAATTTCAAATGGAATTAATTTTACGGTTTTCGTTTATGGAGCAACAGGCACAGGTAAAACTTATACCATAATTGGAAACGAAAAAAATCCTGGGATAGTGATTAGAGGGATTAATGAAACATTTGAGCAACTTTTTAGCAATGAAAAATTAATTAAGGATAATGAACCCGACCTAAATAGTAACGAGAATAATAACTCAAATGAATTGAGACCTAACTCCAAATTCTTTGTAACCGCATCATATATGGAAATTTATAATGAAACAATTAGAGACCTACTAAATCCATCAAATAATTCAAATAATGGCCAGTACTCTTGTGAAATTCTAGAAGATCAATCAAATATACAAATCAGCAACCTTACTCAACTACTTATTGAAAATAGTAAAGAGGGAATTCAAGCCTTAAATTTTGGAAATAAATACCGAAAGATTGAACAAACTGCTGCAAATAATGTATCTTCAAGAAGCCATGCAATTTTTCAATTGTCAATATTTTTAGAAGGAAAAAAACTGTATATGTCAACGAATAATAATCCACACAAATTCGTAAGAAGTAATAATTATAAAAATGAGCATTTCCCTAGTGAAAAACTATATAAACCATCAATAAATAATTCAATGAATCCTCAACTTTGGTGTAAAATTTCGTTTATCGATCTTGCCGGTTCTGAAAGAGCGAGTGCAACACAAAATAGAGGAATTAGATTAACTGAGGGTGCTCATATTAATCGGTCATTACTGGCTTTAGCTAATTGCATTAACTCTCTGGCTTTATCAAGCTCAAGCGTTGATGGACAGGCCATTCTTAATCAAAATAGTGATGTTAGGCACCATGTTAAATATAGAGACTCTAAATTAACTCATATATTGAAGAATAGTTTAGAAGGTGAGAAATGTTTTGTTGTAATGATAGCAAACATTTCTCCATCATCCAAGGCATTTGAAGAATCTCACAATACATTGAAATATGCAAACCGAGCAAAAAATATAAAGGTTAAAATATCTAACCAGTTATTTAATGAGAACGAAGAAGGGGATTCGTCATGTACTTGTAATTGCCGTTTTGGAATTAATACTGACCAGAAGGTTAAATCTTTTAAAAATTCTCAGGTAGACTCGTCTTCTCAAACCATGATTTCTGGATTAGTTGGAACTGACGAGAAGAAAGTACCCCAAGAAGAGAATAACCATGGCCTAAATTTGATTCAACACTTAAATAATAACATATATGATGTAATTAATTCTATGAGCGAATTTTCAAATCATATATCAGGCAAAAAAGTTAATGAGACAATAATTGATGATTCAAACTACATTTTGGAGAAAGAGAATAATTCACAATTTCAACACAATGAAATAAATTACTTAGAAAAGCAATTAAACAGAACTAGCTTTGTTTCAACACAGTCCAACGATGAGAACCACGTTGTGGAACTAAACAAAATGAATGAATCAATTTGTAATGAAAATTCTTTCAGAGAATTAGAATCGAAAATATTCAGTATAATGACGGATTCACTAAAAAAGTTAAAGGAAATTAAGTTAGAATATAGTGAAATAATAAATAATGAGGCTTTACTATTAAAGAAAATACAAGATTTAGCGGAAGATTTCTCGATAAAACGACAAAAAAAATATACAGAGTCTGTACAGGATCAATCATAAATTAATTTTTCTCTTAATCACTAAGTTTTTTTTCCACTGAAATTAAGAAGTCTATAATGTCTTGAAATTTCCAACCCAATTCATTTTCTATAATGCTTTTTTCAACTCCTAATCTCTTGTTTAATACATGGTCAAACTCAGAAATTACACCAATTAAAATTTCCTTGATGGATACAAATATTGACAGTGGGTTTGGTAAAAAAGAGATGATAGAGTTTAGATTTGCTTTACCATATTCACATCCCAACAAATCAGAACTATTCGAATTTAGAATATTAATTGAACCAAAACTGCTGGGTTCGTTTAAAGGTTTGTTTCCAATATCTTTTTTTGAATTCTCTTCATAAGGGCATTTTTCTGAAATTAACAATGAAAATAATGTTTCCATTTCTTCCTTACCTGCAATAGAAAGATATAGGTTCATATACTTTAAAATATAACAATTTATATGAAGTTCCAAATTTTTCCAAAACAAGTCAGTTGATTCTCGAATGTACTTGTGATTTGTGCATTGTAATTTACTTATATCACTAGATTGGATTTCGGGATGTACTTGTAGTACAATTTTTGTTAAAGGAAGAGAAATATTTGAACATATGTTGTTAATCAGTTCTTCTAAGTTTGAATTGATTAGAACGTCAACAATATTAACAATTGAGTCTAGTGTCGCCTTAGAATAAAAAAGATTGGAATTACTTATAAGATTGTTTGAATCAGTTATTTCTGCATTGCTGGAAAATTTATTTTTATTACAGTCTAATTGACATAAATCACTTTCCAAAACTTCGAATCCATCTTTTTGGCTATTTTCTTTACTTAAATTAATAAGCTCATATTTTAAATAAAGTAGATTCCTAATAATGAATAAATTTCCATGATATATCCTTGATATTTTATCACTAAAGTACAACTCATTACATATAAATTCTTTAGCAGAAAGTAACTTATCGCAACACTTTTGAACAATCAATTTATTTAAAAATAAATAAGTGGAATTAGGAACCATATGGTCAATATACGATAGAGCCAATAAAGAGTTCTTTACAACAGGATAACATCCGACACTTATGTTGATTGACTTAACTTGTTTTTGATCAATCCCATTTGAAGGAACATCATTTCTACCGATAATATTTAGCCCATATTCATCCTGAGCATTCTCAAAGTAATCTTCATCAAATGGGCAATCCTCTACATCACTATTAGATTGAAGCCTAATTGTATTAGGCGGAAATGAAACATTTGTTAATAATTCACTTTTATAATGATGTTCTGTATTTTTGTTTATGCATTTAGATTGAACTGAGTTTTCTATCGGTATTTCTTCCATGGAATTATTACTAAATAAAATTTTAGATGAATTTTGTTGAATACTTAATGTATCAGAAACAGAATCTTGCAGAGATTTAAAGCTTTTTATTAATATTTTATCTGCATTGAATTTCTGCAATATTTCTGGATAATTTAACTCTTCAAATTTCAATTCGTAATCTTGAATTTTTTCTTTTATAAAAAATTCTGTGGAATACATCAACTGTTCGACTAGTGAGTTTTGCAGCTTTAATATATAATGAAGAAGCGAAGACAAATAGATATCTGGAAAAGAAACAGACTGATATAAATCATTTGAGATATTCAAAATGTCTTGCGACAGATATTGAATTGATTCTCTCAATAATTCCGGATCTTTTTGTGTTTCTTTAATGTGCAATATTAATTTATTATAATATTCATTGCCAAACTTTTCAATTAGTGAGCTAAAGTAATTATTAAATTCAATACTGTTCCTTTTGGAAATGTTCATTTTATTTCCAAGCTCCCTGCTAAATCTCTGAATCTCATAAATTTTTTTTTCATCCTTACCATTTCGAGTTTCTTCACAGCAAAAAAACGATTTATATGCCATCCATTCGTATTTGCAATAATTTAATACTAGCCTGGTAAAATTTTTAATATTCAGTGCCAAACAGTTTTTAAAATCTTTACCAAAATATAGTTTGTTTGAACCAAACTTAATAAACGACTTAACCCCACAGTGTTCGTCAGAAATCCTAAAGTTAATATAGTAACTCTCCATTTCTTCTATTGTAGATCTGTAAGTTTCATTTTGAAAAGTCTCTTTATATCTTTGCATTAATAATTTAATATATTCATTAAAGAGTTTCCCTTTAGCTCTTAATTGTGTAAAATACAAAAAAATATTGTGTTCACCTTTATTTTCTCTATTTGAATTGTAATTGGGACGAGAATTTATATCTGTAATATCATCGTTTTCATTCACATCGTTTTTAACTTGGCAATCTTTTAATATATTTTTCATAGTATTTTTAATTATACAACAGAGCTTAACTCTTAATTTTTTATAACCATCCACATAATAATCTTTGCGTTTTAATTCCGTATGGTTTTGGAAAAAAACAATTGAGCTGTCAATTATTTCGAAACAGTTAGAAACCTCCTTTAAATTATTTGAAAACTTATCATTCTGTAGTTTATAATACATAATTGTATACTGCTGATAAGGAAATATACATTCCTCAATTATTCTTGCTTGTGACTCTAGGTTTCTGAGTAAAGATATAGAATTATCACATATAGACTGAAAACAAGTTATATTTCCAATAAAATCAACTTTTCTGGATTCAAGCTGTTCTAAGTTTTTTTTATGGACTATGTTTTTGTTTCTTATTTCGTCCCACTCGTCTTTAATATGATTAAAACTATTCTTGATCATTTCCAACTTACAGAATTCATTCTGAACTAAATCTTCGTTGATCATATTTTTTAAATGATTGCCCAAGTCTTTAAAAGTTTCATTGGATAATATTTCTGAACAATATTGTTTTTTAGGAACCACAATACCACTAACAAAAGTTAGTCTATTACATCGATCTGATATAACACGTAGGGTTTGTATGCTTCTTTCAGGAATTAAATTAACTGAATTATTTGTTATAGAAAAAGACCTCCTATTTGGAGAAATTGAATCTCCATAAATGCTAATGTCACCATTCATTAATATTTGACGATTTAAACGATTCTTTACATTAAAATTGAAGAATATTCACACTGCAAAATAAGTATTACCGCCGTATCCACCAGTTGTATTTCTTTAAAAAATTGGCTAAATGCAAACAAAACAATCTGTTGATTTACTAATATACAGTTTGACAATATTCCATAGACAAGCATGCGTATTTCATGTAAATGTTGTAGAGGCAGAATCATCGAATTATTGGAGGTTAGTGATTTTTTAAGTTTCACACATTTTTAATACTTTTTCACCACATAAAAAAATAGGAACTTTCTTTCAAAATCTTCGCATAAAGATGAAGTTTGCGAATCTCAATGCGCTTCAAAAAAGCATAACTCAAAAAAATATTACAGGCATATCCGTCTATTAAATGGGCTTCTTTTTTCAATGAAGTCTTTTTGTAAAAGACTTATACCAAACGTTACTAATGATCAGGATGGGTAAATTTATCTATTAAAACATTTAAAATAAATCTTTATTATTCGAGTATTTTAGTTTTATTTCTTATACCACTGAGTTATACAAGTTGTATTGTTTTGAGACACTTTCAGGGCATAAGGTTAGTTGAAATGATTTCTAATTGTTTATAATTAAAATTTTAGTTTATCTTGATGGTGCATCCATCAATAAATTACGGAAATGAGCTATTGAGGTGAGTGACAATTTAAAAAAAAACGGGGGAATTTTTAATTAACGTCATTTTAGGCAACTTTACTCAACCATATATTTAGAAAATGTTATTAAATCACCTGAATATAACTATGGATCTTTAATTGATAATCAATTGTTTGAAAGTTCATTGGGATCATTTTTTAAACAATATATTCAAGAAATGTCATAAAATTAGTTTAAATCTTATTCGAAAACTAGGTTTTGTATAGTTTAATATTAATTTAAAAGAATCATTTTATTATTTAACTTGTATATTTGCGCCTATTACGATATTTAAATTATAATTCATGAATCACGTTAACTTTTCAAACAAAAGTGTAATTAAATTAATTCTCCAATTCTTGTTGGAAAACGGTTTATTAGAAAGCTATTTTACTTTATCAAATGAAAGTGGAGTTAGTCTAAACTGGGTTGAAAGTCTTAACAAAATTGAGACAATAGTTAGTAAGGGGTTATGGGATGAGCTAATCGAAATATTGAAATACATCCAGATTCCGGCAAAATTACAAGCAATTCTTTTTGAACACATAGCCTTGGAGTTATTGGAATTAAAAGAGCCATTTGTTGCTCAGTACTTGATAGAAAATAATAAATCACTATTTTTATATGATAATCAATTTAATGAGAAATACAACAAGTTACTCGAGATCATCAAAAAATCAAAGGATATAATTTCAAGCACAGAGAATACTTCTGTTGAGTCAAACTATTCTTCAATTTTTACCTTTATTAAAAATAATTATATTGAAAGGGGTAGTAAAGAAAAATCGAGAGAAAGATTATCAAAATTAATTTTAGAAAACTTAGTAGAAGTTAAAAAATCAGTATTATTAGAAGTTATAGGTAATTCTTTAAGATATAAAAATACTTTAAAATTAAACTCTGAAGAAATATGTGAAAGCTTTGGTTCAGAATTTAATGAAAATAGTTTTATATGTGATCAAAGACAATTGCAATTGAATGGATCAAAAGAATTAAAGTTTTTTATGAAGTCTCCTATTATAATAGATTCTGAAAAATTTGGATATATATGTTGTATTAATTTCTCTCCTTCTGGAGAACAGATATTTGCAACTTCAAAAGGATATATTTTTATTGGAAATACTAATTTCTGTAATGGCACAGATCAGAATGTTGAATTAAAACGAATATATTCCCATTGTGAAGAAGAAGTTAAAATTTTAGGTTTATGCGTAGCTAGTATTAACAATGGAATTAGTTGTGGAAATGAAATTGAAAGTCTAGAAAACTCTGAGCATATTTTAATTGCAAGTACAAGTGAAAGAGCTGATATAAAGATTTGGGACTGTTCGAACTCTAATTTTATTTTTTTTGTTAATGCGTATGAAAAATATATAACTGATTTAACTTTTAATAAGGATGCCACATGTATACTTTCATCCTCTATTGAAGGAATTGTAAAAATCCATGGATTGAAGTCGGAAAGAACAATTAAATATTTTCCAAAAAACAGCGAATTCTCTATAAATAAAGTCTCTTATAATAATTCAGAAACGATGGTAATAAGTGCACTAAGTAATGGGAATATAGATATCTGGGATATTAAGTCTAGTAGTTGCATAGCAACATATGATATATGTTGCTCGCAAATATTTGAATTAAAACCGATAAATAACATAAATTTTCTACTTTCAATTCAAAAAAGTGATAGTTTAAAAAAAAACATTGAAAAATTTGATTTTTTTTTTGTTGGGTCAAGATCAGGAATGTATCTTGTTGATATTTATAATGGAGAAGTGGTAAATCTACCAATTGAAGAAAATTTAATGGAAAATCTGTTCTCTGCTACATTTAACTCAAAGTTAAACATTATCATTTGCTTGCTAAAGAATTCTAAAATCTTGTTATATGATATTAAAGATCGAAAAATGAATTACAAAGAGATAGAGTATGAAGATTCATACCAATATGAGCAAATATTTACGGGCAAATTCAACGGAAACATTGCAGTTAGTGGAAAAAATAAATTTTTCGTATTAAGTGAATATTATCAAATATCCAACCATGTTGATACAGATTCAAATATTGAATTAATTTCATCCGATTCCAAATTATAGTAATCTCTTATCATATATATAAATTTAGAATCTTTTTTGCATTCTAATATGCGCTTAAACAAATTATTGATTAATTTACAATTTTTTAAGTTATATATAGTGTGAATTAAACTAATTGGAAAGATATTTTTGTTTGAAATTGAATTATTTACACTATGAATTATTTTACGAGTATTTATGCTTAAAAAATCGATCATCTTCTCAGTTTCATTTCCAAAAATATACGGATTTCCATTTATAATTGATATAATTTCTGATTTTTCTAGTAAATCTAAACCAAAATATCCGCTCTGACAAATGTCCAAAAAATAATTCGAACAAAGAGATTCAAACTTTGCGCCCACAACACAACTAGTTTTATTACTATCATTACCGGCCTTGTATGAGTTGAAAACTGCAATATTTCTGAATGGGTGGCTTACAGATCTTCCTATTGTACTTAATGGATTAATATAAGTGTTGTTTAAATCTTTCATCGTAGCACTAATTTGGTCTATAATAAATGCTAAAGTAACGAGAGGATTGAAATTTGTATTAGAATTTCTTTGTGCCAAGCTATCAATATGGTTCAAATCAATTAGCCAAATATCATCGCAAAATTTACTTTGATCTATTAAGAATTTTGTATTTGAAAAATTTAATATTTTATTAAGGTTCAAATTATTGATACTTTTGTTTTCATTCTCGTTAATTAATAAAGAAAGTGATGGTTTGTATGAGTGTGGTGTCTCTTCATCTAGAAACTCTAATATTTCACTTGAAATATTGCTATATGCAGAATCTACTTCTGTCGATAAGTAAATAATTCTATTTTGGTCAGAGTTTTCAAGTTTATGACGAATACTTTCCAATATTTCGGCACTTTCAAAACGTGAATTTTTAACATTTAAACTATAAGAATTATTTAATAGGCCATTAGCACTATTTGGGTTTGAATAATTCCATTTATTTGGAATTTTATTATGAATATTTTTATCTCCTAATAACCTTTTTAAAAAAAATATAAGATTAAAGTTATCGGAATATTCTATATGATTGTTGCTTTGTTCAAATACATCAATTCTCCCGTTCCAAGGTGAATGTTTGGTTAAATCTCTCATATTGGAACTAAAAGTCAGATTTTTATCATTAGCATGATCTAAGATCGTGCCATTTTGATTGAATGAATGTTTGCTATCTAAGCAGCCACCAGACTCACCACAAAACCCAAAAAATTTGTTTTGATTGTAATTTGAGTCAAAAATTGCAATTGATCCATGCTCAAAACTATTTTTTTCATTCTTCTCGGATTCCTTAGAGTTAAAATTAGATATATTACTTTGATTTGAATAGATTTGATTAAAGTATGTGCAAACAATTGCAGGCACGTTACCAGAAAAAATATGGATGCTTTCCATTTTGTCAATTATTCATATTTTCCTTTGCCTAGTAGATTCGGACTTGCATTAATTCGTTGAAAATGTAATCGTCAAACTGACCTACTTTCAATTAACTTCTAATTGGCGGTATACAAGTTTTTGGCTCTAAAAAAAAAGTACTCACTTAATCGTTAGACAAGCAATTAATATTATAAGGGTGGTGTTTTACGCGTTTCATGGTAATCATTAGTACACAAATTATATTGAGCTACCTAATATTAATATCTTAAACATTTTTCAAGTCTACTATATCGTATTAATGAAGTTGATCTGCAAAGTGCTGAACGAATATTGAATACACAACATTACAAGTAATAATGGATATCTCCGTGTTATTGGATTTATCTCAACCTTACGATCTCCAAAAGGTTGAGATGTTGGATGAGTTAGTGGGCGTTATGTATGGTTTACGTCCTGGTGATAGAGTAATTGCAGATAAAATATTGAGCGAACTAAAACAGAAAACTGATTCTTGGAGAATAGTTGGTAATATTTTGCAACTAAGTACTGACTACAATACTAAATTTTTTGCACTAAGTATTTTAGAGAAGTGCATTCAATTTCAATGGAAAATTTTACCATTTGATCAAAAGACTGGTATTAAGCAATATATTACTGAATTGTGTATTGAACTTTGCCAAGACGAAAAAATTCTAAATGAAAATAAACATTTTTTGAACAAGACAAATGAAACTTTGATTATGATCGTTAAACAAGAGTGGCCTGAAAATTGGGAAAATTTTATTACTGAGATATGCAATGCAGCCAAAACAAATCAATACATATGTGATAATACTATGAAATTATTGAGACTTTTAAGCGAGGAGGTTTTTGATTTTGGTGAAGATCAAATGGTTTCTAAAAAGGTTGAAAAATTAATGGATATATTAAATCAACAGTTCCCTCAAATTCTGTCATTAATACTATTTGTATTAGCTTCTTATTTAGAAAACCCACAAAATATAAAAGTTAACCTAGTAGTTTCATCACTACAGTGCTTGTGCCATTATTTAAAATGGATCCCACTAAATTATATATTAGAATGTGACTTGAGGCCTCAACTACCTCAGTCAGTTGCTTCAACTGGTAATAATAGTATTCTTTACAATCTTCTCCAATTTCTTTTAGACCATTTTTGGGGAAATCCTTCCTTTAGACTCGAATCAATCAAATGCCTAACTGAAATTTCTCCTTTGAAATTTGATGAAAATACAAAAGATAGCAATGGAGGTATTAACAAACAGATTGAAGATCAAATGGTTCATATATGGCTTTCAATTGTTAATCGCATTAAAGAAGTGCCGAATGAATACGCTCATTATGACAGTATACCAAACCTCTCTACAAGTATGAGATTGTATTATGAAAGATATTTTAATTATATCGCACTATTGCTTTCTAGCTTCATTAAAACTCATAGATTGACCATTTGTGAGAAATATCCTGAAACTATACAAGGTATGGATTTTGCTTTGGAACGTATGGTAAATATAAGTTATATTCAAAACGATGAAATTTTTAAGGTATGCGTCGATTTTTGGCTTCACTTCACCCAACAACTCGTATATGATGTTTTAGATAATTCAAAAAAGAAACCAAATGACACTTCGATGACAAATTCTCAAGCCAAATCTTCACCTTTATTTTTATTGAAAAATGATTCTTTTGGTAATATTGATAATTCGGAGTCTCATAGACAAGAGAATCCATTTAACAATCCCGAAGAATATAGTTCTAGATTAGTTCATTATCAATCCTTATTGTGCGATGTCAGGAAAATGGTAATATGTAGGATGGCAAAACCACAAGAAGTTTACATTGCAATTGATCCTGAAACGGGCGAGGTAACTAGAGAAAATATTCCGGATACAGATGAAATATCTTTATATAAATCTTTGCGTGAAATATTAATTTATTTAAGTAACCTAGGACAAAATTATATGGAGAAGATAATTTTACAATTGCTTCAGGAGGAATTCGAAATTGTTTGTATCAATTGTGGAGTTATTTGCACATGCAATTCCTCCTCTGTGAATCAATGGAATCCTATAAAACTTAATAGATTATGTTGGGCGGTAGGTAGTATTAGTGGAAGCTTGAGTAAAAATATTGAAAGAAAGCTAATAATAGAAGTCATTAAATCACTTTTGATGCTTTGTGAGAGAAAACGAGGTAAAGCCAATAAAGCCGCTGTAGCTAGTTGTGTTATGTACGTAGTAGGACAGTATCCTAGGTTTCTCAGAGATCATTGGAAGTTTCTTCAAACCGTTATTAATAAGCTATTTGAGTTTATGCACGAAACATTTCCTGGAGTAAAAGATATGGCATGCGAAGCTTTTTTGAAGATCGCAACAAAATGTAAAAAATCGATGAGTTCGAATAATTATATTGATGGGAACAATAATAGAAATTCAAATAATCAAATGATATCTGGAATTATTGATGGGGGTTCACAGGATATTAAGTTTTTAAAGTATATGATAGGATACTCGCAAGAACTAAAACAACATCTTGACGACAAACAAATACTCATTCTAATACAAGGAATTTCACTAACTATTTCTTCTCTAAAAGATCTTGATGAACAATATTTGTACATAAATGAATTGCTGCACATTTTTGATGTTTTATACTGGAATGATCTTGTTTCCAGATTGGTCGAATTAAAATCAAACCGTGACAACCAAGGAATAGTTAGTGAGTTATGTTCAATGGAATGCTCACAAAAGTTAATTATTATCGTACGTATTATGGAAACAATTGCATCTAGCTGTGGAGTTGGCTTTGCTCGTGTGCTTATTGAAAGGAGCTCATTTTTAGTTGAGTTTTACAAATTTTATTCCAGTTTTATAACTTCAGAAGTTCAACAAAAAGGGGCAGTTATTATTTCCCATGCTCATATTAAACAATTAAGAATTTCAAAAAAAGAAATCATTAAATTAATAAACTCATTTATTTCATTTATTGCGCCTAGAAAAAAACTAAAGTTAACTGAAAACAAGAATTTTTCCGGGTATATAACAGATACACAATCGATATTATACCACAATATCACAGGATCAGAAATGCTACAATATATTATACGCCCAATTTTTATTCCTGTATTAGAAGATTATCATGCATGTATTTCTGAAATTAAGGAATCCCAAGTGCTTATCTTATCAAGTACAGTTATAGTGCGTTTAAATGATATTGTTAGGGCGAACAACGAGTTTTTTAATACTATTATTTACCATTTATTTGAATGCACTCTATCTATGATTAAGGATAATTTTCATGCATATCCAGACCACAGAGAGCTCTTTTATTCTTTCTTGGCCGATTGTAATGAATTTTGTTTCCTGCAATTATTCAATCTGCCAGGAAATATATTAACGCTTTATATTGAAAGTATAATTTGGGCTATAAGGCACGAACAACCAAATATGGCAGAAAAAGGATTAATCGTATTATACAACTTTTTAATGAATTTGATCAGCCATAACTCAAAGGATATTGGTATTCAAAATACATGTGCTCAAAATAATACGCTTTCTCAATTTTGCCATGCATTTTATTTAACAATAATTAGGGAAATATTTGGTGTATTAACTGATACATTACATACGTCGGGCTTTCAATATCAAACAATGGTTCTTTATGAGCTAATTAAAATTTCAGAGTTTTCATTATTTGAAGGGAATCAAAGCAATAAACTGGCTCAAAATAATTCTAATTCCTCATTCAGATGTGATAATTGCCAGGGAAGCACGTGTAAAATTTCAAAAGTTGGAGTAATGGAGTATATTGCGGACTTACTCATTAAATCATTTATTACTGTCCAAAAGGAGCAGGTTGAAGTCTTTGTATTAGAACTTTTTAATAGTGTTCACAGCAAAACTATCTCTGATTTTCAAAGACTTGTACATGATTTTCTTATTCAAATTAAGGAATTTACTAATGAAGAAAGTAAACACATGTTTGAAATAGAGAAGGGCATTGCATTAAAACGTGCAATTGAAATTGAAAAGAACAAGCAGTGGATGATCCCCGGCTTGCTAAACCAAGAAATTGGATTGAATTCTATCGGTTGTGAGGGTGAAGAAGATGATATTGAAGATGATGATGAATAAATAATCGAATATTTGATTCTGCAAGTCTTTCAAATAAAATAAAATAAATTTATATATATATATTTATATATATAAATTTATAAATTTATTTATTCTAATTTATTGTTTAAGCCCTAAGGTCTGGGCAGTTTAGAAACTTATAGTAATTCTACAAGACCATTTTTTTAGAAAAGTGGGAATAGGTAGCTCTCATACGAAACTTAAATTATCTTTTAATCTATTTAACAAAAATCTATTCTTTTGTTTTTACCTATTTAAAAAATGTCGATCAGGCGTGAAGAAGAGGAACGTAGGAACTATCAAAATATTAGTTCTAGAGGTAACAGAAAAGAGTTTTTGAAGAAAGATCAAGTTGAATTGGAGGGGACAGATGGGGATGAATTCAAGGATATAAACCCTGTACATGGATGTTTGGTTCCCTGCCTTAAGTGTTGTATTTACCCTTGCAGAGCTTTTTTCCTTACTGGAAAATGTATATCACAAAAAAGAAGGATGAAAAAAGTTAAATACAGCAAAAGAAAACCTAATAATAGTTATGTATACTCATATAACTCAAACGGCCAAAAACCTCAATATAATCAATTTTACAGCGCAAGTAGTAATATTGGAACAAACCAAAATTTACAAGGCTCAATAAATACTGATGGACCAACGAAAGGAAATTTAAGACACCCGTCATTGACAGGAAATTGTATTACACCTATTTGCTCGGGTTCATCCGCTTCTTTTTGCACTATTCAGGCTGAGTACCCCTCTAACAGACGTTCCGTTTTGCCTTCTTCAAGTTCTTATGGACCAAGGAGGTATGTTGAAAAAACTGATGAAATGCCAGTTTTTAATGAATCAAATAAGCTGACTTGTTACTGTTTAGGGAATAGTAATCAAGAAACGAAGTTTGAAGAAAGATGCGATGGTATTGAGTCCAATCCATTTTTAGAAACAGTAAACAATACACATCCTGAAGAAATAAGTGACAATTATCTTATCAAATATAGTCAATACCAGACAAATGAATTTGAAGATTGCTTACAGGAAAATTCGAGCAGAGAATACTTTAATGCCGGGAAATATTTTGAAGATAATTTAAAAGACAATCAAGCTCCCCTTATTGGGGGAAATTTAATTACAAAAGGTATATTTTCTTCATGTACCCCATGCGAATATAGTGATCATGTTAGCCTAAAATATAGTCAGGGGAATTGCTTTGTTGATAATTGATTATTTACATATTATAGATTATTGTAAAATGTAAAATATCATTTAAATACTAATAATATATTACAACACTTAATTATTATTTATAACATATCTTTCTTATAACTCAGACGTGTTGTAAAAAATAAGAATAAATAGAAAGATGGCAATTTGGTCCAGAATAGACAGTGTATATGCCAAATTACCAATCAATGAATGGATCAGCATTACCTGTAACAGCTGTAGGTTGTTCATGGCTATCTGGATATTCTTCAAAATTTGAAGAATCGTCATAAGAGCTAACCTTAGGAATATATGGGGGGTCAACCTTCTTTGATATCAAAGAATTAAAGTCGTAGTTATAAAACCATTTATGTAGTTTTATATCACTAACACCCCCTTTCAGATTACCATATCTCTTTGTTAAGTCTGGCGTAAGTAATCTTTTCACCAAGCTTTTACAATTTTTATCAAAATATTTAGGGAAAAAGATTTTGCCTGCTAGAATTTTTTGATAAATCCCCATGGGCTCATCATCATAAAAAGGAGGAAAACCTACGACCATTTCGTATATCAATATACCCAATGTCCACCAGTCCACTGGTTTTCCATGGCCTTTATTTAAAAGAACTTCTGGTGCAATGTATTCTGGCGTCCCACAAAGTGTAAAGGTCCTATATTCAATTGCCTTTGCAAACCCAAAATCAGTTAATTTTAAATACCCATCTTTATCAATTAGAATATTCTCTGGTTTGAGATCTCTATATATAATATTTTTCCCATGTAAATATTCAAACATTAATACAACTTGTGCAGCATAAAACCTTGAAGTTTCATTGTCAAAATGTCTACATCTTCTTAGATACGTGAAAAATTCCCCACCTATAACGAACTCCATCATAATATATAAATATCGATCGTCTTTAAAGGTTCCGTACATTCTAACTAAAAATGGGTGCTTAATTCTCGAAAGAATCGCTTTTTCATTCGTAATATGGTCCACTTGCTTTTGGCGAATAACAACACTTTTTTTGAGTCTTTTTATCGCATAAATACTATTATCTTCTTTGTACTTAGATAAAAAAACTCTTCCAAACGATCCTGTTCCTAACGTTCTAATTAGCTGAAAATCATCAATATTATATTTTATCTTCTGGTTGTTATCTGATATATCCGCATCATGCTTGCTTGTATTTGAAGCCGTAGGGTGCCGGGCGTCATTATTTTGACTATCGTGGGACTTACCATTGGTATTATAATCTAAATTCCTACCATTATCGTATGCATGATTGCTAACAGCTGTTGCATTTTTTTGGTTATTACCGGCCTCTTTTGAGGAGTGATTCTTCCCTCCAGAAACAAGTCTCTTCCAAATTCCATCCATTCGTAACAATTAGAATAATACCAAATTAAATCCCCTACGGTACTAAGCAAAAAAAATATAATCTAATTCTTGGCTGAGACCGAATTATGTGTATAGCTGTAATAATATGAGTGAAAACTTAGTCTTAGATATAATATTATAGACTAAGACATTAAATCACTATGCACACTCCGTCTATACTCACTGATTTTTCTTTTGTCATGCATGAACATATACGCTTTGAGCGCCATAATTTTTTCTATACAAATATAGAGAATTGAATTCGACTATGTTAATATTAGCATTCACCAGAAGTATTTTTAAGCTTAAATACGCTATTCAGATTAATATTTTAATTAACCGTTTATTAGCACATTTCCAACTACTTTTGAATGTATTTCCCAATCCTCACAAATACTTTATATTATTCTTTTATTATAACCTTGCAATTTCCACTCATTAAGAACGTCGTGCCGTAGTTAAGGCGGGAAAATGCCCACATGCTTTAACATGTGGGACTGTTAATATTGAAATGGACCACTAAAGGGCTGCGGAATTATAAATTTGTAATGTAGATTATTTTAATAACCTGCGGAATAATGAAAATCACGAAAAACATCACTGTAAATGTAGAAGATGGAAACACATACGTAGTTCCTGAACATTACAAGTTTATAAAAAAAGTTGGTAGTGGTGCTTATGGATGTGTAGTTTCGTTTTACGATAAATCTAAGGGCTCTTATATTGCAGTAAAAAAAATATTTGATGCATTTCAGGACCTAATTGATGCAAAGAGAATTCTGCGAGAAATTAAACTATTGAGACAACTTCATCACGAAAACATTTTGGGCATTATTGATCTTCTCCCTCCTGACTCACCAAATTTTGAAGATATTTATATTGTTACACAATTAATGGAGACAGATTTACACCGTGTGATATATAGTAAACAGACACTAACAAATGAACATATACAATATTTCATGTACCAAATTTTGAGAGGATTATCTTACTTACATAAAGTAAATATTATACATCGTGATTTGAAACCATCGAATATCCTTGTAAATTTATCATGTGATTTAAAGATTTGTGATTTTGGTTTAGCGAGGGGAAATGTTTGTGATATCGATAAAAGTAAAGATGAATTGACGGATTATGTTGTTACGAGATGGTATAGGGCCCCTGAAATAATTTTATGTGTAAATAGGTACGATAAAGCTGTGGATATATGGAGTGCAGGGTGTATTTTTGCTGAGCTAATTAAAAGAAGTGCATTATTTGCTGGTCATGATCATCTAGACCAGCTTAAAGCAATTATTTCCTGTTTAGGAACTCCGAGCAAAGACGACTTAGATTCCTGGCTTCCCTATAATGGAAGTACTGAAAACGCAAGAAAGTATTTGGATACACTTCCAAATTATAAGGGAAGGCATATTTCGACTTTGTTCCCTGGATTTGATTGTCCCGAAGCCATCGAGCTTATTGAAAAAATGCTAAGTTTTAACCCAAGAAAACGAATAACTGCAGACGAAGCACTGTCACATCCATATTTCAACGGTATCAATGTTAATTCAGAATACAACTCTCCGAAATCATCAAACATTGGGGGTGTTAAGTTTTCATCAAATTCAGGCACAACTAATTCAATAGATTGGTCCTTTGACAACTTTGAACCAACAAAAAGACTATTACAGAACAAAGTATATGAAGAAATTGCAGATTTCCATCCAGAAATTTTAATTAGAGATTTTCCATATATTCATCATTTAGGTATCAATGTCCCAAAAAAACATTTACAAATGTTAAGATCAAAGTATGCTACGCATACATTAAGAGGAAAAGACAGAATAAATACATACACGGTTGATTCTTTGATGAGCACGTCATCTTCTACATCAATTACCCCGTCCAATAGTTTTGATATTTTAGGTACGATTGATATGGTTAAAAAGTTGTCGATAGTTCATAAACAAAACAGAATGTCAAACTCTCAGCCTGCACAATTAGGATCAAATGTTTCTTTTAATGAGTATAAAAGTAGATGTGAAGAATTTTTTTTTAGTCCCTCACAAGAATCATGCTTTACGACACCAGCCTTGCAAAAAAGAACATACCCATTCATATCATGCTCCGGTAATTCAGAATCAGGTAGTGATACGAACCTTAGCTTGAAAAATATAGTTGGTGTGGAACAAAAAAATAACAAAATGACCACAGAGGATTTAAAAAGAATTTCCTACAGAAACACTGAAAACATTAGATAAGTATTCCAATATTTACTCAAATCTAGAAAGATTAAGCTTAAATTTAATGGGAGGGTGAGTATAAACAACCTTTTCCGTTAGAAATGTATTTAACAGTAAATGCAATCTTATCTAATTGAAATGAATAGCAATCTCATTGATTAAAGTGTGATTAATTTGGGCGCAATTTTCTCTAATTTTATATTTCTTGGCTTTTAGGAAAATGGAAAACAAAAATTTTATACAAAATATATTTAATTGCCCCATATGCCCATACTTTAGTAGGAATTCTGTTTCACACTCCTTTATTTCAGCATTAGATCAATGCAAGATACACCCTGCTATTTTGAGATTGGGAATGAGAATGAAAGACAGGAAAATAATTGGTACAAATATGAGAAGTAAATGCTTGTTAATTGCAATAGGGCAAATGCTTGAAGATTATTACTGCCCCCCATATAAAAGCATCGAAAAGCATCTAAAGATGGTTCTAGACACGCACATTTCATATATAACATCACAGAGACAGCACAATATTGCTATGGGGAACGTGATTAAATGGCTAAAAAAACAAGTATGTAATATCAATCCATCACTTCCTCCAAGTGAAATAATAAACCAGCTTATTTCTTGTATAAAAACTTATATTTACCAAAGAATCGTAAATGCATGTGAAAGGATTTCATACGTAGTTTCAAATAAATACATTACAGATGGTGATATAATAGTTACATATTCAAACTCTAGTTCTGTAGTTAAATCTCTGTTTAAAGCTGCAGAAATGAATAAGAACTTTCAACTAATTGTCGTAGATTCAAAGAACAACCTTGATTCGAGTAGTCAAGATATTACAAAAGAATTATCCTTAAAGGGGATCAAAATAACATATACATTACTAAATTGTTTAGCTTATCATTTAAGATATGCAACCAAAGTCATCATTGGTTCATGCGCCATCTTTTCTAACGGATATGTAATGAATCGCTCGGGATCGTCGCTTGTAGCAATGCTTGCGAAGATACATCACATTCCCGTAATGATCGTTTCGGAATCCTATAAGTTATGCGAGAAAAATTATTTTGAGCACTCAACCGTTTTTAACGAAGTCGTTGAACAAGAAATATCTAATAATTTGACACATTTTCCGGAGCATTCGAGCGAAATTTCACCTAAACCACATACAGTTGCGTTTATTCCTTGCTACGATGTAATTCCACCTAAATTCATTGATGCGATTGTTACGGAAGATGGCATTTTTTCAGCTGAATCATTCTCGATAAAAAACAGGATCACAAATTAGAATAGTAACCTAATATAAAATGATATTGTTAGTGAACGTGGAATAAATAAATCTCTTTATATCACATAAATAGGACTTTTTCCCAAAGAATGGAGTGGCGCGGGCGCCAGATAACTTTTAGACAGCATAATGTATTGTCAACTTCGAAGTTTTTTTATTCTTATTCAATTATTGCTAAGTTTAATTGATCCAATATACCATTATATCTCATAGGAAATATGAGGCCTTATAATTGATTCGTAAGTTTGCCATAACTTGGGAACTGACTATACCTGTATTATGAATGAAATTTACCATGCTGATGCGAATTATAAATGCAATGATGTATTTGGTTTCCGTGTTTCTGAAATATTATATTTTTGAAGACACATCAAATATCTGAGCTTAGATTACTTCTATCTAAGGTATTTAGTTTCAATTCACCTTTGTATTCGCATTTTTAGTATTGGAACTTACGTGATGATTGACAAAAATTCGTGGATTTAAATGACGATTTTTTTTGTCGCCCCAGTCTGAAAATTCCATCTTAACAGATTGAATTGATAAATTTCATTCCCCAATTGCAGGTAATTCAGAACTCCTAGTTTTAAGTATTTGAAAATATTAATACAAAATATTAATACGATAGTTTTTAGTTTAAATATTTCTTCAAGGTTTAATTTTCTTTTGATAAGTGATATGTTGACTGATTTATCTAATAGATATCTTTATAAATACCCATGTGCAAAAGGAACTGCTATTAATGTCATTCGTGAAGTTGGATCAAGTTTAGAAATTGATCTTGAAGATGGAGATATTAAAGAAAAAATGGATTCTATCGATTCAACTAATAGAATTATCTCCTGTAGTTTAATACTACTGCTTATAGCCTTTGAAAATGAAAGAAATCTGAAGAAAAAATTATTGAATTTTCTAAGAAACTTTATGCAAGAATCGAAGGCAATATGGCCAAATATTTCGGATTATACTCAATTTGTTTATAAAAGTTTCAACAATTTAGTCAATTTCGTAGTGGAAAATATGGTTAAAGATATTAAAAAATTTTTTTTTAGTGATGAATTGGACTTAGTTAGCATCCAAAAAAATCAATTATTAATTGAGAAATACACAAGCGCAGTTCAATTCGTCCTTAACAACCTATTTGAGATGTTGCTTTCATCTGCAGGAGTTAACAACAGACTGACAATGCGCTCGGATTATGTGTTGCCAATATTATTTGAAGGAATATGTCATTTAGACTCGGAATTCAAAAGAATATTAATTTATATACTTCATATTCAAACTTCAGATTTCAATAATCAAATAAAACTCTTGATCAATGAAACCAATATGAAAAGAACGATAAATTGTTGTGTTGAAATTGATCAGCAATTACTACTATGCATAATTTCTATTTTAAACCGAATTTCCAGTATCGTAATATGCTGTAGTAATTCATTTAGTAGTTTAATCAATTATATAAGAATTCTTTTTAAAACCAATATTTTAGATGAGCTTGAACCTGGGAAAGTTCCAAAAAAAGTAATTCATACTATTTTTTTCAGAATATTGTGTTCAAATACACTTGAAAAGTTTAACAAAGATTTAATAACGTCAATTGGAATGTTCTCGTCATTATTATATATTAGTGAGCAAATTACTCAAGAGGGAAGTACAACAAATGATTTATATTTGAATAAGATGAATAAAATTGTGGAAAATGTTCAAGAACATGTTGAAAAATGGGAATTTTCCAATGTTTGTCAAATAGCATTTTATAGAGGATTAACTGTCTACTGCTCAATGATAAATGATATTGAAAGACTTAATAATCAGATTTGTGATTATAAAATATTTAAAATATCATTTCGTGTACTCGCATATTTAATAAATAATTGTAAGTCAGAGGAAGACTCAGCATATGGATTACAATCACTTCTCATTTGGATTTCAAGATTTAAATCTGAAATTTCAAACTCAAATAAAATCTTGATAAAAACGTCCATTCCCTGTTTTAATTTAATAACCATTTCAGATATTCTTTTTTCATTTTTAGATCAGCCAATTATTTACTGTTCTAAATTGGCTAGTCAAATTTTGGAGGAATTTGTTGACTATTTATTAGTTTTAGATTCGATTTTTGAAAGAGAAACAATTGAGGAAATAAATTTGGATCCATTGAATTGGTTTATGAACTTTTTATTTAATAATAATTCGAATAATAGCAAATTTCAACTTTTATCATTATATATACTTTTTAATGGAATATTGAATCATTCAAAAAGTGGCAAATTCAAAGAACAATCTTACAAATTAAACAAAGTTATAAATTTAAGCTTAGACCGTCTAGAATTTTCTAAATTAGATGGTGATTTTATGGAAATTCAGCTTATATACTATTTGGCATATTCACTTTCAATAAATAATATATCTTCTTCATCACATAATTTAATTTTGGCTTGGTTCAACCTTAGAAGGGTTTTACTGGAAGAAAAAAATACCAATGAATCAAAAGATAACCTATTTTTGGACTTTATCTTCTTTTTCTCAATTCAAATCATCAAAAGAGATATTGTTAATGGTCATTTTGATAAAAAAGAAGTAATAAATTCCGAAGGGAAGTCGAATATGTTCTCTAAATTGCTGCAAATTTTAAAAAAAGCGGATAGAAAGTACTATTACGAAAAACTACCTCTAATATTCGATAGTTTTTTTGAAGGGATCTCTAATATAGACCATTCATATTGCATGGGACTTAACTTTATTCAGATACAAATACTGGTAGATCTGAAAAGAAACGGATTTCTATTTTGGGAAGATGAGTTGGAAGTTGGAGATCATTTAATTAACAGTTTGAGTTTGTTAGTTATATTTAATAACTCCACAAAAACCCCAAATTGCAGAATTCATGGTAGTTACCTAATTAAGTCTCTAACTTCAAACGATTCCATTTCTTTATCTCATATTTTAGAGCTATTATCGCTTTCGATAAAATCTTCAGAAATAAAAAAGTTTTCATCTGTAAGTAAGTATTTATTACACGAAATGGAATGTCTATACATTATTATTTGCAATGTCAAGCCATTAAATATTTGCTCGGGGGTACTTTCACGTACCATTTCAATTTTTGGGCAATTTTTTGTGTTAATTAAGAAAATATTACTGAGAAAGGATATTTCTCTTGTTTTTAAAGATAAATACAGTGCATGGATAAGTAAAATATTTAATTACTTACGAACTTCTATTGGGCTTCAGGTTTCTAGTGATAAAGTCGGTTTATATTTACCTATATTTCGCATTTTTTTAGAAACTTTTTACTGTGAAGATTTAAATGGAAATTTATTTGAACATAATTTGAATTTAAAAAAAAACATTTTTAAATCAGTAATGCTGAGTTTACATTCTCAATTATTCTCACCATCAAATGAATGCAGGAATTTAGTCTCTGATTTATTGTTTTTTAATCCAAAATTTGATTTAATACTTGATGAGTTTCATTCCGATATTATTGAGACTCGAAACCTGCACTCTTTTAATCCTGCTTTAATGATAATAAAAAAATTATTTAAAAAAATTCGTCCGAGAGAGTATTTTGCTTCCAATATTTTATTTTACTACTATCTGAGAAAAATATATAATAACCTAGAAGATCAGAGAGAAAGTTTAATCATACTATTTAAAAGTTTATTCAACCTTCTAAACTTTGAAATTAACGAAAAATTGGACAATATATACTTTTTGATTAGTGAGATAATATTTTGGGAGTTAATTAGAAGGATCCAAGATTTCTGCTCCAGTGATTTAGATGTTAATATATTGATATTTGGAAGTAACAATATTCCATTACAAAGTGTTATAAATCTACTTGGAATATCTTTTATTACGGAGTTTATATATAATTCGGCAAATAATTATAAACCATTATGTGATAATTCCCTAAAAATCGTTTATTTGTCTACCCTATTGTTATTTATTTTATCCGACTCTAAAATGGTTAAAAGCTATTTAAATAAATTTTATAGTGAATCAAATGAGAAAATAAATTTCTCAGATGGACAATTTGATAAAGAGTCTTTAAATTACAACTCTTCAAGAATTATTGATGAAGTTTCTAACTTAATGAAAACCATTTTATCAAGAATTGGTGTTAGTTCAATTTTTTACACTTCGCATAAACAATTAAGTTTAATTCCTGGCTATTTTAAAACGTTTAATTTATACTTAAATTCATTTATAGAGCATCTGAATATCGTATTTATCTCTAAAATAAACTATAACTTTATTTATAAGTTGTGCATAATTTATATTAATTTGATATTTAAATGCGAACATCCAGGTGATTCTGAAAATTTATTAGAGATATTTTCCGCAATACTGAATACAGCTAACTTAAACTTACGTGAATCCCGTCTTGAAAAGCAATCAGAAACCAGGATTTGTAATTTACCTTCAACGAAAATAGGAATATCACTTAATATTGAAACTGCCCAAACTTTCAATGATTTTATTTTAAATAAATCACATTATAATCCGAATATATCAAAAACTTCAAACTCAGCAGATAGCAAGAGTCTCCCGACCAAAAAACTATCAGATGAGTTACCAAAAAATCTGCTTTTGCATATTATTTATTCACTCTTACCATTGGATGGCCCCAAAGCTGAATACAATATAATGGAGTTTATCGATCAGGGTATTGGCGATTTTATTGTAGATTACGAACAAATTGACAATATTTTTTTTCAGTTTTTAGAGGGTAACACAAAGTATAGACGCGATAACAGTGAATTTATTGCAAGTTCTTCATCTGATATCGATACCCTATTTTCATTTGGCAGAAATTCAACTAGAAATCTAGGAAAATTATATATTCCTTCTCCTAAAAGGAAGTCAAATAATCTTTGTAAAACGATTAATATTCTGGTATCAATTATGATCAAGGACTCAAAATTTCACAAATCAATTAAATATGTGATTAAATTACTAATAATAGCTAGTTTAAATATTAAAATATTTCATGGAGTTATAAATAAAATAGATTATGACCCTGATGACATTATATTTCAGTATTATACATGTATTATTCATTCCAATCATATTCTGGCAGCACTAATTTCTAAATCAAAAAGTGGTGGTGGAGGAAATAATCTTTACGAAATTTTTGATTTGGGTTTGCTCATTGGGTCTTTATTTTCAGCATTAAATAATATCAAAATGTATGATTTCAAAGTTAAAGACGAAAATGGATTTAATTTATGTAACTCCTCTCTAAACTTAATGTCTGCGCTTTTAAAAAGGTTTAGCTTTAAAGCAAATGGAATAGAAAGTAATATTGAATATATTAGTAAAATGAATAATCAATTCAAAATTTTAAATAGTGAATTCACAATTTCTACTGAACACGATCAGTTGTCCATTTTCTTTAATAATGTATTCAAAGATGTCTTATCAATCACCTTAAATAAGAAATTTAATTCAAACTATCTTTATTCTTTGATCTCTGACATGAATATTTCTACTCGTTTTTCACTTAAATCCATTAAAAAAATTTCAGTAATATTCGAGCAATGTATTATTGACATTTTACTAAATTCTACTGATTCACAGTTTCAAGGAATGATTTTACTCTTACTTACTGAATTATGTATATCATGGTCAGATTGCTCCTATGAATTGGCAATTTGCATAATTAAATCAATTTACTCAGATTCATATTTTGTCAGAATGCATTCTTCAAAGTTGTTAGGAGAAATTACTTTGAGAACATTAAGTATCACTGATTGGAATTTAAACCAACAGAGTAAAATTTTAAATACAAATTTAGATCAATCCCTATTTGAGATATTAATCAATATTTCAAACAGTAAATATTCTAAATTATTTTCTTTACTAAATCTAATTTTTCAATCTATAAAATTTTCAATTCATAATTCTGATATAAATAAATATAATTTAATTCATGGAGTACTGAGTTTAGGAATTGAGCTGTTAAAAAAAATCAAAAAAAAATCCAGTTTGGCTTCTTTTGAAATTGAAAGCTGTTCAATTTACGAGAGTTTATTGGTTTTAGTTGGAGATGGATTCAAAAATTCTTTTAAACACTCATTATTAAGAATAACATCATTGAAACTAATTAGTTTGCTACTTGAACTCGAATTCCCTGTAAATGAAAAGTTTAAGTGCTTAGAAAATCTTATTTATTATTGGAAAAATGATAAGTCAATATCAAATATTTCTTATTTGAAATTTCATAATTTAAAAGAACCATTTATATCCATTAGGCAACCAAAGAGTTTTGCCAATGAAAACCTCTCTGAACCTATATATTTAATTAAAACAATTGTAGTTAACGCTTTCAAGTATATTGATTCTGAGGAATTGAACTCTTTGATTTGCTTATCTCCAACTTCAGAGAAAATTATTCATCCGAAAATTTTATTTGAATTCTATTCATCAATAACTGATATTATATATAATTTACCAGAAGTAAATGAACATAATTTCGTTCATGCATTCTTTACTTCAATTAATAACCATTTAAAAACCATAAGATATCTATTTTTGTTGAATAATGAAACACAAACAATTAACGTGAAAATAACAAATAGAAAAAAAACAATACTAATAGATTTAGTTAAAGTACTGATTGGATGTTTATCTTTTATTGGTTTTAACAAGAACTTATCTCATGCCTTTTTGAATAACAAACAATCTTGCTCAATTTTAGAGTCTGTTCTTGAGCTAATAACTTTTAATCAGGAGCTTTCAGAATATAGAAGCTATGAAAGTTTAGTTACGAATATAAAGAACATAACTGATTTTAATTTTATAAATAAAATTAATAATTTCTATATAGAAAATCAAACATCAATGTTGGAGCTTTCGATTTTTTTTGTAAGGTTTTATAAAAATATGGTTAAGCATTACAGTATTCCACATATTATCATATTTGAACTTGAAAAAATAGTTTTTGACAATGCCTTAAAGGTGGTTTACAAAAATGTGTATGATCAGCCTCAAACAACGCTTGAAAAAAAATACTTGATATGCAAAATCATACAGATTATTTTTGAATCTCTGGAAATTGAGCTCTTTTCAGAGTCAAAAATGGAAAAAAATGATAGAATTAAAAAACTAACGTATGCAAAAATTGATATCAATGATACTAATAAAAGTAATATTCTTTCTTTATTATGTTTAAATCACGATTATTGGTACAACTTGATGATTTGTTTAGTTTATCTTATGACTGATGAAGCTTTTCAAATTGAGAATACAACCACTTCTATTTTCAAGTCGTTTGAACACGTTATTAGATATTTCTGCAATAATTTTCTGCAAACAAATGGAATTCTTTGCGACTGCAAATTAAACTATTTAGGCAACTACAGCAATATAATCGAAGAAATTATTTTACTTAATGACCAAGACTCTTGTTTATTTTCAGTATTAATTTTAGATGCAATATTTTCAAATATAGAGAGTATAAAAAGTAAAAATAGCTCAGTACTTTTCCCAATGGAAATTGATAACATATGTAATGAATATTTAAATATTTCCCAGATAGCAACTAATCAAATTTTTATGTACCTTGCCAAAATGAATCAAATCACCTTACATCTCGATAAAATTTCTAAAATTGAAAGCTATTTTAAACTTTGGGAAGAACAAGTAAAAAATGAATTTAATCTATTTGAAAGAGTTTATAATTGTATTAGAGATTGTCCAAAAGAACTATTATGTATTGAACTTTTTGGAAGCATTTTAATTGATGAAATAAAGATTTTATTTTTTATATTATCAATTAAAAAGCTGAGTATAATTATTAGATATAAAAATGCTAATAACGGGGGAAAAATATTTGAAAATAGCACTTTTGATATCAGTTTATTTGAAGAATATATTGATTTTTTGTTATCAAATGTTCATGAAAAAAAAATTGAGCATTCGTTAACCATCATTTGAAAGATTTTGCGGGAAATTTGGCTGATTAAGTAATATTGTGATTTATATAATTATAGCTTTTACTAGCAATGGATGATTTTGAAGTTTTTGAAAATAATGAATACTATTCCAGTATTGAGGATTCGAGTTTTCAAGATTTTTTTGAATATTTGAAAAATAATCCAAAACAGAACTTCATTAAATATACTGAAAATATTTGTATTGCAAAGTTTGGTAAGGGAAAAAATGAGCATATATTAGATATCCCACGTCTTAAGTGGATGATACTACTTAATATTATCCCTGTTGATTTTTTTTCACTTTCTATTCATGACTGCTACAATAAAATTTATGAGTTGTTGAATACTGAAAGAAATAATTATTTCCGTTCTTTTAACAAAAATAAATTAGATATCAGTAAACTAACTTCAATGGACCCTTTAAAGTTTCATCCTTTATCTCAAATTGATAATAACCCATGGAATGAACAACACAAGAATGGTGAATTATTGGACGAAATTTGGAAAGATGTTACCAGAACATATTCCGAACGACAACTTTTTTCTAATTTAAATACAAGGCAACTGCTACAAAGAATATTGTTTACTTGGACACGTGAGAATCCTCAATTTGGATATAAACAGGGAATGAATGAAATTGCTGCAATTCTTTTCCTGATAAATTATAGTCAGAAAATTATTGATATTAATTGTGCCAATTCAAATGATATTGAACCCAAAAAAAATGAATACAAAGGAAATAATAACTTGAGTCTAGAACGCATTTTTAGTCGAGATTCAATAGAAGCAGATACTTATATTATGTTTAATTCTATTATGAATTTTTTTGGTCTAAAATACATGTTTCAATCCACCTTCAATGAATGCAATACAAACGACAGTAATTCATTAAATGATGATTCAAATAAACCTCCAATAGTACATAAATGTATAAATATCTATGGTATTTTAGAGAAGGTTGATTATGATTTGTTTAATCATCTTTATAAAGAGCATGAGATTGAACCCCAACTTATCTTTTTAAGATGGATTAGACTTTTATTTTCCAGAGAGTTTTCTGATTTAAATAATTCAATTATAATTTGGGAATATATCTTTTGTGATGCGCTCCAAAATAGAACATTAACAGGCCATGAAGATTTAATAGATAAATCTATGGAGAAGGGGAAAAATTGGAGCAAAGAAGTTTGCGATGCAGTTGAATCGTCATTGCCAATAGTAAATTATATTGCTGTTTCAATACTACTTGCACGAAAAAAGTTAATAATAAATTCGGATTTTAACCACACATTGAAATCGATACTTAGTCAATCAAACTTATCTATCAGTCCACTTGAGATATTATCAAATGCAAAATCATTATGCTATGGTGTTGTTGAAGATGAGTGCTCGAAGTCACCAAAATTAACAAGCAACTTAGTTTCTAAAGATACAGCTCACAAAAAAGTACTTTTATCAAATCAAAGAAACAATTTCTTTGAGCACAGAGACATCCATTATTCTCAAATAAGGTATAACCCAAATTGTGAGTCAGAATTAAATCTAAATGCGCCTAAACTTAATGAAAGCTTATTAGAAATAACTAAGAATCTTCACATAAGTGCAAAGAATATTAACGACATTGAGCAACTTAAATGCAATATAGTTAGTTCATGTAAGGAATTACTTAGAATTTGTAGAATCCTACAAGAAAAAAATATTTAATTATAAAACAATTTTTTTACTTTTTTTCCCCTTTATTAAAAATTACCAAAAATAATAGCGGCAAAAAAAGTATCTTTACCTTGAATTACATGAACTTTGAATAGATTTGAACAATGGGGCAGAATGATTGCTAATTATTGCATATCCGTAGTTCTTTATATATTTCTATACCTTGTTGACAAAACTGAAGCTTCTGTATCAGATATACCATGGTCAGTTGGCACCCCTCATATCTTATCTAGCCTTGAGAAGGCACAACAAGTTATTGAGGATTCTAGAGTAACCAGTCTAGAAGAATTTGTTGTTGAAAACTGCGGGAATTTCGATCAACTTCGAGAAAGTGATTCATCATATAAAAAGGAAATGTGGAAGTGGTTCAAATCGTGGCATTCCGATTATAGTGTCTTAGCAGGAATCATTTTTGAAAATGTGATTATTGCAGATTCTAACAAAACTGAAATAGACATAAAACCATTGTTATCAAGTTATTTAGATACATTGGTTTGGAGAGAAATTACCAGCTGTTTGATATTTGGTGTTTCAATTTTTACCTTTATTGTTGTCTCTCTTGGGTTTGTATTGTGCAGAATATTGAACGACAGAGTTGTTTCATTTGAAGAAACATCTAACGGATTATGGAAAGTAAAACTGAGCATATATATATTAACTATCTTACTATGTGTATTATGTGTGATTTATGTTGCTCTTTCTGTTGTGATTATCATTAACTTTATTAGCTTTTCAAATTCATTTTCAACGTCAGTTTGTTGGTTTGCAATAGGAGCAGATGCATTTTCTAATGGTAACATCAATATTAACAAAACATCTGGTTCATTTAGTATTACGGAAACATCTTTAAAAACAAATACAACTGTTCCTTTTATTGGGTCTCTACCACTTTACGGTCTTTTTCAGGAATTGGGCTCAGTCGAAGTATTAATTAATTTACTTAATGATATACTTAGTTATATCAATAATGCAGGGTTTCCAACTGTACTTAGTAAACGGTTAACTGAATTTGTAGATGTTTTTACAAATGCATCAGTAATTAATCCTATTGGTACAGATTGGTATATTCCTGCCAAAGATTCACTTAAAGATTCAGTATTGAATGCTGCAAATTCGTTTTTACCAGTAAATGACACTTTGTACAATTCAATGTATCCAGTTTTAGAAAAAATTGTTTTTCTTTCAAATTCAATTGATATTTCAACAATGACTTTTAGTGTTGATGAATATTTTGAAATTTTCCAGAAATTCATTTCATATATATTGTTATTTTTAAACGTTTCTAGAACCACAAGCAACATTGTTTTTGGATTAACTACAGCATTATGTGCATTGTCTATGATTATTGGAATTATTTCTATAATTTTTTCGATTCTTCACATAAAACTATTTTTGTCCGGAAAAAGTCATATTGGGTTTTTTCAAAGTAGGTCAGCGTTGGTCGCTGCTGCATTCATATTAATGGGATTATCCACGATTGCTTCATTCGTTTCATACACTCTAACAGTTGCAGGAACTGTCGGAAAAGATTATTGTGGTTGGATAGTTGATGATTTATTCAGTCCCACAGGGATGAATTGGATTTCGACGGTAAGTCCTCAATTAGGGATGATTATGAGTGTATGTATGTATCCTCTGGCATCATATATCAAGATTAAAGACGTTGAAAAAAGAGATCTAGTAGATAAGGATTATATATTGGATAAAATAAGAGTTTTAGAATCCCAGGGAATTAAAAATCATATATATTTAGATTTATATAAGAAACTTCAAAGTAATAAATTCCAAGATAGAGAAAATGTTAATAACTTAATTTTCAACTCCTCTTATAAAAAATTTGAAATTTTATCGGATCATATTAATAATTTCTATACCAATCGCAGTTTAAAAAATGAATTAAAATTTGAAAATTTGAACATGAAAAATAGGGGAATGAATGAAGATGGCATAATTTCGGATTTGTTTTTGGCTAATAATAACAAATTAAATTTAAAAAGTAGCTCAAATGATATTTTGCTTGCAGAAAGGTTTGGCAATCAAGAAGTTGTTGGCTTGTTGGATGATGCACCAATAGAAAGCAGTTTGGCATATTTGCTGGTTAATTTATTACCAAATAATTTTGTTGATGCCCTTTCAAAAATTGTTTCTGATTTTTTAAATATAATTACTACTGGCCAAACGATAGCAGAGCAGTGCTTTAATTATATCAACGTAACTGACTACATTCAATATTCTCTAATGTACTTCCCAGACGTAGAGAAGTCCTCTGCAGATAATCAAGATGTTCCTGTATTAGTCTTAATAACTCAAAGCTACAGAGAAGAAAATTGGTTAACGAAGAGTTCAATATTTGGCTATAACACTTATACAGCCTTATGTAGCAGTCCAAACGCTGATGTTTCGGCTCTAATGATTTCTCAATCATTACCCTTTAAGATCCCAGGTTTAGAAGTCCTTCAATCAATCATTTATCCATATAAAATCGAATACTTGACAGATTCTTTGAGAAAATTGCTCGAAGAACAAGATAATTATATGAATAACCCTACTTCGACATTTTCATTCTTTATTGAAAATATCTTCGAACCAACATCACCTATTTTGCTCGGAAGCTCAAACTCAGGAGAAGATTTAATAATCTCAGAAAATACAGATATAGATAAGCTGGAAATTGATAAATATCATCAATATAATAAATATTTTGTGGACTACCCAATTTCAAGTTTTAAAAGTACGCTTGAATGGGTAAAAAAATTAATGAAATTATACAATTACGATTTTTTTTGCCATCCGTTCTCATGGCTAGATATTGATAATATAAAGGCAAACCCCAATTCCGGAAACAACAGTCTATATATCAAACATTATAATAATGCATGCAACTATGTTGAATTTCAGGAATACATTACTAGTATAAGTTACGACTATATAATAAACCCAACTATCATTGCACATAGTGAAGTTAACAGATTAAATTTAATTCTTAATGATAGAATAAGGAAAATGTTCGGGAGCGCAATAATTTTAGCTAGTATCAAAACTGAGGCTCATAATTGTGGTCAGGTCTCAGTTGACTTTACTGATGGAATTGTTACATTTTGTGGAATGGTTGGCAAAACAAAAGACACCCTTATTGTTATCTTAAATATTGCTACATTTATAGGCTTTGCAATTAGTATTATAATCGGGATAATATGGTTAATTTCATTAAGATATGAATCAAGGATTGCAGACTCAATTATGGAAATGGAACAGTCCAGCAACGAATCAGTGGGTAATTTAGGGCAAGACGAAGGTGTTGATGTTAAAGTTAATGATGCAAATGTTAATCATTGAAGAGAAAAATTAATTGATAGAAACTTAATGAAATTAGCTATTGAATTCTAAGGAGAAATGACTAATTTAGCCAATTATAATTTGTACCAGTGATCAACTGAATTACACCAACAATTGCATTCCGGTACAGGACATTCGTCAAAGCATTCAAACCACTCACTTATATGCTTAAAGCATCCACCATGGTGACAATGAAGGCACCAAGTGTACCATTTACTTATGTTATAATTATACGGTTGATTGTAATCTTTGCGTGTTGCTTCATCATTCACTGAAATATTAATCACATTTATAGACATTTCAGCCAAACAAATCACGCATCTAGGTAGAGGTTTGTTACAGTACTTATTGGGGCAGTTTAAGATCATAGAAGATAAATCCGAGCTTGTACTAATTTCAGATTGAATTAAATTATTCATACTTGTAATATTTTTGCTTGCCCTTCGTAAAGGATATCCTACCTGTGAATCTCTATTGTAAATATTTTTAATATTTAGTTCTTTTTTCTCCGTTTGAATTTCGTTGAAGTCCGCTTTATAAGATTGAGAAATCACTGAATTACAATCAGGACGTAATATCATTTTATCCAATAAGTAATTATGCTCAAAATATGATTGATGTAATGGCTGCTCGCAATAATAACAAAATAATACATTTCCGGTTGGTATTGGTGATTTTAATTCATCTTGATCAATTTGAATTATTTTATAGTAACTTGATCTTAAAATGTTAAGCTCATAGAGTATACTTGAAACATTTTTATTAAATTTTGTAGGTTTAGATCCGTTAATTGACAAGTTCATTGCATTTGAATTATTAATTAGATAGTATATTAGAGAATTGTTCTTTAATAAATTTTTGTATTCGTTTATGCAGACTTCTAATAATTCCATGTTTGTATTAAAGCCATATGTGAGATTAGGAATACATGAGCCAATTAATGCAACTGTTTGAATATCTCCAAATGAAAAAGATAAGTAGTTGTGAAAAATTTGCTTAAGAAACACATCTGAGCTAGAATTGTAGCTTATATTTTTATTTTTATTGCTATCCGACTCTAAACACGTTGAATCCGTATTTCCGTCGAAATTAGAATTCCCAAAAATGACATCCATATGTTCAGAATTTTGATTTTCAGGCAAATTTATCATTAAATATGTTTCATCAGTAAACGTGTTAAATCCTAAAATTGTTATTCCGTCTAAAAAACCATTTTTAGCCACTTTTCTTATCATTATTTCGATCAAATGAGAAATCTCCTCTAATTTTAAATAATAGATTCCAATTAAAAGCAACAAATTAACCGGAATATAAATGTAAGTATTAATTTCCATAGAAGGGACCAACAGTTCTTCCAATAAATAAGAAGAAAATTGCTGACTTTGTTCATTTGTACTGATAAATTTTGAGAATGTAACTATAAACCGAATAGAAAGCTGGAGAGTAGATTCTAGATGAATATTACTGTTCCAAATGGGCAAGTAATAATCTTCATCGAGCAAATGTTCACTTGTTGAAATAATTGAATAATAATAAAATTGAATGTCTTCTTTACTTAAAGATATTTTGCTTAATCCTTCAGAATAATATAAATTTGAAATGAAAATTCCGGCAGAATTAAAAAATAATTTGATATTTTTTAAAAAAGATGTTTTAAGTAACTTATTTTCATTTTCAATAAAATTATCGAGAATATTTGATAATTTATCACCATGGGAAATAAAATTATGATATTGAAGTGTAATACAGTTCCAAAAAAATGCAGTAAAAAATGATTCTAATTGGCGTGGATCATTATTATCGATAAAAAAAGGTGTTTCAATCATAAATGAAGATACTCCAAAAAGATTGATTAATTTCTCTCTAAGAGAAGAAGAAAATACTTCTATATGATTAAGATTTTCTTTTTTATTAGAGTCTTTGCAACTTTTAGCTTCTGAATCTTCATGTTTAACATTTATAAACTTAAGTTGAGAAGATATATCAATATTCTCTGTTAGATACTTGAAGGTATAAATTAAGTCTCTAATAGCTGGTAAAATCAATTTTTTGAAAATAGGTATCTTTTCATTAATGAATGAGCTTTTTTGTTTGTTAAGTTGTCTCAATAAATCTTTCCAGTGTACAATATGATCAGGTAAAGTTGACAAGTAATTAAATGCATGTGACGCAGATTTCATCATTTTTATAATATTATTTACATTATCACCAGCTTTTGGAAAAATTCCAATATTGGTTAACGTATTTTGATCATTTTGGTTTAAGACTAAATTTCTGGCCTCTGCCGAATTTAGATTTTCTAATCTTCTCAACAATTCGATACAGTTATACTCTTCAATCTTTGTATTATCATCTTTGTAGTATTTCATTAACCTATATGGAACCCATGAATAACCGAACAGCTTTGAAAAATTTAAAACCTCATAGTTACTTTGTTTAGATTTATTTTTTTCGTTCATTGAATGGGAAAGCTGTGTAGAGTGAAAAGAAACAAAAGAATTAATTTTAACATCTAAATTTGATATCAGATATGCAGACTCAGAATCTGTATATACCAATGAATGCCTTATGTTACTTCTACTCAAAGAATCAACCCAACAAAACGTATCACTGAAATTTTCTCTAAGATTTAATGGTTTAAAATTCTCCAGTAATCTATCATTCCATTCAATATCAATATTTTCGGAATATCTATCTGATTTGTTTGCTTCAAAAGATATATGGGAGTGAGTTCTGTGACTTAATCTAGTAATGAAAATCCCATCACTAGTAAAAATGGAAATATCGTGTTTTTCATTTGGAAACCATTGTAGATCATTGATCTCATGATCATTAAAATAAATGCTGTTGATTGTTCGAATATTATTTTGTCTTATTTCATTTTTCATCAGCCTGATATCAAATAAACTAATATTATTATTTAAATTACTAGCAAGAAGATAATTACCTCCAGGCTGGCTAACTGATAGGAATTCATTACAGCTTTTCACAACATTGGTAACGAATATTGAATCTTTAATCCTTATATCGTGAAAATGCAATTGGCTTGAAAAATCGCAAAACTTCCAGCCAGATACCAAAAAATTGGAATTTATCCATTTGACATTACTAGGATATCCAAAAACATTATTACTTCTATCAAAATTCAATTTATTATGAAACTTTACTATTTTTTGTTTAGTGTTAATGTCTATTATGGAAATAAACCCTTGAGAAAAATGTTGAAAATTACAATATTTAATGTTAGAAGAAGCCAATAGATGCAAATTTTCATTGTTATTGAAGTCAAGGCATGAACAGAAATAATTAGGAATGTCAATTTTTTCTGAAATCTCTATTTGGCCTCGAGTCAAACTTAATATTCTTATTTTTTGAGAAATGCCTGTTGTGAATGCACCAACAATACTGTTCCTACTCCAGGAAAATGTTGGAAAAAATTGAAATAAATCTTCAACGGAAGATTCTTCTAAAAAAATTGAGTCCGATGCCTCACTTGTAGCTGGAGTGAAAAATAGTTTTGATTTATTTGTGTTCTCATTAGTTTGAATAATATTTCCATGAGCAAAATTATCAACTAAATACAATCCCAATTTCCTGTGTGATTTCTTGCCTGAGAAATAGAAGAAAACAGTCGGATCAACGTTACATTGGCATATTATCGAATTTCTATTCATCGAATAAAAAACTTTTTAGCATAATTAACAATAGTTTCGTAGCGGCAATTCTCCCTCCCCCCATTATTCTATTAATTCAATATTCAATATTCTGCTTTCCAAGTCATTTTGTGGTTCGATCATCTGATCATCTAAAAGTGATACTGTCGTGGGATGTTGCAACCAATCACTTCCGGAATGGTATGAGTCCCCTGAAATACAAGCACTTAGTGATGGCAATTGACTATTTATTCTATCAACATTTCTAGTGTTGCAACTTCCCATGTAACTGTTAGATAAATCATAGATATGACAAATATCCAAATTTTTTACTATATTCCCATCAACACCAATATCTGACTCTTTTATTCTTTCATTTAAATTTATATTAATCGAGCTTCGATTTACCGGAAAGCATAATATCCATTCAACTTTAGGCAAAATCGCCTTTCTTCTATTTTTCAAAAAAATATTTCTATAATCAATTGCTGCATTAAATGCAGCGATAAGTGAGCCATACAACGCAATACTGAAATGCTGGCCTCTCCCATTACTGTCGAGGCCATTTGATGTATAAAACCTTCTTTTCTTGCAATACCATGATATTCCTGTTGGAAATGGTTTTAATAATTCTGCAAGATCTTCAGAATCAATTATTGATTCGGCTTCCTCTGCATGAATGTAAACTTGGCATTTTGGAGGTATTGATGTACAACATTCAATTGCATACATTAATGACTGAATTGGAGATTTTTGTTTCACATTAGAATCTGTGTAATTAAGAAAGTTAATGTTTTTTGTTTGATTAGAAGTATTTCCATCCAAAACATTGGTGATTATCCATGAATTACTTCTGAAATGCCACGCAATCAAATCATTTCGTACAGTTTCCTCCCCTGTTGGAAAAACAATTTTTAATCTTATTTGTTTGAAACAAGGGTTTTGTGAGTTCATAGTGTCCATTTGCGAATCTTTTGATAAAAATGAATGGCTTTGATCTTCTAATATTAATTGGTATTCGTTTCCAAGGCTCTCTACTGAACTAGTCTTATTCCTCAAACGACCTCCAGCAGAACTTTTTTGTATTATGTTACCCTTCGAATTAAGAAGAAGAGCTTTTCGACGAATATAACAAACCTCAGCTATTTCATATGCAATCCTTGCTCCGTACGGGATTGCATTTATCTCAATATCTTGTGAATTAAAATTCAATTTATGTGCCAAATTATCATTACTTAGCAGCTCCTCGTCTGCAAGAGCTCTCCATACAAGTTTACTTGGATCCCAAATAATATTGGGCAAATTTCTGATTAATAAAGCTTGATCACAAATAACACCAGGTTGTTTTATTTCTTCTGGAAGCTTCGTTGATTGTTCCTTCAAATAATTCTCCCTAAATTCCAATGCTTTTAAAAATGCGGTTAATGGACTTCCGTATTTCATCGCACCAAAAGTGGTTGAAGTAAGCCCACCATCTTTATCCCTTCTATATGGTACAATAAATGCTTTTCTTTCTGCATGCCATGTAATTCCTCTAACCCTCCACTCGGTTGGGCACCTTGCAGCATTCGAAGTTAAAGGTAGAGTAGATCTTATTCTTCGTTTTCTATTCACTGGTGAACAGCATTGAATGTAACCAGCAGAAGAAACACGTGGCCTCAAATCATTCAATAAAAACTCTGGCGAATTTGGATATGAAAATAATTGCGATTCCGTATTAGGAATAGCATTAATATCTTTAGGTTTTTTGTTTAATGATAATCGGTCATCATTAATTGAAAATTGATTCTTGATATCACTAAATGTAGCTAGATTAGTAGGATATTTGCTAGTTTCATTTTCGCTGCTAAATATTTTATAGTCCGGGTGTGACGCTAAATCGGTTGGTAAATATGGTGAGTGGTAGTAAGTGTGGGAAATACTGTCTTCCGAATTTTTAGAAGAATTGTTTTCATTATTAATAATAGAATTTTTGTCGTAGTTCGACAATATTGCAGAAATCAAATTTTTTTGAATTGTAGTTTCACTTATTCTTTGTTCTACCCACTTTTCAGTTTCATAAAAACTCTCAATTATTGTTGGATGTTTATTGCAACAATTAAATCTAGAAAATATTCCATTCGGTTTAAGTATTCCAATCCAACAATTCTTTACTTTGTCCCAATAGATAAAATCTTTCCATTTGGATTTTTCCCATTTTTCATAAATCGAAGAATCTGAAAATAAAAACTTTGATTGGTGGTTCGAAAAACTAATATAGTAATCTTGAAAAAAATACGATTCTAGTTTTAAACTTTCGTAAAGCTGATTTTCCTCCCAAGATACCTTCAAGTATTTTATTAACCTCTCAAATATATTGTAAAAGTTTTCTAAAACCTTGATGTTTATATTGACGTTTGAATTTAGTTCATTTTCGCATTTTGAAGTATATTCTGCGTAAAAAGAATCAATATTATCAGAATACTTGTCTATCTGGTAAAATTCATGAATGAGTTTGCAAAAAAATGTAGACTTACGTCTTTCTAACTCAGAATCCTTCTTACAAAATAATGATAAGCATTCTTCGCAAGCATTACCATCATACATTTTTAGTATACTGATAATTGAATCCTTACCCAAATTTTTTCCGTTTAGAGGATTATCAAATCTCTTATTAATTCCAAAAATTATATTAAATGATTTTTTTAGGCAAACAAGGCAGCAAATTGAAACTTCACTCTTAAAGTAATAATAACCACATTTCTCATGTATATATTCACAGCAAATAATACATTTTTTACATTCAATAATATCTTTCTCCAATTCAAATCTACAAACAGCGCAGATTCGGAAAACTTGTTTATTTTCCACTTTAATTCTAATAATATCCTTGAATATTGTTTTTAAATCGTTAATATAATACATATGATAATTGTTTCCAAAGTCAACAACAAGCTCATCACCATGTTTAATTTCAGTCCCAGGAATAGTTAATACAACAAGATGAGGCCACTTGTCAATAAACAACCATTGTAATTGAGTATTTGGTCTTATTCTCAGATCATCAAATGGAAAAGGAAGTCTACAATGCTTTAGAAACACAAATTCATTACAATAATGAGATGCATCCAAAATAATGTTTAATTCCTCGTTTGAAATGTTTGGTAGTTCAAAAGAATATTTGTTATGGTATTTTTTTTCATTGTTATATAGTAATCCAGTAATTTCCCCTAATAACATTGAAGAGTTAGATTTGATGTCTTCACCATCCCAAAATACGGAATATGAATGCCCTTCTTTTTCAGAAACTTCAAAAACAGGTTTAGTTTCAGAAATCTTGATTTTTCTGGAAGGAATGATTTCATTATTAATTATAATATTAGAATAATTAGAATACACTAACGAGTAAATTTCTTCATATAGTCTACTATTTTGTTTAACTTGGTAAGTAACATGAGGTATTTGAAAATCATGCGTTAACTCAAATATTGGTAATCTAAATGAATTTTCTTTAATTGCGATACATGGTTGAAGCGCAATAGAGTTAGAGTTAAAGTTAATGTCTAAATATATTCCATCGCTTTCACGGTCTTTATATCCAACACTTTCAGTTGATTGGTTTTCTCTTGTAATAACTTCTTGACAAATATTATCTTTTTTTAAATTTATGCTTGAACACGAATTTACTTGTTTATTTGTGTAATTAATATCCAATCTTTTATATATTTCAAAAAAATTTATATTTCTCATCACGCCTATTAAATTTGTATTTAAATACAAATTTAGAGATTTAACATGTAAAAGTCATGATGAATAATTTTATTACTTGAAATTATACATACTTGAAATAATTATTTTCTTACTTGCTAACAAGTTAGTTGAATCTTAAATATAAAAATAAATAAATATATATATATATATATATATATATATATATTCATTTGTTCATTTATTCATATTTGAGTGAATAGAATATATATCATTTTCTAGTTTTTACATTCAATTTTTATGTAATTAATTATCATCATTTTACTCAAGAATAAAATCGCACACTAATTGAACTAATTTTCTATATTCCGTTTTTAATGATTTCAAATTTAATAAATGATTAAGAATATATATAGATGCGTTTAATTCTATTATTAATACTTTTAATTTATTTCTAATAGATTCTGCTAATCAAAAACTTGAATTTTTCCCCTCAATTATACATGTACCGCATAGAGATTTCTGAAATCAATTTAATTATTAATATTAATGTATCTAAAAAAAGTGATCGAGCTAGGAAAACTACCGAATTTAAGTTTGCCAAAGGATACAAATGGTGTTAGAAAAGTAACTATTTCGAATGATAGGATATGTATTATCGTGGAAAATTGGCTATTTTTTTATATATTAACTAAAAATCACGAGAGTGCAAGACTCATTTATTCGTGGAAAATCAATTCAAAAGAAGAGTTAATATTGGATGGATTATGGATAGATAGTGGGCTATTTATAACATTGAGTAGCAGTTCAATTTATTTGTTTACCTTGGAAGACGAATTAATAACTGAAGTAAAAACTGCGAAACATGATTGTTTAAAAACTATTAGAAACTCTGAAATAGTACTGATAAGTAGCTTTTCAAAAGGATCAATTGGAAGCCGAATTATTATCGCTGCAGTTAATTTTTCTTCTGGTTTTTTCTTATTTTCTATTGAATATTTCGAATCAGAATATTTTATTGATATTGGAAACATAGTTACAACTCAATACAAAGGGGCGATAATTCCTTGTGACAATGGAATGGTCTTTGTTAATTCGAGTTTTATAAACAAATTTTATATTGGCCAAAATATATTTGAATGTAAAATGATAGATTCTCTGTATATTAAGGAAATTTTAAATCGTTTTATAGGAGAACATGATTTTAAACTTATTTCTAAATACAAAACAGTTAAAGATAACATGTTAAACATTGTATTTTTGATGATTGAAGATAATGTGAAATTTAATGGAATCGAAATAACTATTTCAAGTACTAAACTTATTCCAATAAAAATGAATAAAATTAGTATAAAAAATCCAGAAAATATCATTAATATTTCTCATACCAACATTTTAAACAATATTTCAGTGAACATATTAACTTACGAATCTAATTTAATGATTTACGAGGCTAGTTTAACTTCTTCTAAGACATGTTTGGCTTATTACAATGATTTAAATGAATCTTTTATCCCTTTCGTTTCCCAAACTCAGTGCGAGAATAGTATTTTTTATGCCGGTTGTACTTTAGAAAAGAAAACTGGAAAGATATTCGTAAATATTCTTGAAAAAGAATCTGATTATAATCTGATTAAAAACGAAGTTCAAAAGTTTGAAAGTTACAACACCATGGCAAATGAACAAATTACTTTGAATATTGATGAGCTAAATAACCAATTTGATGGAATTATTCCATTGAATATGATAATTTCTAAATTTAAGAAACTGATATCCAATTTAGAAAAGGTGGATTATAATTATATTTTAGACTATGCAGAAAAGGTTCCTTTATTTAATATCGAAGATACATTAAATTTGTATTCTTCATTAGTTTCTGCGCTTGAAGCTTCAAATTCTAGTAATGTTTATATTATGAAGATAAACTATTTAATTCAAAAGTCTTTAACTTTTGACATAATTTATAAAAATAATGATCGAAATTTTGAAGTTGCGCTTAAAATATGTTCAGAATATGATTCGAACTTAAGTGAGATTGATACAAATTGGAATAATTTATTGAAGAAATTTTTCAAATGTGATTTAGGCAAACTATGTAACTGCCTATTATCTCTCAACTTGATTGAAGAGTTTTTTTTTTTATTTAATAGGCATTTTATTCACTTTGGTAATGGAGACGAGGCAATCAGAAGTGAAATAATATTAGAATTATTGAATAATTTACCTATAAATTTGCCAGAGCAAATTGAAAAAGAAATCCCGTCATGGTTAATAAATCAAGTATTCCCATATGTCATTGACAAAGATAAATTACTTAAATGGATTGCAGATAGAGCAGTAGCATTAGAACATATTTCTAATGGAGATATTGATCGTTGTTTGTTTTTTTTATCATCGGTTTTTCTAAATGAGTACAGTAATGCGAATAATCAAATACTTCCAAAACAAATTGTATCAAATGGTATTCTCTGGGCAGGTTCTGGTAATAAACGTAACTCTATTTATAAAATGCCTTCAAATAAAATTAATCAAGTTTATTGGGCATTTTTGGAGTGTAATGATTTAAAGAACAGGTACAAATTAGAGATCGAATTTAGCTCTCTTTACTATAAAAAAATAACCACCAAAGATATTGCTTTTAAGTTACTTAGTAGAATTTCTTCTTCTGAATTACTAAATTATGAAATTAATCATCATGTCATACCGTTTTGTAAGTCAAGAGGACTTGAAGCTGATCAAATAATAATGGAATATTTACTCGACCTAATTTCCTCTATTAATTACAATTCCCTTGAAAAAAAAAACAATATTACAAACAACAGAACATACTATCAGCCGAGAATAATTTCTTTGATCAACTCGATTACAGATGAAGAATACAAAGCATATGCACTTCTTCAGTATTTGTCACTAAATAATAAATGCCATTCAATGAATAACGAAATCAATTTAAAGTTTCCTCATTCAGTTCAAAATGAAATGGATTATTTGATTTCTTATGCAAGAAATCTTTCTGTTGATGGTAAGAGATCATTTGAACTTAAAAATAGGATTGCACTAATTGATGCACAAAATTTACTTTCAAGGTATAACTTGGATGGTATGGCCTCAATCATTTTATTTGAAAAAAATGCTCCTAGGCGATTAATCTTGCACGTGATATCTCAAGTAGATGCAGGAATTGAGTCATTTAACGACGCCGTGTTTTTAATTGACTATTTAAAGCATGAAACTAATACAACATTTATGGGAATTTCAGAAGCATATTGTTTAAGACTAAGATTTATCATTTTCAGGAGAAGAAATATTGTTGGATGGGAAAAAATGACCAAAAAATCAATAACTGGAATACAAAACAAAATAATTGAAGAGGAAATACTGGACATATTTTCCATAATAGGTTGCAAGAAGAAGATTTATAATATTACACAACAATTTGTTTGCTTTATTTGGCAGTTTTTGGACTGTTATTCAATGAACTGCAATAAATCTCATAAATTAAGAATAAAGTGTGAAATTGCTACATATTCTGCAATAGTAGTTTTAAGAGAGTTTTTTAAATTAGTCCAAGAAAACAACTGGAAAATAAAGCAAAAAACATTTTGGGTATCTAATGAATCATTTAATACATTTATTAGACTTCAACAACTTCAATTTGAATTTGGAATGTTCTTAAGGCCAAGCGATATTATGTTGGATAAAATGGATCATGATCAAGATTATTTATTTGAAAAAGAAAGCCAAACCAAGAACACATATTTAGAACCTTTTCAGAAAAATACATTCGCAAACCCCTTTGGAAAGATTGAAACTAAATTTTACAATAATCCAATTTTTAACGAAAGTTTTATTTTTGAATGGAAAAACGGTTATTTCCAATTATATAAAGAGTCTTGTTACAAGAAACTTTGTGAAATCTTTGACAAGTTTGCACAACCGTTATTTGAAGTAAAAAATTTTAATGAACAAAAAAAAGGCATCTTTACAAAATTGTTAAGATTGGGAAGTTTGATCGGTGTTGATGAAAGCTATGTTAGGAGAACTATGATACGGCACTCTATAAGAGATGGGGGTAAGATGTGTATTTTTAAAAGGCTAACACAGGAATTATATAAAACGCCATCTTCTAAAAATGCAATGACTATAATAGATGAAGTACAAAACATCATTTTGAATTTACTGACATCCAATTCAATCAATAAAAATAAAAGCACTACAGATAATGAGAAAGGAACATGTATTCATGGGCCAGAATTAATTTTTATATTTTCCAAGTTGCTACAAGTAGTTGCAGCTTGTATTCCCTATTACCCAGTTAAATTAATCAGCTTTGTTTTGGCTTTATCCTCAGATATTCTATGGGCTCACGATTTCTTGGTGCATGCTTCAGATGCAACTGACCACTTTGAAAATTCAAATGACTTACTGATTAATGATTACAAGGATGATCATCTTTTTTCTAAACTTATCATAAACTCATTAAAAAATATACATTATATACCATTGGATTCTAATAAGTCGTATTATAAGGAGATATGTACTCTTTACCCGTTTGTTGATGCGAAGCAAGTGGCCATGACGTTTCTCTCCTGCAAAATAAGAATTTCCAAAGAACTTTCTAAACAGGTTTCTGTAAAAAAAACTTATATATCTCCATTTGTAATTTATAATTTTTGGACTGATCCAACACTTTGGACAATTCAAAGTGACGAGAATTATAACATAGATGCTGCAAAGTATATTCAGGAATTAAGAGAAAACGTTGATATTTTAGTGAAAAAACTTTATCAATCTGAGTGTTTATCATTAGCAATGAGTATATATTTAAAACATCCTTTTTTGATTTCTGATATGAAATTGGTTTTGAATATTAACATCGAATTTTTCCGTAAAGTACTTAAGGGTAGAGATCCCATGGATGGGCAACTTTGCATGGCACTTTCTTCTTCTCTGGAAAAAAAAGATTCTTGGAATGTCTTTGTTCAATCCCTAAACCCATTAAATATTCTCGATAACTATTATAGGGCACAGAGGATGGCAAGAATTGGTTGGGATTTAGGGATTCTGTTTAATCATTATAGCATGAGGAAAGAAATGGAGGATCTTCACAAACAATCTAAGTGGTGTAATAGTTTTATAAAGCTTAAAATTGATTTTGATCAATCACTCTTTTTTCAGAAACAAGATCCTCAAAATACTAATCAGGAGTATAAGAAAAGTATTATTTGTAAACTTATTCACAATAGTGATTTTGACTTGATTCTCTGTTTACAGTATGCAAAAGATTATAACATTAATGACGAATATGTTCTATTTCTTTGGTCAAAGCTAATGATATTGTATTATTTTGATCCTAAATTTGAACTAAAAATGCAGAATATCCTATCATTTGTGACCCCGGAACTAGTGAAAGAGATTTTCGAAAATACTTTTGAATTAATATCATCCTTCGACTATGAAAGGCTCATATTTGTATTAAATTGGTACAATCAAAATTGTATAGATGCCATTGCACGTTCTAACTCTAAAAATATCTACTGCAAAACTGAGGCTAATAAAGATTATTCTTCCAGTACTAGCAGCAGCTACAATGAAAGAAATAATGAATTTAAAAAAAATCAAAGCTCCTCAATTATTTCTACAATTTCTAATCTTGAAGTTCTTAAGATATTATCAACTCATAAAAGAATTTGTAGTGCAGATGACGACGAAAAACAATTCATTAAATACGAATTCGAACGCATTGATGGAAGCACTGAATCATTGGTTAACAAAATTAACAAAAGGATAGAATCACAAATATCATATAGGATCCCTTTCCATTATCTTATTAAGTATCCAATAAATGCATTGAAATATGAAATAAATGATGAAACAATATATAAAATTAAAAAAATGTCGCAATATTTAGGTATTCCGATGATATTCATTGATATTCAGTTTGTATGGAATATCGTATTATGTAGAAGGTATAAATTTCTAGCAAAAAATGATTTAGTAAAAGATAAATTAAAAAATTTTCAAGAGTACTGCTCCAAATTGGTGGAAAGTGACAAAATTTTATTGAGATATATTGAGTCAATTGCTTCATTTGATTTAGAATCTGGTATTGCAATAGTTCTGCTGGTCATTGATGAATTGCCTCTCTCAAATACAAAAATCAAACTAATAGAATGGTGCGAAAGCAAATCCGGGAAAGTAACTCAAGTTGAATTAAAGAAAGGGTACCCCATTGTAAATATGGAATATTTAGTATATAGTAGACATGATGAAATTGTCATGAACATCAATAGTTACTTAAAATCGAAAAAAAGCTTAATTTCGTCAATTCTCATTTTAAAAAAACATGGTTTAGATCTCATATTTTCAAAACTCATAGAGGAGACAAATGACATTAATATATTAATTAGCTCTTTATATTACTATCTTACGCCACTTATTTCAGAAGGAATTTATTGGAAATTTAAGAGTGAGTTACAGGAAACGGTTTCTCAATCCTTTTGTATGCACTTTGAATCAGAGCGAGATACTTGCAATTCTAAGATTAAACTCTCTTCAAAAAGATCGGCTGATTTTTTTTCGAATTTTAATTTAATTGAAAATTTTAACCTTTTTGTTGAAGAAATATCAAACATATATTCTTCTGATATAAAAAAAATCAGAATGAGAATAATTAAGAATCTCTTAAGCAAACCGTTTGAAACACCTTATGAGGCCACAAAAAATAAGTTTCCTGTTAATTTGAAAGAAATTTTTGCAGAAATTGAGAATTCTGGAATAATTGCAGGACTTGATCATTGGTACGGAAGAAAACAATTTAGTTCAAAATTTTTTGATTGTACTTACATCGACAGAGTTTCATTCGTCTGTCGAGGAATATCTTTGAACGATGCAATATTACTTTTATTATCTATTTCATTTAAAGATTCGGCAAGCTATACTTATTTGACCAAATGCAATGCTTTGAGAACACTATTCCAAATTGCCTCTATCAAAAGTATTCAGAAAAGGTACCCAAAATATGATGATCTAAAAGTTATTTGGCTTCATAATTACTATATGATCTATTTTAATGATTTGTATATTCCACAAGATTTTAGCAAATTTTATTTATCTGAAAAGGCTGGACTAGCCAGATCTCTTTGGAGAGAATATAATAATAGAAGGAATTCTTATGAATTTCTTAAATCAAGCCAGAAACGCTTTGACAGAATTGAAAATACGGAAGAAATTGAATTTTTAATAGATGATAATAGAAAAAAAAAGGTGAGATGTTTAAGTGATAAAGAGAATGAATATTCAAACAATTTAGAAATAAGTTTGAATGGCCAATATAAAAATTTGGATACAAAACTAAGCAATATATTATATTTAATCGCAAAACTCTGTGTAGATTTTGAAATTTTTGATCCAATTCTCTTTTCGAATACAATACATAATTTATATTTGCAACTTCTTGATGAAAAAGATGTCAAAATTTTTAGCGATTTGATTTTTGCAACATATAATAGTGGATATATATATAAAATTAAAATTGACAAATCAATAATCGATGTATGGAATATTTTAATTTTTGATCCAATACTTTCACTCAAAAATACCGTTGAATACGTTTCCAATTTAGTTCGGAAATATGGGCAAAATAGTAAAGATATGAAAGAATGTGTTTACAAAACCAACTTGCTTTACAATTTACCAAATAAGCGATATATGATCCCATTGCTATCCAAGATATATAATATATGCCCTATCACTCCGTTTATTGAGATTATAAAACTATTAAACGCATTAATAGAGTTAATAAACTCTATTCTGAATTTAAAAGAAGAAATAATTTTCAACGAAAACTTAAATACTGACATAAAAAAGGAGGATTATCAAAAGTTAATTAGTCATATTATTTCTTTATTTTTAACGTTGGTGAAAGATATTTCAGAAAATAATAAAATAAACAGCATAGAGAAAAGATATAAAATGCTGTCACTAACACGCGATAACTTGAGCATTTATGAAATCTCTAGTATATTTAATATTACCGTCATTGAATTATTATTTTCATACGTAAATCCAGTTGATTTACACTACACATTATTTTCTACTAATAGGGAAAAGATAATAAAAGTAATTATTGATCAAAACAATTTCAAGTTGCTCCCCTACATAATTTATTCAACTAGTTCAAACATGTTAATTTCGGCACTTTCACTCGAGTTAATTAAAACGGACAATACCAGATTGTTTTTCGAAATTAGTATTTTATTTAAGGAATTATTTCATTATAAGAAATTATCTCAAATAGAAGAATTATATTTAATAGAGTCTATTAAGGCAAAAAAGGTATACGAGTTTATCATTTGTAAATATGGCGAGGTTTATAATACAGAATCAATACAAATAATTAGAAGATGCATTGAATTCTATAAAATTGAAACAGTCATTCCACTTATCATTAAGTTTCTATCTGGAGAAGTTAGGTCAGAGTCCACAATAATAGATCAAATCAATAGGTTAGAGAAACAAAGAACGAATGACCATGAATTAAGTAAATTAGAAATATACAGTTACATTAAAGATGTTATAATCAAATTAAACAAGAAATATAAATCAACAAACATTGTTCAGGAATTAATTGAGCAATTTAAATCATAGTGTAATCTAAACAACAAAATAAGACGAATCATGTTGATATTTCTTGCGATTCTGCCCAAAAATCTTATAATTAATTTCGTTAGATTGATTAGTTTCATTTTTTACAACTAATTTTTCATCTGGAGGAATATATATTTTTTCTTTTTCTTTCTGTTTACTGTCTTTTTTCTCTTTCTGATCACATTTTCTTTCTTTCATTTTCTTGGCTTTTCTTTCTAATTCAGTATAAAAGTACTCGCCCGTTTCAAGTAATATATCTTCTTTTCTTGGAGTAGGTTCAGGTGGGAATATTGATTTATTTTTCTTTTTGATTTGTTTATTTACCTTTCTCTTAACACATTTACTTTTGAATTTTGGTAAAAACCTATCCCAATTTTCTCCCTTTAATCTTTCATCTTTTTCTAATTCTCTCTTTATCATAAGTTCCTTAATATGGTAAACTGGGTGTATGTTATTCATACAGTCTTCCACTATTCTACGTACGAGCTTTAAGCTCTTATATGAGCCAATTACACTGACCGTTTGCCCTTGAACCAAAACATAACAATTTGTTAGTAGTTCTATAGCCTTTAATGTAGAACCATTTGGCCCAACTAACCTCTGGCGTCTTTTAATCATCTTCTCTTTATTTCGATGCCCAATTTTTATTATATCGCATCCAAGATTGTTATCATCCTCCCCCTCCCCTAAAATTCTTACTGCTTGATGAAAAGGTACGCTTCTTGACAAAAGTTTTACCATATCTCTGGCGCGTATAATAATAAATGGGTCCCAAGTTTTACCAGTAGTTCTAACAGTAATAGACCCCTCTACCAAATCTAATTCACATTTTATATGGTGAGCTTTCAAAGTATTACGTATATCTGGCCATATATCACGCAAATACTTTTCACGATATTTTGGAAATAACACAGCAAAACTACTTTCTTCTAAAAGTCCATGTGGATTGTCCTCAGGAGTTAATTTAGGAACGTTCCAATGATCAATATCATCAGTATCCCATGGTTTATCCTTTCTATATCTTTTCTTTTTGGAAGCTGTTTCTTTATTCTCTATAGGAGTATCTTCATTCATCTCGACAAATTAATTGGTGTTTAACTAAAATCCTTGGTGTTGTAACATATGACCTCTCTTTTGGCGCAATTATATACGCGCAAAAAAAATAAGTTGTAATAAAGGCTCGTGATTAATTATGACAAACACTTATTTACAAATTTAACCAAGATATATGCAACTTTTGAACAAACTCTCGTAAACTTTGATTGTTTCTTCCACTGATTTATTGTTTGCTCTGTGCTTTGAAATGAATGTGTCATCTTTGACTGCATTTTCATAAATTGGCTTGCAACCTCCGGGTCAAATGAAGCTACAGAGACTTCTAAATTTCTGTTTGCAGAGAATCCATCCCAGTTAAAACTACCAAAAGAAGACCATATCCCATCTATTGTAATATATTTAGCGTGGCAGTGAAGATTTCTAGTAAAAAAAAATTTTGCATTGTTACTTAAGAATCTCTTGATTAAGTATTTTGTTGCGATAGTATCTCCTGGAATATCGGACTTACCTGACAATAACATTGAAACTTTAACATTATTGTTAATTGCGGCTTGAATAGCTTTACATAGAAAACTTGGAGGGAAAAAATAAGATGTTGTTAGGTAAATGCAGTTGGACGAATTTTTGGTTGCTATACTCAAAACATTTTGAATTCCTCTATGTTGCTTTCTTGTGTTACTATATAGTACTTGTAAAATGGTACCATCCTTAATTTCCTTCGGTCTTTTGAACATTTCGGGATTATATCCGTATTTGGATTCTTTAAGTGAGTCGATAAATACCTTTCCAAGATCATAAGTTGCAGGGCCTTTTATTTCAGCATGTACATCATAGAAACAGAGCTTATTGATCTTTATAGGTGAAATTAGATAAACTATTTGCTTAAATAAAAAAATTAATTGTTGCATCATCGAGTTGTAAATAGTATTTAAATTCTCAATATTCATTTCATCATACAAAGATGAGTCATTAATTCGGTTAGTAATATTAATTGACCCACAAAACGCCGTTTCATCAGCAATTAACAACTTTCTGTGATTTCTGAATAGAAAAGTGTCTTTAAAAATTTGAGAAATGGGATTAAACCATATGACCTTTACATCATTTTTTAGTAACTTTTGCTCCCATTTTTTAGGGAAATTACAGCTACCAAAAGCATCTAACAGTAAAATTACTTCGCATCCTCTTTTGGAAGCTTTACAGAATGAATCAATAAAATTTTCCCCGGTTTCGCATTCCTCAAAAATATATGTTTCAAACCATACCCTTTTTTTCGCTAAGTTTATGCTTTCAATCATGGACAAATATGAATCTCTGCTATTTTCAAATAATTTAATTTTGTTCCCTTTTGTTATTTCTCCATATTGTGAAAATTTGTTCAATAAATGAAACCATTTATCTCTTTCAAATTTATCTTCTTGAATATTAAAGATTTTATTCCTTTCTATTATCCTACTATTCACCTCCTCAGCTAGCCAAGGCTTACTTTTCAAATAATTCGCATTTATTATTCCATTTTTATTTCTTTTTTTCATTAAAAATAATGCTATGCTTTTTACAACTCATGCTCTACAGCGGTACATTTATTTTGTTACTATCAATGAAGCTCAAATTATTAGTCATCATATTTTGACTACAATGAAATCAGCCCAATAAATTATATATTATCATTTCTAATTCTATTTTCACATAAATAATATTAGATAACAACAATTCTTAATGGAAAAGTTTAATAGTTGTGTTTTAAAGAATTTTTGTGCCTATTGTTTAAGCCATAATTTTACAAGGAGTGTTTATACATCCAGAAACATTTCCTTATTTTATGGGAATAACAAAAAATATATGAATTCTACTATATTGAATAATTTAGTTCTTAGAAAGCGAAAATTTCACGGGGTAATTAATTCATATTATGATAAATTTGTTTCGCAACTTAAGAAAGAAATTAAAAATGATAAATTACTTCAAGATGATATTGCATTTTTGAAGAAAAAAGTCGGTGATTTATACTTTAAAATTTCTAACAAGTCTTCATTCACAAGTTTTTATTTTTCAAACACCCATTTTAATATTGCAATACTTTACAAAATAAATCAAATTTTATCCAATCTTAAATTTTTTATGGCTAAAATTTCATTAATTTTTTCTCAATTAATTACAAGTGACTTTTTTTCAAAGAATTTAATCATAGTCAAAAATTTATTTTATGATGAAGCAAGCGAAAGTAAAATTGAGAGAGAGCTTTCAAACTGGAAATTTGATCGTAATCAAGAAAATCCTGTTGGAAAAATTAATATTCACGATAATAAAATTCGAAATTTTGATAATAAAAACGATATAAAAGCTTATGGAATCGAAAACTCTGTTGTCCTACATAATTTATCGTTAAAAGATAGGTTTGGTGCAAAACTCAAGAATATGTCATTATTGAAGAACATATTTGAAAACAAATATATTGAGATTATATTTAATAGAAATAAAATATCCAGAGCTGTGAAAGAAATGAAGGCAATAAATCCAAATTTCAAATTGCCCGATTTTATAACAATTTTTGAAGCGTATATTCTCCCAAAATTCATGGATTCATACTATACATGTGACGAGCATAAATTGAGATTGCATTGTGGAGATACAGCATATAGACAGTTTTACTCGAACATAATGGAACTTAAAAAGATGGGTCTTAGTTTTAACACTAAAATTCTTCAATTAGGAGATATAGAGCTAAAAGGAGCAGAAAGCTCTGAAGTAATATTTTCTTATAAAGATATTAAATTACGAAAAAGTCAGCCAATACTAATTTTTACTTTCAAAACACAACAAATTAATTGTTTACAAGATCATAACGGAAGAATAATATCTGGTTCTTTTGATGATATCAGAGAGTTACAATATTCAATTTCAGTAACTCCTCATCCGAATATAAATGTTCTTGGCCTTGAATACCCATATTTAATAACTGAATTGTCAGTAATAGGCTCAACCCCTATTCTTTAAAATCTATAATTTCCAGTATTATACAATTAAAAATCCCGAATTGAACTCCATTTCACTCCTCAACTCAATCTCAAAATTATTTATTATTTCGAATAGATCAGAATTAATTCTAGTTAACTCACTGCATAAACCGTCAAAATCTTCAAGATTCCGACAAATATAAACCATGGATAAAGATGGATTCAGTTCCTCCCAATAAATCTTCGTTGGAATTTCTTGAATAAATTCATCCCTACTAAAATTCTTTTCAGAAAACATTGGAAGTACCTTTATATGTGGATCTAAACAATACAAAAAAGTGTCACTAAATGCAACAATGAGTAAAGCACCAGAAGAATAATTATTCCCCCCCATAATACAAATGAACTGTGGAACGTTACTCATTGAAATTATTGTTTCTTTATACGCACTAATATTAAATTTTGATGTTCCCAACTTCATACAAAGCCATACAAAAGTACAGCTATCTGAACTTATTTCTGAAAAGTGTTTTATTGCTTGGTTCTTATAGATAGTGCCGTCTATATAAGCAATACTTGCAATTTGAATATTAGATATGATATTTCTGTTGTCATTTATTAACTTGTCTGCGATCATTGATGAAGTTGTTGGTCCAATCCAAGATGTAGGATTAATTCCAAATTCACTCAAAGCAACATTAACCATATTGTGAATTGAAAACTTGGCATATTCATTATCTTGAAAGTTTTTTATTATGTTTTCAATATTTGAGTCGCCCAAATAGCTTTTTAGAAATTGGCGAACACCATAAGCTATTGACATTTGAGTTACTCTATACATACACCCCCATCCAATATCCGATGTTATATTATTCGAATCATCTTTTATATTGCTTTTCGGCTTTAATATACCCTTAGATATACTAATATTTTTAAATTCATTTCTGTACGTAAATAGTATAATTTCACGAAATACATTCAAAAAACGTTCTTTATTCTCGGGCTCGTATTTATTCCTTAGCATAAAAATTGGTTCGTCGATATTGATGAATTTTTGAGCAATTTCCCTGAAGAGTAAACTGACTGAGAAATAAAATTTTCTACCAAAATTCATACTCCATGCTTTTAATTCAATGCTTCGAAATTTTTTAACTTTCAAATAAAGGAGAAACCAGTATTGCGCCGCCTCAAATAGTATTATTAACTAGTACATTAAATAATCGGATGAGCTACATTGAATGTAAAAAAATAGGCAGGATAAACTTTAACCAATTGGAGGACCTTCTTGAATTGTTAAAATCCCTATGTGCTGAAGTTAGACTTGTCAAATGGCGTGAGAATACATGGTGCCCTAATGCCAGCGAATCGCTTAATACTCAAAGAAAATTGGACTTTACTAAAGCGCAAAAACACATAGAAACAGAAGCTCGTATATTAGAGTATATTTATCCACCAGAAAACAACGACTTAGTCAGTATTTTGTGTCAAACGCCAATCATCGAACCTAATTCTAACATTTTAGATATGCCATTGTCGAACGACAAAGATAAAAAAGCTACTGTATTAGTCAACAAGGTGGTTGAATGCTTATCATCCAAATCAATATTGGATGTCATCCAGCACATGAATATTGGCTCTTTAAATTCGAATCCCCCCACGCTTTACAATACACTATATATTAGCTGTTACGTGTGTACTTTTAACCCTCTTAAAGCAGATGAGGTAGTGATCCTTGTTCAGACTGAATTCAAAGATTTAAATTTTAATTATAATTTTAATGATCATATATTAGTTATTCTAAAGTCTAAATGTTTAAATGAAAATGTAATTTCCACAAATAAGCAAGCAATTCTCAGTTTAAGTAGAAAATTAGAAAAAATAGTTTCATTTTGACTCAACTACTAAGCATTAATTAAGTCAAATCTATGAGATTTCACTGCTATGAATTTGCTAATTTTTCCATTAAACGCTGTAGTTCATTAATTATAATAAGCATTGTTCCCCTCTTCGAAGGTTGTGGGTCCCAACATCGTATCATTATGTTTTTAATTTCTGTGGGCGCATCACTAACTATATATTTCAATGTAGGTCTGATACCCTTAATAATTTCTTCAGTAAGTATTTCTGGATTTACATCAACTCCTAATTCAAAAAAAGGTGTCTTGTTAGAAAGAACTTCATACATGATCATTCCAAAACTATATACATCAATATACTCGTTGTAAGTCTGGTTTGTTAATACTTCAGGTGCCATCCATTGGTATGTACCAACCAGATTTCCAGGCCCATCCGCAAATCCTTTGTTTGAAAACAATTGTTTGCAAAGGCCAAAATCTCCAACCTTAGCAATTGGTACATCAAGATTAGATTTTATTGGCAATAACAAGAAGATATTTAAAGATTTGATATCTCTGTGGATTATTGGCGGATTTGCAGAATGTAAAAAATGTATCCCTCGAGCTATATCTTGCAAAATTTTTATCCTTTGATACAAAGATAAATTAATAGACGGACCAGAGAAGGTAAATTTGTTCGAATCTGAACATTTCTTAGAATCTCCATGTAACAGGCTAAAAAGGGTGCCTCCTGAGCAAAACTCACATATTAAAAAGGGTGGGTTTGAACTAATGTTACCTCCCATATACTGTACAATATTTGGATGCCTTAACAGGTTCATAATTTTAATTTCATTCTTGAATTCCGAATAACGTTGTGAATCTTTTTTATTCATTTCCATTGATTGAATTACCTTATTTATACTTAAATTCAAGTAATCACTATTTGATGACTTAATAACTTTTGGGCAACTCCCTAGTATTTTTACTGCAACTTCAGTCCCTCTCCAAAATGCAGAATAAACCGAACTAGTTGATCCAATTCCAAGTAACGAAAAAATTTTTATGTTTGTTAAATTTAATTCTATCCAATTATTCGATTCAAAATTATATAAAGGTTTGATCGATTTTGAACTCGCATTATTAATAGAAATCTTTGGTATATTTCTTATATAGAATTTAGAGCTGATAAAGTTAGGTACTTTTGAATTAATTGGTTTATTATTCAAAAATATCGAAGAATTTTCTTGATTTGTTGAACTTATATTGAGTTGGTTATTTGATAAATTATTTGAATTATATTTCTCTTCTTGAATATATTTTACATGATTACAAGATCTTATACTGTTTTTTCTACAATTTTCCGATATAAAATTTGAATTTCGCTGTAAAAAAACTGAGTTATTATTAGAATAATTTAAACTTGGCTTTCTTTCTAGAAATGAAGTTGCACGAAATAATTTATTACAAGCAATGGGTACAGGCTGTGAATAATCGGTATTTAACGAATCGTATATCTTTTTTTTGGAAGAATTTAAACAAAGTGTCAATTTATTATTCTTTTCTTGAAAATTATTCGGAAAAGAAGGCCTAAACTCCATTTCAAAAGCTCCGAACCCATTTATTAAGTCATTGGCACGAGAAACTAAATGTTTTCCTCCCTTCAAAAGAAAAGGATTTTGAAGTAAAGAAGCTTTTTGGTTAGTCTCAATTTGTTTTCCATTGATTATCCTTTGCTTGAAAACGTTATTTTCATTTATTAATGATGAATTCCGAAACAATCTTCCATTTTGGATTTGATAATTTTCTGGTAAAATTAGATTAGTGCTCTTATAACAACTTCTCGATAGATCTCTATTTAAAAACTTTCCATTAAAAGTAGAATTTGAACAAAATTCATTCGGTTTTTCATTATTAGAATTAAAGTCGGACCAATTGTTCGTTTTTTGGTTATATTCAGATCTTTGTGTTGAATTTGACCACGACTTCGAACTTCTTAGTATAGTAGGAATTGAATGCATATTTCAAGTTAAGTTGATAAAATACAAATAAAGTATCTAATTAGATATCCCATTAAGTTAAGTTCAATTTTCGAATATTAATTGCATTAAACAAGTTTTTATTTAAGAAAGAGGTATTGAAAAGTCAAGTGAAAGTGGGGTGGTTAATTATACGAGGTTGCATGAAATGACTTTTTTTAAAGTGGAAGTTAAAAAAATTAAAATAATTCGTATAAAAAACAATATATAAAAGCTACTCAAAAATTTCATCTATTTCCAATAATCCGAATTCATCAGAATCGCTTATACTCTCTAAATATGCAAATTGCAAAAAATGTTGCGGTCTGTGAACTTCATCGTAAAATGCATTTGGCTTATCGACTTTATATGAGCATTTAGAGGAATAGCTATACTTTACCACCATAGAATTGTAACTCCATACACCATCTTCTGGAACTAAAAAAAAACCATTATAAGTTTCTGAAAGTATTAACTTCATCTTTTCAGTGTAATTTGATGTGCAATTTTTAAAAGCTTCGTTTAAATCTATATTGTCGATGTTATTTTTATACCACTCGAGACCATCACGGTTCACCTCAATTGCAGAAAGGGTAGTAGATCCAGGAGTAAAACTGCAACTTATGATTGCAATGTTATTTATTTGAACATCCAAATTATTTTGAGAAATTCTTGATAAGTAATTAAAATCAGACATAGTTACGGAAAAATCCTCTTGAACTTTGGTTTTTATTAGTCCAACGAACTCCAAATCTGAAATTACCGAGTTTTTTGGCAAAATATCGGTCATATTAATAGAGTTATGATTACCATGTTGAGGAGCCAATACTAAACATCTTATTTCAATAATAGATTCTCCTTCATATTCATTTTTTGAATAGCAATTATCTTTTCTAAGTGGTTCAATTATTCTTTTACCATACATAAATGCTCCAATCTGTGTCCTTAAATCTGAAATCTCAATGAATGTTTTCAGTAGATTTTTTGGAATAACATATGGTGTAATCGAGCCATTTGAAATACTAATAATTGACTCATCAGACAAAATGTAAATATTGTCACTTCTTAAGCTTAAAGTCGTTGAAGCCAAAGCTCTTGCTCTCCAATCAGTTTTTGAAGAAAATGTCTTCTGTTCATACTGTGTTTGAGTTGTTACAACTATTTCCTGACCATGAACATTTACAGTTTTAGTAGTTAAACTAGTAATATCCGAAGATTCAGATGTATTCTTTGCAAGATCCTTAACTTGCCTTTCAATTTCTGCAATTTGTTGTCTTTGAATCGAGGGAGGAGTTATTTCCATTCCTAATATTATATCCCTTATTTCACTTTGTGTCAAAGCAGATATGTGTACATTGTTTTTTTTAGAATAATCATCTAATATTACGTCTTTAAGTGAAACCTCAACGTTAGCCCATTCTTCATCTGTTAAAGATGGCCAAATATGATTATGCATTGTAATAATATTTTTATTTGGTTTAATAATTACTTTCGTTCTCTCTGGGTTTATATGCATTGATCTTAAAATTAATACTAATCGGCTAAATGCTGTAAATGGTGAAATTGTCTTGAGCCAATCATCATATAGAGAAAATAGTACCATCGATGGTTGTGTGGACTTAAGTACTAGATCGCCAAATTTTTCTATCTTAAGAAGTGCCTGAAATGGAAGGCTCAAATCCGAACCTTTAATAACAATATTGGGGAAATCAAGTAGGTGAACTTCAAGAGGATCGAGCATACCCCTTCTTGTGACTACTACCTGCTTTGGTTGTTCCTCTATAGGCAAAGATCGGATAAGTGCAACAACTTCTTCTGCAGTTTTCCACTTAGCTAACTGTGAAAGTCTTTTTTGTCCAGCCCAAACCGAAGTATGTATAACCTTCATAAATAATTTTCCACTACATGGGTTAAGTATCAATATACAGCCATTTACTGGTTTTGTAGTTAGGTTACCTTCAAATGTTTTATGTATTGAAACCCTATATACATTCGTGTCATCTACAAACCATGTTGTCTGATTGCTAAATAGTTCGCTATAATTTTGGCTATTTAAATATGGTTCGGTAGGCTCAGAACAATACAATTGAAGTCCTTTTCTTATTCTTTCTCTTAAAACGTATAATGCAGGGTTTGATTTCATAATTTTTGCCATAGCTTTTTGAATGAGCTCTTTAAGCCCTGGAATCCAATTTCCATATGCAGAATAGAGGTTGTAAGCTAAATCAACACCAATCAACACTCCTGTAGGAGAAGGGTAAATGGACATTGCATCGCTGGTATAATCAAGGAACTTTGCACGGCAATATCTTTCTATATCATGAGAGTCATAGTCACCCCAGCGTAACTGAATATCAATCCAAAATTTGTTGGTGTTAATTGATGAATTGGGCGTTGTTTCATCCTTCTTGTCAAGCAAAAGTGATGGATTTGTTGCATTCCATTTATAAGACGATAATAACAAAATATCAGCACAAGAAGAATTCATTTTATAACTTTTCCTGGGATGAATAGCTTCCTTTTGTACCATTTCAATACCTAGTGAGTCGACTTCATTGTCTAAAACCTGGCAAATATCCATTACAATCGACTCGTGTATTTTTTGCCATAAATGAGCTCTAAATATTTGTATTAATGAAATCTTTAATGTAGGAAGTTTTCCATGCATGAAAATACCTGTCAAATCTAATTGTACTTGAAACCCAATATAAACGTTTGCACGATTAATCGTAGGGCTCCACCACAATGTAAATCTGCGATTTGGAATTTGATTTAGCCCACTTCTTTGTGCATTTGTCAGTTTTTTATATTTCATGCTCTCTTCAAAACCTGATGATTTCTCCCAAAAAAGGCCTTCCCAAGTCGAAAAATACGTACCTTTAAATAAAGTATGTTCCAAAATACTTTCAACTCCTCCCAATGCTTGTATCATGTCAGTTCTATAGTTGCTTAAATTCCACAATTTTCCATCGTGTTTTTGGTGAGTCCACCAGAAAGGATTATTTCTTAAAATCTGAAACTGCCTGAAAATTTGTCTAACTCTCCATCCTTTATCATAAGCAAGAGTGTGTCTATCTTTTTGAAAGAGGGTATTTATCCTTGGAATTCCTTTATCCCAACTGTCTTCTATATCTTCTAATGTAAGTCTCTTATTTTGTAACTGAGCTTGCTGTCTCTTTAACGAATACTCTAACCAGACGCGTTGTGATTCTATGAATTCGCTTTCCCAAGTCTGAATATAACGATACAGATTTGGTATATGTTCCTCTTGATCATGAGTCATTCCGGCCCTAAAGTGTGAAATGACTCCTAAATCAGTTTGTTTAGTAAAACGTAAATCGCTTTGTGGAATTAATATGTGTCCCATTGATAACATCCCCAACCCACCAAGCTCTTTAGGCGTATAAAAAACCACAGGTGGAAATCTTGTTGGCATTTTTGAGTTAAGACCTATTTTTATTCTAGTCTGGATTTTGTTTTCGCACCTTACAAGTAAATCCAATAATTTTTCGGTGTAAATTACTGCCTCCCTAAAATATGTCATTAATCCGATTAAACAAGTATTCCACTTATTTGCAATTTTAGTAAATGTTGCAGAACCTGAAGTAATAAGAATCTGCCTAACTCTATTCTCAAAATTTCTAATTTCTGATTCATCAACCATTAAAAAAACATAGGTCGTAATTTCTTTCGATATTTTGTTGCTTAATTGCCATGTACTTTCTCTAGAATAATATTGAGAATTTTCATTACTAATAAAAGATGTGTCATTTTGTTCAAAGGATCTTCTTCCTATTCTACAAATAGGAAGTAATCTTACTGAAAACCCAGCCAACGAAAATAGTAAATTTGGATTATTTTTAGAATATACAGAAACAAACGAATTTTCCCATTCCAATGTAGTTACACTTTTCGGAAGGCGATTAGATAACTCCCAATAAACGCTTTTACCTATAATTACATCATTTTTAACTAGTCTCATACGGCATTCTTTTGGCCAACATTTTTTGTTGTTATATCCTATTAAATTTTGATTATTGTTAATGTCTGGATTTTCAGATAAATAACGTTGAATCAATTCTTTTATTTCTTGTTTGTTAAGTTTAATTATTATGTATAACTTGTCAACAAATCTACAATACAATCTAATTGGATGTGCTAGTTCTATTTTTTTATCTGAATATTTTAAAAATTCATTAGGATGACTTGGTGGGCCTGCTATCTGATTTGCTCGTGTTAATCCAAGCATTAACAAGTCAACAATCAAGAGGTAATATTGAGAAACAAATGAAGAGAATTGCAAACCTCGGATAATTCCATAAGAGTTTAAATAATTCATATCTTTATATGTAACATTGATATTATTTTTGCTTGTAATATAGTCGGCAATGTTATGGTCGGTTATTAACCTTAAGAGTCTATTTAGCAAGGTTAAGTCAATTTTTTCCATTATCTGTTCAAACTGCGTTTCAACCAAAAGGCCAACTGAATCATCATCGTACTTCCAAAAGTTATCAAGGTTATTTATTCCATTACATATTTTATATACAAGTAGTGGAGGTGGTTCATTATCCGATGGCTTAACCCAATTTGGAAACAGTTTTCTGTTGTCAGATTCATACCATAAATATTGGTCTAAGTATGTGTCGGTTATTTTTTCTAATGGATCTATATCATAAACAGGTATTAAATGAGAATAAAAGTCCATAAACTCTATATTTGTTTCCTTGAAAGTTCTTTGAGTTAATAAATGTCTTTTTATTCTGGCAAGAGTTTCGTGTGGATTATCATAAGCATTTTCAATCAATGTCAATTCTTCGCGTTGCGAGCGATTAAGTCTCGATTTTACACTGTATACTTCTTTGAGTCGTTCTAACGCCAAAATAAGCAATTTCGTATCATGTTTATAATTTAATGGAGGAAATGGAATGTGTATAAACTTCCTACTCTCCAACCAATGAACTGCTGTAGTGTAAATAGCAACAGCCTCTTCACTTGATATATAGGGCCCGTCCCTTAAGTAACTTAATTGCCTTTCTTGCTCAGCCTTAATGTATAATCTTGTTAATCTACCTAGATTTTTTTTTACAACTGTTTTATCAACAGTTGCCCCTCTTCGAATCCTTTCCCTGTTAAAGTAAGCTGAATTTGTCCACCAGTCTGCTTTCAGTTTCACATACCTTAAAATAATATTTTCTACTGCAGGTGGCATTCCCGGAACTTTCCAAGGAAGGTTAGCTTTCCAGCATCGCCATGATTCGCTTAAATGCTGTAATATTGGCCTTGCTTTACTAGAACGAAGTTGCTCAGGCATCATATCAAGTATATCATGCATTACAGCAGCTCTTAACTCAAGATCAAAGTGACTTTCAACTCTTTGTTTACTAATAGATCTATATGGATTTGCATTCTGACGCCCCGTAAACTGCCTAGATAATAAGTTTCCAATCCAACGTTCAAGAATGGGTATTATCCCACGAAGGAAAAATATCCAAATTCTCCAACTTGGTTCCCAGAATCCAACTCCGGGCCCTTTCCCAACTGAGCCAGTATTGAATCTATAATAGACAATATGTTTGATATCTTTGCACATTCTAACTTGTCTCATAATTCTATATTTATATCTATATATCCCAGTTAGTTGTCCAACATGATTAAAAATATATTGTAGTCCATCGGCAAGTTGGAATGCATCAATATTACCTAGTCTATACTGTACATGGCAATCAACTACTAACTTTGTTAATCTCAATATTTCTCTACAAATATGAAAAGCATTCCCGAACCTACTTTTTTTCCTCTCCTTAGTTGTCAATGTCTTAATTGGCTTTAGATTAAAATTGTAGTCTAAATGCAAATATGTTAAATTCTTTCTATGAATTAGTAAATTTAACATATTATATCCTTGTTTACAAACCTGAAGTCCAACTTCTACCCAATCCATCTCCGTTGATTGAAAAAACTTTGTATTTTCTAGTACTCTCAAAAAATTTTGTTTTTTACAATTCTTTGCAGTTTTTTTATGTAAAGAATTCAATATCCAATTTTTCAACAATTTTTGGTGTGAAACGCGAATTTTAATTGGTTGTTCGGAAGAAATATTGTTATTTTTATACCATTCTTTTAGTAAAGGAATGTCATAATTTCTTCTTCTTGAACCTGACCTAATGTTAAATGGAAATGGTGACCAAAATAATAAAATTCCATTAGTTGTAGTATTTGTCTCAAGACTATATTCATTGAAAAAAGGGGTAAAATCAACTTGAATATCATTCAATTTTTCACGATCAGTTAAGTATATATTTTCCAATGAGCAATTATTTGGTGATATCGGGTGATAGTATTCATTGAACTCAAAAATTGGTGAATTTGGATTATCTGGCTTCGCAAAAATATTAACGTTGTAGTGATAAACCGATATTGAAACAAATTTAGGTAATGAGTTGTAGACATGTGGAAATGCTATTTTGTATTCAGATCTTGTAGTTGATCTGAAGATTACTCGGTTAAGATCATTAAATTCATTCCAGTCTTCTTCGTCATCAAATGAAGCACTACTAAGTGGTTCAAATTTTGGACCTCCTGGAATCGCAATATTTAGGGCTTTTGCAGTAAAAAATGAATCTTTGTTAAATAAATAATACGAGTTATTGTCTAATAAAATAGGTAATATTTGCATAGACAGTCTATAAAGAGTACCAAGTTGTTCTAACGTTAAGTACCATTTGCGTTTTTTATAACTCCCTTTTTTATTAAGATATCTAAATTGTTGTTTTGAATCCAAATAGAACCATTCATACACAGAACTATCTTCTTCATTATCTAGACTGATTTGTATAGGATCAAGTGGTTCAACATCTAAAATATTTTCACAATAATCTATAGGAGGTTCTTCATCATCGAAAGGAGGGAAACGAATCCTTTTAAAGTGTTTTCTATCACGTTTTTCTCTTCTCATCATTGTCCACATTGTAGACCACTGTGCAATATAGAGAGGTTCAATAACCCATGGTATCTCATTTACAAAAGTTATTGCGCCAGTAACATGATATAAACAATCTACGTACTTTACTCTTTCCCAAGGCATTGGTATATTTTCTAATAACTTAAAAATTGAATGAGGGATATATTTAAGTGCACCTAAATAAATTCTTTTTTCATTCTGGAACTTTCTCGATGACATATCACCATGAATATTTATTAGTTTTCTTAGATGTTCAGGTGGTAATTTAGACTTTTTAGTAATTTGGCTATTCTTAGCTTTTAAAAGTTTGGAATACCGGTTTTCATTTAATTTTAACCAATTTAAGTTTTTTATTTCAAAATTTTTGCAACTCCTTTGTTCATTTTGAACAGTGTTATTGAAACCCATATTTTTGTTTTCTAGATAATTATAAGCATTTATTTGCAAACAAATAATTATTCACTTAAAATATCAAAAATAATTTCAAAAATTAAAACCAAGCTTTGTTTTAATGTTATATTTGCACAGTTTAACTTTTAAAATTCGGTATTCTAAAAATAACTGACCCACCTGATAATCAAAGCGCGAAAAATTTGTGAAATAATGATTCAAATACTAATTCTATAAATAAGATCCCAATTACTCGGGCATTTATAATAATGGATACTGTATTGACTCAACTATCAACTATTTTCTTAAACAAGATTAACGAATCATATTCACTTAATATAAGAAATTCAAAAATTAAAACATTTGATAATACTGGAATATTAAGAGATCAATTTGAGTGTATAGATTTAAGCGACAACTCCATTTCTTCTCTTAATCACATTTCAAATTTAAATAGACTATCAACTTTTATTGCATGCAACAATGAAATTGAGTATATTGAATTTGGGTTTACCAATAGTTTGCCGAATCTTGAGAGTTTGGTTTTAACTAATAATAAACTTAGAAGCATTGAATCAATATCGGCAATTTTCCTTCTGAAAAATCTGAAAAGATTATCATTGGTTAATAATCCGGTTACAAAGGTTCCAAATTACAAAACTATATTAATAGGAATGCTTCCTAATTTAATTTATCTGGACTTCCAAAAGATCAGTAAAGTTGAAAGGAGCACATCAGAGTTATTCTTTGAGACTAATAGTATTGGAAGAGAGTTATTAGTTCATTATTCTTCAGCCGAAAATTTTGAAAGAAATTTTATAAAAAATATAAGTAGATTTTCCCCTTCAAAGATAAATGTAATATTGGATTCATCAGAAAATAAACCAAACCATATTCAACTGAACAATATTAAGATAGCAATCTCTGTTTGTAATGACATCGAAAAATTAAGAATCCTTGAAGAATCACTTATCAAAAATAAAATTTCACCAGAAGCACAAGAAATTATTGATGATTTTATTAGCAAATAATATTGATATCTAATAAATATTCGTTTTCGATCATATAAATATATTTTCTTATTTTTTCTATGCTCGTTTTTTTGTTTATTTGTTTACTTGAAACTTAAATACAAGACGTAATTAGTCAAATTTAATATGAATACTACAGAAACTACAGAAATTCAAAGAAAACCCATAAATTTTGATTACAAAACAATATGTCGTCTGCAAAAAGAGAAAATGTGTGATCATTATGCCAAAAAGGAGTTTAGTATAGAATACTGGAAAAAAAATGGCGAAAAACTGGAAAAAACTTGTATTTTAAAAGATTTGTTCAATTATTTTCACGATTTAATGTTTGTAAAGCTCGATGAATTTGCTTGTATAAACCAAATTAAAGAAAAAAATGGTGGTTGTAACACAATTAAAGTGGGCAGTTTATGGGATGGTAATAAAATTGAAGATATAATATTTAGAGAAGTATGTTACAATAATAATATCTTCATACCTGTCTTTTTAAATTATACAAATGACAGTGCAGAAATTATATCATATAAATTATTTGTTGCTAATTGCCAGATATTATTGTTTGATAATGATATTCCTAAATCATTTATTGATGAAATATCAAATATTTTCTTAAAAAAATATGAAAGAAAAATATTAATCTTAGCTTCAGATCAGATTTTTAGCTCAAGTGAAATAAATCAAAAATTGGATTTAATTACTTATACAAAGGGTGAATCGATGAATAATTCTCAGAACCTTTCTATTTATTCGGGAAATCACTTAGAAAACTCTTTTGGAACAAATAAAATAAAAAATGATGTTCAAAACCTAGAGTATAAAAATATATCAAATAATCTTCGAAATACCATTATTAATCAGACCTCTAAGAGCACCGAAAAAGTTGATTTATATAAAGAAGAAAATAAAAATATTTCAAATAATCTAGATCAAAATCTAGATATATTAAAAAAGACTGATTCGAAAATTAGAAATATAGTATTTACATCTGGTTCAACGGGAAAACCCAAAGGAGTAAAACTGACTTTTTCTAATTATTTGGCGATGATAGGTACCTTGAGTGTTTTATGTAATAATAATGACAATATAAAGTCTATATTTGTTATTACAAACCCATTACACCATGTAAATAGTACTTGCTTTACTGAATATTGTATTCGTAATTCATCAAAACTGGTATTAATACATAGATATTCAAAAAGTTATTGGCAAATATTGAATGAAACGATCAAAAGTTCAATATATTATTATGGTAATAATTTTAGCATATTTGTTCCTTTGGTTCCAAAACATTTTGAATACTTTTGTTCAATGATTGAAAATAACTATTTTGAGGACAGCCATGAATTGTTAAGTAACTTATCCCACCCATCAGTTTTTTTTTTTTTTGGTTCATCAGCTGTATCAAATAATTTAATAAATAAATTCAAAAAAATGTTGAATGAAAAGGTTCCAAGAGTTAGATTTGGATCAACCGAAACGTGCTTACAATTGTGTGGAGCTGATTTATTGATGAATAATTCACTACTTAAAACTGCTTTTAAAATAGAAAGTGAGTGCATTAATAATGTTTATTCTAATTCTATAAAAAAAAGTGGATACTTCATTGGTAGGTCCATCCAACCTTTTGCGGAAATTTTGGTCGTAAAATCAATAGATTTCAATTCGGATAACTTTCTTGTCCCAACAAATGAATTTGAAATTGGGCATATTATTTGTCGTGGGAAAATTGTAATGAATGGTTATATTAATTACGAGAATGTATTAATTACGAAAGAAATATTAAAAAGAATGAATAAGAACTTAAATAAACAAATACCTAATAACATGCTATTTATATGTGATCATCATCCTTGGTACATCGGATTGGGAGATCAAGGATATTGGACCGCTGGGGAAATTAAAGATGTTTCAAAACCATCAACTGTACATATATTAGGAGAGGAAAGAGAAGTAATTCACATAAATAAAGACTCCAAGACAATTATTAAAGAAAAGCTAAATTCTTGCGCATGCTGTCAAGATAATATCTTATTAGATAACATATTTTTGTATTGGTTATCTCGTTCTTCCTCAATAATTAAAATTGGAGGTGTAAAATATAGTTCTGAAGAAATTAATAACAGAATTGTAAGTACCTTAAAGAATTTAGACAATTCAATATTTTCTGAAAACTTTTTTTCCACTGTTATTGGTATTAAAGACGATAAAATTTCAGAGGATGATAAAATAGTATTTATTTACGAACCTTTCGAGGGGAGTATGAAATTAGAAGAGTTGATAAAAAATAAACTTATTTGCTCCAAAATACCAAAATCATATATTCCATGCAAAATTGTTGAGACAAATATCCCGAAAACGTTTAAAGGGTCCATCGATACTGAAAAACTATTAGAGAAAATTAAATTTTAAATATTAATTTAGAATTATAGTAAATGATATAAATAAACAAATATTAAATAGTTGATTTATGGGGGAAAAAATAAAGTTTATCTATTTACTAAAAATATTAAAAATTTTGTATATTACTTTTTTATATAATAGATTTTTCAACGCTTTTTCATTAATGGATTGTGTGTCCTTAGGTTGTGTGCAAATTTTACCAACATTAAGAATAATTTTATAAATGAGCACTGGTAATTTAAAATCATCTCTCTATTCTTCATTATTTTTGTCGAACAGGCACTTACCAAAACTTGATTCAGAAACTTCTGATAATAATTCAAGTGTCAAAATAAAAGATTCAGACAAAAATATAAATAATTCAAAAACTTCAGTTATAAAAAAGCGAATTGATTTAAATAGTAGTGAATTAGTAAATATTAAGAGTTTAAATTCAAAATGTCTGAATTCAATTTCCGATAAAATTGCAAAGTCAAATAATTCAATCAAATACAATTCAAAAAGTTCAACGAATCAAAAGGAGAATGAAAAAAATTATTTAAAGGAAGTTTCATTAATAAATAAATCAGGTAAAGAAAGTATTAGTCCATCAAAAACTAATCTTGCTGGACAAAATAGAATAAATGATGCAAATTCGATTAATACATCAAACAAAAAAACCAATTTAGAAGATTTTACAGTAGCTAAAGAAAAAATACAACTAGATGATGAAAAGATACAGGAGAAAAATTTTTTTGATACAGGGACTACTAAATGTCTTTTAAATATTAAAGAAAATAAAAATTTAGAGGAGGAGGTCACATTTGACGTTTATTTAAGATCAAATATAATAAAAATAGTTAAAGATGAAAATAATGAAGTTATTATTTCTGTTCCATGTAAGTTAAATATGGATCTAGAAAGCTTATTTTATTACTTTTCAAATAACTCAATTTATCTAAAATGCAAACAGTTTGCAAACATGCTTCATTTAAGTAAACTTTATCACAAAAGCAAGCCTATTGATATTTTGGGCAGAATGTTTCCTTCAAATCAAAAAAGTTTACCTGATGAGGAGAAACAAATAGAATATAATTGTTTTCTAAAGCTTTTGCATCGCTTTTCTCAATTTAAGTTCAGATCTATCGGGGCAAGTGAAGAAGAAAAGTTGAATTTAGTTGTTTCCTTTTTACTCAGTTGTGATTATGCTGATATAATTTCAAATAAGTTAGTTAAATCTGAGAGATGCATTCAAGTAAGTGATCCAACAATTCAGAGGAAAGATAAGGATATTCAGATAAGTACTGAACTCAAGGATAATTCTACTCAATTTAATCGAAGCGTAAATAATGTAGAAATAGATGCAACCTACTCTGTATCAGATGCTAGTTGCAGTTGTGATATTGAACAGGAATTAGACTTAAATATTCAGAAGGAATTTGATGAACCTTCTAATGAAGAACATCAAAATCAAACATTCGATTATTTAGATGTTTACAGTATTCAAGAAGAACCGGAAATTCAAGAAATTGTTGTGAAACCAGAGTTAATTGAAATAAATCAGGAATCTTTTAAAAAAAGTGAAAAGAAAAATAATCCCAAAAAAATCACTCAAAAAAGCTCAGATAAAGAATCAGAAATTTTAGTAGCACTTACAAGCATTAGCCAAGAAGATGACAAAAAATTATATAGGATCTTTGTTTATTATTCTGGGCCTAATAGTGATAGGCTTTCATATCGTCAATTTTACAACTTAATGAATGATTCAGGTTTGTTAGGAGGAAATTTTGAAGAATTTCTTACTCCCATTCAGTTAGAAAGATGCTACTCAGCCGTAATTATTAATCCAAAGGGTTTAGATTATTGGGAATTTAAGGAAATATTGCTTTATTGTGGCGAAGCATCGTCTTGTGGACACGACGCTACTTCTTCATTCCAAAGCATAATAAAGAAATATATCATTCCATTAATATTGATGATATATCAACCCAACAATTTTGAAAAATGCGAAGATGTAGTATTAGATAAATCCATTTCTGAGGAGTTTGATAATGCAAAAAGTTTACAAACAATGATTAACAAAGCAATTTTACCTTGGTTCCGACTTGGAAGTCGCCCAACATTAAGTGAAAGCGATGAGTATTCTGATACTTGCAGTTGTAGTTCAATGAATTCAAATATTGATAGTTTTGAAGAAGAGGAGTCTTCAATTTCTAGTTCATATATTTCTAGTTCAGTAAAAGAAGAAAATTAATATTTAATACTGAATAGATTGATAATATTCAAAGTAAATGAAACACAAAAATTTTTATCAAAATTATCAATTACGAGTTGTAAATATAATATTAGTTTCTAAGAATTTCTAACAATTTATCATTTTCGGACAAAAGTATATTTTGACTTTACATGTGCATGCATGCATTTCGAATATTTTCGCATGCAATGATTAATATTGCATAATTATTTAGGGAAAAAGCTTTTAGTAATTAATATTAATAATAAAGCTAAGTCAGAAGAATAAAGATATGTCAGGTTTTAATATCGAAAGATTAATTAATTTGAACTCATTTAACCAGGGTATCTCGGAAAATGAAACGCTTGCGCTATCCTTGCCTACTGGAAATACAGTTGACCTTGATTTTGAAAGCTATTGTTATTATTATAGTGATAATACATACAATAATGAAGATATTTCGTCAATTTTAAATAAAAAAAACGAAATTAGTGGAATTAATAATTGGGTGAATTTCAATTGTACTGAAAATAAGTATTTTGAAGAATGTATGCAATCGAATCTTACCACTAACATAAACAAAACTAATTATAAACATGATATAGAGTCTTATTGCAATGATTATTATAATAGAGATAATTTTCTACCTTCCTTAATGAATTCCAATCTAATTATAAATCATTGCTTTCAAAACAGTGAAGTAAAAGTTAAAAGCAAAGTAAAGTCAATTGTGTTATTTTTAAGAGCCAATTTAGGGATTAATGTTGCAAAGAATTTCAAAGAAGAGGTAGAGGCACTCGGAGCATATGTTTTCATTGCAGAGAATTGCAAGGAACTGTTAGATGTTAACAACGAACTTGACGGTTGTAAAAGGTTAATTGTTACATCTGCAGATGTAGCTCTGAATGAGAGGTTAACGGAAGAAATATCAAAGAAAAAGTTGTCAAATTTCCTTGGGGTAGTGCTTTATTGCGGACCTCATGCAGAATATCATATTAAATGGTGTTCTAGAGTTTCTTCTATCAAATTTCTTTCACAAAATTTAATAGAAGTCAGGCGTGCAATCTCTTGGTTATTCTCCGAATCTACAGCAACCACAAATGAAATGCCAAATATTGGGCGAAGAAATAAAAAAGTTGGTCTTCAAGAGTTGAAAAAACCTTCACAGAACAAAATAAACTCAGTTATGGGTAACTTTCCTAGTTTGGGAGTGCAGGGGCTTACAAACCAAATTATAAATGAAGAAGATAACCAAATAAATTCTACAGGAAACTACTCTCCCTTCGGAATAAACAATAGTAATCCACATGACAATATTGCAAGCATGTTTAGGACATTAGCTCTTGAAACAAAAATAGCAACTCAAGTGAATAACGGACAGTTTTTCAGTGTAGATAACTAGGGAAAATATGCTATAACAAATATAAGGTTTACCCTATACTTTATAAAGTTGATGTTCTATCGTAATAAACCTCGTTCTTTATATATTGTAGATAACTTAATTGGGCAAAATTTATTATCATTTTTATCTTAATTATTTGAACTCTACCGCGGGATATTTTTACACAGGGAAATTATTTATAATGAGTTTATCGGAAGTAGCTTTCAAAAATTCCCTCGATGAAGATTTAAATATTGAGTTGTGGATAGATGCTGCTGACAATTTCAAAAATGAAAGTTCTGCAGAACTATTTTCTTCAAATTTAAACAACTTAAAGGTTGAAAAAAAGAATATTGTTAATAGAATAAATAAAGGAAGGAAGTTAAGGAACAAAAAAGTTTCATATAGAAAATTACCTGATACTCATGACAGGTCAATTGATACTTCGAATAGTGGTAGGACGTCATTAATTCTAAAAAAACTTGATAGATAGTAAGGTAATAATTATACTTCATTTGTATTAATTAAAATGGTTTGCGTTACAAAAACTTTTTAATATGTAGTTAATAGCAGATATCATTTTTCTTTCATATATACAAATTTCGTTTTCGAACAGTCTAAATAGAAGAGATTTTGGGACTTTTTTATTTTCCTGAAAGATTTTCTTTTTATTCGTTCTTACTTTTATATTAGTATTACAATTGTAATTCTTTTTATTTGAAAATTTATTTAGCTTTACATTGTGAATAGATGGTGCTTGTTGAGTCATGTTCATTCGTATATAATGTTCTAATGCAGAAATCTGAGTATCTTTGATTTTTTTTTTCCCATTATCCAATTGGGTCTCGTTTGAATCTTTACTTTTTAACAAATCACTTTTAATAGAACAATTAGATTTAGGAAACCTCATTTTTCTGCAAATTAACCATTTTTCAATTTCTTCTGCTGATTCTGTAATGCTATTACCTTCATTATTATTAATATGTTTTAGTTTATGATAATACATAATTTCCTTTGGTGCAGAATAATCGCAGTTTTCTTCATTACAGGTAATATGTGAATATAAAATATGGCAAGTGTATTTATCATGATTAATGAAACCTTTTCCACAAACGTTACAATAGTTGTCAAGCTTTCTAATTTTTCGGTTTCTTAGTTGGTTATTTTTTAACATTTGTAATATATTAATTAATCCCTTCATATAATGAAGTGTGTATTTATCTTGAACACAAATAAGTATTTAGGCGCTAATCGTATATCCTGGTATTTTTCGTAACTTACATTGATTGGCTGAACGTTCCAACATAATAATTTGCTTTTAACTCTACGGAAATTTGAAATGTTATAATTTTAAGATTTCTTTTTTGGAAATGCCAACAGTTACATGATTAAAATTTAATTATGGCGCATTCTTTTGGAGCCAAAGTTTATAGTTGTTTTTTTATGAATTATTGTATCAAATGCAGCTAAGAAGCAAGGTAAATCACAATGTTGCAGAATACTTCCGCAAAAATTTGCAAATTACATCTGCAAATCTATCGGACTCAAATATGCCGTTTCCATATAAGCATGAGTTTTTTTCTGGATTAATTAAATTACCATTTTTGTCATCTGAACCCGAATATATAAATTTTCCGATTAATCAAAGCAATATTCAAGAGTGTTTTACAACTCTTTATGATTGCACAAGTACTTTACAAATAAATATGATTCCCAGGCATGACATAGGTTTTTCAAATGATTCAATTGAAGCCAAAGATATGATTGAAAATCAATTTAATAAAAACCACATATCTTTAGATGATTTGGAATTAATAGATGAAGAAACAATAGGAATTTATAACGGTACTAAAATGAAAGAATGCAATATTAATGATCAGTCAGTTTGCATAGAAGGGAATGGCAAGGAGATTAGCGACCAAGGAGTAAAGCTATTGCACCCAATTAAACAAAATGTTAAAGCTATATCAATACTAGACATTATACCTTTAGATATGAATCACTGTTCAACGTTCCAAGTAATGCTTGACTCTAAGGAAGAAAATGTAGATACTATTCTTGAGTTAGACGAGGGTTGGAAACGCCCTTTTACGAGATTCTCTTTTTATAATAAAATCGAAGGTAAATTATATAAGTATGATAGGGATTACTCATCAACTTTACCAAGGGAATATACAAAAAGTTACATTATTAGTCTTCCAAAGCACTTTGTTGAATGCAATAAAAATAAAACGTCAGAAACAGCTGATTCTAGAGCATACTTAATATCTACTAAGTCTCCAAAGCTATTGTTATCAAAAGTTTCATCAGCGAAAAGAAAACCTAAAATTAAGCTTCTATAAACTTAATAAATATTAAAGTGGATATCTGATTGACTGTATTTTTCTATTTTAACTGGAGTATACCTAAGGTCATGTTTTCTAATCCAGAAAAATAATGGTTCTTTGACTTGTTCTAGACAAGATTCATTGAATGAGAAAAGTGAAATATAACCTATCCCAATTCCCTTTCTCATTGACATCGAGTACCCTCCGCTAGTTACAATACCTACAAGTTTTCTCATTGTGGAAAAACTTGGGTTGCTACTGTTGAAAGATTCGGGATGATCCACCGAATTCTCTTTCAAAGATGTCTTGCCATATTTATTAGGTTCTTCAATCAAATAGTTTTTTTTTTCGATTTCTTTTACATCACCTCTTTTGCACATATAAATATGTGCTTTGTGATTTATTTTGCATGATGATGTAATTTTCACTAACACTAAAGTTCTTAATTTCATCGTTGGGTTCGTCGGAAAGCAGGAAAATGCATCATCATACTCTTTCTTAGTTCCTCGGTATCCAACCCTAGGAACAAATATGTTGTATTTTTCAATTTCTACATCTTTACTTGAAATAGAATTTGAAATAATTTGGTTAAGTGCCAAATAGTTTTTTTGAAATTTAGAATATTCCAGGCATGATTCATTCAAAATTTTATTCCAATTAATCAAAAAAGGGAACTCGATTTTATTGAAAAAGTAATTTATCCTTTTACTTGGAGGAGTTTTCATGTAGTTTGAGAAATTTGTTACTTCATTACACATTTCTTCAAGAAATTCTTTAGATTTTGAGTAAATTGGATTTGAAATTTGTATTTTATGACAGCTTAAAGTTTCAATGAAATCAAATGGGAACATTGGAATTCCAAGTTGAGTCAACAATCTTCTTCTCTCACCAATTCCAATAATTTGGGCAGAGTATAAATGCAAATATCTGAGTAACAGTGACGAATTTAATCCACGTGGAAAGATAAGATCAAATCCCAAATTTGAACCTTGATGAAAAATAATTAAAACCTTAGAGAAAATAATTCTTTGTTTTGGGTTTTTTTTTCTATTAAGGTTAGAATGAGAATTTTTTTTTTCATTCCTTTCAATTATGTTTGAGAGAAGGGTCTTGATGTTTTTTTTTTTTTTACTCCTGCCATTTAGCATATTTATTAAAGGCGTATAATATTTATCATGCTTTGTTGCATGTTCTTTATTTAATAATTTTTTTTTAGAGTAAAATCTTTCTCTAATGGCTTCTCTGTATTGATTGCAAAAAAATGAACAGCCCATATGATTATCTTCGAAATCTAGATGATATTCGTTATTTAATTTCAAAATTTCGTTTGATATTTTATTTGAATTGTATGTTATTGGTAAGTTAATTCCAACTGTATTTACAAAATCCTGTTTAGCCACAATTAATTCAATTTTTGGAGAAGAATTATTAAATATCAATGACTCAATGCAATTCAAAGATTTGGGTCCTAGAAATTCAAATCTATTCACATCTTCCACTAAGTTTATCTCGATATTCAAGCCGAACACTTTAATACACTTTTCCCAATAAAAAAATTGTTGATGCGAAGCAATAGGATGAATCCAGACCCATAAAGATTTACTTGAACCACAATTTGTACACGATGGAGTCCATACAAACTCAATAGGAGCGATTCTTTCCCAAGAATAAAAATGGATTTGTTTAGAAAATAATTTGTTTGTAGAAATTTTATCTAATTCGTAATCCTTCAGCTTGAACAAGAATCCACCTCCACGTGAATTGCTATTAAAATAATCATAACTGAACAAAAATTCCACATTAAAATTACATAACCTAAATAATAATGAAATATCATCGATAGTGCCCTTTAATTCAAATAATTGTAAATATGATGAGTCGTGAACAACAAAACCATGTTTAAATGCCCTGTAAATTTTTCGGTTTCGTTTTGAGGTTGAATGCAAAGGCAATTTGTATCCAAACGCATCACACATTTGAAATCTTTTTGAATGGTACAAATGTGATTCCATCCATTTAAATTGATTAAACGGGAATCTTGCATTTATCTGCCCGTTTTGACGAAAGGCAGTGCTTAATTTACTTAAACTTCTTGTTTTAAATGGAAAAATTTCTTTTCCACAAAAATTTTCTCGATTAATAGCCCTAAGTAATAGGTTTCGTTTTATCCAAGGTAACTTCTTTTTTTCTTTTTTTTTTCTTTTTGATATTCTTGGAGGTGCCTTGGCCATTTCATAGGAAAGCGTTGGCCTAATTCTTTTTGGTGCTCTATACACATTGTATGACATTGATCTGCGCCTTATTGCTGGTGGAAGTCTTTGGAAGCATCGCTTTGTAGAGTTGCTTTTTTTAATAAAATTAACATATCTACAAATTTCATCTTTTCTGCCACAAGATAGGTGAGGAACATTGACAATTTGAGGCAACAAGTTTCGGTTTGAGGTAAAGATTAATGGGTTCAGTTGATATTCAAGCGCTGAGTTCATTGTCTGGTTAATTGTTACTAAATTGAATTGACCAATCTTAGTCACCAGCTACCGCCAAGATTAATTAGTTTAATTTTTGTGACAAAAAATTAATGATCAATCACATTATCAATGAGAAACATCTAGTTTCACGTTTATTATTAAACTTAGATTCAAATTTTCGAATAGGGTTTTTACATTTTAAGTCATCCCCATCTTTATATTTATTGATAAATTCCTATTTTTATAAAAGTCGAGATATTAGATATAAGTGTTATTACTCATCTAATAGAAAAATATTTAAATCTACAAATGAGAAGTATTTACAAAAAATTTCAAAAATGAATGCATTTCAGTTATTTGGTTTGGAAAATAAATTCACAATTGACAAAAAAAATCTTGATTTGAATTATAAAGAGCTAATGAGATACTTACATCCTGATGTTGGGAGTATCGTAGATGAAAATATTTCAGTTCACATAATTAAGCAATACAACATTGTGAATGACCCTTTTGAAAGGGCACTATTATTGGTATCTATAAAAAGTAAAATGCCCAGAGATGGACTATTAAATATTATAGATACAATTCCGGTGAGCTCAAGTTTATTGGAACAAATATTTGAGATAGATGAGAAAATTAAAGAAATTGCAAAAATTGGTTTTAGTATTAAAGATTTTGATGAAATAACAAAAAGAAACAATTTGAAAATCAATGATTGTATACAGTTTTTAGAAAGTGAATTTGAGAAAGATAATCCTTCCATAAGAAAAATATTAAGTACTCTAAAAGAACTTCGTATTTATCAAAAGCTTAACGATCGTGCTTCATCAATCATAGATAATTAAATTTAAAACATTCTTTAGCTTTTAGCGGCGCTCTAAAATTTATTATTATAGCAAATATATAATGTACAAGAGAGCAGCATTATTTTCATCAGATTTGTTGGCTAATTTATCAGATAATCAATATTTGCGTGAAAATATTGAAAGGCAGATAGATAAAGTCTATGGAGATGACTTTTCGGACGAATGCCCCAAGCTTTCAGAAAAATACTCGGTCTCTTTATTGAAAAGTCAAAATATTGCGATGGAAAATATCGATTCAGTTGAAGATAAATTTGTTGGGAACTTTAAATGTATTCTATGCCCCAAAAAAATAATTATTAATGAAGTTGACCTTAATAAACATCTTAAATCTAGGCAGCACCTTAATATGGTGGAAAAATGGCAAAAAAAACAGGAAAACTCAAGGAAAATAAGAGAGAAGTTCAATATTTTCCACAATTTGACCACTGCACAAGACCATTTAGATCAGGTTAATTTTGAAGATACAAAAGACTCTTGCTTAGCTGACACTCTGAAATCAAATAGAAAAAATAAAAGGAAGAAATCAAGAAACAAAGATTTATCTGAAGAACAAATCATAGCAAGGAAGGTTAAATTTATGAGGAAAAAGGAACGAAGACTGGCAAGAAAATCTCAAAAAGCTGAAATTATTTGTTGATTTTGACCCTTATTTACGGAACATAGTTATATAGATTTTGCGAATATAAATCTTTAGAAACAAATTCTTTTTGGCAGAGCATTTCTAGTCTTTCAATAATAAGCTCGGTGTTCCCTTGCAATAGTATAACATTATGATCGATTACCCTTCTGGTAATGTCATCAATATGAAGGGTTTTGTTTTTTTTAAGAATCTTGACTATAATTGAATCGATAATATAACCTTTATCTTGTACTGAAGTACTTTCTAAGTCAAAATTTTGTTTAATATCAGAATTAAGTTCTAGGGAGTCGTAATTATATTTGATGATAGTATTAGCATCTGGATTTGCATTATCGTTAATACATATAATATCGGAGGAAGAAATCGAAGTTATTACTGAGTCGTTTGAGGAAAAGTGATTTTTGGGGTTGATGTTTAAGTCTGGAAATTCGAATGTTCCTTTATTTTCATTTATGCAATTAAAATTTATTCTTGTTTCTCTCCATTTCATTATTGGAATAATACTCAACAAGGAAGGTTTATTTTCAAGTGCAAGGCTTAATAAGTTATTTTTTAATAGATTTGTGTCGCTACATCCAATAATGTTCTGCATTTCTTCAAAAGAAATATAGTCAAATCTATTAAAAATATCTAAAATAAACATTTGAATAGTTGAACACTCAATAATAAAACTTTTATTTGATAGTCTTCTACAGTTAACATTTACTATTGCACTTCCTGCCCCAAGATGCCATTGAAGTTTCCTTCTTTCATATTTCGAATGAAAAAATTGTGAAAAATTATCTAATTTGCAATTGAAATCATTTGATAAAGGAAAGTTAATATATGGATGAATAATCCAAAAGTTTGGGGTTATTACGTTGTAATTAACAATACTATTAGAAACATCAGCTACTTCAGAACTTTTTTGAAACTCTAAGTTTAAAATTTCTGATTGCATTATATCTGCAAGAATACCTTCTAGCTTTAATGTATACCCATGGCCACATTCTCCTCTTAATCTTATTATTACATTGTGTTCCATGCTCCTTTTGTTTGCTGTAAATTCCATTAACCTCTTACAAAGAAAAGTTCTGTATTTAACTTCGAACAAATTCTTATTTGAAACATGCTTGAACAACCAGAATAGGATGTCCAAATGTTTTTTATTATCATCAATTTGATTATTAGTATAGAATGATCTAAGTAAAATGTCGAATCCACTTGCTATCAAATTTATGGCAGTTGTGGTGTTTCTATTGAGAAAAAAATCTTCAAAAGACATGCTCATAACTTGGTTAAACATACTATTGTTTTTGAAGCATTCGATGAAAATAAATTCACTTCGGTTTTTAAATAATTGAATTTCATTAAGAAATTTATCAAATCCGTCACTAACAAATAATTCATCAGATGGAAATATTTTATCCAATCTCAAAGAGAAAAATTGCTTTAGGAAATTCTTCAATTTTTCTAGACATTCCGGTACACGACTTAGAATTTTAAATAATTGTTGCAAATCATGTTTAGTTCCGATAGAAAAAAGCTCAAATACAGTGTTATTTATGAATCTTTCAAAAAAATGATAAATCCAAATTTTATCCATTTCTTTAATAAGCTCATCCCAAACTTGAAAAACTAAAAAATTTTCGACCAACATCTTTTCAAACATATAATTTTTTTCACATTTATTCAAATAATTTCTAATTTGTGAAATTGAATCTTTATCCAAAGCATGAACTTTTTCAAATTCTTTTTCATGATAATCTCGTGATTCAATTAAAAAAGATGGCATAAAAAATTGATTGAAAACAGCAAAGTCCTTCCAATTAAAAACTGATGCTTTGTGATTAAATTTGTATGTGAAAATAATTATTTTGCTGTCATGAATACCATTCATTACTGGGACTTTTGATTTAAATGAAATGAATTCTTCGTCCTCTACAATTGTACTGTGGCAACTAGCTTCATTAAATTTAATTGTATCAATTGTATCAATTGGTAAATTTTTAATATTTATTTCGATAGATGGAAGATTCAAAATTTGTTCTAAAACAAATCTAATCTCTTTTGAACCATTTTCATTTAATTCTCCTGATTTTCTGAAGTTATTTACTTGTTTAAGTATATTATTTATAATATTGACAATTCTGTTATTTGAAAAAAGATAATACTTCAGAAAGATTGACATGCCTGCAATTTTGATAGGAACCTTTGTATTTGAAATAATAAAATTTTTTTCTAAATACATTAAAACATCTTGCAAAGTATCCATTGTCATTTCAAAAGTTCTCCAAAAATTCATAATATCATCTATATTTTCGGAGTCTCTTTCTTTAACCAACATCTCAATAATAAAATCCAAAACGCCACCATAAAGCATTCCACCATAGTTGTTTATTGTAAGTCTATAGCATGTTCTATATAAGAATTCAAAACTTAATTTGTGAGTTTCTCCGCTTTTGATCAATTCTAGACATTCATAAATACCCCTATATAGTGAAACTGCAGTATATTCATCGATTAAGGATTCAATCCTAAATGGATTAAAACTAATGTTTGTGGGGATTGGGTCCATTTCCATTACGTCTCATTTGTTTCTTGAATAATCAAAATATATTTTATTTCATTCTTGATAGGTTTTTCTTTATTACCGGGAAGTAAATGGTTGGAGGGGAGAACTTTTTTTTTCATGTATATTTAAGACAATTTAATTAGAGAAATGAAATTCTTAAAAATAATTTATGAGTATATCAGAAAATTTCAAAATAATTGCGGAGAGTATATCAAAAGAGGATTTTGAAAATGCAAAAAAAAATATTTGCACAATAGACTCCATTATGGACGATGACATAATAGAAAGTATTCAAACATATATCTCATTTAAATTATTTACAGAAAAGTATAATCAATCAACTGAAACACAACCTTTTCAAGATATTCAACAGGATTCTTCTTTTAAAATTCAGAAATTTACTGCTGAGTGTCTTAGTCTAATAGTCCAAAATTATGTAGGATATGCACCTATGTGTCAAATTTTGTCTGAATGGATAGATATTCTGGATTATAAATCGGATTTACTTGACGATGACGATACAGTAAATTTTAATCATATTATGCATGGAAAATCGAAAAAAAACGGTAAAAAGAAAATAAAAATGCAGAAAATCGGAAGGAATAATTTAAATAATACTTTTCTTTCAGAAAATATGGTAGAACCGATGGCAATGCTAATTGAAAGGTATTTTAATGCAGAAACTTTAAGGAAATATATGGACAATAATAGAGATTTACTTGGACAAGGTGGTTGGCAGCCACCCCCTTGTTATTGGAGTTTGATGAAGCATCCTGCAATTGTAAATTCGATCCAAAAACTATTCACAAGGAACAGAAAATCAGAGTTCCTTTTAGCTTTTTTGCAAGATTTACATAAATTTTCTAAAACAAATCCAAACATTGATTGCATACCAAAAAACATTAACTTTTCTTCTACAAGCAACTTTAGTGTATTTACTAAAAACGTAACAGAATTACTTGCAGATTTTTTATTAACTGATGAAACAATAGAAGCAGCACTTCAAGGCACAAATTTGTTACCACTAAGTGGTACAATAAACAATCCTTTGTATTCTAATGATGGAAAAAGCAGCTCCAGTAATGATTACACTTCTAACGTTATTCAAGAAATTTGTTCAACATTCAGTCAATCAGAAAATGCATATTTCTATGCACAAGCATTATTACATTATATGATTGTTTGGAGAGGCGACTACTCAGGATGCCGAAGGTTGAGCCAAATGCTTTATCACTATGTGAGAGTTACACTACAGGAACCAAGAGTCGCTCAGTTAAATCTTCTATTTACCAATTTAACGAATTTTCCTGAACTGTTCAAGTTGTGCAGAACAATTTTCAAAATGGATATATCCATAACGGAACAAAAAGGATTAGCTAACGGAGGGCTTGGGGGTTTTGAATCGGCTGTTAAATTTTCAATGAATCCAAATCAAATTTCCACACTTTATGATATGTTAAGTGAAATAATTGATAGGTTCGAATCTTTACAAATGCTTCTTTATGAAAGGGAAAGAATTAAAAAGGTCAATAATACTGAAATAGATAGTGAAAAAAAATACTCAAATATATCTATTAAAAAAAATACTGTTGAAAGAATTAATTCCGCCCAAAATGAAGTTTCTGCAAATACTGAAGATTGGGCACCTTTAGGGTCTTTACAATTTTCTCTTAAAGACCTGGAATTGACTATTTCTGCAAAACAATACTCAATAGACAGTTTGTTTCACACGAATAGTTTTGATAAAAATGAGGAGACATCTGTTGATCTATTCGAAACTTTTCAAAGAAAATCAAGTGATCAAACTAATGATTCGGAAATTAATATTTCCAACTCACAAAAACATGAAGCAAAAAATTCAAACTGCGATCTTAATTCTTATAATGAAACGATTTTTGACATGCCATCTGTAAGTAGAATGGGCGATATACCTGGTTCAGATGAAATTAGAAGATTGAAAATAGGCCCTGAACGACCACCAATGGATGCACTGAGGGAAAGCGCATTATTAGACACACTAATTGATATTCTTGTAAGCCAAAGCATTTGGTTGACTCCCGAAGAGCAAGGTAAAACAATTGATTTGCTTCTATTATTATCTGTTTATTCACCATATGAATTACTATTATTTTTAGAAGAACAAAAAGAGTGGAATGTTGCTACGAAAGAAATGAATTCTCATGCAAGCAATTCAATTCAAGATATTTGGAGTAATTCTGAAGATGATCTTGAGTTTGACGAGAAGATAAGATTCAATGTTGATACACTTTCAGATTTTATTTCTTCAAATTCATCAGATTCAGTTGATTCAATTTCAGAATCAAATTGCTCAATAAGTAAAGAAAAGAATCACTACTGGCCCTCAAATAAAATAAAAAACACAAATTTAAAGAGTAGAAACCCTGCTTCATTACTATTGGAACCCAAAAAACAAACGGATTCCACGATTGGATGTAGAAGTACGATTGACTCATGTATTTACCGAAACGTTCATACTCAAAAAATTTTAGGGTCACTTCAATTATTACCAAAAAACAAAGCAAAAAAAATGAAGGAACAGTTTCAGAACCTAAGAGATTTATGTGATCGATTTAAAAATAGAGCTCGGAAGGAGTTGTTTCGAATTTACAATATTATTCATGATAATTTAATTAAGAATGAAGTGAAATGGGCATACTTAGATCATTTGATTACCACACCAATTGGGGCAAGCGCTGTGCTGAGATACATAGAAACTTTTCTTTTCTCAAGAATAGATGGTAACGGTCCATTAATTACATTGTCTTCCTCCATTGTTGTAATTATAAAGCATATTACTCAGTGGCACCCAAAGAAAAGAATTTGTGTTTTTCACCTTCTCAGATTGTGTTTAGAACATGGATTACACGATCAAAGTTCAAACAATGTATGCATGGTTAGCTCATTAGCTTCGACGAAATCTGAAAAAAGGCGTTGGATTATCGATTTTTTTGTTTACTTGATTGGAGGTGGACTTTATGGCGCAGTACTTGCCTATATGAGTAAAGTTGGGATTAAATATTTAGACAAAACCTTAATTAGAGACTTTACAATAAAGTTATCAGAATTTTGTGGACCACCTTACAGCGTTGATTTTTCAATTTCATACTTGGAATTTTTGATTAATGCCAACACAATTGGAGCTCTCGATTTGAATGCATTTTGCGAAGGGACTTTAAGCGGTTCTTCCCACAAAGTCAAATTATCAATAATTGAGATTGTAACAATATTAGATTATTTAGAAAGCACAACTACTTCACAGGGAACTTTAGATGTCAAAGGTAACTCAATAAATAGGATTAAGGAGTCATGCATATATTTCAGGCATGATTTACAAAAAGTTATGAGCAAGTGTAAAATACTAAAGCAAATTTTAGGAAAGTCGGCAAATAAACAGGTTTTTAGGGGTAAGGGGCTTGGAAAAACATGGCATCAGTCATATTGAAATTAAAAAATTATTTTTTTTCTTTGAGTCTTTTCGTTAAAATTTCCTCAATTTTAATAACACAGTTGTGAACGTTTAAATAATTTTCTCCGGTTATTTTAGCTAGTTGTAATAACAAAATAGAATAAGGAATTGGTAAAGATGCTTCAGAATTACTAAACTTTTGTTTGGAATGAATAAACTGAGGCAAAGGCAAAACAACATAAGTAAAAATCCCGGGGTCCTGAAACAATTTATTTAATAAGCCAAGTTTCAGGTTGAAAATATGACTGATCAAAGATCCAATATTGTTAAAACATTGGCCTTCACTCTTCAAGAAATTATGTTCTATTAAAAGTGGGAAAAGCGAACATACTGCAGAAGGGGAAATATCTTTAATAATTCCCTTAATAATACTAGAGTTCTCAGTTTCCTTATTCGTTAATAATACCTTTTCCCAATCGTTAACAAGTTGAACCTTTTCATTATCATCAAATGAATCCCATAATTGAAGGATATCATAATCAGATAGTATATTTGCTTTATTAGTATCATTAAACAACAAAGAGTGGAAAATTTCTCGATTAGAAGGTAGATATCTGGAAAATAAACCAGTTTTTTTTTTGCCAAACGAATAAAATTCACAGTTTTTTGACTCCGTGGGCATAATCCCGGACCAATTATTTCTCCCAGTCTTTTTTTTAATAGCTTGTCTTCTCTTTCTTATTGAACTAAAAAAATCACCTCTAAAATTTACAGTTGGCCTTCCCTTTTTTTCAATAAACTCGGAATTCTTTATATTCGAGTTTATAAATATATCATTTGCTTCTATGGAGCATGATGGAATGTTTGATGTTAAGTAAGTATATAGCCAGTTAATTGCAAACATTCCACTCCATTCAATACCATGGATAACCGAGTAGAACCGAAATTTTTCTTCTGATGAAAATTGTGTTTTGCTTGTCTTTAAAATCCAAGATGATAGTTTCCTATTAAAACGAAAGTCAAAATTAAATAATTCGGTATTTACAGAAACTATAGGTTCAGATGATTTAGTATATAATTTTTCATCCTCCAATATGTTCTTTGGGTTAGGTATACAGTGGTATACGAAAATTGGCCAAATAGATCTTGCGATAACAATTATTATAGATGGAGCAATTGTTAATTTACCAAATAACTTGATAATGCTACCTTCTTTGAACAAAAATTCCCAAAGACGAATACAAAGAGGTTGAATTGAAATTCCTCCTCTATATCTGAGCAAATTACAATTAGCTAAAATTCTATGGATCATGATTGGAACATTGATGGGTGGAATGACCACATTAACCGATGCAGAGAAGAATTTAATAACTCTTTCAAGATCTGCGGGGCTTGGAATTCTCGAAATTTGTGTAACTGATCTGGTATTAATGTTTGAGTTGATGTCATTGTCCCATTTAAAACCTGCATCCTTAAGCCACTTTGGAATAATATTTTCAGACTTGAATATGTCTATTTTTCCTATTTTTACCCATTCAATTATATCAAAAGACGTAACTTGGTAGCCACTTTTTAACAACGAAACCCAAACAATGCATAATATAAAACTATAGTCTATTTTTGGGCATTCCAAGACAGATTCTATTAAATTTTCTTTAAGTAACTTTCTTTTTCTAAAATTTCGAGGTTCAATATTTTCGTACAATTCAAATATTGGTAAATACTCGGAGAGAGATGTATTATCAAATACTCTCATTATGTGCTTGCCCAATATTTTATATAGCAATAAATGTGTAAGGTGTACTTTGTAGAGTTGAAATTTTAGGTCCTTACGATTTTGAAATTCATTTTCAGGTAGTTCTAAGTATTTCGAAATCAAAATATAATCTTGATTTATTTTTCTATTTTTTATAAAAAAAAACACATGGAAATTTATCCATTCATTAAACCGGGAACGGTAAATATTATCATTTCTATCTAATATAGTTTCGCTTATTTGATTGAAATAACTTTCCAGAAAGTCATGTTCGTAGATCATGTCAATAACAGATTTAATTAATTCTGATCTAGGGATATATGATTCTCCGCACCAATTTGAATAGGGTATATTTCTTTCATTTGCTAAACATTGAAGCTTTCTTGCAGAGATCTCCCATTCTTCCAATAAATTTCCACAATTTTTTTCATTTATTAAAGTATTATTAACCATTCTTTTACGTATATTAATTGAATTAGAGTATCTTATTATTCCGTTGCAAATTTTCGATAAATATTCAACCCTATCTAACCCAAATAAATTGTATAGTAAATCGTATAATATATTTTTTTCTTTCCCAAAAATTGTCTCTACAACATTTGGGATCTTAATGTTCCTGGATTTAATTTCACTTATACTTGAAGGGTCTGAAACTGTTTCATTAAATGGTACCTTAAGGACGGAGCATCTCAAGTCAGCAAAAAAAGCTCTAATTGGGATCTTATTTTTGCACAAGTATTCCATAAATAGGAACCAAATACTTTTTGAAGTTTTAAGAACCTCATTCTTTATTTGACGTCTTTCAATCATATCTTTAATAATATGTTGGACTATTAGCTGTACTCCAATCAAGAAGTCAGAATTTTTTACTATTTTTGGTTTCTTATTGACCCATTTATCAAAAAATGTTTGTTTCTTTCTAGATATATTATTTGAATCTTCAAAGTATAGTGGGTCATCATCTTTTGAGTTTTCATCATTATTTTCTTGATTTGGCAATTTTTCAGTAGATTGGCTTGCACGCCTAACATTACTTCTTCTGCCATCGGGTCCATTTAATGTTTCAAAGTAAACATCATCAATATCTCTTTCAAGTTCTCTAATTTCTTGTTGTTGAATACCACAGTCCTCACAGTAATATTCTCCAGTATTTGTGTCTATATATACTCGGTCTCCTCTGCAATTTTCGCAAATAAGAGAAGAGGCTTCCGTTGATAACTTCATTTTAATTAATCAAATTACTTAATTAAAAAGTTAAAGTTTGACCATTCCAGATAATTCAAGCACGTCAAGTGAATAATCAATTACGTTTGTTGGAATAGTAAATGATCTTGATTTAAAATTTATACAATCGGGATCAAAACATTTTTGATAAAACCGCTTATTAATTAAGTCAATAATTAGTTTTATCCCGTTTGAAATATGCTCCCTTTCAACATTAAAACACAATCTATTCAGCTTTGAAACTGAAATAATAATCAATTCTTTTTCTTTAAAATACATAGTAGTACTTATATACATTTTAATTCCTATCGAAATTTTGTCAACAAAATCAAAATGAATTTTTTTCATACAGTAATCAGTTAATTCACTTTCTTTCAAATTGTTGAATGTTATTTTTGGATTTTTTTTTAGTTCTTCACATAATTTATTCCAAAATAAAATGGCATATTCTATTGCTTTTACCATATGTTTAGGAATAAAGCTTGCATTTTCAATATTTTTATATTCACAGAAAGTTTTCTTAATTTTAAAAACTTCTTTAAACTCGAATTTTTCCATATTAAAGCATAGTTTATTGATTACGTTTGCTCTAGAAATAAATTTTGACTTTGTAAAATGATGGGTATTCAAAAAAGTTATCATTGACCGAAAGAGTATGATCGGTAAGAACTCTGTTAATTCGAAGCTTGTGTTCTCTTCATCAATTTTTAAGATGCTCTTCTTTCCAAACTTTGAAGAATAAAGCATTCTGAAACAACGATTTCTGGTATAAACTCCAGTATCAATTATATCTTGAAGTTTAAAATGATCAAATCCATTAATTTTAATACAATTTTCATTCAAATAAGAAACGAAATGGCTTACAAAGATTTTCATGGATAAATTATCTTTGAATAATGTTGAAAAATTTTGAACTTCATCAATCTTTTTAACTATAATGTGGTATGAAAATTTGTCAACATTACTTGAACGCAAGTAAATAATATCACTTTTGCAAATTAAATAACCAAATGCTGAATTAATCCACAGTTGTAAGTGGTTTGTGAAATCTATCAATATTTGGTTTTCATCTAAATTATATTGATTTTTATTATATTCAATATCAAAGTATAACCAACAGGGCTGTTTCTCAAGTATTACTTCGTAAATATGCCTTCGATACTTACTTAATGAAGAGATATAATACCAGATTGATTCATAAGAACTAACAATATAATTTCTGCTTCCACTTATTGTTGTTTCTTCAGCAAAAACTCCAATAGGTAGTATTTTAAAGTCATCCAAGCTTTCTATTTTCCCGAAATGTAAATTAATCGAATAAAAATATTCAATTGCTTTTTCCTGAGAAAAAAACCTTTTAAATATTCTACTATAGTCGGTCTTATCTAAATAAGGGTTAATATATTTATTCTTTAATAATTCATAGTAAATATGTTCTTTATTTTCTAAAGCTGATTTATATTGTTGATTTAAATTTAAAAAAAGTTGAGGATAACCTGAAGCAAATTGTTTAAACTCATCTACTGGAAAATCCATATAGATATTTATGAAGTTTTACTTCGTTTCCAAAAATCTAGATTGTAAATAAATTATTAAATATTATTTCTATTTGAGCGCACTTGTGATGGGTGAAAACAGTAAAAAAAAGATATTACAAATACATGTAAAAATTACAAACTTGACTTCAAGTATCAGTTTCGAATGGCTATTAGATTTATATTTTTCATTTCTACCAACAAAACCCCTAAATTTATTCGGTTGCTGATTTCCAAGGTCTATTTAAGGCACAACATGTGCATGTAAAAAGTTTTTTTGAGGTTTCGATTGATTCGTTAAGCTGGTATCCAATAAGCAACATATATTCATCATCAACACCAATATACTTCTTGTAATTTTCATCCCTTTTATCGTCATAGTTCTCATTTTCTACTGTTTTTTTTTCAAACACTTCGTGTTCTTTATTTCTTTCGTGAATTAATTCTAAAGATATATCATTTTTTGTTTCATCATTGGGATCGTTTACTCCTTGTTCTTCCTCATTTTGGGCCATATTTTGTAAGGGATCAACATTTCCTTTATATTCTTTGAGTTTATCTTCCGTTTCTAAAACTTCAAAAGAAGTTTCTGATTCATGATTTCTATAATTAATATCCTGCATATTATTTATTTGGCCAATATCTTTCTTTATATCTTTATTAGAGTACTGCAAGCTTGGCTTTAATACACTTTTTGGGATGGATATAGATTTAGAAATATTTCGACTTACATTTTTTTTGCTAACTGTTCGATTGTTTGATTCTGGCGAATGATTACCTTCCATCGTTTGAAAATGGTTTGTAGCAAGATTAAGGTTTGTGCGATCGAAATTCATACTATTTAGTGTACTTAAATTTAATATATTATCAGTAACTTCATTGTTTTTTTTGTGACTTTCTGTTAACTCACTGCCAAATTTTTTTAAATTAATAGAATTGGATGGCTGCTTTTCTTTTTTTTTAATATTATATTTGTTCTCAATTTGCTTTTCAGAGTTTTGTTTCCTATAGCTAAAATTATAAGATTTCCTTCTTTCAACCATATGTTTTAACTCAGAATAACCTTCCCATTTGGGGTCTGCAAAATCTAATATGTTTGAATATTTAGAATCCTTAGGTAAACAAACATCAACATTTCTTCTAAATAATTCTTTAATAAAATTCAAGGGTGCTTTATGTAGGATTGCAGTAATCAATGCATTTTCACCTTTAGAGTTTTGAACATTGATGTCAATATTGTTTTGCTTTAATATAAAGTTTCTTATTTTATTACTACTGTGAATTATAGATGCTTGTAATGGGGTATAGTCAATATTTTGAATTACTACACAGGGAGTATTAATTAATTCCTCACTACCATTTAGTAAGTTAATATCATCAATTTTAAATATGTTTTCATCGATAAAGTTATTCTTCATTGAAATCTTTTTTTATGGATGTAAAGTATGACATGTAAAATGTGATTAGCTTGATTACGTTCGAGCATGTCTAACATACGGGCGGTAGTTGGTTACAAATTAATTTATTAAGGATTACAATACCCACTTAATATCGCTGATTATGGGTAATATTAAAAGCACTGAAGAAGACAAATTACTTGGAAGCAGAAATATCGGTGGAATATGCAATAACTATTCCTGGTGTGATTTAGATCACGCAGAAATAAGAAAAATAGGTAACATATTTGGAATTAATGACTTGAAGGTGGAAAATATAAAGAAAGATTTTAACATTGATCTAAATTTAATAAAAAATCGGTTTCCTGTTATTCTTCAGAGATTTTATTTGGATTTATTTGATTTCTACTGCAAAGATGACCTCGGGAAGATAAATTTAATTGATTTTATAAAATTCATGAATTCTATTTTGTATTGTAACAAAAGAGGAATAATAAACATAATTTCCGAGTATATAATATTGCATATATCAGATGAATTAGATTTACTCAGGATAATACTTTCTATAGTTTATTTTGAGATAAATTTTCTTTTGTGTGACTCAAGCGACTCTTTAACATTTTTAGAATCGTATGACAATGAAAGACATTACTTGAGTTCACTTGGATCTTGTTTGGATTTCGAATCTATTGTTCAGGATTATTATAAAAAAAAAACGGCTATTAGCTATTCAAACATATCATCGATTGATTCAATTTCAGAGTTTATTCAGGAATGTCTCCCTCTTTTTACTTTTTTTATGAAACTAGCAATCAGAGTTCATTTTGGCATGATTTCACATCCAAACAATGTTCAAAACACATTTTCTGGAGATAGTAACATTATCCAAAGTGAATCCAAACAATCTCATAGCATTGAAAACTATGAAAAGAGAGACTGCCAAAAGAATTGCCCAAGTGGTAGATGCACTTGCTCACAAAATCTCTTTAAGTTGAACTGTTGGATTGATGATAATAGCCGTATACTCTCAACTGAACATTGCTGTATTTTACGTTGCCAGTATTTTGGGGAAACGTCTGGCGGAGAATGCCTAACTCTTTTTCAGCCATGGAATTTATTATATGCAAGCTGGAAGCATGGACTAAGCTTGCATAGACTAGTATCTTTAATCGAAGGATATTCTTCTCATGTTTTATTGCTGATCAGGACTACTGACAACTGCATATTTGGTGCGGTTTGTACAGGAGATTGGAAAGAAGGCAATGGAAAGTATTGTGGTGACGAAACATGTTTTTTAATATCTCTCAGACCAATATTTTCTATAATTGGACAATCTGGTAAAGGAAGAAATTTTATGTATATTAATACGAAGTATGATTTTTCTCCAAAAGGAATAGGGTTTGGAGGAGAACCGGAATATTCAAGACTGTGGCTTGATTCAACACTTGGTGCTGGAACATGTATGAAAAGTGATCTTACATACAACACTGGTATGCTGTATTGGCCTAATGATAAATCTGGTAAAAGAAATAGTTGTTTGTTGTTAGGAACCCCTTATTCTGAAGAGAACGACGAATCAACAACAGAAATCAATAAATTTAGTGTTGCTGATATTGAAGTTTGGGGATTAGGGGGTCGTAACATTTTAAAAGAGTACTTAGAAATTAAGGCAACTAGCAATTATTTTAAGCAAGAAAGAAAAGTTATAGACAAATCTAAGTTTATTAAAAGTGAATTTGATAAGGAATACCTATTGGGGAACACTTATTCAAAAAGTAACACACATTCGTTTAATTAATTTTAATAGCTCGACAAGTGAATTTATGTAGTTTTGTTTGATAGGAATAGCTGACTTACATTAACATCTGGATAGTTAAATGCATATCCAATTATATCAGATGATTTTTTTCTAACTTGAATTTGCTCGAATTCTGATTTTTTTCTTTTCATTCTTCTCATAGACTCGAGCCAATTAAGTGATAAGTGTTTTAGAAGTAGTTGTCTGTGAGACTCATATTTCTTTTTGTATATTTTATACCATTTATTCTGTAATATGTGGGATGTATCGGGATATAAACTTCTTTTGTATATTTTTACTATCCAGTCTAATGTAATAGTTAGTGTAATTGTGATAGCAACAGTAATAATAAACATTGGGGTAATAATTGCTCTTCTAGCAGCTAATTCCAATTCTGGTATATGGAAAATACGAGGGAATGACAAAATTGATAGGAAAAATAGAAACGCACATAATATTATTGAAAATAAAACAAGGCTCCATGAAGTAAAAGCTTCAAGTAATATTTTAGTATTTACGACTATTACAACATTAGTGTAAACTGCTAGTCCTGTAATCCAAAAATCTGGAACATATCCATCATTAGATATAGGGTTATTGCCACCCAAAATAAAGTAAGGAATGAATAATGATATTGCAGCATGGAAAACGGCATTTAAGGACCAAATTCCAAATATTTCTAACGAGAAAAATGGTTTGGTTATACCTAATAAATAAAGTGGTTCATGGTAGTCATATGGCAATGTAATGGGAATATCTGAATCAAATGTCGCAAAAATTATGGGAGGTATTGAAGTATATAGAAAGTTATAAAGTTGAAACAGTAATTCAAAAAACAATTTTGACCCAGTGAAAAGTGATGCGAACCCAAAATAAACGCTCACGATATTTAATGTAAAACATTTGTAAAGATTATACAATACCAAAATAGATGTTCTTCTATAGCATAACCTCCCATGTATAAGAACTAAAGGCTGAAGATGGCAAAACTGGGAAATACCAAAATCGGATACATTATATGCCTGCATACCTTCTGAGCCATGAATTCCAACACCAACATTTGCAGTTTGTAACATAGTGCAATCATTACCACCATCTCCGATCGCCAAAACCCTTTGCTTTGTAAATTCTTGGATTAATTTAACAACTTGTGCTTTCTGCTGAGGTGTTACTCTGGAGAAAACTACGGATGAACATTTTGTTGCAATTTTTGCAAATCTAGCTTCATCAACAGTGAGAGCCTTTTCTAATATTTGAGAATCAATTACTAATACAATATTCGAAAAATTAAATAGATTATTTTCTCTATCGAATAAGCTTGATTTATGACAGAAGGATTCTTTGATTGGAGTATTTGAAAATGAATTAAGTTCATTTTCATCAAAAATAACAACTTCCATTTCATTTGAAATAATCCCGACCCTAACTGCAATATTTATTGCAGTTTCTTGTCTATCACCTGTAAGCATCCAAACTTTAATACCTGAAACTATGAATGATTCTATTGTTTCTTGTGCACGGTATTGTAAAATATCTTCAATTCCAGAGCATCCCTGTAGAGTTAAGTTGCTTTCAAAGAATTTTCTAACTTCTTCTGAATTCATATTATTACTCTGCTTAAAACTTTTTAGAATATCAATAACATCATCTTCTTCAAGTTCTTTTTTTGCGAAGCACAGTGTTCTGTAGCCATGAGTAGCAAATTCTGTCGCGAATTCGAAAGTTTTATCAGTTTTACCTGAATTTTCCTGATTAAGACAACATTCTTTTATTGCTGATTCTGAACCTTTAGAAAATAAAATATACCTATAGCCCTCTGAGTCACTTGACTCGTAACTAAAAATTTTTTTTGGGAATTTTACTAACACAGAACTTCTTTTTCTCTTATGATCAAATTCCAATCTTAATAATGTCTCGAACTCAACAGAAGTTTGAGTAGTTCCTATCCCAGAAAATTTAATTGTGCTTTTTGAACAATTTTGAGAAACCAATGATATTCCAAAATGATGTGAAGCCAATACAAGTGCTTCTTCATCGGTTGAACTTGCCGAGTAAAGTGGTGGTTCATCAATATCAACGCCTTCATTTTCTTGTATTAAAACTGTATGGTTAAGAGCAAAATTTAATAATATTTCGATTTCTTCCTGCCTACCTTCTTTTAATTTTTTCCTTAATGCTTCATCTTCCATATCAACATGTGGGGTTATTTTTTGTTTTTCAGTATGACCATTGTTACATTGATTTATATCCTGCTTCATCTCGTGATGATTGCTTCCATAGACATTTCCATTAACACACACAGTTTTGAATTCCATGTAATTTCTCGTTAATGTGCCTGTTTTGTCGGTACAAATGTAGGATATCTGACCTAATTCGTCATTTAAGTCTGAATTCCTTACTACAGTAGAATTCTGACTTGTTAATCTAGAATCTGAAGCGATAATGATTGCTTGCGAAACTTTAGAAATAACTAAGTAAAAAAACATTCCAATTGGTATAAGATTTGCAAGAACAATAATCCAAGTAAAAAAAGTAATTATTGAAGCCTTTAACACACTTTCATTAGGTTCCAATCTCCCAATTGGAATAAACCTTTTCGACCATTCTGACCCTCCAAAATAATCTATACAAGCTACAATAATTCCAAAAGAAAGACAAATGAACAATAAGAAAATGAATGATGCAACAGTTACTTGGTTGTATAGTGATTGTACATTACTCATTTTATGTGGTGCTGATCTAAAGCTGCTCTGATAAATTTTGGTTTCGTGACCAGTGTATGCCACAACACCGAGTGCCCATGAAGTGTTCCTTAGTTTACATCCGCGTAACAACATATTTGATGAATTGCAAGAAAAACTCAGTTCCTTTTCATTGCTACCGGACTTTTTCAATGAAAACTTTAAATTAATATCAATTTTTTTTGGATGGTCATTTGGATCCCCACAATAGATTTTACCATTAAAAATAGTTAGAATATCGCTAATATTTCTAATACCATTATTAAAAAGTATTCTAGGGCTTTCTCGAAGCTTTAAGTTGGTTTCACCATCCATTGAGGCAGTTTCAACAAATACTCGATTATCGTTTTGACTAGAGGCAAGTAATACCATATCGGCAGGGAAAATTTCCCTATTTTTTACAATCACAAGATCACCATTCTTTAATTTACCCCATTTTGTGACCACAAAATTACCTTTAATTGGGTCATATGCATATGTCGGGAGGTTATTTATTTCTGAGTCCGCTTTATGTCTTTTCCAATCTTCGTATGCTGCTTGTGCTGCAGAAAAGCATAACATACATATTAAGGGAAGAGCTATCGTAGGTATCCCACCAGATGATGATATTGAAGGTACCATTTGCATAATTCCTATTGCCAAAAAGTAGATATTTGCCACATTGTTAAATTGATCATATAGATTTTTTGGCAAAAAAAATAAAAGAGAATATCTTGCTGTTTTAATAACATTTAGTTTTTTAAATGAATGAACAAAACTATCCTCATTTTTATTATTCAATATAATGGTCCTTCCATTTTCAATATTGGTTATTTTTACCATGATAATTTCTTATAATTATAATATAAATATTAACTCTTGAATAGCGGTAAACCGCTCCGATTATTAGATTTTCAAGATAAAAAAATCGCCAGGAAAAAAATCAAATGTATTGAATTAGTTATATATATATGAATACTTAAGATTGAAATTAAATTTCGTATTCCGCTACTTGTGTGTACGAAACTTTGAAATGAACTTAATAGAAAATATTGTTTTATTGAATTTGGGAAAGCCCATATCTTTTAATCCGCTAAATTGGATTGATTCTTTTCAGATCGATAAATATGTAATTAAGCCATCAAAAAGAAAATACGATATAATTAATATTGCAAAGAGTAAGCTGACTTTTTTTCTTAAAAATTCAATAAATGAACTTATTTGATAAGTTATTTCTATTGCAAATGTTCTACATAGCGCACAGAAAAGAGGGCGAAAGTTGACGTTAAGAGAACTATACTATCATAATAGTTGGCTTTTTAAGGTAAGTACTGAACAATAAATTTTTTTTATTTAATTGTTTTTTTTAAAGAATCAATCTCAAGTAAATAGAATAGTACAAGGTAATTAAAACCAATATAATAATGAAAATAAACTTAAATTTTTTAGGTTTTTCAGAAATTTTGAAAACACCAAGAATGTCATTTGGATTATTTCCTTCTCCAAAAGGAATGATCGGAGGAAGGATCAAATTAATTTACAAAGTAAGACTTTAAATGCTGATAATTTCAAATTATTTCCTTAGAATTCAGACTTATTAGATGTCGAAGAACTTGGTGCATCAGGAGCAACAATCACAGATATATTTGATCCAAACGACAGTAAATATATAATAAAGACAAACGTAAAGTATTTATTAGTAATTGAAAAAGCATCAATATTTCAATATTTAATGGAAAGGGAGGTTTATAACAGGATTCCTTGTTTAATAATTACAGGTATGCAAAACAAAATCTTTAGTTTAAATTGATTCAAAATAGGTAAGGGTTTTCCAGATATCTCAACTAGGAAATTAGTATCTGATATTATACATAAGTCTGGAATTACAGTAAGTTTTCGTTTATTTTCATCATTTCCATTAGTTCCAATAGGCTTTGTATTTGGGAGACTTTGATCCACATGGTATAAATATATATTTAACATATGTTAGAGGTTCAAATAATTTTGAATCACAAATGGCAGGTACGTTACCTAATCTTATTAAATATAAGTATATGCTTTAAATTTTTTAGCTTGCCCGAGTATTTATTATTTGGGGATACAGTATGAAGATACAAAGCTTTTACCATCTGATGTAAGTTAAAAAGCTTGAAAAGTAGCAATAAACTTTCTTAGACTAGGATTGTTCTTTCAGATAAAGATAGATCCATCTTGAAATCATTAATAGGAGATCCGATAATAAAGGTAAGCCACAAAATTATATGTGAACAAAAAATAACAATAATAGGAATGTGAAATGCTTTGCCAACAATGTAAGCTAATGAATGATAATGTTTACAAATGCGAACTAGAGGCGTTCCAATCCATTTCTAGTGATTATTTAGTAAACATTTATTTGCCAGGCAAAATACTTAAAAGATCGTGGATATGAGAACGAAATAATAAATTATCGAAATTAACTATCCTTAATAACGTACAAAGATATATAAATTTCTGATTGATCAGAAACGTTGCTGAAATTGTAGTTAGTGTTGTCAGGTATTAAGAACCAGTCACCAATACCAATATTGTAAACATTATTGTCACTTATCATGATCTGTAGTGATTTACTATCAGGAGCCATATAAACATGTCCAAGTATGTAATTATCTTGGCTTTCGTCAAGCCCCTTCTCAGTTAGAGGAGGAAGGCATATTTCGCAACAAGTTGCTTGACTAGATATAAAAGAAAGAGCAACGTTGTATGGTTTACCTGCAGTATACTCTACATCTGCCCAACATAGTTTACTTCTGTCAAAAACAGATATCATAGAGAATTCCTCGTTTGTATCGCAATCTTTGAGTACAACAGCATTAGATTTATCTTTATTTTCCTCTGGGGAAAACTTCTCTTTAGATTTAATCTTCTTCGAAATGTTCAAATTTTCGCTTTTACGCCTTGATTTAGTGGGGCAAGCACCTGCGCTGTTTGTTTCACAAATTTCGTGTTGATCTGTATTGGATTCACGAGGGAATTTATTGGCAACGGTTTCGACGTTGGGATGAATACTTCCGCGTTCATTGGGAAGCATCTTTGGGTTTGCAACTTTATGTATCGCGGCAATTGTGTAGCCAAGTTCATTCCTTTCATCGCGCTGATATTCCAACCTTTCACCCAGGTACCATTTAAGGGGAGCTGTTCTTAGTCTCTTTGGATATCTTCTAGACGAGTTCTCGAAGTTTGAAGGCTCATCTAAGAGTTGCTTCGTATTTGAACCAGAAGGCGGTTTGACTTGATCAATTGGTATATGATAATCAATGTGACGCCTTCGATTTACTGTCTTACCTCTAGTATGTTTCTTGTGATTATTTGCTCTGATCTTTTTAGTTTTTACATTGTTACTCTTATCAAGCTTATTCTCAGCAAAATTATTATCGTTAGTAAATGAGTCAATTGCAGAGGATAGGTCATTAACATCCTGGCTGAGTGTTTCGGATGAGTTGGGTATAGGATGTGGCACAACTTCATCTAAACTAGAATTAGATCCAGCAGGTGAAAGACCTTTTGACGCATTTGGAATTGCTAGAATAGACGAATCCTGAACTCCTGGTTCTTCATACTCGTTTGCTTGAGAAGTCTCAAATGCCAAATCAAATGGAATATCTTTGTCTGTGGGTTGTGAATTATCTTGCAAATTTGATTTTCTCATATTTTTCCCCGGGCTATTTATCGACTCTGAATCGCTTAATATTTGAGAATTTATAATACCTGGTTTTGGCTCATTGCTTGTTCTTGAAGCTGCTTTAATCAATCTTTCTTCAATATTTAAGTTTAGTTCGCTTGAAAGACTAAATCTACTTTCGGCCAGACTGCTTGACTCGTGTGCGCAATTTTTATTACTATCTGGAGAATCAAGCACTCCATTTTCAACATGAACAAAATCATTATTTGAATATCTTTCTAAAGACTTGTCAATCAGTTGAATATGTTGTTGTAAAATATCATTTTGATTAGCAATATAACTTCCTAATCTACGTCTTTTGTTATTTGACCTCAAACTCCCAAAAACTGAATGACGATGATTATTTATTACAGAGTTACTTCTATATTCTGGAGAGAAAGTTTTTCTAGATGTGCTCTCAGAGTAATAAGATGACAATGATCTACTCCTAAGATCATTTCCCACATGGCTTGCACTGGATCGAGCTCTGTGCAGCTTTGAATATCTATTTCTGAGTATCTCACCATGGTGTAAGATTAAATCTTCTTCATAAATCGTTGGATCTTCTGAATAAGAATGAGCATATTCATAATTATTTTGATAAAGCGAAGAAGCCTCAAGAGGGGATGCAACATAATTTCTCCTCAAATCTCTTGCCCTTGTTGCTAGTTTATCACCCATATAAACAGTTCTATAGTCCAGATTTGCAGATACAACTGGCAGAGGGGACTTCCTATACTGATCTCTCATATTTAGTGGAGTTTGTGAAGGTAGCCCTAGCCTAGGAGGCATTGTAATGTGTACAGGGTCTGATGATAGGTAGTTACTATAGCTTTCTGATACATCATTTCTTTTATGACTTCTATAACTCCTCCTCCTTGACGTTCCCGGTAGATCGGGTATCAAAAACCCTTCTTTGTCATGAACAGCAATTTTCGCCGATAAAGGAGTGAGTATTGAGGTACTGACGGAGGCAGACCTCTTATAATCTAAATTGTTTGTTGGCGTATTCTCATTAGGATTAGTGTGTACGGAATCAATTGAAACTCGAACCTTTCTTGAATTTTTGTTTCTATTACATGGAGAAGTAACTGGAGTACTTATGACAGTGTTTGGAGTCTCATCATGAAATATTGGTGAAGAAGATAATGAGCATGTGTCATCCAAAAATGATGGAGACAAATAGTCATCATTGGATGAGTAATATTTTGACCTCCATCTTTCAACACTCTTGTATGTTTCGTCATTTCCAGTAACAAAAGTTTCAAAGGGTTGCCTCAATGGCGTAATAGAGTTACCTTTTATTCCAGTTATATGCATCAAAGCGTACAATCTTGCATATCAATAAGTTATTTATTTAAAAAAACATATCATTTCATTTTCGAATCAAAAAAATAAAAGTTATTTGTTAGTATAAATTTTTGTTGACCGCTCGTTTTATGGCGCTGGTATTTCTTCCACATGAAAATGTGGGGTAAAGAATTACATTTAAAAAAATAATGTAGTATTTTTTGTACAACAAATTTAGTAACCCTTGCCAATTTATTTTGATGGGGCATATACACGTATTTGAAACGTGCCTAAAACTATATTAGAGTTAAATTAATGCACTTTCAACTTACAAGAGGGAATTTTGCTAACTTCTGCTGCTACCGAACATGTAAGCCCTAAATGTTGTAACGCGCCTCTAATAATTCCACAAACAATAATAACGTTGATCGCTGGTTCAAATTGCACTTTCCTAGAACTTATGTTAATTGAACTTGGCAATTTCGAAAGCCACATGAGTTCGTTGTCTAATATTGCATAACCACCCTGAAAATGTGTTTCTTAATAAAATTGATCAAAATAGCAACTTACTCTTCTATTAGTTTTGAGCCTATCTGCTTGTTTAAGAAATATGAAGTTCCATAGATCTTTACAAATAAATTTAATTATTTCCTTTTGATCATAAATTCTGTGGCGGAATACTGACAATCTAAGACATATGTGGTTTTTCAGTGAACATCAATGCGACTAACCTTTCAACCAATCTGATCCCTAAATAAAAACCGGATTCTTCTAGGGTTGACATAGAAAGTTCCCGTATTAACGAATCTTTATAGACTTGTATTCCACTTATTGATAATTTTTTGGAATCATTTTCTTGTTGAAAGTTCTTTTCATCTGTAATTAATTCTGATGATTTGTTAATACAATAATTTAAATACTCATATCTCAAAAAAGTCAAAAGAGAAAGTGAAACTTGATTGCTTTCTTCCATGATAAATCAAAATAATTTTATTTTTTTGCGGTATTATTATTTTATCGTTTTTGTATAGATTATTTTTTTTAAAAAATGGGGAAGAAAAAAAGTAACCGTAAACAAGAATTAAATTCTGCATTACAAAGAAATGTTAGCATTGGAAATTCGAGTGCTGTTTTGGACAATAACCTAGACAATTTTCGATCATCTCCAAATTCTTTAGTAGCTTACTTTCAAAGTTTCAGGTGGGCAGAAGTTAAGGAAGCATTAATTAATTTATCGGTGATCTTGTTAATTCTGGCTGTATTCGTCTTTACAGTTATTTTAAGAGCAGGGGAGGAGTTTTATAGCGTTCATGGGAAATTAAACAAAAACGAAAATCAGAGGAATTATTACGAAGTCTTGGGTGTATCGAAGAAATCATCTAACTCAGAAATCAGAAAGGCATTCAGAAAGCTTAGTTTGGTATGGCACCCTGACAAAAATCCCGATTGCGAACCATGCTTGGAAAAGTTTAGAGACATTTCAAAAGCATATGAAATATTGGGTGATGATGAAAAAAGACAAATTTACGATACTACACAAGGTGGTGAGATTGAAATAATTCCTTCAGCGGCAGTTACTTTAACATCAGATAACTTTGATGATCTCGTTACCTTTCAGACAACTAATTCGTGGGTCATACAAGTTTACACAGATCATGATGAACTTTGCCACTATTTTTCTTCCATTTGGGAAGAATCTATTGAAGAAATGGGGAAATATTACAGATTTGGTAGAATTCACGCCAAAAAAGAAAGCCTACTATTAAAAAAGTTACCATTAAATGTCAAAGTATTTCCTGCCATTTTTATTATAACAAATGGGTACCCATATGAAATATATTCTCAAATTTATGATCCAAGTTTAGAATCTTTTCTCGAGTTTCTCTCTAACTCTTTCCCAATAACTTTGAGTCTATTAAACTCAGAAAAATCAATGCAGACATGGATTAAAAAAAATAATGCGTACAAACCAAAGATATTAATTGTTTCTAACAAACCTTTTCCAACGTTATTAATTCGTTCATCTGCGTTAAAGTGGAGTTCAACTTTCGAATTTGCATATTTTCATAACAGCAAAAAAACTACTACGCTTTACAAATGGGGTATAGAGACTAGTAAGCCATACTTGGTTGCATTTCCACAAATTGTTGATAATACAGAGTTAATACCAAGGTTTGTAATTCCACTTGGGGACCATTCAAATGAACATGTTTTGCAAACTAGGTTTATAAATGACCATATATTGAGCCTTGCCAATAATTTTACATCATTAACACAAAAATTAGAACATTCATTGCTTTACTTGCAGCAAATTTATGTACCTTTTGTTGATAGTAACAATGCTAAAAATTTATGTGAGTCCAACAGTTTAAATCGGATAATTTGTTTAATGATTATACATGACAAATTAGAAGATGGCCAAGTTCAAAATCAAGAAGTTATTCAAGCATTAAATATTTCTCGTCAAGATTATATTAAGCTAAAAAGAAATTCTGAAAATACAAGTAATGGCATTGATGAAGAAGTTGACGAAGATATTGGGGAACTTTTTATTCAGCCCATTCAAGTTACCTTGTCAAGCAAAGTTAGTGGAATCCCAAGCATGTCTAAAATCAAAGGTTTTATGGAGCTAACACGTAACGTAACTAATTCGGGCTTTCTACTAATTGATTTTGATGGAGACAGGTTTTCTATTCTAGAAGCATTAACCGACGTTTACCAAAAGGTCTTTGAAGAAGAAATCTTCTGGACTAGACTACCTCAAGTTTGTACAAATTATAATAGCAATAATTTGTACAGGAATTGTCTTTTTGGTAGTTCTGAAGAGCTCTCTTTCTTTCAGATGGTTTCCGCACTACTGAAATTGAGGAATATTTTGTATATTTTTATTATTACAACTTCAATTTACTTCTTTAAAAAAGAAATTAAAATATCTACCAACAAATAATTACTCAATAGCCTAGGAATTTGATTGATAGTTTATGTTATTTAGAAATAATGTTGAAAATTGAACCATTTTTTGCAATTATTTATATTGAAAATAATTTCCAGGTAATTTTTTTCTGTTAGACATTTTTAAATGGTGATATTTAATGTTTCCCACAACTGGCATATAACAAAATCCAATATTAAGATTTATAGTTTTACTTCTTAGGTTTCTTCCAATGTCCCTTATTGGGTATTTATTTATTACTCCTTTTATTGAAAAGCTCGTTTTATTTTTATCTTTTGAAAAAATATCATCCCAAATGGTCACGTAATTATTTTGGTGTTTATTTTCATAGCTTACATATATAAAAGTAAAAATCTGATTTGTATTCCAGTTCAAAGAACTAGAAAGTTCGGTATCAATATTGAGCGCAATGTTTGCTTGATCATTCCTTAAGTAAGGACTAATTCCCAAATCCAAAGTAGAGTGTAAATCGGCGTTCCCTATTGGTAATTCCCTGTAGATAAATGAGGATGCAAAATTCCCAGCTGCACAACATGCCAACGAAATAATGAATGAACAAAATATAATATTTATTCTTGAGAAGAAAGAATCCATTTTAATGAGAAAAATGTGAAGAATGTTCACAAGACCGCGGAATTATGAGCAAGTTAAACATTAATGATAAAAATGTCTTTTCAAGCTGTAGGTTTAATTATTGCATTTAATTAACTTTTTTCACTATATAAACGATAGAAGCGTAGGCTTTTAAGAGACTTTGCAAAACTTTCAAATAATCCACCACATGGTATTTGTGGAACACCTATTGATGATGAAATGCTACATTGGGATGCTGTAATTTTTGGGTTAGTTTCACAACCTTAGGTATCTTGATATGAAATAATTATTTTAGGCCTGAAGGAACTATTTGGGAGGGTGGGATATTTAAGTTAGATATTCAATTCACCGAGGAATATCCTAACAAAGCTCCTAAAATCAAATTTGTGACAAAAGTTTTCCATCCAAATGTATATAATAATGGAAATATATGTTTGGATATTTTGCAACAACATTGGAGCCCCGTTCTTGATATTTGCTCGATTCTTACCTGCATTCAATCGTTATTAAATGACCCCAACCCCAACTCCCCTGCAAATGCAGAGGCTGCCCAACTCTATATTGAAAATAAATTAGAATACTATAAAATGGTGCAAAGATGCGTAAAAGAGTCACAAGAAGAAGTAATGACAAATAACTAATGCAAAAAAAAATCGAATAGTATTATCAATGCTCAAAAAATGCCAATCATTACTAATACTTATTCAAGTGTTAATTGTTGAATTATAGGTACCTGTGTAATTTGGTTTGTAATTCCACTTAGTACCCCTTTAAGTAGTCCGTATTTGATTTCATTTAATTGGCTAACTTTTTTAATTATTCTATCGAAATCTTTATAAATCAGGTTAAAATTGCTTATTGTTTTTTTTGTTTTATTAAGTATTGATAGAAGTTGGATTTTTTGGGATTCTCTTGAACATAGTTCTTCATTAATATATGGGAATATTGTGTAAATAATGGTGGAATAGAGAAAGACAATTTTTTGTAGATTTGGAACAGCAATATTTGGAGAGTAAGATTCGTTAGGCTTTACAGCTTGTATCTCTAATAAATCACTAAGTTTTGCCAAAATTAATATAATTGAGTCAAATGTATTGTCAAAATCATTTGAAATCATTTTATTTAGCGAATTAGAAAGTAATTCCCTTGAAATTTGCGTCGATTTACAAACTGATAAAAAAAATAATTCGGGCATCTTCCAAAATAGCAAGGACCAAAAAAGTTCTCCTGAAATTTCATAATCCTCAGACAAAAATTGCTTTGCTAGATCCAAGTTGTTTGCTTGAAATACCTCAGTATAAGCATTCATATTTATTTCTATCCTCCTATCTTTAGGAAGTTCAAATTAGTAAATGGTCAAACTAAACTAGCGGTAAAAGTGATATTATAATATTATTTTCCCTGACAATTGAAGTTGCATTTTTGCGGGTTAATATATATTATATACATATATATAATACCCCCACTATTCAATTCGCAATCTAATTCAATTAATACATAATGTTTGGAGCAGCAGTTTTAGCTGCTGCAGAATGCAGAATTGATGATCTAAGCTCATTGATTAATGACCCAGAACTTAGAAAATATTGGAAATTAATCCTAAGTTCTATTCCAGAAACATTTCATATCGATAAATATAAGCATATTATTCCTAAACCAACAAGTATAAAAAATGGAAGTAGTTTTGACGAAAATAACACCTTATTCAATAATGAACAAAATATATTTTATGATTCAGTAGAAAGTATTTCTCAATGGTCTATTGAACGTTGTTTTCATATAGTAAAAAATACATTAAGTATTAATGAATTTGCATTTCCGTTTTTAACATTTATGATACAGCATCTGGGCTTTGAAATTTTAAATCAAGGTGCATTGCTAAGCGATTTACAAAAAAAATATTTAGTTTCTCACTATGATTCTATTTTAATGCTTTATTCTTTTTACTCCATTCTTGAGCAGTATCGTATATTTATTGAAAAAAATACAAAATCTTGCAAGCAAATATTATTAGACCCAGTAAATTTTATTCTTAATTCGCCCATAAATAGATTTAAAATGGTAATAGAACAATTTTTGGATTCTTCGTACTCAGAACTGAGTAGTTTACTTTCAACTTTATTTGGAAGCTATTATAGCATTTCATATTTGAACTCACTTTATGATAAACAATTAAGTAAAGATAACTTAAAATCTACAAAAATATTAAAATGTCAGCCCTTGGTTCAAAAATACAGTTCTTCAGGTTATTTTAAACAATTTTATTGTAAAAATACTAACTTTAGTTACAAATGTGAAAATAATTTGAAGAATTCTTTATTATTGAATGCTAATACTTCTTTAGAAGAGGCAGTGATAGATTATTTATTTGATGTAAAGGATGACATTACAGTTGATTTTTTTTGCAAAATTTCCAAAATACTTATTAAAAATAGTAAATTAACAAAACATTTAACAAAGAGATACATAACATGTCCGATCAGAGTAATTCAATTTATTTTGTTATGTATTAATGGCAGAGAATCACCACTGTTGAACGTAAATGCGTTGGAAATACAAGAGTACGTAGATGAAATTTATGAATGCACACCCAAAAGTGCAATAATAATTAAACACCTTAAGAAAGATCTAATTGTTCGAGAGTTAAACTCTTCAATTTTGAAAATAGATGATCAACACTCATCTGATTATATTTGTTGCCCTTTTTGTAAAAACGTGTCAGTCTTATATCAGGGCCAAAAATCAATTCAAAGCTTCAGAAACTGGCTAAACAATATATTTTTTTCAATCGAATCAATTGAGAAACATCAGTTGTTTATTGACATATGCAGAGAACTACCAATAAAGATAATCAAAGAAATAACTATTTATGATATACATAAAATTTTATACAATCCATTCAATGCAGAATGCTTTCTAATTAATTTAATCACTAAACTTCCAACTTTTTATACAACTGATGCACTAAATGCAATTATCTCTCTTTATAAAATAATAATAAACTCAATAAAACTTCCAACTTATCCATTAGGAAGTTTAATAAATTTGTTGTTTTATTTATTAGAAAAAATATTAATTACAGAGGATTCAAAAATTGAAATAATAACTCGAGATTTAATGTATCACATAAAGGAAAATATCACCTCCATTAATGAGCATGAATTCAAGAATCTTTTTTTAAAATTATTTAATCATATATACTGCAGATATTCTGAGGAACCTTTATATAACTTTTCAAGATTTGCTAATATATTAAGTAAAGAAATCGTGCTAGAAAACAGAATATTAAACTCTCAATTTAGGTCAATAAGTGAAAATATTTACATTTCAAATATCATTAACGAACTAATCAAATTTTCTCCAAAAAAAACAGAAATCAATTCAATATTCAAAGTTTGTTCTGAATCAGAGTTAGAAAAAGTGATATACTCAAGACATTGTAATAATTTTGAATTTATATATTATCATCCTAATTCAGTTATTTTAGAAGATAAAAAAGAAAACATACTTGTTAATTTATTCCTTTCTAATCCTTCTTTGGCAATTATCAGTAATAAGTCAATAATTTGGGATAAACTTCAATTCTTATTTAAAAAATTTCTATTTACAGATGAAGATAAAATAATTTGGAACAATTTAATTAGGCTTCAAATATCAACTTTACTAGTTTACGGTTTCTATAATCTTGCAATCAAGATTTTATTCGACTCTGTTTCAAGTAAGGATTGTATAAACGATGAAATTGTTGAACTTTCATACTACTTATTAAAAAATAGTAAAGATATTAGTGGAATCTCCAATGAAAATAATTCCTTATTAAATAATATTGAAAAAATTATATTATCTGATTCTCGGATAAATTGTTTAAGTTTATTTTTAAATTATAAATGCACCCCAACACATAGAAAAACAGTCAAATTCAATAAAAAACTGATTCAAGACAATCTTGAAAAATGCTTTTTAAACAGATTTTATTATGATAATCAAGATTCAAATGTAACAATATTCGATTTATTCCTCAATAATAAATATATTAAATCAAAGGTAAAGTATTCAAATTTACTTATAAAGGAAATTAATAAATATGATTTACTTATTTGTTGTTCAACCGATTTACTTTTTAATAATGGTTATAAATCTAAATTAATCATAAATTCAGTGAATATTAATCAGAGAATTAAAATTCTGGTTTGCTTCTCATTAATTTCTATTCTATCGGTTAAAGATTTAATTCCCGACACAATACGTTCAATTCAATCCTTATTTTTAATTATTTCAACAATTTGTAACTATATTAAAGTTATTAATAAAGTTCGTTGCCTTAAATCAACTAAAGTTAGCGTATCAAAGTTATTGGATTATGAAAGTGATCTTCCAATTTACTTAACTGAATATAATGCAAATGTTTCTCTGGAAAGATGGAAACTTCTCCTAAATGTTTTACCGTTTAATGACATTGTGCCATTAATAAACAAAATAGATCAGATTTATAGTAAAAATAATTTGACCCAAAAACCTAATTTATTATTTTCATATCTCGAAATTTACACTCTTACTAAGAACTTTATAGATAGAAATCATGAAATTAAAATACCAGTTATAACCAGCCATCACATTAAAGCTTTTATGAATTACCCTATGTATTATTATAAAACAATATTACAGATTTTCATTCAGAGCCTGGAGCAAGAAAGTATTAGACATTTGTTTATATCAACACATTTGTTAGTTCTAAAAAATCTTTCATTTAACAGCAAAATAACTGATAAAATTTCATTTATAATAGACAATAATCAATTTAAAGCATTCACAAAAATTTACAAACTTTTACCAAAATACAAAACTTCAATAATTAGACAGGTTGTTACTGGCAAAAAATGTTTTGTTGATTTATTTGACTTTTCAAAGGTTTGGAGTAATTATTGGTTAATATCAAAATTCATTAAATTTATAAATAAAAATTTGCTATCTTCATTTTCTTATAAATTATTAAATTATATTTTTTTTATAAATAAAAAGTTTCCTATTAAATTATACAAAAGTCTAATTACACTAAATGGTAATTGTATTTCTCTAATATTAAATGATCTATTCAGAAATTTGTCAGAAAATGTTGATTACACAATTAAATTTGTCGGGATGTTACCAAACGATAAGCAAAAATTAGAGATTATCGCACTAATCATTAGTCATTTAGCAAAAGATAGCAGTTATAATGATCAAGAAAAAAGAAAATTATTTACATATTTAAATACATTAATATTAACGACAAAATTTACACTATTTTTTCCTAATTTTGAGAACAGGACTAATGGACTTCAAACGGTCCCATATAATCAAATTCTTATATTTGTTTTAGATTTATTTATGGATTCTGATTATAATAATATTGACATCTTAATACTTAATATACTAAGGCCACTTAAAATAAACTTTTTTGAACTTTTGAGCGAGTCGATTACATCTCATTTAAGTGAATTAAATAAAATCAAACATAATAGCTCGACAGATTTATCAGATTTTATAAAATCAATATTTGAAAAAGCGGATTCAAATATATTTTCTAGTTATGGCGTTGATTTTTATGATTTTATTTTTAACTTGTATAATAGTATTTTGAAGAATATGGAAAATAATTATTATTTAGTTATCATATTTTCAATCGAATTGGTATCTAGAAACTTATTTGATATTTTATTACTAAATAAGCTTACTAACCAATTAATTATTAGCATTAATGCTTTGTTGATGAAAATAAATATCCATATTTATTGTTCCGATCTGGCCAAGTTTTTAGGTGGTATTTCCAATTTGACATTAAATCAACATTCAAAAAAATTAAATTGTTCATTCATTCTTGAAATTCTGTATCTACTTCTGTATTATATATATGTGCTGAACAAAGTCAATATTTCATTAATGGATGAGCACTTTCAAGCAAGAAGTTCGAATAATGAAATCTTAATTGACCATATTATTTTTTATAAAAAGATTGTTTCTGAATTTACATTAAATATGGTAACTTTCATATCTACTAGTATGGTAGAAATACAATTCTTTAATTATTGGTTTATTTTTGGTGAGACATTAATAGATTCCAACGATCAGAAACTATTCTTTGACCGTAACAAAAACAATTTATTTATTGGACTGAATTCACCTTTCAGAAAGCATGCATTAATTAGTATAACATATGCTCGTATGGAAGAGGTTTTGGCAAGTAAGTATTACAAACTTCCTTGCTATAATATTCGTGAATTAATCTGTTGCTTTAATATTATTTTAAATTCTGCTTCTTATGTATTTTTGGGAACTCGTTTATTTTCAAATTTAATAATTCCAGTATTAATAAATACAAAAAAAGAGGATCATTCTTTGGCTCTTTTTGGAAAACGTATATGCAAAATATTAAATATTAACTATAGTGATAGTGAAGAATTGGCAGTTATTGGAGTATTTTTCAAGACTTTATTAATTTATAAAAAGAAAATAATTAATCATTTAATTCCACAATTATTTGCCTTAAAGTCCCATAATATTGTTGCTGAAATTGTTGCTTCAGAAAATAATATTTTGAGATATTCTCATATTTCTGGTAAATACATGTTTAAGATTCTTTCAAAACTATTTGATAAATTTTATTATATTAATTTTGATCGCATTAGAATTGAAATTGAAGACGAAATTTCAAACGGTTTTGTTCAGAATTATCTTAACTCAGCAGTTAATAATTTTTTATATGATGTAAGACTAAATGAGCTTTCTGGCTTCATATACCAAAAATTATTATCAAAGTTCTATGCTTTTTTGTTTGCTGAAAAACAACATTTTTTTGAGATTAAATTGGTAGAGAGAAAAGTTATTAGTACTGCTAACAATTAATGACTAGAAAATAAAACAAATAAAATTTGTATATAGCTATTCTAAAATATTAATGAATGTTGTCTTTTGTGATGTAAAAATTTTCTTAACTAATCTCCTTTTTTTAACTTCAAATATATAAACATATCGTCCTAGTCCACCAATTGCAAGAAATATGCTGTCTCTATGCTCTCCCTGTGTATTTAATTTAAAATAGCTCATTGCTGTAATCCCACCCATTATACCTTTAAAACTTCCTATAGTAGATATTTCAATTCTATGATTACTCCTAATGTTTAGTTTATTTTTTTCGGATTGCTGAATAGAAATATTAAATGGTACACATTCTCGAATTAATGGAACTATATTTTTCTTATTTAATGCAGAACCACGATTTTCCATTAAAAAATTCAAATTTTTGTGATTATCAACTTGAGTATCTGAAATTTTTAAAAGTAATGCTGAACCTTTATTATTGCCAACAGCAAATACCGATCCATGTGAATTTTTATTTGATTTCAACTTTGACCATTTTTTAATAATTTCTAAACTTGTAACTGGTAATTTCTCCTCCCAAATTACATAATTAATAATAGGTCGTCTTTGTAATTGAGGAGCATAAAGACGAATTTCACCGTAACCTGTACCACATAATAATATTTCTGGATCTTCCTGTATGAACGTCAATTTTGTAACATCGATTGGCATTCTATGCTTAAGCATATTTTTTTGTATATTTTTTGAACTCCATGCTAATTCCAAGGTATCTAAACGAATTATCTTAATATCCGATTCATAACCACCAAATGCAATGCAATTTTTTGTGTTATTATATGCAACACATTTGAGATTAGTGCATGGGAGTTCAAATTTTTCAATAATGAAATCCGTATAAATCGAGCAGGCGTCTTCATAGTTAACATCCAAGTCAATTGTTGATTGAAAATATGGGTGACCTTCATTAATCTGTGGCAATCTAAGTAAATACAATTTTTTTGATCCTGTTATTGTAACAATAACTTTATTTCCTTTTTCTGATTCATTTGGATAATTAAGGGTAATATCATGTATAAAAATTACTTCACCATTAACAATAAATGAAATTATTGGAATATTTGAGTCATTATTTAACGGAGTTAAAATTATATCTATTTTGCCGTCGGAATATCCAATGAGCATATTCTTCGATTGATTTTTTTCATTAAGAATAAACTTGTTAGTATAAATAAATGTAGTTCTCTTTATTGGTTTACTTGAATATTTGGTGATTGAATCAGTAGATAACTCATCAGAATTAAGAATTTTTGTAATATTATACTCTTTAATCGTACCAAAATTATCACCTGAATATAAATAATTCATTTTTCCATAATATTCAATAAATAATAATTTTAAAAGTCAGAAGTGACAATATAGCGCCATAAAATAAATAAGATCCAAATAAAATATATTACCAATTTTGAAATACAATAATTCAATTGTTACAAATTAATTAAAAAGAAATTGGTAATAATTTGTATTTAAAAATTACTGCTCATTATTTGTATCTACTTTAGATTTCAAATGATATTCATATTTTTTTCTTGATTCCTCTATTTTTCTAATGCAATACTGAGAAAAAAATTCTGTACCGCTCCACAGTCATACACCGCACATCTTCTGTTAAATTATTATTTGCACAATATGTAAAGCTTGGAGAGTTACTTTTGCTTTAACTGTTTAAATATTTGTTATTTGGATCGAATACGATTTTTATGTTTAAAATAATGTTAATAAACTCAAAATATGAATTTTACTTTTCACTCATTGAAATTATAAATAAATTCATTCCTTTCCGTGAGGCATTAAACGTGATAAAAATCGCACTAAATATTATAAAGAATCATTTATTTACGTTGACAGGAGGTTATTGGTATTTTATTATCTTTACTACATTCATTGCCTCTATTACAACAATAGTCGTGTTATTTTATTTACAAAGAAATAATAATAATAACAGTATATTAAGGCACATTAAATTAAGGCATAACTGGGTTTTATATGAAACACCTGAATATCCCAAATATTGTACAAAGTGCTCTGGAATAATAAAAAAACGTTTTTTACTCATGAGAAACTATGAAGGATGGCAATGTTCAATTTGTAAACGCATTTCCCATATGCACTGTATAATGCAGTCAGACTCTGAATATTGTAAGGATGAATGCTCTTCAAACTATTTAATAAAAAGTGGCTCATATATTAAATTTAACAATAAAAACTCTTCAAGTAATAATGCGTCTGATAATTTTGATGGCGTAACCTTTCAACAAAAAATTCACTATCACGTGCTGTTGAAGGGCAATTTACACTCAGGAGCAATTTGCTCTTTATGTAGAACTGTATGTTTTTCTCCGTTTGGTTTATATGGGCAAAAATGTATTTGGTGTAATCGAACATACCATGATGAATGTGCTGAGAATAAAAAAATTAATCAACAGCAGTGTGACTTAGGAACTCTCAAATACATTATTTTACCACCAAATTCTTTTGTTTTTGAACTATATAGCTTAGAAAAGGGTGAAAATTCAACAGTGAATACTAAACCCTCTATTTTTGATAAAGAGGATAAAAATAATTTTAATTCAAGTAATCTAATTGGTGGTAAAATAAATCAGTTAAATTCTACTCCTATTGAGAATATTATTCAAGCTAACTTAACGAATTCTTCAAATAGAAAGAGCGTTTCTCATTATATTCAGATTTTTCACAAATCTAATTTGATCAAAAAAAAATTAAGGTTTTTTGATGATTTTATAAATGCTAATTTGGGAAAACCTTTACTTGTTTTCGTTAATACTAAATCTGGTGGGCATCTCGGGCAAGGGTTAATAAAGAATCTATATATTTATTTGAACCCAATTCAAATAGTCGATATTCAAAATTCAAAGGGCCCAGACGAAGCATTATATTTATTCAAACACCTCGCAGAGGTGAAAAAATTGATGATTCTTGTATGCGGAGGGGACGGCACAGTAAGATGGGTTATAGATAGATGCAGAGAGATTTATGGAGTAAATTCAAATAATCTTCCTCCAATTGCAGTGCTTCCACTAGGAACAGGAAATGATTTGAGTAGAACTTTGGGATGGGATGTTACATTTAACGGTGATATTCTCAACTTTTTAAAAAAAATATGTACTTCCAATATTAAGCAGATGGATATTTGGACATGCACTGCATGGGATTTAAAGAACGAAGATACCAATAATAGTAATGACTATCATCATATGTTGTTTTCATCTACATTTATCAATTATTTAGATATTGGAATTGCTGCACGAATTGCATTAAAGTTTCATAACTTAAGAGAAGCATATCCTCAACATTTCAAGAGCAGACTTGGAAATCAGCTAGTTTATGGTGAAGTAGGATTTAGGGATTTCTTTAACAAAAGTATTCAATTAGATGGCTTAAAAATATTTTGTGATGGGAGAGAGGTAACTATTTCGAATCATGTAGGAAGTTCGTTTCTAAGCAAAAGTGAAGAGTCAATTAACTCATTGGGGGTTAGATTATTGAATGAAAATAACTATTTCCAAACATATTATAATTTGTTAATCATTTATAAGTCTATAATTAAAAAATATATTAATTGGTTCTTATCTCGTGTTGCTGATATATTTGGGCTTGGAAGCTCATTAATATATTGCGAAATAAATAAAAAAACTGTCACTGAAATTAATAGTCATTTTCACCCAAGAGAGAACAGGCTTGAAGGCCTCGTTATTTGTAATATTCCTAGTTTTTCTGGAGGAGTTAACCTTTGGAAAATTTCGAATCAAATTTCTAAAAAGTCATTTAAAAATAGAGATTCAAGTATTATTAGAAGAACCACCACTTTAACTAGTAGGAAGATAGGGAAAGGTTTGTCCGATAGATCAATGTCATTTTCGGTGGATAATTTTAAGAACTCAGGCTACCTGTCTTGCTCAGATTCGGAATTTTCAGAATATGATGAAGCTTGCAATACAGAATTAAAATTGAGAGAGGGAAGAAGAAAATCGACAAATTTACTTAAATCCTGGTTTTCTAAAGCTTTCAAACAAGGCCAATTTCCCCAATTAAATGACTCGGAAATAAACGATGAACACATTAAGTTAGGAATTAGCAATTTCCACGCGCAAAAGATTGATGATGGATTAATAGAGGTTGTAGGTATTAGATCACTTTTCCATTTAACCCAGCTACAAGTAGGGCTCACAGAGCCAATCAAATTGTGTCAAGGTAGTAATATAGTCATATATATTCCTAGACAACTCCCTTTCCAAGTTGATGGAGAGCCTAGAATAATAAATAAGTGCAAACTTATTATTGAACTGTCTGGAAAGATTCCAGTCATTTGCTCGGAGAAAATTGAGAATGCATTATCACTTTCAGTGCAGAATGCTCTGGAGCAAGCAGTGCAAAAAAAAATCATCAATACTGACCAGAAAGCATGGATAACAGAACAGATAATTCAGGAAAATTAATTATTAATTTCTTAGTTCTCTATAGTTTATTATTTATAAGTCACTAAATGTATTTTACGAATTTTTTACCTCGTCAAGAGGGGAAGATGGTGAGTATTCGGCGTCCTGCACCATCTTATCAACAGAATACGATGGAGACTTCGGGACCGACGTAACGGCCGCAGGGTCATAATGCGGTGATGAAGGCGAATATCTGGGAGAATTAGAACTGTTAGAAACATAATTAGGCGAGGATGGGGAGTAGTTAGGTGAGGTGGGGTTGTAGTTAGGTGAGGTAGGCGAATAGTGTGAAGTAGGAGAATAATTTGGAGATGCTGGATTGTAGTTAGGCGATGTAGGAGAATAATGAGGAGAAGTCGGTGAATAATGCGGTGATGAAGGGGAGTAGTGGGGAGAAGTTGGGGAGTAGTGCGGCGATGTAGGCGAATAGTGCGGCGATGTTGGAGAATAATGAGGCGACGTTGGAGAATAGTGCGGCGAGGTCGGGGAATAGTGTGGTGATGTTGGTGAATAATGTGGCGATGTTGGTGAATAATGTGGTGAAGTTGGAGAATAATGCGGTGATGTTGGGGAATAGTGCGGCGATGTAGGCGAATAGTGCGGCGACGTTGGAGAATAGTGAGGCGACGTTGGAGAATAGTGAGGCGACGTTGGAGAATAGTGCGGCGAGGTCGGGGAATAGTGTGGTGAGGTTGGTGAATAATGCGGCGAAGTTGGGGAGTAATGTGGTGATGTTGGTGAATAGTGTGGAGAAGTTGGAGATATGTCTGGACTTATGTTGTTTATTTTGTTATTCGAATTTAAAGGTGAAGATGGTGAGTAGGAACTTAGTGTGTTATTAACTTTGTATTTTTTTCTAGCCCTCTCAGAAAGCTCTGTATTGTATGTTGGACTGCTTGCTGCATAAATGGGAGAAGTTGGAGTGTAATCCATTAATGGTGAAGATGGGCTCATAGGAGAATAGGGAACTGGGCTAAATATCCCCCCCGGCGAAACTGGGCTCATAGGCGATCTTGGGGTCATTTGAACTGGAGAAAATTGGCCAGAGATCATAGGAGACATTGGCTCATACGATTGGTAAAGAGGAGACATCGGAGAAAGAGGCGACATCGGAGATTCAAAAGAGTCTGATTCAAATGATCCATTCTCAGAGTATAACCTAGTCGTTTGAGAAAGTGTGGAAAACTTTCCAAGTTTGGCAAATTCTCCATGGATTTCGAGGTGAGTAGCAGTATCCCTCAGTTTATCTGGATCAATCAATACATCAAAGCAGGCAGTTCCATATGGTGCGAGCTGCCCAACCATGACATTTTCGCTTACGCCGTTTAGGTAATCTGTTTCTCCAAACATAGCAGCATCCATTAAAACCTCAACAGTTTCCTCAAAGCTGCATTTTTGAAGTGGTCCCTTATCTACTCTATTGATACCATGCCTTGTTATACTCATTAAGTGCCCCTTTTGAGTCATATTATCGCAGAGTAATGCTAAGTGTCTATAATTTACATAGCTTCCATCAAATGAAATAACCGTTCTCAGTTCTTTAAGTAGAGCTCTTCTTACAGCTTCAATCCCCAGTACACTGAAGACTTCAGTTATATCATTTGAAATAGTCCTAGAACTATCTATCGCCGTATGGCAAAGCACTGCTTCAAGATTGCATCCATCTGTGTCAAGCACCCATTGGTTATCTCTTACCATCTTTTGACTAATACTATCATATTTAGATACCTGCTCCTCTTTCATATAAACTTTCTTAATATTGTTTATTCCTCTGAGTGTAATTTGAGAAAGGCATTCCGTCATCAGTTTCTCCAAAAACTTATGTTCTTCAACCCCAGATGTAATGGATGGAGAGATTGAGTCGTTCTCTTCAGAAGATTGTATGTTATCACGCACATTATTAGCATTAGGCTCAATATTTTTAATCCTAAGTCTTAAAACTAGCTCATCCGAATTATCATCCGTCCAAATACAATCCAGCTCATCCTTACTGAACTCCATTAAAATCTTATCGCCAATTTCTTTCATTGATAGTTTCTTATCAGTAACGAGCTTATTATTTAGTTGTATTCTTAACAGCCAAGTACCAAGCCTGTTTGTAATATCCGCATCATCAGGAAATTCATAATAATCGCTAACCCAACTTTTGTCAGCTTCAACAATTGTCTTATCTTGTTCTGGATCATACAAAATGTGTGCGATCGTTGTAATGTTTTGTAATGTCGTATGCTCCAGTAATGTCAATACATCTTTCGCCTGTTCTTGATCATTTGCAATCCCACTTTCGAGATAAACCGTAAGTGTTGGCGTTCTAACATTCTTTGCAACATTAATTAACTCTCTCAGTCTTGGAACACCAAGAGTTACATTTTTGGAGCCCACACCAGCAAAGTGGAAGGTATTTAATGTCATTTGGGTTGCGGGCTCACCAATTGACTGCGCTGCTATAGTACCAACCATTTCACCAGAGTGCGCAAGGCTTCTATAAAATTGATGTTCGATTTCTCCAAGTATCCATTCAAATGCTGTTGGCCCAAGCCTATCAACCTCCAATATTTTCTTACTAGCTAAGGAGCTTCTAATATGTATTCCTAATAAGGTTGTCGCATTTTTTTGAACCTCGGCAATAATGCTATCAAATACAAAATTAGATTTATTTGTATTGTTTTCCTCGTTAATAATCCCGACATTCTTCCAGAGCAATAATCTATCAAGCAATGATTCAACCTTTCTTATTATGAATACTGGCCCCCAATCCTTGCTTGATGACGCGTCGCTTACTCTTTGAGGGAACTTTTGCTGAGCCATTTGAATTATCCGATTGATATTTATTGGAAGGTGCTGTCTCGTTTCCCCATCCGGAAAAATATCTTTCCCCAGTTGCTCACGGTCTGTTACAAGTTGTTTGTATTCAGAATTCAATATATTCTGAGATTCTAAATCAAACTGAAGATTTTTAATCAAGGATGGTTGCACACCTGCCCAAGTAGAGCCCCATCTCGGGTGTTCAACATTATGCCGATACTTATGCTGAAACACTGCCGCCTCCATCTGTAATAGTTCAATAACTTGATCTTCAATAAATTCTCCTGCCATTCCATCTTCTCCGTAAAGGAACTGAATAATATCACCGTTACTATTCCTAACAGTTCTATCATATTGTACCATACAGTCCTCCATTGCCTTTATTAGTCTCCTTTGTATATAACCCGTCTCCGAAGTTTTGCATGCAGTATCGATAATTCCTTCTCTACCTCCCATTGCATGAAAAAAAACTTCTTGAGGAGTAAGACCCGAAAGATATGAGTTCGAGACAAAACCGCGACTTTCTGGCCCATAATCATATTTGAGGAAATGTGGCAAGCTTCTGTCTCTAAATCCAAATGGAATACGTTTACCTTCAACATTTTGTTGTCCAACACATGCCATAATTTGTGAGATATTAATCGTGGACCCCTTGCTTCCACATTGAACCATCGCAACTATATTGTTCTTCGAAGAGTCAAGGTTCTCAGTTGCAATTGTGCCGGATAACTCGCGTGCACTATTCAGTTCTTGATTAACTTGGGCTTCGAAAGATTCAATTAAGCTCTTACCTGGTTGACAATCAAGCTTACCTTTCTGAGCGCGTCTAATAATCTGTTGAACCTGTAGTTTTGACCCTTCCAAAGAGTTCATTATCTTTTCTAAAGTAAAGCTCTGGGGTTGAATATCTTGGCATCCTACTGTAAAACCGTGTTCAAGAAGCCATGTATTTACTACCATCTGGGTGTATGTCAAAAACAATCCGGTTTTTTCCGGGCCAATCTCATTCCACAAAATATGTATTAATGAACCAGAAGACGATCCAGCAATTTTCTTTGTGAGTATTCCGCAAATATGTTCTCCTTTTTGGATGATTACCTGATTATCTAACTCAGATATCCAAGGATTGTTAACTATGGTCTCTTTAGAATCATCTTTATCTGCATTAGAGTTGTTAGACTGTTTAATTGATACAATGCTCCCATCTCGCATTAAATTTAACTCAATTGGTTCTCCTAAATCTGTTGTGAATGCCAACAGTACAGTTATAATTTGCTTTCCAGTCCATAAAGGTTGCGGTCTAAGGACTGCAGGAGGGGGAATATTCCCATTCCAATACGGAATGCACAACAATAACTGTAAAAATTTTTCTCTAGTTAAAAATGTTGACTTTCTAGTAAGAAGGAAAATCCCAAGTAATGAGTCTTGGACTATACCTATTACTGGTTTGTTACCTTGAGGAGAAACTATTTGCCTTGGAACCATCATCAAGTTTTTGATTTCAGAACGGGTCTCATGCGACTGAGCAAGATGGAGATTCATTTCATCTCCATCAAAATCTGCATTATATGGCGATGTTACTGAAAGATTAAGTCTAAAGGTGGAATAAGGTAAAATTTTCACGCGATGGCCCATAATACTCATTTTATGTAAACTGGGTTGCCTGTTAAAAAGTACTAAATCATCATTCTTCATATGCCTTTCAACCTTCCATCCATACTGAAGCAAATTATTTGAACTATTCGAAGTATTGGAGAATCTTAGATCGATTTTAGTCCCATCCTCCTGAATAATACTAGTTGCTCCTGGCCACTCATGTGGCCCTCTTTCTACCAACTCCTTTAGTTCCTCTATATTATAAGGTGTGACGACTTCAGGATAAGTAAGTGTCATAGCAATAGAGTAGGGAACTCCGACTTGGTCCACTGCCAAGTTAGGGTCGCCTGTAATTACTGTTCTTGCAGAAAAATCTACCCTTTTCCCCATCAAGTTACCACGTATACGGCCATCTTTACCCTTAAGGCGCGCTCTAAGAGATTTTATTGGTCTGTTACTCCTTGTTCTAGACTGTGGTAAGCCAGGTAAGTCGTTGTTAATAAGTGTAATCAAGTGATATTGCAGAACTGTTGACATCTCACTAATAATATGTTCAGGTGAGCCAATACGAATTTGCTTTTTAAGATTCTCATTCAATTTGATTATCTGTTGTAGTTTTAAAGTCAAGTCATCTTCGCTCCGATCACTTCCAAACTGAACGTATGGTCTTACAGCCGGCGGAGGGATTGGTATCACGGTATTAATAAACCAAGAAGGGTTACATTTTACTGGATCAAAACCAAGAATTTTCATGTCATCGTGAGATATTCTTTTGAAAATTGTAAGTACTTCTTCTGCGGTTAACAACCTTTTTGAATCAATTGTTTCATCATCAATAATCCTGTTTTCATCTTGGTTTTGATTGATATATAAATTATATCCTTCTTTTGAATAGGTTGGCTGAATAAATCCACATCCAGAACCATCACTAGAAATTACACACCTAGATGAAGAGCTTCTCATTTCTAGAATTCTTTTAAGTCTAAGTCTTGGGTTTCTAATGCGTTTTATTTGTTTAAACTTAGGATCCAGTGTATCAACAAATAATTTGGAGCATGCATAACACACGCACCTGAGGAGTTTAAGTACGGTAGTAATGAATCCAATATGAAACATAGGCTTTCCCAACTCAATATGTGCAAAATGACCAGGGCAAGTTTTTATATCCATGTGGCAAGTTTCGCAAAGAATATGGTAGTCTGTTGTACCCAGTAATGGATCATTAAGCCCACCTGATTTAGGTCTTCCATTCTCATAAATATCAGATATTTTAATCTCGAGTACAGAATACTTACGAATAAGTTCAGGTGAAAGTACGCCAAACTCGATACTAAAAACCCTCTTTAACTCTTTACTGCTAAATGGAGAGTTCAACTCCAATGCTGTGGACATAATTTTCTGGGTAATATACCTTTAAATATGGCCTCAACACCAAAATCACGAACAGCAGCGCAATGATTGTATTTTTTTTTCCAATTATTATATCGATCATCAGGGCGTCATGTCTAATGAATATAAGCGGTGGTATAAAAAATAAAATTTAAGACACTTAATTGGAAAACTAGTATTTGTATTTCTTCCTCTAATTTATCTAAATGATTACAGACTTTACAAATATGTATTTTAAGCTTATAGAATGGTAAATAATTTATTAATTGTTAGGATAAATTAAATTATTTATTCCCTATTTATTAAAAGCAGTTTTCTTCTCTTTAAAGCTAACTCTCTTCTGGTTTTTAGCTTTTCCTCAATCCCGCATCCTTTCCCTAAGTTCTGATTAAGAGTTTCTGATTTCAAATCAGGAATTTGATCATTAACTATGTCGCTTTTAAGAGAATGCTTTCTTGAATCTACCTCTTTCCTGAGTGATTTGTATTTGTATATTGCCTTTAAACGGTAATCCTGAGTTTCTGCATGAAATGTAAATTTTTCGATGGCTTTGCAAAAATCGATTAAAGACATTTTTTTTGCTGAAATCAACGACTTCCAGTTTTCAAAAATTTTTATCATCTTATGCATTGATTCTAATTCCTTTTCAATCTCAATTCCTGATGGGTAAAATTTAAATAATAAAAAATTATTGGAAAAAAATTCCCAAAGATTATGTTTCTCACTACTTGAAAATATTAATTTTCTATCAAGTTTAATAGTGGGGTTAAAACCTGTTTGGTATAAATTTTCTTTATCCTTAGAAACCATCTCATTTCCGTCCATTTTATGGTTTGAATTAATTACTTTTCTTTTTAGTTCTTAACAAACAAGTTGGTTGTATTACTAAACAAAAAATTACATGTCCTAAAAACCCGCGAATTAAAATTTGTTAATTTTTTGTTTTAAATATAACTCCCCTTGAGTTTCGGAAATAATATTAATATTGCTGTTGAAAATAGTAGCGAGATTATTTTCCACCAATTTAATCATTATAATTGATTCTTTTATGTGTATAGTGGTGTTATTTTCTTTCTGAATAATTAATTTAGAATTAATAATACTTGGAAACTTAAAAAAGATATTCAATATAATTTTTGATATAACAATCCGCCATCTCATGGAAAAAAACGAATTGCTAGGGGATAATAGTAATTTTATTATGCAATTTAAAGTCTCAAACTTGATTTCGGCCATATTTAATTTAAGATAAGATTTTGTGAAATAATAAAGAATTTCCAATACGGATATACACAGTTTTTGAAATTCCGAATTCATTTTTGACTCTTTATCATCCATTAATATAATTATTTCATAATTTGCAAGAATTAACTCAATAAATTCAGTAATTAATGGAATTATTTTTTCCTCCATAATTTTTATTGCAAAGTCTCCACACGAAATAATTAGTTGCATTATAATAATATTTGTTTGATAAAGCTCACGTAATTTGATCGTTTCAATTTTAAAGTAGCCTATACTATTATCTTTTATTTTATTTACTGTAGTTGACCATTGATTAATTAGGCTAGGAATAATCATGTTTGCATAAGGAAATAAACTAGCTGGCTTAGTTGAAAGTATAAAAATACAATTTAATAACGAATACGTGGATAAATGTTGATAACTCGGGATAGTAAAGCTCTTCCCATCAATATTAGATGTATATGAATAAATAATTTGAATTACCCTTTCAATAATTTTTTGAATATTTGAAACCTCAATGTATTTTTCTTCAAGTAGATTATCTTCTAAAAAATTTAAATGATATAATGTATGGTTTTCAATATCATTTTCAGTAAAAATATGTGTTGAATAGAATTCAACAATATTATTTTCTTGAGAAATCATATAATCTACAAAATATCCGTAACAGGCTTCTTTAATTGCGGTATTTAATCCTTTAGAAGATTCAAGTTTCCGTCTGAAAACAGAAATTTCAGAGTTTTTGAGGATTTTGTGAAATAAAAAGTTACTCCAATATCTTAAAATGTACCTTGAGAGACGTTTTGTAGTTATTGCAACAAACTCAAATATCCAAAGATTATTATTAATATGTAAATCATCAAATCTTTCAATAATATCAGACAATTCTAAAATAAATTCTAACTTGCAATGTTCAAGAGCTGTGAGGATTAGATCTACTTTTTCTTTGGAGTAGCCTTTATAGTACATCATTTCTAACGACCTGATAATTTCAACAGAATATTCACTAATAACTGTATTGATTGAAAATTTCTGTGATGAATAACCTAACATATGAACAACTTGATCCAAAACGTAAGTTGTGATTTTCTTAGTAGTTGGAGAGCCATTACCATATAGTGATATTAATTTTACTACGATCTTATTAAATTTTCTAATAAAAATTTTGTTGTCTAATTCAATCTTTCTTGCAATTAATAACAAATTTCCCAAAAGAATTAATAGTATATTTCTATTAATTTCTTTTCCATCTGATAAGTTTTGGAGACAAAAATCTTTATTTAGTTCTTCAACTGTGAATTCGAACCAATTAATTAAAATATTTGGCAACTTTTTTCTTTCAAGATTCTGAAGTTCTAAAAATTGAATTTTACCTAATACTGAATGATCTAAAATGAGTTGTGAAGCATTACATAGTGAGATTCTAAGAATAAAATCTAGCATTGAATTATAGTCATCTTTGTTCTTAGTATTAAGCTTCACAAAATATGTCATTAAACAACCGAAAATATATTTATGGTCCATTTTTTCATAACTTAAATTTAATATTGAAATTGAAATCGATTTTATTATTAAGCCAGAAATTAACTTTGATTTCTCAAACCCAAGTCTCTTGATGTTGAAAAAAGTTAAGGTAAATACATCACCATAAAGTTGAAAAATTTCATTGTAGTCAATGTTGTCAAAATTTTCGTTATTATTGGTAACATCATCAAAATAACTTTTGATTAAACAAATTTTCACTATCTCTGCTATATCTATTGCCTTTATAATCCAATTTTCCATACATAATGATGAGCTTTCATATTTGAAGCCGTAAGAAGTTTTCTTGAAATCTTTAATTGTTTTTTCATACATTTTTAGGCTTCGATTAGTAATTAGCGTTCTAAAAAAGAAGTCTAGGAATTTGTCTGCATGAAATGTGGAAATTATATTCTGAAAAGATTGGCTTTCTATTTTTTGGAAACCAATATATTTAGTTAATATACGGACAAACTCTATTAAGTTATTTTCTTCATAAAATTCAACTGAGGTGAGTTTTTCTGTATTAATCGATTCAAAGCTAACTACAAAATTTTGCAAATATTTTGAAAAAAATATCATTTTGATCTTGCTTTGATTCTTCAAAATCGAATTAAATACATGATCAACTAATGGATTTATATAATCATCTTCGCATTTCATTGAAACCAAAAAGTCTAGAGAAGTTTCTAAAAGTTCATCAAAACTATCATGAAAAATATAAAATAAATCTGTCAAGCACATACTTGCAATAGACACAAGAAATGATCTGACCTTTAACATGTATGCTTTGTCGTTCGAATAGTATATATGACCATTTGTAGATGAGCCATGCAGGTTAAATTCAAATGTTTTATACTTAATAATATAGTTCAATATTTTACCCGTATTTTTAATATTTTCCATATTAGAATGATAATTCATTGTTCCAGGATTTATATTACAAAGGCAATTACTTATCCATTCAATCATTGTTAATAATGAAATTTCTAGTATATTAGGGCTATGTTTTGTAATCGAATTAATGATCTCCATACTTAATTTCTGAATAACTCCTGGATACACTTTTATTAATGGCTCGTTATTTTTGACAATACTAGGAATTTCAGATAATAGCTTTAATGATAAGATTCTGATTTCTTTTGAATACTTGAACTCTTTATTATTAGGAATTGCTATTGTTAATAAAAACTGTATTGTCACTGGGAAAATAAGATACTGATTTGTGTCTGTGTTGATATCTTTATATTCCCAATATTCCCAAAAAATATTAAAGCTAAAATGAGATATCTTAATACAATGTTCAATAATAAATTCATTTCCTTCTTGAATATAAATATGTAGAACCTTAGCTATAACATGGATTATATCAGAAAAAGCCATTGAAATGCGACTAAAAACAATCTTTGATGTTTTTTTATTGATTTTTTGTAAAACATTGAACAAAATTTTTAACAACTCTTCTATTTGTAGAGAATATTTTTTACAAATAGAATTATTGTGATTCAAATCGCTTATTCTATCAGTTGGATGTAACTGGGTTTTGCACTCGTTCCTAATACAGTTGTGAATTGTCATTATTATAGGCGGAATAATAATCTCTGCACAAGATGAAATACAGTAGTCACTACATTTTGAAATAGATAAACCAATATCTCGAAGAATTTCAGGAGATTCTATGCTATCCAGGTAGAACAATTTAGAGAGTTTTTCATGGAGTAATTTAATTGTATCCCTAATTGGGACTTCATCGAAAGAATTATTCGGCATAAGTTTTGTTATTTTTACATTTTCTGATATTTTAGCGCGATGCTTTAGTGTTTAATTGAGAATGCAAAGAATTAGTTATCACATTGACTTTGGAGTAAAGATAAGATAGAAAAAGTTATTAATTTCGTATTAAAAATTTTTAACACGTTTTTTTGAAGCGGTTATGATTTTGCTGTGGGTTAATAATTCCTACTTGTGAATAAATTCATCAAAATGAAGAAAGAAAATACACAAATAAAATATTCTAAATCTAGACAAGAAGGTATTAATATCTATTTTCAAGAGAAGATTAATGATCTTGAAAATAAACAAGCTGAAATTACGGATTTATTAGTAAAAAAAAAAAATGATACTGATAGGCTTATTATAATAAACAAGGAAAAAAGTAACACTATTAATTCAATTAAAGAAAAAATTGCTGTTATGGTAGAAGATCATACATCTTATATAAATGAAATGAATAAATTCAAAAAAGATATTCAAGAGGCTTTAGAACATAAACGACATCAATTGTCAAGAATTGAAACAAAATTAAGTAAATTAAAACAATTATACATTGGCACATCTAACGAGCACAATAGACTTAAAAAAACATTTTCAGAAAGGACGCAAATTAAAAAAGATCTCGAAAATAGGCTGGAACTATTAAATGAAACAATTAAGAAAAAATATTGGGCTAATACGGCGAGATTATCTTTAGCTCAACAAATAGAGCTTGCAAACCAAGAGATTTTGTCGTGGAGATATCGTTTACAACGCCATTCAATATTGCTAAATGATACTAGGAGAAAGTTATTTAATGAACTACAAGATATAAAAGGGAATATACGAGTATTTTGTAGAATTCGACCTCCAACAATTTCTGAACAGGATTCTTGTATCAAATATGATATTTCAGAGGATGCATCCACAATTACTATAAAAAACTCAACCCCGAGAGGTATAAGCCTTTTAACATTTAAATTTGACTATATTTTCTCATCAATTTCAACTCAATCTGAAGTATTTGAAGAAGTTTCACAGCTTATTCAATCTGCTTTAGATGGTTATAATGTTTCTTTGTTTTCATATGGGCAAACTGGAAGCGGAAAAACTTTCACTATGATGGGCGGAAAGGACGAAAACGAGTATGGAATGATTCCTAGAGCTCTTAATTTAATTTTTGAAAGCATTGATAGGAATATTGAAAAGGGGTGGTCATATCACATCGAATATTCTGCAATTGAAGTTTACAACGAAACTATACGTGACCTGACTACGACTAAACAAAAAAATTCGGAAGTAAAAATAGATCAATTTGGGTCTGCAACAATTGTTGGTATAAATTCAATCAAAGTCGGCGGCATTAATGATATAAATAACTTACTTAAAATAGCACAAAAAAACCGATCGGAAGCATCAACAGATTGTAATGAAAGAAGCTCAAGATCACACAGTATTATTCAATTAAAAATATCTGGAAAACATGGTAAGGGAACAGATACACCAAATAATGACTCAAGAAATATAAACTCAACACTTTCATTAATTGACTTGGCCGGATCAGAAAGAGCTAGCAAAAGTGGTGTTACAGGAGAGAGAATGAAGGAAACTCAATTCATTAATAAGTCCTTAAGTGCACTAGGAGATGTAATTCAATCTATAAATTTAGAAAAGGATCATATACCTTTTAGAAACAGCAAACTAACAATGATTCTTAAAAATTCACTCGGAGGGAATAGTAAGGCTGCCATGTTAGTTCATATCTCACCCTCCTTGAATTCCATAAATGAGACTATTAGCTCGCTAAGATTTGCATCAAAAGTTCAAAACTGTATAACAAATCGTAACAAAGAAAAAAACTGATTAAGCGCCAGCTATGGGCGCCCATAGGCGGTAAAACATTTTTTTTCCAAATGGATCATTTGGCACATTTTTGGGGAAAAGCAACCCAACATGTTTCAATGTTTAGATCAGGCCCATATTCTCAAAATATTACAAGCACGAATGGTAGTAGACTCATTTTGAATCCGAATCACCAAAAATGCTTAGTTAAATATCAAAACACATCTAAAAATCCATGTAAACATGTATTTTCAACTGCTGTAGATGATTACTTTACTGAAACATATATTTCCAGGACACTTTACCTTTGTAAACTACCATATGATATGACTGAAGATTCAGTTAGAGAGCTTTGTGAACCATTTGGCGATCTAAAGAAAGTTGCAGTTTATCCTCACAAAGGAATTGCATTTGTAGAGTATTTCGATATAAGAAAAGCTGAAGGCGCCAGAAATACATTGAAAAGTTCCTTAGTTCAAGGGAGAATAATTGGTGCACAGTATTCTAGAGGTAGAGATAATAAACCCTCAAAAGATACTAATACAGGAACCTTGTATATTAAGCCGATTATAAATGATAAAACTGCTATAGATCCGAATACAGAAGATGATTATAAACAGTTGTTTTGCGCCTATGGAGAAGTTAAAAAGGTTAGTAGCAATAGAAAGCGAGAATCAGAGAAATTTATAGAATTTTATGATATTAGAGGTGCGGAAGCGTCCCAAAAAGCTCTCAATGGATATGATTTTAATGGCGTAATTTTAGAGATCCAGTTTGCAAATACTCATAGTAGAACATTAAACTCTGACTTTCAAACTATCTTAAGTGGCCAGGGCTCGAGCATGAAGAATCAATCCCTTCGTATTCCAAACGAAGTAAAGCATAAGCGGCAATTGTCATTTAATACAAAAAAGAAAAATAGGCTTAAGAAATGTGGTACTTCCGAGATGTTTAAAAGGCTAGTTGCAAGAAATGTTTCAGATTGTGAATTATATTCCGAATTTTCAAAACAGCATTTAAGTCGTAATAGAATAAACAACCATTCGGATTTTAGTTTATCATGTCCATTGCCGGTCCCTACTCAAGTAACAGGCAACTCGGGTGAATTTAATAAATTTATACCGATTACAAAACATCCAAGTGACGATTCCACAAGAACAGGAAATATTGCTGAGTCTTTAAAAATATTATTATCGACATTTAAGCCTCCAATAACTGATATTGAACGTGATAATTCCAATAATAGTGCTTTTAGTTATTAAATATTTATATTTCCCAATTCTCGAATGAATACTTGAATGCTTACTGTACAACTGTTGTTTAGATTAGAATTCACTATTTAGTATTGGGCAAAACTAATTATTCGGACCATTTTTTAGATTAGTATTATCTATAAATGGATCGATAACAATACAAATAGGTGTTTTTAAGCTATTGGTGATTAATATTATTGATCTAAAAATATCCTATAGTTAGCTCAAAAGGAAAAATCTCCATATTTAAACTTATTTCTTAAATTTGGGATTAATAACTAATAATGAAGATAATTGTTGATATATCTAGTTCAATATTAAATAACGATGGAATGGCAGTGTAATCACGCGAGATTGTTAAACCACTCTCAATACAACGATCAACAAAGTATTGAATAGTCTGTTCATTTCTTATTGTATTCACAGAGATAGCATATGCTGAAATTGAGTTAAAATCAGCTTCTTGAAGCTCATTCCACTTAACTGATTTATTACTAGAGTCTTTAGAAACAAATTTTTTGGGATAAAAACCAAATTTTTTTTCGTAAGAAGATGACAGCAAAAACTGAAGAGTTTTAACAAATAAAAAAGTCAATTCATTGTCATAAATCACGTCGGATGAAATAATGATAGGGTTCATTAGGGGCTTAATTATTTTCTTTGCAATATTTATATTAGTAGTTTCCCAGTCAAGACACATTACCCTTGCGCATCTTTTAGTAGAAGAAGATTGGGTTGATTCTTCCGATTCTGAGTTTAGTGAAATACCATTAATCTCAAAGTTATACTTTAGGTTGCTAATAATTGTTGGATCGTAATCAGTAGAATATACACTTTTTATCGGCAAAACCGAAAATGGTATAATACTAGAAATGCCAATTCCACTACCAAGTTCAATGATGTCGGAATTAGCAACGTTCCTTTCAAGTTTTGAAGAATGAACTAACCATTCAACGAGACGATATGCAGCAGACCAAGGCCTCATTCCAACCAAATTACACTCTTTAAAACCAAATACAAAATTTCTAAAATTGCCTAAATTTGAGTTGTGCTGGTCAATAATAGATAGATTATTGGGGAGTGTTAATACAATATGAGAAGGCAGATTATATTGAATCGAACCCATTAATTGAGACAAATAAATATACAATTCATCGGAAACTTCGCCACCATCACTTTCAATACTCTTTATTATTTCACATATTATACTTTTTTGATATATTAAAGAAAGTGGGTATTTCTTTAAAATTTCACAGTTTAGGATATCTTTCACCAAATCTACTTGAAGGGCAGAATTTTTAAACAAACCTATATGTTCACAAATAGAAATAATGGTTTTTTTGGGTTGCAATGAGAATAATGCTATCTTTAGTTTATTCATTCATTTAATGTAAATTAAATTTCATTTTGCGGTATTTAATCAAGAAGAATAATCAATTAGATGTCTTGGAGAGAAATGGAACAAACTTTGCAAAACAAAGGCTTGAGCAAGTAGTGAATCAATATCTCTTTCTGTCCAATTTTTTGTAGGAGAATTTTGTAAGAATAACATGATTTCTGAAAAATCCATATTTTTAAGTTCCTTTTCCCAATGTAATAGGAATGCTGCACATACATATGCGTGAAATGCATTAAAGTGTGAAATTACGCTATTTCCGGTAGAAAGCTTATCCAATGATGTGATTGAACTTGATCTTAGTGGCTTATTTGTTTTATTTAGAGTGTTTTCTGCAATATATGTATCCCAAAGCCTTACAACGCATTTAATCGGGAATTCTCTGGTTAATAAACAGTTCATCCATCTGAATGAAAATTGTAGAAAATCAACACCTTGTTCCTTCAAGTGTTGAAATAGAGGTTTATTAGTCCTTTTTATAATATCTTGTAGATGTACAATAAGTTTGTGTATTCCTGGTTGTTCCGTAACATAATTCTCTTGAAGTGTATCTAGCATTCTTGTCAAGCACCAATATATTTCAGCCTCAATTTCAAGCATCCTCTCAGAAGATATTTTCCCAATATCTAAGAGCCCAATATCGTTTTTTGGACAGAATGGAAGTAAAAATACTACAAGAAAAGGAGGTATTAAATCGTTAATTCCCTGGACATATCCACTAGCAGGATTTCGAATTGCCCAAAGAAATAATACTCTTTCCATTAAATCAAGAATGACTTGATTCCTTAAAGATTCGTATTCAATTGAGGTCCTGGGTAGATCTACTCTAATTTGTCTTAATATCTTTTTTTCTTGCTCAGAATAATTATCGTGATCAATGTGTTCTTTTAAAAGCAATCTATATTCGCTTATTTTTTTCAGCTTATACGAACTCTTTCGATCCTTCCTTGGTGGTAGGTATCCCAACATTATCTGCCAGGCATCTCTTCTTAACTCTGGCGGAGAACCTTTTGGAACGCCGGACCAAAGTAGATCTTGCAAAAGTTTGAGATCAATACATTCTTGATTCAAAACAGATAGAAAACGGCCCTCCTTTGTAGGTTCAGTTGAATTCAGAGGAACATCAAGAGACATTAACCCATAATAATGTTATTTGAATGTGAAATAATATAAAGCGCAAATAAAAAGCGCACAAAAGGAAAAAAAAAGTTTATAAGGAAAAATTTAGGCTAATTATTAACAACCCTACGATGCTGACATTTACAGCACTCATACATAACTGTGGTACCCTCATCTGCTGATCTAGCTTGAAATTGAGTGAAGAATGCCTCGTTGTGTGAACATTCAGGACAAATTTCCTGGATTTTAGGGGCCTTCTTTTTATGCATAGCATCTAAGACCCTCATTACACTATTAGATTTGCTTAACTTGTCATCCAATTCCTTTTCTATTCTTTTCCCAAAATTATTAGACTTTGCCCACCACTTAATACTAGTTCCAAAACACAATGACTTTCTGATACCTGATATATAAATACGTTTTTTATCAATAGAACTGCTGTAAAAAGTAGTATTAATTGAAGAATCTGAAACATTCTGGTCATGTAATTTCAAAAACTGATGATTGCATATTTTGCATCTCAAATAATAGCTTCTAGACATCACATAAGTGCTAGTTACATATTTGTTCTCAAAACCATCTAATAAAAATAAAAAATCGTATGAATTACCACAATTTGGGCAACCGCCATATAATCGGCTGTTAAAATTGTCACCTTTAGAAAAACTAAATTGGAACTTTGGAAAATTGGAATTTCGTTGTTTAGTAGTGTTAATATCTAAATCAATTAATTTTGCTCATTATATCTACTAGTCAACTTACTCTCTGTGTAAATAAATGACTGCATCAAGTCCTTAATAATGTATGGCTCAATATTAGTTAGCTCAACAGATATTCCATCCTTTCCTATGTTCTTAAACTGCATAGAAATATATAGACCCAATTTCGAATACCTTATAACTTACCAGTTCTGAAGAGATTTTCTTTTTTTTATGAATATTGGAAAACATTTTTAAAAAGTAATAAATGGTTAAATTCTACGCGCGCTAAGTGGTCACTTCTTTTTGAATTAATAATTGGCTAAAATAAATGGTTTTATTAAATTTTTGAAGTCTAATGGTAAACATAACACCTTAAGATTGGTATTTATAATATTTCATTAATTATTTTTACACAAATTTCGAAAAAATTAAAAATTAATAACTTAAAATATTTTAACAATTTAATTATCTCTTTTGTTCATTTTGATTTATAAATACTGTTGAATATGAACAATCTGTTTAATTTATTTTTGTAAATATCCATTTTTTATTCTTTAACTTTTTATTCTTCAGATCTCTACACTTGGCGCCAGATTTACCGCAACTTTTTGGTAATTTATTATCTGAGTACATTACTTGCTTAATTTATAAGAATGGCAAGAACTAAACAGACAGCAAGAAAATCTACGGGAGGTAAAGCACCTCGTAAACAATTGGCTTCTAAGGGTGCAAGGAAGTCGGCCCCTGTTACTGGAGGAGTAAAAAAGCCTCGCCGTTATAGACCAGGGACTGTCGCACTGAGAGAAATTCGTCGCTTTCAGCGTTCGACTGAATTGCTAATTAGAAAGCTTCCATTTCAGAGATTGGTGCGAGAAATTGCACAGGATTTCAAAACTGACTTACGATTTCAGTCTCAGGCTGTAATGGCACTACAGGAAGCAGCTGAGGCATATTTAGTTGGACTTTTTGAAGATACAAACTTATGTGCCATACACGCTCACCGTGTAACAATTATGCCAAAAGACATTCAACTAGCAAGGAGAATTAGGGGCGAAAGGTAGTTGGAATCTAAGTCTTAACTAATACAAAGTATTGGACTAACGGTTGAAATAAACGGGTGGCACTAGCTACCATAAATTACAAGAGAAATAGTTTTAGTTTAACTGCCTATCCTAATAAAAGTTGATTCTAGTAAGGTCTAATCCATATTTTCATCTTCTATTTGTGCTTCAGATATTTCTACGACGAATGAACTCAAATCCTCCGTCTTTTCTGAAATGATAGGAGTCGTCCCAATAGGGAATGAAATGGGTTTTGGCTGACGGTAGATTCTTTCACTAGCATCTGTATCGAAATGTCTAAAATGTTTGACAGAATTGCTTTTGATGACGAGAATATTCACGTTACTTCCGCTATAGAGATCATTATAGATCCCTGCCCTGATCGCTGCTGAAACTAATTCTACACACTCATTCTCTGTTAGGCCATCTCTATATCTTGCTTCCAATATCGATCTCGCACACAGTGAACCGCTCCCCATGGACGTGAAAGGCAACTGCATAATACAACCATTTGCTGAAACTTGAAATACATAATTTCCGGTAGAATCAGACCCTGCAACTATTAAATGGGCACCAACATAACCTTGATATTTATATAAGTGATTACTAAGCATAGAAACTGCATTCGCCACTCTGGGTTTTCGATTCATTTGTAGTTTCTGTAACTCTAGATTCCCTTCAATAAGAGAAGTCACATGATCAAGGTCAGCAGCCGTTCCTGCCCCAGCAGCAAAGATATTGTCTGAAAGCCGATGTATCTTGTCACAATCCTTATCTGCAACTATAGGGCCATTGGTTGCTCTAGTATCTGCGCCAAGAACTACGCAATCATTACAAGCAACCCCCACGATTGTGGTGCCAGTCTTAACCATTGTCAATTCATTTGTATCACATATGGAAGGGCCAGTTCCAATATGATTGTCAAATAAGAACCCATTGGTTGATCTTTCGAAGAAATAAGTATTTAAGTAGGTATTCATTTTAATTCGGCTTTTTTGTTTGTAATAAATTAGAAATTTTATTATGAGGGTATATACATAAAGCGCCAATAAATAACTAGTTACAAACAGTGTGTAAGGATTTCAAGATGATTGGATGAATAATACCTAAACTAACGCATTCCAAATATTTTGAGCTCGACTTCTTTTTTTCGCCATTTATCTGGTATGAAATTGCAAGGAGCAGACTTATTAAATACACGATATTGGCCGAATCATATATATTACTGCACCTTTCGAGTATTGAAATTACCTCAAGTATACGGGGCCTGAAAACTATCTCTTCGCAATATAGTATTGACCAGACAATTGAACAACTCATATTTATTTCTAAAATATATTTCAAGTGACTATTCTGAATAATATTGGTATTGTATTTTTCCAATGCTTTTCTAAATGTTTTTTCTGACTCACCATATTTTTTTTGATAAAATTGTAAAACTCCATATTCATTCAGCACTATAGGATTATCGGGGAATTGTGCTATAGAACTTCTAATATTGAGCATTGCCATGTTATAATTATTGCTTTTCAAGTATTCTACACCTTTATATAGAGTTCCATAACAGCTTCCTTTCCATTGATCTTGAATATGGGAGTAAACGATAATTGCTTGCGTGCTATTATTATTTAGTGAAAGTGAATGTGCAAGTAATAGATGAGCTTCGTAAAACCCAGGCTCAATTTCTATTACTTTTCTAAAAAGATGTGCAGACTTTGAATATATTGATTGTTTGTAATAGTAACACCCCATTGTAAAAATGGAAAGTGGAGATGAAGGTATTTTTTCATCAAGAACATTTGAAACTGTCAAAATGTACCCAGAGTCATAAATTGTTGAAATCATTTGCATGATAATGTAAATTTCACAGTCTAAATGACTAGATACATCAAAAATATGTGTTTTTAGTGAATTAATACTAATCTTGTTAAAATTAACCATTGAGTAAATCTTATCTTTTAAAAATATCATCTTTTTAGAATAAATAGGTATAGTCATCAAAAATTTATTTAAGGGGATTTTTGAGTTTAAAGAATATAAATTTGTGTCTTCCTTAAAATTATTATTGAAATTATCTATCATTTGAGAGTAATTATGCATTATTCTGTACCAAACAACCGTTGAAATCCAAGAGTAACGTTTAGGAACAATATCCTTCCATTGTTTGAAAATTTCAATTTTTTCATTTACTGTATATTTATGTGAACAAAATACCACTTCTAAAGATACAACATTTATTGGATCATCATTTAATAATACACTTGTGTAAATTTTACTGCACTCATCAAACGAATTATTTAATTCATAAATTCGAGCTTTAACTAATAAAACTCGGATTCTCAATTGTTTTAGAAACAGTTTTTTTTTATTATCTGCCTCTACACTCAGTGCATGCTTAATTTTTTCCAATATCAAATTTGATGTTTCAATACTATTTAAATATTTCCCCATGAGAAACTCGCTTTCTGATCTATATGTTAAAAGTTTTAGTTTGCTTGAGCAATAATTATTACCTTCAATAAAGATATTCTGCGTAATTCTAATAATAGCGGAATAATCTGCCAAATAAAATAAGCATTCACACCATCTTAAAATGTCGCAAGTATCCAATGGTTTGATGAGTTGCAATATTGTACAATATTTTTCGCCCCTTCTCCAATTCCTAATTTCGATTGATCGATCTATTAGCAACCTAAAATATTCCGATAGTTGCAAGTTGAAAAAGAATTTAGGGTGGCTTTGAGAACTTGCTTCGATTATATTAACTTTATGCAATTCGATGCTCATATCAGCTTTAGCTATGTATTTTAATTCACACAAGTAGCAAATTGGCGCTCCTATTTGGATTGAAAAAAAAAATTAAAAAAAAATAAGTGAATATGACAAATAATATATTTCAAACAAGAAGTTGGAATGACCATTTAAATAATCAAAATATATTAAAAGGGAAGTTTAGTTCAAATGAAAGAGATATAATTAATAATTCGGTAAAAGAATACATTAAGTCTCAACACTGGAATTGGGATGAAGGATTAGATAATTTATTCTCAACTAGAGGACGAAAAAAAGATAGGCATTGGCCAATTATTGGAGAATCTCTACCAAACAGGTCTCTTCAATCAATATATTACTGTGCAAAAAGGATGTTAATGCGAGGAAAAAAAGGAAAGTGGACAAGAGAAGAAGAGCAAGAACTTATTAAACTTGTTAATGAGCATGGAAAGAAGTGGAGCATGTTTGTAGAATTTATTGGAAGATCAGCTGCCTCTATTAGGGATAAATGGCGTGATTTACATACAAAAGTCGGTGAAAACAACCTTGATGATTCAAGATGCAGTTTAAACAGTAATTCCCAGCATGAAAAACTGCTTAAATCAAAAATGCCATTCGTTATTGATGTGTTTGTACTTTATTGCATCGAACATTATACAGGTAAATTTCTTCCGTTCAAAGGGATTTCATGGAAGGCAATTATTGAGTCTTTTTGTTCTCCTAATTTTCCTAAAGAATATATTAGTTTTTGGAAAAAATGTTGCAGAAAAATAAATAAAAAGTTGGGTGTTCATCTTCAACCCATTAATGGAGTAGATCTATCAAATTATTATGGAAAAATAAGTCAAGGTCAAATACGCCTAAGATATGTTTCCTCTCTCTATCCAAAGCTTAAATCTATTCAAGGCGAGCAGACCCGTTCTCTCATTTCGAATACGTTTTCTCAAGCTGTAAAGTATCTTTATGAAACTAGATACAATTATTCACATATCGATGAAATTAAATATAACGATTGGCCGAAGCTCCTTTCTGCACATATCCCTCTTACAACTCTCTGGTCAAGAATCAGATTGGCATTAACTAGAATTACAAAAAAAAATATGCACATTTCTGATAGAATTTCTATATTATATGAGCGGCTTAGAAATAAACAATTGCAATGCCAGGATTTAGACTCAATTGATTCCACAGACTCAAAATTCCTTTTAGAAGATGAAGGAGATTATGCTAATGAAAATATTGATCAGTGTTCTTATTTTCATGTAGATACTAAAAGACTACGTAAAATTGTTGTTAAACTATTGAGAACTCAATCAAAGCGTGAGAAAAGATCGAAAAATACGAGTAGATTACAGAAAGAGTATAGCTCACTACAACAGGTATTTCATTCAGAGGGTTATATTACTTAATCATTGTTTATTTCAAAAAGCGAAAATAAACGACCCCGATGGGACTCGAACCCACAACCTTTGGTTCCGAAGACCAACGTCATATCCATTAGACGACGAGGCCGCGTCTCCATCGCCGTCTGTTTACAAAGGTATAGTTATTTGTGATGGCACAATATTACAAGAGCAACAACTTTTTGGTATTAAACCATCACAACCGTTCTTATATTGGCAATATACTAGACTATCTAGTCCAATCTCTCAAAAAATTCGTTTAGTAGTTCCAAACCCAATGTATGGCTTGGTTGCAATTTCCTATTGTTATCATAGAAACTTGAGTAGTAAATTACCAACTTCTAATTTTTTTTTTTTTCTACAAAGTACTTGCGCGTAGTGAAAAATTAACAATTGAGGGGAAAATGAGTAAAGAACTAATGATTCCACGAGAATGCTTTGAAATAACATCTGAACAGAAATTCACCAATTATGCCGCAGGTGAGAACTTCGATAGTATTAAAAGTGAAGACTGGGTAATTGTTTCAGGATTTCCAAGACATTTGATAAGTCTAATTAGACCAAAGCTAGAATATGAAATTGGGCCAATAGATTATTGGATAAATGGATATGCAAAGGAAGGGCATGATGTATATTTTGTGAGCTTTAGAAATAATAAAATACTACAGAAATCACTACAATTTAATGAGACAATAATTTTTGGAAATTTAATTGCAATCTCTCCATGCTTCAATAATATTTCTGCAAAAATAAGCAAAATTCAAGAAATGAGTATCCCAAAAGAAGAATATTACAACCAATCAAACATAAAAGTTCAGATGTGTTAGTTCTTTTCAATCAGACTCTTTATAGCTAAGTAATCATTGCAATATCCCTTAATCTCGTCCAAAAGATGTTCAATATTTTCCTCTATTGTATCTGATCTCTTCATATCTTTTTTGACGTTTTCCAAAAGAATCTCCTGAAAATTGTGTTTCTCAATGATTTTATCGTAACTTATTACTTTTCCCAAATTTACTCCGCCATAATTAGCACCGTTTTTTGATGAAAGAATTCGATCTTCAAAAAATGTTAGTGAAATAAATAACAAATCTTCAATCTGTTTAAAATTCAATTTGTCAAGTTGATCTTTTGGAGTGCTGATTAGTGTATTCTGTAGTTCCATTAGATATAAACTCCATATGTTTAGTATAGTAAATAACTGAAATCTGATAAAAACGTTTTGCTCAAGCCTATTAAGTTCAGCCAATTCGTTGTTATCACAAATATCACTTTCAACTCCATGCTTAATTCCAACAATTTTGTTGATTAAATCGCCAGGTCTATACTCATCCCAATGTTCAGGTTTTTGCCTACCACGAAATAATACAAATGTTGGAGTTGCTCTTACTGTGGGTGAAAGTTCGTGCAAATCATTTCTTTCAATGTTATACCTAGCAAATTGTATTTTTGTTGAGTTTCTCAGCTTGTTCGCTAATGAATTGATCAATGGTCTAATAAGAAAACACATTAAGCAGTAATCATCATAGTACATAAGCAATAATGGGTTGTTTTTATCACTTGCATTTATTACATCATTTTCAAAAGTATTATAGGATATGTTCTTGACAACTGATGAATGATTATTTAATATATTCTCTGATTTGGGAATAAAGAATGATTTTATTTTTTCAATAGAATCATAGCTCCTAAAATTTAAATCAATATTAGAAACTATGTTACCATATCCCTTATAAAGGCTAACATTGGGTACACTTTTACTGCAAAAATCTTCCTCAACATAATAGATTTTAATATCCAATTTATTCAATTCTTCACTCTTAATTTGCCTAATTAATTCTTTAATAAAAGCATTTCTATTAACTTTAGTCCCTTTCATTACATTTATAACTATCATGTTCTTAGATATTGAACTTAAAAATTTAATTTCATGTTCAGATATCCCCTTTATACTCAATTTTTTGTTTGTATTTTGATAACAATATCCGGCGAATAAGGCAATAGATGTAGAAATGGAAAAAACTGCATAACGGAGGCGAAAGCAATATTTATTTCTAAATGAATCCAACCAATTTCTATTAAGTGCGTTATTTGTGAAGTATTTTTCTTTAAGTATTCTCCTAACTGGGTTAAAAAGCATAATAAACTTTCTTTTATCAAAAAACATCCTTTAAATAAAGTCGCGGTTTGATTAGTTGAAAATTATAGGTCAAGATTTAAATAAATTAATAAAAATCAATAATTCCTTGGAATTTTTATAAAACTTAATTAAGATACTAAAAAATTGATCAGTGAACTATATTTATCCTTAAGTAATTGTAATCATATAAAACTAAGATTTTGGATAAGTCGTTTTTTCTGAATTTGAATCGGCATTTAGTTTTTTACAATTGCAGCAACTAATATTTGGTATTTTGTTGTTAGTAGCTTCAATAATATTTTTAATGTCCTCATTAAGTCCTGCTATTTTAAATAATTGAATAATGTCAACGTCTATTCCAAACCTAACTCTCCATAATTCACTTATTTCAATTATATTCGGGTATTTATTATTATTGTGTTTTATTTTGAATTGACTAATTATTTCAATTAATATAACCTTTAAAATATGTTCTAACAGTTTGTTTCTATTCAAAGAAGAATTGTTTTGCACCTTATAATTGCCGTTTGTTTGTAGGCAATCTTTAAAACCTCCATTTTCCTTTCTATATATGGATTTTTCGTCAAACCCTAAGTACCATTCTTCCGTCTTTAACGATTTTAGAGAGCTTTTAGATATACATGCTTCTGTAAAAATTGGAATACTATATAGGTATTTTCTAATTGCAAGCATTAAATCTCTTTTTAGTGGAGACTGAATACTTCCACAAGTATTTTTCTTATCTGTTCCATTTAAATAAATTTCGTTTGTCAATCTAGAACATCTAGATAATAAAATTAATTTTTGGTGTAGCCTGTATTGATCAGAATTTTCTATATTATAATTTTTTTTTTCAAGTAGGCTTACGAGCATATACTCCAATTTATTACAGCAATTTGGAATCTCTTCTTTATTAAATATTTCCAACACTTCAACAACATCTTGAAAATTCCGGTTGTGAAGTGCTTCAACAATATTCCAGTTTTGGTTCCTAATATATTTGAACAATAGTTGCTTCGTGTGAATTCCGTGAACAGCAATCCATGAATACTTAACTTTATAATTGAAAAAAGTTATTGCAAAAGGTTTGAATGATATAATTTCGGTAACTTCATCTAAAGTAATAGGACCGCATATGCGAATAAGTGACCACCCTGAAATTGTGGCAGCCGGAATTCCTTGAATTTCAAAGAACCATGCTGCCATAGTAGCAGTATAAGGATCGGTATAATACAACAAAAGAAAACCTTTATTTAAAATGTCAAGCCTAGATGGTGTGTAGCCACTTGAAAAAATAATACTTGACAGGTCAATAGTAATGCTAAGATAGTTTATTGCAACCAAGCTTGATTTTAATTGCTGAGAAGCTTCACTTCTTGTATTAGTGGGAGTTATACTCTTTCTAAGAGAGGGTTTCATTTAGACAAAAAATTATGAAAGATCTAACTAATATAACATTTATAGATATATTCTATAGGTCGGTATCCAATTTGTTCTCCCCAGTTCAATCATTATAGCTAATATTGTCTTCTCGTATTAGAGAAATATTGCGCTAATATTTTTTGCATTTTTTTGCGAGTTTATAAATCCACCTTTCAAGTAATTTATTAGAATATTTACATAACTTAACACCACACATTGGGTTTTCAAGCGGAGTATCTAAATTTAATTCAATTGAGTGTTTCCAAATTTCTAAAAATGACTCTCTTAGTAATTTCAATGCATTCAGCTCATTGCTACTCAAGAAGCAATCCTCTTTATTATTAATAGGTTTGAAACTAATAGATATACTTTTTAGTTCCAGGCCAAAATTGTAATAATTAGCATCGTTAGATAGACTTGTTTCATTAATTGAAAATGTAATGTTTTCACTACTAAGCTCCTTAATAAAAATCATTTCTGGATTATCCCTTTGTATATTGGCAATTTGTTGCATTAAAGTATGAAAAATTGACCTGTCAATTAGTGTCCAGTGAATTTTATGAAGAATTGAATGTATTTGTTTAGCTAGTGTGCTTTTTATGCAAATTGGGAAATCAACTTTTGGTGTTGTACTGTAAGTGTTATTTTTAGCTGGTGATCTATTTGGAATGATTTTAACATAAAGTTGATAATTATTATTTATTAAATAAGAAGTAAATTCTGGAAGTTTTATTGAAACATGAAGATTGCATTTTCCATTATAAGAAATAAACTCATTCTTATTATTGAAAAATAAATTGACTAAAACATCACTAAATAAATTATCATGATCGATCCGTGCCATAGGTCTTGATGTAAAACTTTCCTTTTGCTTGAATATATTTTTTAGAGGTAATTGCAGACATACTACGCTTGACAATATATTTTCGTGACTATAGAAGCATTGGGTTTCACTATTGGTCTGTGAATACATAGTAATTTTCCAAATAGGTAATAACTCATTTAATGTACTTAACGCACCTTTGTGAGTAATAATACGGTCTGGTATTCTTAGAATTTCATTGTTTATTTTTTCAATAAAAGGTTTTAGCATACATAACCTTTTATATATTGAAATTAGTAATTCGTTTTTTGATGCCTCGTTTATTCGAAATGATCTTGCATTTAGAGTCTCACTAGTTGAAGCCATGCTATATGATTGTGAAATATTAATATATTGTATATTATCAGAATAATTTTTTTGTATGCAAAAAATTATATTTGTTAGACTATCTAAATTCTTTAATACATTAACATATTGTTTGTTTATTAAATCCCATTTTTCATTATTTAAGTAATTCCTCACCTCTATTTTCATATTTTCTATTTCTCTATTAGATGTTGAAATGTAAAACTTTTCTGCATTTGATGTGAAACTGCCTACCTCATCTGAAAATAAGGGCAAGCCATCATTTAATATTCGCTCAATCCTCGAAGAGTTGTTTCTTAAAGATGGTTCGGCACCGATTCTCAGATTGTTTATTTTTTTGCAAATTAAATCTTGGTTCATTTGACTCAAATAAAAACAGTTTGCGGTAAGCTGGACAAAGGAATAAGAGGGGATCATGCAGAAATAATTATAATAAAAATAAAAGTAACACTAAACTTGAGCCTAAAATTTGTTCTAAACTAATAATCATCAGATTCATCAAGGGAATCTATTCCATCAAATATGTCAAGTTCCTCCCTGAAGTTTTTGGAAAGAGTACTGAAATCGTTAGGTTTTTTTTTTTGCTGAGACTTTTCTCTTTCTTCCTTTTCTCTAGTTAATAACTGTGCGTCAACTTTTTTTTTCAAAGTTTTTAAGTCCTTTAAGTCCAATTTTTGAAAAATCTCATTTAAACAAATATCAACGAATCGAAGCCAAGCTGGGCTTTTAGCCAATGCTGGTTTGATACATTCTGCAATTTTAAATGCAGTACTTTCAACCTTCGCATAAGAATTTAAATTCAAATTACTAAGTGCATCCTGCTGATTACTTAAGTTCGAGATTGTATGAGATGAATTGTTTCCCGGAAGTTTACCGGTAGCTTTGCGTACTTCTACAAAACCATCAAATAGATCGTCCATTACGTTTCCATCCATTTCTTCAACGAGTTCTTGGCACCTTCTTTGTTCTTCATAATCACTTAAACGCTTGTTTGAAGTTGAAGATGCAGAAATTTTATTCGAATTTGTCGGATATTCAGAATTATTATTAAAAGAATCTTCATTATCACTATTTAACAAATCCTCCCAGTTATCAACAACTGGTATATCCTTGGTTTGAGTCATCAAATCAGATTCTTTAATAAAATTAGATATTTTATTATTAATTGAAGAATAACTTACCCCAGTTCTCCATTTTGTATTAAATCATTATTTTTGCTGTAGACGTGGGCATTTATTCAAAAAAAAAAAATATATATTTTAAAAAATCATATTTTTGAAAACATTAGTGAACATTTTGTTGAGACCAATTGTAAATTTGCGGTCATAATTGATCAATTTTTTAAAAAATAGATTTAATCTTTTATTGGAATATTTTATTTGTCCTATATTTAGAAAATATTATTTCTAAAGTTAGTGTAGTTCCAGAAAATTGGTTCATAATTAATTGTTTCTTGCAATCTTGTATGTAAGAAAAATGTGTAGTTTTACTTTGAAAAATTAGGTGATTTGTGTATAAAGGTACCGGTGTCTAGTATTACAACTTTTTGGATTAAAATTTTTTTACAGTGCAATTAACAAGTTCGTAAAAATGCCAATGGATCAAGCGAATATTCCCGAAATTATTGCATTGGCAAATAAGTAGCTTCCAGTAGCTTAATTCTGAAGAGAAATATCATAAATGATTGAGATATCGGTATTTTGAATTTCAATGTTTTTAAATATATTTCAATTTGTTTGTCAAACAATTTACCTTGATGTACATAAATTGCGTCGTAATGCATAGTCTAACAAACAGAAAAAAGGTAATATGAAATTGCAAATGACCAAGAATTCTTATACGGGCTAATATGGCCACCAACGGATTTCCAAGCAAGTAATATACCTCAATAAATGCAAAACCCAAAAATAACAATAGTTATTCTTTTACAAAGCGTGTATGTCCATCAAAAAAAAAATATACGGAATCCTTAAACAAATTGTGTATTCGTTAATTTTTGCCAAAACTATCCTTAAAGTTGCTGAAAGTCCGTTGAGTTCAATTAACACTAAATTAGATTAAATATAATTTCAATAGAATAGTTGTAATTTACCTTTGAACAATGTTAATTTTTCGCTAGCAAACGGCTTGTTTTATTTCCTTCAACCCAAAAGCGGAAAATCATGAATTGAAAAAAAATGAATTATAAAAAATCTTTGAATCAAGTCGGTGATCTACAAAATTATTTATTACGCACCTTGTGCTTTAAGAAACTAATGATCTACCTGCAGATAATAAAATGAAGTTCAGTTTTAGGAATAATGGATTGGATGCAAATTATAAACTTCCAAACTTAAAAATAAAAAAAAAACCAAAAACCTTTAGGACTGTTGATTCTATACAACTTTATATGATTTTTAAAATTCATTTTGCATAGCTCTTTGTATCTTCTAAATACTCACTAAGTTACTTTTGGCGAAGAGTTTGAACAAATAAATTTGAAATATGGATAAATAAAACTCATTCCTTCTTCCAATTTTTAAAGTACATCACGGAATTCTTATTTGTTTGCTCATGTTTTTTTCTAATATATTTACGATATGCGGTTTGAATCCTAATTGCGCATGCTTCTAACACTAATTCAGGTCCATATTCCACAGACCATCTTTTGAATAAAATATTGTTCTTCTGCCTAAATACATTTTTTGTTGCAAATTCAATAAATTCATCACTGCTTTTATTTACAATTTTTGAAGAATCATTATCTTTTTTTTTATCTTTAACTTTTCTTTTATTTTGAAATTCTTTATCAATATTTGAGAATTGGGTTTTCAACATATTTACTGCGTTTTCTATTTCAATTCTTTTCTTTTCGTAAGATATTGAAGTAAAATTTGTATTTAGTTTTTGTAAAATTGGTTTGTTAATCGTTTCTGTATTATGTAGGCTAATATTTTCATTGATGGACTTTCTAACTATTAACTCTTTGTTTAATTCATTGTCGGGTGAGTATCTAAATATTCTAGATACATCTGATTTGATCAGAGAAAAGTAATGTTTCAGAGATTTAAACTTCTCAAATTTTCTTGTAATGACACTTTTATTTGCACATTCTTGATCAATTTCAAATAACCGTAATAGGTTATTTTCCGCAAAGTATCCCTTTATTATCCAGCTCATCATAACAATACTATTATATGGGCCTCTAATCACATTATTATCATCTAAATATTCCCATTGTAGAGGAACAAAATCATGAAGCTGTTCTTGAATATTTTTTTGATTAATTTCCAATTTCTGAACAGTACTTTTTTTTGAGGCATCGTAAGACAAAATACCTTTTTTATAAACATCTTTAACTTTTATGTTCTGATTAATATTTTTCATAATTAGAGGTTTGGAATTAAAAAAAATTCTTAGAATGCCAATTGTGCATTCTTCGCCTTTCTTCCTATATTCTTTAATAGCAAAAACATCATGGTCGGGAATTCTATGTATAAAATAAAATGAGTTTTTTGATAAGAGGTGATTTTCGGAAACTTTAATAACTACCTCGCCTACTTCAAACATCTCTGTTGATTCAATCGCTGTATTGTTCGTGGCCCAAATTGTGATTCTTAATTGAAGAACTGTTAATAAAAAATTTTCGAAACCAATTTTATTATATAAGTTATAAAACTGCTTGGCCATATTTGAAACCCATACAGGTAGCTTCAGATTGAAACATATATCTTGGTTTATAGCACATTCTTTAATAATACCATTTATTTCAGTGGAAAAGATATCATAAGTCGTTTGTATTGGAGTATCTGTGATTGTGTACCAGTTAGTAAGAAATTGAGTTTTCTCAAATTCGTCTGTGTCTGAATCATTATCATCGAAAATATGCTGCGTTTGCTTACTGAATTCCTGCAAACTGTTTTCTAAAGTAAACGATGGCTCAATATCAAAAGCAAGTGAAAAAAATCTGCAATCGATGCGATTATCATCACTAATCGTAACTTTTATGGAGCCTAGATATATAGATAATTCAATATAATAAATATTTTGATCTCTTGATAACTTGAATTCTCCAAACATTTTAATATTAATTAATAGATTTACTCAAGTTGTAAAAATGTTTGGCGCGACTAAGTAATATATATAATCAAGGAACTTAAGATTTGGGGCAATTTAACAAGAAAATCAGCTAACACAGCGTCTAAATCAATTTAGGGCAAATTTGTAAGAATAGATTATTTTTCTTCATCTATGTTTCATGCATGTGTAATGATAAAAAAATATATATATGGGCCGCGCCAGTAAGAGGCGGTTTTCTACTTATATTAGACATTTTGTGCTAAGACGTGATTTTTTTGTTTGTCTCAATTGGGCATAATTGGTCAATTTATAATTGATATTTGAAAGATGTCACTGCAAATGATGGATCAGGATTTTCAACACATCCTTCGTATTATGAATACGAATGTTGATGGGCGTCAAAAGATTATGTATGCTCTTACAGCTATCAAGGGTATAGGTAGACGCTTTTCTAATATTGTTTGTAAAAAGGCTGATGTGAATTTATCAAAAAGGGCAGGTCAATTGTCTCAGGAAGAAATAAACAGAATTGTAGCAATTGTTGCGAATCCTTTACAATTCAATATTCCCTCTTACATGCTCAATAGACAAAAGGATGTCAAGGATGGAAAATATAAGCATATTACTTCAAATAATTTAGAGGCTTCTCTACGTGAGGATTTGGAGCGTCTTAAGAAAATTAGAAGCCATAGAGGTCTTCGTCATCATTGGGGAGTTAGAGTTAGAGGTCAACATACTAAAACTACTGGTCGTGGTAGCAGGGCAGCTGCAGCTGCAAAAAAGAGGTAAAATCTACTCTACCCTAATATTTGTTAATGGGAATTTGTTTGAATATTTAATGACCATAAATAGCTTGATATTTACTCCAACACTACTATTTTAGTGTATTCTAATTATTTTATGCCTCACTTTGATTTTGGCTTATGTAATTTATTTCGCGTTTACACATTGCCCCTGTGAACCAGCAACTTACTCCCCATAATAATATTGGGGTAACTATAACGAATGTGACAATGTACCAAGCTATAGGGTCGTGTTCAATTCCGGTAAGAAGGTTCATACCGAATATTCCTTAGAAAATTAATTAATTTATTCTTGTTTTTTCTTCTCGTTCTTACCTGTAATTACTGAGGTAATGCTACATGATAGCGTAAGTAAAGAGATCTTTAGGTTTGTATACATATACTCATTTCTCTGGAAGTCTAGGTACAACTTCGATAATTCGTCGCTGAATGTTATTGAGGATTTAACTTCGGTTAATTCTTTGGATGCCAAGTATATGGCCGGGATATAACAATGTAGAATATCTTCCCACTCTTCGATGCAAATAACCAATTTATTTCCGTCATTGTTCCTATTTTGCTTGATCTCTTCCAAAATTTCCGTTAGGCAATCTATTAATATAGAAATGCTAATTTCTAATGTCTAAATAACGAAATTAGTATTTTATGTAATTTCAAGAAGAAAAACTTACGCTTACTGACTTAGATATCATTTTCTTATTAGTAAAGTCATTAAATGTAAACCTCCAAGGATACTTATACCATTTACTACTTTTTATTAATATATTAGAACTTTTTAATACTTCATTTTTTGTATAATTAATATTATCAATCAATTCTTTATTTAATATTTCTAATATGAGTTCAATGCATATAGCAGCGAAGGAATGGGAATAATAGTCTTTGTTGATTGACGGAATAAACCTATAATTGTAAATATCAATATTTTTTTCTTGTGGGGTGTTCGAAATGGAACATTCAATTGACCCCTGTCTTTTATCATCCTGAGAGTTATCTAGAGTATTTACATCTGTATATGTACTTAATGCTGAATTAGAGAGTGTATGATCTGTTTCATCAAAATTATTAACGCGAACGCATTCCAAAGTAGAGTTATAATTGCAATTTTCTACTAAAGGAGAAATGAATTCTTTGCTGATGCCATCTGCAAATGAAACTTTAGTACTGGGGGTATTATTATCAACTGAAATATTATACCCTGTACACTCTAACAACCTTTCAATAATCTCTATTGTCTTAATATGTTCAGGATTCAAAATCCACACATCTCTACATGCAATAATCACACTTGTGACAGACATTTTAATAATGATCTTTCCGCTGCATTTAATTATTGGTTTCAATCCACACAAATTCTGGTTAATAAATAAATACTCATCTATAGAAATATCAAGTAATTTACAACATTCTTTCCTAGTAACAAATATTTTCTTGGGTTTTTGGTTGTTTTGCGGATTAGGAATATGAAAAATTGATATTTTATCCATAATGTCTATGCAACCATATGGATTATAGTTTTCTTTCAAATCTCCATTTGAACAAAAGATATTGCATTCTGCCTTTTTCATACATGGGAACAATACATTTTTATTTATACTCATTTTTTCGTACAAATTCTCATTACTTATTTCGTGTAAGAGTTTATTAAGTCACAAAACTGTTGGAAAACTTACATATTCATTCGAAAATTCACATTCTTTTTAAAAAATCGCGATGAAAAAAAGGGGTCCAAAAACTTATTTACGTGTTAATTATTAATTGCACGTCACAATGCATTAGCGGTAGCCACTAATTTTTTTTTTATTTACGTGTTTTTCAAAGCTAAATTTAAATTTTCAGTGGAAATGTATATTTTAATTTAATAACACATAAACTAGATGAAAGATTTATCGTTGCTTTTTGATTAATAGTAAAATATACGCATTAATATTATATAGTTTGTAGATGAATTCTAGTAGTAGTCTATTAAAATACATTTGAGATATTTAACCTTTATGTTAAAACATTCAAAAAAAAAAAGAATAAAATACTCCACTATTTATTATTATTAACTTTTTTTGCGCGCAAGATTTATTTATCTAGAATAGAAATAAATTTCTATGTTAACTAATCAGGAGGAAATTGAAAATTCGCTTATTGGGACTCTACTTGGGGTTTCATTGTTTGATACTGACAATCCAATTGAAAACCCATTAACAAAACGAGTATTCTTGAGTGAATACAGAAACGAATTGTTAATTCAAGAAAAGAAAATAACATTTTTGTTTGATGATCTTGAAAATATCATTTTTCACAGATTGAAGATTTTTTTTTCAGCATCAGATAGTAAATCTAGAATTAAAGCATATCAGTTTTTAGTTGATTCATATAACAAATTTATTAACGAGAGCTCAGTGCCCAAGAAAATTGAAATTAATGATAGGATTTTGAAGCTTGCTCAATTTTTCCCTAAATATTGTGCATTAATAATTCAATGCCCTGAACTGTTTGAAATAGTAAGCAATACCAATGATTGTGCAATTTCAGATCTTTTCGAGATTTCGGTTCCGAATTCATTCTTTTCCACATTGGCACAAGAAATGGAGATGAATGATTCTAAGTTGTTTGCTTGCATTTTCACCGAGTATATTGAAAAACAAATTGGTATTCTCAAACAAAGAAAGTTTACAGACTTAAAACTTCACCCCATAAAAAATATTATTTTCCTTAGCCAATTCAAACAAACTGCATTCATTTTAACGCAAACTCCCTCCTTTATTAAATTCTCCATTGCAAATCAAGAAACAAAGGTTTCATCCGGCTTAATTCAACAGCAAGATTCTCTTTTGGGATGTATTATTAGCCCAAATCCAATAGATAAAGACTTCAAAACAAACGAAAACCCTACGCTTACCAAATATTTTTCTGGACTATTGTCTAAGACTCATACATATATTAACCAAAGTAAGGTGCTGATTAAGCAAGACCTTTCATTAGTATATGAACAATCAGTTTTAGTTATAAAAAATCTACTTAAGGCAAATACGGAATGTAGAAGAATGGTAATAAAATGGATGGGAATTATATGTACTTCAAATGAGAATAAATTAAAAATATACAATTCAATACCTGATTTATCAGTTTTCGGGAATACACAAAACTCAAGAGAAGTCCAAAACAACCTACGCTCTCTTATATTGAGAACTTCTGGTATTTTAACAAATGGGTTTTCAATTAATTATTTGCATATAGTATTGAGGTTATTACAGCCAGTGAAAATTGAAAAAGTTTCTGAGTTAGACTGTTTATTTCATGTTTATGGCCGATTTGACCAATTAAATGATGTTGGTGGTGAAATTCACGGCATTCTAGGTGATTTAGTGAATGATGCAACTTTAGGTGAGAAAGATCAAATTGAAATAGCCTTAAATCTAGCGAGAAGGAAATTGATTCATTTTAATGAAGGAGATCTCAAATATCAAGACTTTATCAAGTTTCCAACTCAGATATTCTGGATTTCATGTAAATCAATCAAGTGCTTTTTGCAGCCTGTATTATTGGAATATGAAAATATTCTAAATGATATCAATGAATATAGAAGCGGATTTACACCTGGACATAGGTATAAGAATGACCAACATCTTGAAAAATTAAGTGGCGAAGCCTTATTATTGGAATGTACAGTTTTCTACCAAAATACAATTTCCACATTTTGGCATTTTTTATCAGTATTTATTCATTTCATTTTCAGAACAATTTACTCTTTTGATGAAAATGGAGTTGAGAATTGCGATTGGAATATGTTACTGGCTTCTAAACAAGGCCGAATCACTTTGGCATTGAAGTCTATTGCTCTACCTAGAAAACCTTCACCTCAGTTTTCATCGTTACCTTCTAGTTTAATTGAAGATATATTATCAGTTACTGAACTAATGCTGAGGATAAAGGGGAATGATGAAATTTTTATTGGGGTTGATTTTGATTCGTACATTTCATTTATTGTTTTTATAATAAATAATGGAAGTTATTTTAGAAACCCTCATATTAGATGCCAAAGAGGTGTGGTTGGGTTACACTACCTTCTTCAGATTCATCAATTTAGGCATCGGATAGAGAGCAGTGATTTTACTGCAGAATATATTCTTCCAGCTTTAATTTCTCTTTTTAATGATGTGCAGAAGTCACCTTATTATGATCGGTTTTCGTTAAGACTACCTATTATAATGTTATTTGAATCTTTGTTAAAGATAGATTTGCACAGGAAAAGGCTACAAATATTTGTTAAACAAAGAGATGAGTCATTTACGAAGTTTATTCATTTACTTGTTTCCGATCTGAACTATCTACTTGAAGAAGGTCTTTCGATGCTGGCAGAAATTAAAAAGAGAGAGTCTAGGTCTAAACAAGCCCCTCTTGCTGCCGATAGTGGCAATGCCGAACCTGGTAGCTCCAACTCGGAGGCAAACAGTTTTACTCAGGAAGGAATAGAGAGTACAATTGAAGAAATGCCGGTCGAAAGGTTAGAGCATGCATGCAAAGGTTATATGCAACTTTCACATGCATCTGCGAGTTTATTGCAAAAAATTACTGAATATTACACTCATGAAATACTGGACTCTCCATTAATACTACCTCAAATAGTAACTTGTTTAAATTGTACACTTGATCGGTTAGTGGGGCCTAAGTGCTTGGAATTGAAAGTAAGTAATTTTGAGGTTTATAACTTTAACCCAAGACAGCTATTGGCTAACGTTTGTATGACATACGTCACTCTTGCATTTAATATCAAAGTTGAGGGCGAAGGAATAAAAAAAGATGTTTCTAAAATATTGATTTCAGAAGTAACGAATGAACAGAGGTATTTTAAGATTCCTACCTTTATAAAGGCGTACAAAATTGCTCGAAGAGAAGGTTTAATGAATAAAAGTAAATCCGAGGATTTTAATCAACTTATCAAGTGTTTACAGAAAGAGCTTGAAGAGAATGAAGCTGGACAAGGTATAGCTAATCTAGATGAAACAGACATACCAGAAGAGTTTCTGGATCCAATTATGCAAGATATTATGCAGGATCCTGTATTGCTACCTACATCTTCAAAAATAATGGATAGGAAAGTAATTGAGCGAATATTAATATCCGATGGTGTAGACCCATTCAATAGGCTTCCGCTTTCAAAGGATGAATTAATACCTCAAACATGCCTTAAAGAGAAAATAAAATTATTTTTAGAAAGCTTGAATGATTCATGATTTTCGGTTGAGTAATATATTGACAAAAAAAAGTTTCAGAGCAGATAATAGTTAATTTCGATCAATTTACTTAGATCATTTCTCAGAACGTTCCCGAAGGTATGATCATGACATTAAAAAAAATATAAATGAGATTTTAGTATTTCCCCTAAATTTTGATAATTTTTTTATATTTTTAGATGATTTACTCGTTTCTTAATCTTAACAATTACTCAGTATATATTTATGTAATTGTAACTACAAATATTAATAACTGATCTTAATCTTAATTTACGTTTGGCTTAGAACAATTTTGTGACTAGTTGGTTACTGGCCAATTTGTCTATTATTCAAACTCATTTTTAATTCATAACACATTTTCCAATAAAAAACCTGTGTAAAAATTTTCAATTTTAAATATTTTACACATTTTTCAAGGCATGCCGCATTGTTAAATTATTTCTTTTTAAAATGGATAATTATGACTATTTCAGAATCGGAGTCTATAAAGAACATTTCAGTCCCAGAGCATAAAGCTTATTGTTTTAATTCATGGCCTCTAGAGTACCGTCGAGTCAAACTTTACGAAGTAAATCCTGAAAATGGTAACTGGATTGATTGTGGAACTGGCTTTTTAAAATTAAATAAGGGTAATGATAAGTTTAATCTTGTGGTAAGCTTTTTGTAAAATTAAATATTTATTCCATTGACTTCCTTTAGGTTTTGAGTGATGAAGATCCAAATTTTGGGAAAGAAATCCACTCACAAAGAAAGAACACTGGCGATTTACTTGAAATTGATAACATAGTTAAGTTAGTAAACACCCCCATTGATTTAAATCGCGAATATTGCCACCAGAAGGAGAGTATTATTACTTGGCAGGATGGGCTAAATTCAGATCTATACAGAGCATTAAGTTTCCAACATTCAGAAAGTTGTAATTCAATTTGGAGCATAATCACTTCTTTAGTTCCTCATTTGTGCGTTGACCTTCTAGAAGGAGAATTGCCCGAAGAAAGTACTAACTACATGGTATTGGATAGGCCAACCTCAAATAACATAGATCAAATAATAGATGATCTTGAGTTGGACTCCAATATCCTTAACTCCGAAAATATTGTCATGGATGTTTTAAGTAGAGAATTTTTGGATTCACTCTTTAACTTAATGGAGGAGTTTGAACAAAACTCTGATATAATTGGATTACATAAAATATTTCAAGTTATTCGTAGAATAATAGTTCTTTATAGCAGTTTCAATGAAGTATTTGAGACTTTGCTGAGTGATGAATATTATTTAAAATTTTTTAAAGCATGCGAATATGATGAATCATTGGAAAATTATAAAATAAAATTTTCTCACAAGAAATTTTTAGAAAATGTTAAATTTCATAGTGTTGTTCCTTTACCAGAAGTTCGAACTATTCATCTTAATTATAGATTAATGTATTTGAGAGATGTCGTTATGCCTAGGCATCTTGATGAGCAAAGTCTTCAAAAAATAGCAACGATAATAAATAATAATTTCTCATCAATAATTAGTATGATAATAACCACTAGTGATATTTGGAAATATCTTAAAGAAAATATACAGAAAAATTTTCTTGTTGCGAAATTTATTCATGCGGTTTTGACAGTTTTGAAACAAAACCCATTGCTTTCTGTTTATGAAAGACATCAAGTATTTATCCATCTTAAAGCTAACAATATTTTAAGTGAATTTTATGGCTATTTGAACGAGAATTGTATTGGAGCTAAACAAATGTTGGAATTATCTTCTTCAAATGATGTTTGTAAAAACATTTCAAGTAATGCTGATTTATCGCTTTTATATTACTCTAATATAATGCCAATTGACTTAGCAGTTGAGGTTTACTCAATGGTTTGTGAAATAAATCCAGGTCTACTGAGACACGCTATTCACGAATCCACTTCACAATATTTTAAAGTTCATAAAGAAACTAATCTACATAGCTCAGAAATCGGTGAAAATTTATACATTGACAGTGGGATCCAACGAAATCCAGAAGAAAGCCTTGAAGAAGTAGTAAATTTATCTAACGGATCTAATAATTTCCACTCATTATGGGCGACTCTATGCGAAATTTTTATTAATTCAAGGAGTGAAAGTGTACAAGTGCAAATTTGCACAATTTTTAAACGAATATTGGACCCGAAAACTATGGATGTTCCAGAAAGAGATGACTCGCTTTCTTTATTTTATGACATGGGCATACTAGACAAATTAATAGATAATTTACTCAATGAATCTCGAATTTTTACCGAATTTAACCCACTATATTCCGCGAGGGTATTATTTTGCGATATTCTTGCAACTTGTGTACAAGAACACAATTACAGAATTAAATACAAAATACTTCAAAACCAATTACCACAAAAATTGTTACGTATTGCCACTCGCCCATTCCACAAAATTTTTTCTATTTCAGTTGTTAAATTTTTAAGGACTTGCCTTGGAACTCGAGATGACTTTTATTATCGTTTGTTCACCAAATATGATATTTTTAAATACATTTTTTTAATTATGGGGCAATTAAAAGTACCTAGAAATAGAGGAGAAGGATCGATTTTGGAAAGTGTGATAATTGAAATGCTTGATTTTATATGTAGAAACAATATTCAGTTAATTATGAAATATTTACTGGAAAACTATATTATTGTAATTCGGAATTTAAATTTTAAGGCATCAAAAGGTTCTAAATGTAGAGTTTTTTCTAGAATACTTGAATCATTTAGTGCAATGTCGAAGGCTGCTTCATCTGTAAATAGCTGCGAAGAAATGAGTTTGAATATTTTATCATCAGCTAATACAGACTTAAATATGACCGCAGAACAAAATGAAAAATCGTCCCATTTAATTTATGAAAAAAGAAAAGCTCAAAAACAAAAATTTCAATGTTTGGATAGATTATCTAGTAGTGTTGGCAGTTTCAACAGTAATATTATGAAAGAAACGGAAGATCTTAAACCCAAAACTGTCGATCAAATTGATGTAATACCTAAAAAGGAGGTATCTGAAATATTTGAGAATGACTTTGATAGTTTTCACAAATACAATAACGAACAAGAAAAAAGACTTATTCGTAGAAAAAAAATTGAAATACAACTAAAACTTAGTTTATAAGTCGGAAAACAGAGGGATCCGTATATGCGAGAAATTTAGTAAAATACGATTAATTTCGTTATGTTCGAGTATATTTTCTGGGAGTGGTCTTTATAGCCAATCATATACCAATGCTGAAATTTCTAAAATTCATTGTTAATTCGAGCTTGGAATTGTTGTATTTAATTTATTTAAGAAAACATTCTCTTTAAAATGTTCATGGCGGGAAATGTTAAGACAAGGAAGTAATTGAGTCATTTATTATTTTTTTTTTATTTTGAAGTAAAGATGTCAAAGCAAGAAGGGCTCGAGAAAGTAGATGATGTTTGTATTTCTGAGTCTATAGCTAGCTCAGAAGTTGTCACCAAGTACTATACTGCGGCAGAAATAGTAAATTCAACGCTTCAGTATGTGATAACATTATGCGTAGATGGCGCAGATATTTCGGAGATATGTAGGAAAGGTGACTCGCTCATCGAGGAGAAGTCCAGTTCTGTTTATAACAAAAAAGAAAATGGTAGGAAGCTAGATAAAGGCATTGCATTTCCTACATGCATTTCTGTGAATGAGATATGTGGCAATTTTTCTCCTCTACCTGCAGAAAGCTTAAAACTAAAAAATGGTGACTTAGTTAAGATTGATATTGGGGCTCATATAGATGGTTTCATTAGTGTGTGTTCTCATTCGATTGTTATTGGGGTCGAAAAGATTTCAGGAAAGCAGGCGGACGTTTTAAAGGCTGCAAATGCCGCAATGGAAGTTGCTATAAGAACTGTAAAACCTGGAAACACCAATACGTACGTCACATCTATTCTTAACAGGACTGTAAAAGAGTTTAATTGCAACATGGTCCAGGGAGTTTTATCTCATCAACTAAAAAGACATGTTATTGATGGAAACCGTGTAATAATTTCGAAGGAAACATTAGATGAGAAAGTTGACGAATTCACATTTGAAGAGAATGAGGTTTATGGACTGGATATTCTAGTAAGCAGTGGAGAAGGTATTCCCAAGGAATCTGATTATAGAAGTACGGTTTTTAAGCGTGCTATTGAAACAAATTACAACTTAAAAAGCCCGATTCCAAGGCAATTCCTAAGTGAAGTTAATAAAAGATTTCCTACACTACCTTTTTCTTTGAATATGATATCGGATGAAAAGGTTGCCAGACTGGGGGTTTCTGAATGCATTCGACATAACCTTTTGTATTCATACCCTGTAATGGTGGAAAGACAAGGAGAGTACGTCGCAAGTTTCAAGTGCACATTATTGTTATTCCCAAATGGATCGAAACGTATTTCTGGCTTGCAATTTGCTCAGGAGAGCATTTGTGATTCAGAGTTAAAAGTAGCAGATGAGGAAATTAAGTCTATTCTTTTAACACCAATCTCAATGAAAAAGAAGAAAAAAAAACAAGTTGTTAGTTAATTCTTAGTTTGAATTTTATTTTTCATAGATATTCGACTAATTGTATATTTAATTTGCGGTTCTATATCCTTCCCCTCCCCTCAACTCACATTTTTGTTATAGATGAACAATAATGTTGTGGTGAATGGGACTGGTGCTTTTGGCCACGATGGATTAACTGAAACGGATATATTTGATTATTGCAGGGGCATTAAGTCATGCGGAGAGTGCCAGCTTTCTAAGTTTTGCTCACCTTGCATAATATCAGGTGGCTCCGAATTTTTTTGTACATCGAAAGTTGATTCAATTGTATCTTGCCGACAAAATAACATCTCAAATATTTGTTCTTCAGCATGGCCGTGGTGGATTTACTTGTGTATAATTTTATTATTGCTAGTTGTATTGGGCATGATTTTGATAATCTTGTATAAGTGTTGCACTTGCTTTTTTTTAAAAGTACAAGAGACTGAATTAGAAGATCTAAAGTAAGTTTTAAGTATTTTGAAATAAATATATACGTTTTTCAGGTTGAAAAAAAAAAAGAGATCAAATGAAATTTATTCTTAAATTGATTCAGAATGCCTGCCGCAATGAATCAATATTAATGTAATTGTAGAATTTTTCACTTAAATTTTTATTTAAATTAATAATGAACTTTCTTTCTATGGCCCTAGACAAATTTTGTCTCTTTTTTAATAGATCTGAAAAAAAGCTCACTTCTTTTGGAAGTTGGGCAATTATAACTGGTGCAAGTGATGGAATTGGAAAAGCGTTAGCAAAAGAACTGATTAAAGAAGATTTAAACTTAATTTTGATAGGAAGAAATGAAGAAAAATTGCAAAATGTTGTAAATGAAGTAGGTTTTGAAGTGTTTTTGCCATATTTTTATTTTTGTCTTAGTTATTATTTTTGAAAAAGTCAGATTCAAATCAAGAAATAAGATATTATATAATGGACTTTACGGACCCAACCTGCTACTCGAACTTTCGCAGATATTTGGATACAATTAATGATATCGGGGTTTTAATAAATAATGTTGGGGTCTCGTACCCACATGCGCAATATTTTGAAGAAACTAGCATAGACCTTATTAACGAATTAATAGAAGTGAATGTTAGGTCTGTATTAATGATGACCCACATTGTCTACAACCACATGAAAAAAAGGTAGGTAATTACTTTAAGTTTATTTCAACAATTAACACATCTACTCAGGGATCGAGGAGCTATTCTTTGTATTGGTAGTGGTTCATCACAACTCCAGACTGACCCTCTTTATTCAGCATACGCTGCCACAAAAAGCGTTTCCGAATCTCTTTGTAGAAGTCTACGGGCAGAGTGCGAATCTGGGAACATCACAATCCAATGCCATACTCCTATGCTAGTTACCACTAAATTATCAAAAGCAAAAAAAGAAACATTCTTTACTATTTCAGCAAAGAGGTGAGTTCTAAAATGGCCATTATTATAACAGTTAGAGTAATTTCTTAGGTTTGCTGCCAAATCCATAGAGATGTTAAAAAGACCTCCATCAGTGTACTCGACAATTGTGCCTTACTTTGGTCACTGGTTACAACTATTATTAGTAAGTGAAATACAGGTCGTTTATTTACCCATAATTTAAATTTAGGCAAATATGATTCCTCGCCCAATTTGGAATAAGATAAGAATCTCACAAACTAAATATATTCGAGAAAAAGCACTTAAAAAAAAGATTTAGAATGTCTAAAAAATGAAAACACCGCCATTGAGCGGCAAATTTCAAGTGGGGCAGATGTTATACGACACGGAATTTTTTCCAATTATTAAAATAAAATAAAATGCTTGGTGGAGGAGGGTTTGGTTCAAACCAAAACCAACAGTCTTCTGGAGGAATATTTGGAGCATCTACCTCTTTTGGTGTTGGGATTGGCCAGCAAGGAGTATCGCAAAATATTAATACAGTACAACAGCCTTCGACAGGATTGTTTAATTCATCTACACCCCTATTCGGAGGAAATGTGAGTCCTGGTTTATTTGGTAGTGCTGGTTCTTCTGGTTCTGTATTTGGAAATACGGGGCAATCTTCGGTATTTGGTCAATCTTCCAACGGTCTTTTTGGCCAATCAATGGGTGCATTTGGAGGAAATCAACAAATTGGCTCTAGTCAACCAAGTATGTTTGGTTCAAGCTCCTCTTCTACGATTTGCTCTAACTCTGGTTTTTTTAATACTAGCTCAGCAAACAATTCTGGAGGTTTTGGTTCTTTTCAGAACTCATTCGGGGCTTCTGGAGGGTTTGGAAGCCAGTCATCTCAAAGTAATCCATCAAACTACTTTGGGCAACAAAACAATGGTATTTTTGGCTCAATGCCTGTCCAAACTTTTGGAAATACATCAACATCACCTTTTGGAGGCACTACAGGTACAAATACGAATATTTTTGGGTCAAAAAAAGGTACAAATGGAATTACGTTTCAACCTGTAGTTGACAGAGATAGTGATGCCAGAATTATGTCTATTGTATACCAGAAAGATATTGATCAGAAGAAATCAGTTGAAGAGCTTAGATGGGAAGATTACCAAGAAAAAAGAGGACCTGTAAATAGTTTATCAACAATTAATACAAATTTCTCAACAAATAATAATACTTTTGGCAGCGGTTCGTTTTCTTCTAACTCTGGAGGTTTTGGTTCTGGCCCACAAGGATCTTCTATCACAAGCTCAATATTTGGGCAACCACAAACATCCTTTATAGCGTCAACGACGCCACAGAATTCACTCTTCGGTTCCAGCAATTCATCTTCAGCTTTAGGACAAACCTCAATTCTCGGTCAAGGGCTTCAGAATTCACAATCAAGTTTAACTAATCCTCAATTTGTGTCAAATAATAGCGGATTATTTGGTACCTCGAATAATTTAAATTCGTTTGCACTTCAATCTTCAACTAACAGTTCAAACACAGGATTGTTCTCCACTCCCAATTTATTCTCTAGCAATAGTAATAACAGTAATACTATTAATACCAGTAACAGTTTAGGCGGCGGTATTAACTTAAACAGTGGAAATTTGTTTGGGCAGCAACCTTCAAACTTGGGATCGTTAGACAGCTCCTTTAAAACATCAAATTCTTTATTCGGGGGTGCCCAAACAACCTCGACTAATACTGGTTTGGGTCTTTTTAATTCAAATTCAAATACTCAACCTCAGATTTCTTTGTCAAATTCCTCGCTTGCAATGAAACCATTGTTTGGAAATCAGACACTGAGCAATTCAAATTTAGGTTCCAGTACCGCTGGCGGAACCAACTTGTCATTATCTACGAATTTATTCGGTTCGACTCTGCCTGGCTCATCCAGTTTGTTTAGCACCAACTCTTGCTCTAATAATTTATTTGGTTCTACGCAACCACAAAGTGCACTCAATAACACTAATTCAGGTACAACTAGCTCAAGTTTATTTGGGAAATTATCTTCGTCTCAACCATTTAGCTTTGCAAACATTAACCCCTCTAATTCATCATGGACATCTTTAAATTCCGGAGTTTCAAACGCTACAATTAGTCAAACAAATTTGTCAGGAAGCTCCCCGATGAATAACAATTCAATTCAGCTTCAAAATATATTAGGGGGTGGGCAACCAAATAAACCTACATCTTCTCAGGGTTCGTCGATAGTTTTAGGTAATGGGCTTTCCACTTCAAATAAGCTATCCAATGGTATACATTCCAAGCCAATAACTCAGAATTCAAAATTCTCGGACTCGACTGATAGAGGAAAGTCGCTCTGGCTTTGGAAGCCACTACCGCAATTTATTTCTCGCTCTAATAGGTATCAAATTGACGGTTTGAGCAATTTTTCTCAGGAAGGAGTTACGAATTCATCAGAACTTGCTCTTCCCGCACTTGCGACTGAGAGTGCAAGGCACAGCACATCACTTTTAACATCCGTTAGACGAATCGAGAAAACAATTGACCCTCAGACTCCTGCCGCATTTCTAAGCCTACTTGAACGTCAACAACAGTTCTACGATGCAGTACAATCTCCGGAACAAAGTAGCAATTCACCTGTGAATTCCAAGACAAAGTCTTTGGTATTTACTACATCTCATGCTACCAAGTTTGTCCCTATAGACGAGGCATTTGAAGATGCAATCGATGATTCAAGTTCAGCTACTTTTTCTCCAATAGTTTTAAAAGCTGAGAATAAATCTATTTCTGATGGTTCAAAATCGTTGATCAATTTCGATTCAATTTCGCGTATTTCACAAGACGTGCAAATTTCTAAAAATGACGATTCCAGGAATTCAATTGGTAGGGTAAGTATTGAAAGCAATAATTTAGCACGAACACCATATTTGAACCAACACAGAAGCTCTGTAAATTCAATTCCAGCGGTGAGTAATGAACGCCAGGCTCGTGCCTCTATAGGCCTGACAACTCCTAGACCTATTACTAGAAGACCAGGACAGTTGATAGATAACAACATTTCTTCGGATGTAAATAAATCCTATTTAAGGAAGCAAAAAGAATACATTGTTGAATCTCTAACTCCGGTACTTACCAAAACAGACTATTTCTGTATTCCATCAATAGAAGTGCTAAAAACTTTTTCAGAAGAGAGGCTTGCTATTGTTGAAGATTTCAAAATAGTTAGAGAAGGTGTTGGAGAAATTATCTGGCCTGGGGTTACCGATTTACGAGGGATTAATCTTGATTTAGTTGTTTCCATAGAACCTCTTTGTGTATCAGTATATGGAGACGGAGATTCTTCTATTCCTGTAGGCGAGGGGTTAAATAAGAAGGCTATTGTGACGCTAAAGAATTGTAAACCGAAGAGAGTTTTATCTTCAAAAGACCCGCAAGAGATAGATAACTTTAATAAAAATCGTGTTAAACAAATTAAATCTTACACTGAGCAAATGGGAGCAAGGTTTATTTCACTTGACACTGTCACTTGGGAATGGAAATTTGAGGTTACACATTTTTCTAAATACAGTTTTTTAAACGAAGATAGCCCTTTAACTAACTTTGGAGAGCCTCAATCTACTATAACCAACGACACAAATTTGATTGCTTCCCCAAAAGAAAGTTTATTCGGTCAACACTCTAAGCAAGAGCAACCTAGCGACCATTTTTTTGCAAAAACGAGCCAATATAATTTTAGTTTGTACTCAGAGATTAGAAGCATAGTGGAAAAAAATAAAAGTTTGAAATCTGCTTATAATGCAATCAGCTTTAGAAGTGGTATGTATATTGGCTCAAATGGTTTTGTTGTAATACCACATAGATCATTTTTTAAGAGTAATCATAGTATTAGTGATTATAATACATCGATTACGATGTTTAAAATGAATCAAATGAACGAATCTGTGTTAACTGATACGAAAAATAATTTTTTGTGTTCTCGAAGGTTAGTTTCAGCTTGGTTTAGGCTATATTTGGAAATAATTGGAAGTGAAACGATTGATGGTTGCTGTGAAATTTCAATCGAGTCTATTACAAAACTTGTTTTCCTCTTTTGGAATATCACAAAAAAGGAGTTTGAGTTTTCTTCGTATTTATCTGAATTCAAATCTAATTCTTTGAACCTTGAATATTTAAAATATTTTGAACAATCATTTTCTATGATTGGTGGGATATTAGAATTGATAATTAAAGATACAAATAGTCATTCTGAAAAGCGCTTAGAAACAAGTTTGAGAGAGTTTATTTCTTGGTGGTTAAAGATGACTTCCAAAAATATTCCTAAAATTAAAGTGAAAAAATGCAACCAAAGTTCTCAAGATTTACATGAAGAAAAAATCCATTTTCTCTTTAATCATATTTTGAACGGAAATTTATTCGATATAGTTCAAAATGATACAAATTTATCATATTTGACGATTCCAAGAATTGTTTCATTGTGTCTATCTATTGGAAATAATAGAGGTTCTATTTTTCAGATAAGAGAAAACCTGCAGTGGTGGTCAAAAATTGGTATTATTCCGGATTTAACGCATAATTCAAATAAGATATATAAAACAATATCTAATACAGATGCATATGTAGATGACTTTGCATACGAATGGCAGACTAATATATTGTTGTCTGTAAATTACTCAACAAATTCAAAGCTTTGTGAAAAGTTCAATAGAATAAAAAACATTCCTTTAGTCGGCGATAAACGTGAATTTGGAAACTTGAACAATTCAGATAGACTTATCGGTATGGAAGATACATACGAAGTGGATGAAAAAAAAATACTCTTTGATCAAATACAATTCCAAATAATTAAATTTTTCTTTTGTGATGAAAATTCTAGACAAGCTGAGTTATTTAGATTGAATAATTCGGGCTCGATAAAATTTTCTTCTTCATTTATTTGGCTAATAACGAGAGTCCTCACACTTTATAACAATATTAGTTGTAATGATAGTGAACTAAAATTTTCAAATAAATTGAATTTAGCGCTTATACAGGAACTTGAAATTCTTGGATTGTGGGAGTGGGCAGTCTATGTTATAATCCACACCAATATGAATTCAGCATTTGGTCTGCTCAATTGCATTATTATGAGGAATATACAAGAGAACCCAAATTATTTGAATCCTGAGGACTACTTGAATGATGAAAAATGGAAATTTCTAGTCAATAGATTAGGGGTCCCATCCAATTGGTTATTTGAGGCAATTATTTACAAATTAGAGTCTAATGGAAATGTTTTGCAATCGTTAAGATGTACACTGCACCTAATTAATTGTCTAAAAGGGAGAAAACATGAAGTTGGAGATTTGTTTTTTCATAATTCAGATCAAATCTCTACTATTAATAATTTGGCAATATCCGCTGCAAAGAAGCTGTTTGACGCATCGCTTTTACCGACTACATTGATAAGAATATCGGTCCTTTTGAAACATATTATAACTGAAGAGGAGACACTTGGTGATGTTAATAAGTGCTATGATATCTACCAGCTTAATGCTGCAGAAGATTTACAATTGATCTTCTGCTCGGAAGGTAAAGAACAGATTGTGGCAGATATATGGCAAACTTTGGAGTTGATATTAGTTATTTCGAATCAGTATATGAAGTTTGCAATAAGATTACTAGAAAGCAAGTCGTACTCTATAAATCAAGATGAATTTAAAGATATTTTGTCAAAATTGGATAAACTTGTAGTTTTGAGGAAAGATTCGAGTAAATGTTTATTTGAGCCATGTATTAGTAATATAATAAATGATGAATGTTGGGATATAATTTTAAATACGATAGAAATTGTTAAACATCTAAGCAAAGTAATTTAATTTTTTTCATTACTAACTCAGTTATCAGAGTGCATCCCAACAACAGCTCCAAATCTATTGGGTTTGATTTTGAACTCCGCACTCTTTAACTTCCGAATCTCCGTACAAATTCCTGAATCTGATTGATTGTTTGCACTCTTATTTGTTTTGGAATTTAAATTTTCTTGATAATTTACTATCATGTTAAGGAATTTTACAACGCCTTTTGTTGCGGATTGCTTCAAGCCTTTCTCCTTCTGATTTGTTGCTGGTTTTGAAAAAATTTTATTAGGAACATTTTCATTAATCTTTTTATATAAGTCATTGAGGGTTTCCTTTTCATAAATGCAACTTACACTTAGTTTTCTCCGCTTCTTGTTGTCATTCTTTATTGCTTTTTTGTTAGATGAGTTTTCTTGTGAAAAAACGGGGTCCCCCTTTAAAACCGATCTGGATAGGATTCCACTAGCAACTAAAAGAGATTAGGAACAATAAAATAACAGTTTAATTACTTACCGTTTGATGTTTTGGTTTTTTTCATAATAATTGATAAGAAGTGAATTATGGAAAATTGCGGCGGTATAAATATCACAATTATGAAAATACGATGTATAATGTAATACCAAAATTGAACTTGGAACTACATAAAAAATACCTAGTTATTGTAACAAGCGATGCTTTACGTAATTATGAGTCGTACAAAACCCAGCTAAGTTCAGTATTTATTCATGGCATTTATTGGGTTTTATGTTGTTCAGATTTAATCAAATTAAGTATTTTTGATGAACTGCATGTTAGAAATAACTTTCACGATCTATTAAGAAAATGTAAACGTGAAGTGTATATAGATAGCTTTAGCTCAAAAATTTATTCGGCAAACCCACTTGATTTTATTAGCCCTTCTATTCTTTCTGTACTTAGTGGAATACAAATTAATACAATAATAAACAATAAAATTCTTGAAGAGAATAAATATGAAACAAATGCTTTTATTAAAAGCCTAATTACTTTGAAAGATGAAAAAATATATATCAACAACTCCAAAAGCTGCTTAAACCAGTTGGATATCAGATTTATTTACTCTACACTACTCGTATATTATTTGTCAAATTATCCAGATTTAACACAACTGGAATCGGTTTTCCCAATATCAAAACTTACCGAACTACTAGTAACCATGCAGAACAAAGATGGTGGATTTGGAAAACGCCATAAAGATGAATCTCACGCAGGTTATACTTTTTGTGCAGTGGCATCAATAGCAATAATCAAGAAAATGACAAAAAATGACTCAATTTATTTATTATTTAATATTGAACGTCTAATTAGGTGGTTATTAAAGCGAATAATTATTTCAGAAAGTCACGAAATTACTGAAAGTCAATCATATTGTTTTAATGGTCGTATTGGAAAAAAATGCGACGTATGTTATTCATGGTGGGTAATTGCAAGCCTAAAAATCGTGGAATCTATTAATACTAATAAAAGCATGGACTACTCTTTAATTTTGAACTCTAATATATTAAAAGGATTGATTAATGGAATTTTATGTCATCAAAATAATATTTATGGCGGCTTTCAAAAAGCTCCCTTTATTATCGGCAGTAAAGACTGTTCAGATCCACTACATACCTTCCTTTCAATTTCTGCGTTATCTCTGTTATTTAACAGCAATTTGACGCAATCAAATTTAGAATTTTGTGAATTAAAGAAGCTATTCAAAACATTAGATCCAATAATTAAGATCGACCCAGTTTTTGTATTGGCAGAAAAATATTTTAATAATATAATTTCTTAAAAAGCTTTATCAACAATCAATTCAAGTTTTACTATGAATGATAGAAACAGATTTATATGGAAGGTTGTTAAAATTGATGAACTTGAATGGTTGGATATTAACTCTGGAACTCTATCATATAATTGTTCTTGTGGCGATGTCTTTTGGACAACACTTACTTATCTTGAAGAAGTAGCTGCTTTAGAAACTGAAGAAAATGAGAGCTCCGTAATTTTACAATGTGAAAGCTGTTCACTAAATATTAAAGTTACTTTTAACAGAAAGTCTCTTAATGAAATAAGAAAAACTTTAATAAAATAAAATTGTCTATATCTGTAACTAAATAAATAACTACCTACGCTTTTCAACTATAATAACTTTGCTTCTATTTGGTTTCCCTCTTTCAATGACTTTTTTTAAATTTTTCTCCATAAACTCCTTACTTTTTTTTGCCAATTGCTTTCTTCTATATTCTGGATCATTTCTCATTCTTTTCTTAGTTTCATTGGCCCGTTTTTTAAGGATCTGCTGTGGAGTCTTTATTTCATTTTGTAAAATTCCACCCCTATTAGCAATGTTTTCTCTAATTATCCCAATACGTTTTGCAATACGTTTTTGTTTATGAGTCAGCTTAATGCCATTATTAACAGCTTCCACTATCCCTTTGTATTTATCATGTACATTTGAATAGTCAAATGAACTGTTGCTATCATTAATGTTACATTTATCTTTAGGCCGATTCTTACCTCTATTTTTATTAAGCTCTTTGTCCTCAATTTCACCAACATTTTGGATCTTTAAATTTGTATTTGCTTTCCATTTTTTATATTGTCCTGTGCACTTTAACTCTCCCCTAACCTTAACGCCGCTTTCATTCACTTTTTTGATAGGGTTTTGTCTTAAGTTATCTACCAGTTCATACCTCTTCTTTTTAGAATTCCATTTTCTAACGCATTTTTGTTTCTTCATTTCACCTTCTTCATCAGGATTAATATCAAAGCTAGATGATTCTAATTGTAATCCAGCCGATCTTGAAATTTCTTCTTGACTATTCTTATATGGAATAAAAAAATGCTCTGCTTCTTTAACTCTATTACACTGTTTTTTAGGTTTTCTTTTTTTATTAACAGTTTGCGATGTGTTATTATCTTGAGATATCTTGTCTAAAGCACAATTAAATTGGCCTTCAAAAATATTTGTATTACTGCTGAATTTACCTTCATTTAAAATTGACTTTGCAATTATATTCATATCTTTAATTTTTTTCATTTTGACTGATGACTTTAAAACCATTTTCCCATTGATTTGGTTATGGTATCCATGTTTATTTTCGTAAGCCTTATTTTCAGTTGGTCTGAATGATCTTAAGTGGTCAATAAGAGGATCACTGATAACTTTGAAATTGGGATTATTCATCATATCTAAATGAGTTTCATTTTCACTTATATTCAAGTCCGGATGAACTGTCATTAATATTTTAGATACTCCTCCACAATTATCTAAAAGTTCTCGTGATCTTTTCAAGCTTTCTTTTGAAGATGACGCCCTAGTTTTCAAATATAATAAATATGCAGATTCCATCGACCTTCTGTATCTCTCTATTTCAGAATTTTCTGCAAGAATTCTTTCAATGGATTCTATTTCGAATGTTAAATCTGGAAAACTAGCTAAAATTAATCTTGATCTGTCATTTAAGTTACTTAATGAAGATGAGCTAGTAATAGAAGGTGCCAATTCTTTAGAAAAACTGTTATCATATGCATTTGTTTCGGATCTTTCTTCCGCGATTAAGTAGTCACTGGAAGGATCGGTAACTTGGTTACAAGTTAAAGTGGTCATTTTGAGACCAAGAAATAAACAAAGTTCCATTGTATACGGCAAATCTCTAGAAGTAATAAGTGAAAACGCTCTACCATATTGGCCTGCTCTAGCTGTTCTTCCTGTCCTATGGACAAATAGCTTTGGGCTCAGCGGAAAATCAAAATTTATAACATATTTGATCATTGGAATATCCACACCTCTGGCAGCAATGTCAGTTACTATTAATGCCCTACTCTTATTCTTTCTAAATGTACTTAAATGCATCGTGCGTGCTTCTTGATCCATATTACCATAAATATAACTGACAATAATGTTATTTGCCTCAAAAATTTTTGCAATATAGTCAACATGATGTTTAGTTGCACAGAAAACAATAGCTCTTTCATTAGGAGAAATAATATTTCTAAACAGGAATAGTAAAGATGCAAGCTTTTCGTCTTCTCTTGTGAATAAAAATGTCAACTTTAATGTTTCACTTAAAATATAATCTGAATCTATTTGAATAACTTCCGGTTCATTTAACCTAACTTTAGAGAATGATGCAAGCGCAGTTGGCATTGTAGCCGAAACTAGTATGCATTGCCTATTCTTTGGAATAGATTCCAGTATTCTCTCAATTTGGTCAATTAATCCCATTTCAAATAAACGGTCTGCTTCATCAAGAACAATTATTTTAACCGCCGCTAACGATAGTCCTGCTTCTATAATATGATGAAATAATCTTCCTGGGGTAGCAACTACAATATCCGGGTTCCCAGATAACGATTCGAACTGTCTATCAAGTGATGAACCACCTGTAAGTGCACAAATAACCATATTAGTTTTGCAGGAAAGTTTCCGTACAACACGATAGGTCTGTAATGCGAGCTCTCTAGTGGGGGATAGTATGATCCCTCTAATTCCAACAATTTGAGAATGAGAACAACCTAATCGTTCAATCATAGGCAATACAAAACCCGCAGTTTTACCTGAGCCAGTTCTTGCCATAGCAACCACATCTCTACCTGCTAGAATAGATGGGAAACATTTACGTTGTATCGGAGTCGGAAGAGAATAACCAATAATTCTGATTGAGTCCAAAAGTTTTGGAGAAAATCCAAAACTTTGAAATGCTCCTTTGGCCATTTTATAAATTGTCAAAAATGACCGTCAACTTGTGCGGCAAAAGAGATAATTATATTGCGGGTAAAAGATGTGAATATTAGTTATTTTAGCCATTAAAAAAAACAATACAATTATTCAATAAAGCTAAACAAAGTAGCTATAAAATAAGCAGTAATCAAATTGGAGCGCATTCTTTGATCATATTTGAAAACTTATAATGTATTTGTAATAGATCAAATTTCTACATTACTATCATTATTCATAAAGTGTTAAGTTTATGATTCCCATGCGCGCACAAATACTGCTTGAACAATAGCTTTTTTCATTATAATTTAAATCTAGGATGAACTTGAATATAATCAGATTATTCAGGTAAGTAATGCTATACTTCAGAAAAAAATTATATTTTTTGTTATTTCCGTAGGTTGTTCCTGCTGCTAATTGGGGTTTTATTACTTTTATCACTTCCTGGCTTTGACAAAGTTACGGAAGTAAAAGAAAGTGGGTTTTCTGAAGGGGTAAATAAAGCTTCAGTTGACCAAGGGATCATACTTGATTACAAAAAAGTAACTCAAGAGGTATTAACATCCCAAAAATCAGGTAGCGCTGAATTGGTTGCAGAAAGTATAATTAATTCTATAACAAAAGAAACTCATTGCATTGAATGCGGGGATTCAGGTGATATTGATATTATCAAAAACGATTACTTTTCTTCAAGTAAAGATAAACATTTTTATCATTCAAATTATGGATATATTGCAGCGGTAGTTCCATCGAAAAGAGGTGATTCTTCAGAAGTACTAATAATATCTATTTCTTTCCCGTGGGAAAATAAAGATGGAGAAGGTGAATTAGGGAGTGCAGCAGGTTTAATCATTCCACTTTCGAAACATTTTGAAAAAGTTTACTGGACTTCCAAAGATATTATTTTATTATTTACAGATTCTAACGTTCCAAATTCAATGGGTGTTAGCTCATTTCTGAAAGATTTAGCAACAAACCAAAGACTGTTAAAGTACAATGGTAGAATAAGAACTGCAATGTGTATTGAAGTATTATCATTTACTCCAAAAAAAGTTTTTATTGATGTCGGTAAGTTAATTGTAAAATGTAGGTTAACTCTTAACTTTTATTAGAATCAATGGATGGGCTGCAAACAAACCAAGATTTTCCTAATGCTGTTATAAGAGAGATTGAGTCAAGCTTCATTTATCCTCCTATATCTATCAATACGAGAACTTTTTGGGATTCAATAACAAGGTAAGCCTTAACATGTTTCTATTTATTCAAATTATTGTTTAGACAAGCATTTAATAAAGGGTCAGGTAAACCTCATAGTAGGTTTTTGCAGAACAATATCCCTTCATTTACCCTTTCTTTGGTTGGTGAAGCCCCAATAGAAAATGATCAATTGGTAGATCATTATAAAAAAAGTCAAAATACAAATGAGTTCATATCAATATTTCCAATACAACAATTTGAAATTTATAAATTTTTAGAAGGAATTGTTAAGATTCAAAGTAACCTTCATGATGAATTGCATCAATCGGGCAACAAGTATTACTATACTTCATATTTTTCTGCGCTGAGTTTTGGAACTTATTTAATTCCACTGATCCCAATGCTGATATCGTCTACAACAGGAATATTGATACAGATCTCGAAAGGGAATAGTATATTATTGATTGGAATTATTTTAATTGCATGCTTGCTTTCGTCAATTACTCCGATATTACTCTTAACTGGATATATAACTGATAAAATGGGTTATTTTTCATTCGAATGTTCCAATTTCCCAACTGAAAGATTTGCATATTTAAGTGTTTGGCTTAAAACGTTAACTTTTTTGGTATTATTTTCCACATCTCTAATTACTTTTTGTATTAAAGTATTCATTAAATTACTAGGGATTCAAAAGAACAGCAACATATACAGAAATATCATCGCTTCTATTAAAATTATGAATAATGTATTTTTGTTAGTTTTCTCAGTTTATCTTTCGATAAAAAATTTCAGTATTTTGGTTTTTCTAATCCCAATTATTCTATTAATTGCTTTGATTACGGATTCTTCAACTATTAGAAGGGTTACTATTGGGTCTATTTTCGCTGCGATTATATTATATTTTCATTTTTATGGAAAGAGAAAAAACTTGGCATGTTTATTTTCAAAAATAATAATGAGGTCAAGGTATTTCTTAATAGATATTGCAAATGCCTTAAATTCTAGTAATTTAACTTACAATTTTGGCTTCGATATTAAAAAGGCGAGAAACTCCGCATCTATTTGGAACTCTGTTTTGGGAAACGAGATATTTTGCCACAACGAACAACATCTAATAGGGACTAATAGCTTTTGTAACAGACTTTTGGATAATTTTGATCAGGTTTCAAGGCATTATAGAACAATTAAGAGTATACCTATATTGCAGTGGATCAGCTGGTTAGAAATCAAGATAGAAAAAAATTTTTGTAATAAAAAGAGGAATCTTTATGAAATTTTTACGGAAAATTTATTTGATCTATTGAGGGATGATAGGTGCTTAAAATCAACAATGTTCAAACATCTGTTAATAGGATTACTATCACCCTTAATACTAGCACTATCATTAACTTTTCTATAATATAACTTTGTCTATTATGAGTCAACTTTTTCTTCTGTAACAAAGGTTAGTGCATCTTCACTGTCCCATTGAATGCCTGCCTCAGCTATATCTTCCCAGTTGTTAATGTTTTCCAAAATTCGATCAATACATCTTCTTACATCGCCTTCTACATCCACATAACACAATTCTTGGAATAATGGAAGACAAACAAAGTTTAAGAACCCAACCTGAGACTTTGGGACGTCTGTGGATTCCCTGTCACAAATTGGAGAAATAGGCAGCGACAGTGCCTTTTCTTCATCACCCTGCAAGAAAAACTCTTCTACAACTGATCTACACCACTTGTAGTGTTGGTTCCACTTCAATGCTCCATGACCAATATCGGCAGCTTTTAAGCATGTCCTAGCAAGCATTAATCTATCTTGAACATCGCCATAAGGATCCCAATCAACTGCTTGTCTTCTTACTCTAAACCTGGAAACACACTCAAAATGTCTATGCATATCAGTCTCTAAGATTAACTCAATAACTATTCTCCTAAACTCTTTGTGGAGTTCTGCGTCCCAATTTTGCAAGAAATCAGCAGCTCCACCTCCATAATAATAGATTATTCGAAACGTTAAGGATGCATGAAACATTTCCAGTACAGATCGATCGTTATAATTGATTGCTAGCATGTGTCTTGAGTTTACAAGAAAATTACTTGTTCTTCCAATATGGCCTACGTCATGCCCTAAGGATGCAACAACCGACGCAAGCCTCTCCACAGTGTCTAAATGATCCCAAAGTCCAGTTGCTCTTGTTAAACAAATTGCATGATGGCATACATTAGTTCCGTGTAGTTCGTTGTGATATTTGTTGTTGAGGTATCTAATATTTAATTCTCGAAAAAATATATTGAATTTTGATATATTTCCAATAAGCTTAGAAGGTGCTGTAATTGAAGAAGAATACGCTGTAGTAATTCCTCTAGGTAGACTAGATGAATCAAAATTCAATTCTTGGGTTTTCTCTTCTGAAGCAATCAAGTGTAACATATATAGCCCTGCTACTGCTAAGCAATTACCTTTGGTTAATTCATTTAATCTCCACATATCCAAATCCCAATTAGATGAATATTGGTTATCCATTAGTTGCAAAGCCTTATCCAAATCAGAATAAAGTTCAGCATTAACACCCTTGGGAAGTTCGGGAAGTGTGAAATTATGTGGGTTTGTTTCGTTAAAAAAAGATTGACTAAGTGATGAAATTGTTCCAAAAGGATTTTTTATAGAAAGGAGTTTTGAAACTGAATGGGTTGCAAAATGAGCTACCTTGCGTTTATTCTTAAGAAGATGTTTATAGTTATCTTCAATATCTCCACTGACTACAGGCTCATTTAATGGCCCTTGACGGGAAATCATATTTTCTACAGTTTGATTTGCATCTGAATTTTGAGATACAACTTTTATCTTTTCATTTGTATTGCTCGGGTTAGAATTAGACCCATCAAAAACTTTAGAAGCATATAAAACTTCTCTTCTAGATGCAGATGATTTAGTAAACTCTGCAGTGATATATTCCCTTACCTTCTCAACTGATGGATCAATAAACGTTGAAGAGTTTTCTCCTGCATTAGCAATCATCATTGAGAGTCTACGACGAGAGGGGCCAGGAATCGTTGTAACAGTTGCTCTAGACTCTGTGTTTCTTCTCGCCGATACAGAATCAATACTAATATAGCTTGACTTGTTTTCGTGCGATTTTGGAGATAAGAACTGCCCAGTTAACTTTGGAGAATTTGGAGAAATAGGAATTCTTATATCATCAGTAATACCAATTTCTTGTTTTATCTTTGGAGAAATAATTGGTGAAAAGTTTTCTTTTGGAGTTGCATCTCCACTACCAATTACTTTAATCTTAGATTGTCTCGATGGAGTTTGAGATACATTTGTCTGAAGTGATTGAGGTAGGAAAATTGCAACAGGATCGACAGCATAAATATCATCTGACCTGCATAGAGTGACTTGTGCAGAAGTCAAGTCCACCATTGCATCGTGCAACAGTTTACGATTTATTCCTTTTGTACATGAAGTATTTAAATAACGAAGAAACAGTTGAACTTTATTGATATTCGCTAAGGTTCCTTCAATCATTGTTGATTTAGGTGCCTGATTCATGGAATTTTCCAATATTTGCATTTCTGCCTTTACGAGATTAATGTTGAAAAAGTCTCTTCTAGAAGAGCTAACGTTAACTCTTTTTGCCAATATACATACTAAACAAAATACAAGAAGATAAATGATCGTGGAAACATATTGGGTTTCATTGGGAATAGGTCTCAGCATAGAAGGGACCAAAATAATATAGAATGAAATGCTTGCTATTGAATAAATTAATATGCTGATAAAAGATATTGGTAACATAAAGTGCAAAATAGAGCAAATTGTAATTACAATCAATGATCTAGAATTCTGAACTGCAGGATCGTAATCATTATTTGGAGAGAGAGAGGCATCTAGCAACAAATTCCCTGCAGTTATATTAAGTATTGTTGTTATTATTGTAGTTGAAGTAAAAATAATTTCCAAATGTTTATTTAAAAAATTGATGAAAAATGAAATTATTAGAAATAATGAGCAGATTGCAACTACACCACAAATTATGAAGTAAGTGTTTACTGAACTATTAGAAGCTTCATTCATTTTCTGATTGTAAATTTCCAATAAAATATCCAGCATGATCAAAAATAATGTTAACAACCCAATCCAAAAGATACCAATTTCCGTTCTTTTTCTGAATTTTTTTTTAAACTTCTTTTCTAAAATCTCGCTTCTAAATTTCAATGTAAATGGATGTAAGTATTCTAGAGTAGATGCAGAAGAAAACGTTTTTTTGAAAGGTGAAATTAGTTCTTTTAACCTAGTTTTTAAATCCCTATTTTCATACGTTTCGAGCTCGCCCAAATCAAGATTGAGCCCCCAATCATCATTCTTCTCAAATGGTACTGTCCTCCCTATGGAGGGAGAACCGACCAGCCCACTCATCTTAAAATTCTCCTTGGATGAGGATTAGAGGAAATCGATGGTGCGACATTCCGCAATATTATAACTTCTACATTGCACGCGCGAGTAAAAATTGTGTGTAGGAAAGCGCTCCTTTCGTACCGCCTATATTTTAATTTAACATTAATGTAATATTTAATTATATGGTATTGTGAGTAACTTTAATTGGAGTTGTTTTTATATAAATTATTAATATTGTGATTAGTAGCATTATTAGATTCTGCTTGAATTTCAGTTATGGCAATTTCCAACACAAGTCGAATTCTTTATGTAAGGTATGGCCTACATTTGTATTGTTTCGATCTCATTCCGCTATTCACCTTAGACAGCTTCCATATGATATTTCTCCTGCCGATCTCTACGACATTTTTGGGAGGCATGGTACAATAAGACAAATAAGAAAGTAAGTTTTAGTGAATTTTGTTTGTAAACAGACTAAATGAAACAGGGGTGTGGACGAAAGTACAAAAGGCACGGCCTTCGTAGTATACGATGAGATTGAAGATGCGAAAAATGCACTAAAACAACTTTCCGGTTTTCATGTTTCGGGGAGGTAAGTTAATTATTCTCTAGTTTGAAAAAAATAACATTGAATAGGTATTTAACAGTGTTGTTTTTCAATTACAAAGATACATAGTAAATACTAAAGTACTGAATCCCGACCAATTCCAACGCAAAACAGATGCAAATCTTTTAAATACTTTTTACTGACTATAATTCAATATTCCAATTCTAACCATTATTATTACAGTCTTTTTGCGCCAACTGGTAGACAATATCTTGTTCTACCTGGTACAACGGTCTCTTAAATTATTTTTAATTCACGGTAATTCTAAAATTTCATCAGGTATGAACTTCTAATTTCCCACTTAATTTATGCACGAGGATAGACATGGAGGAATCCTTTTCGAGCAAACCTCCCTTTTTCTTTCAAAATGGAGGTTAAGGCTGGATAAATCATTTGTAGGTGGCTCCTTACTTGATGATTTTTTTGAAAAAATTGGGTCATTATTTTATTTTTTATCGTTGAAGAAATGTGAACAAACTTTTTCTCATTCGACTATGATGGAGATAAATTTGTTCGTTAAAAGTTTACCCAAGATTTTTCTGTTAACAGGTAGCATTGGATCCGGTAAAAAATATTTTTTGAGTGAATTGTTATCGAGCTTTTCAAAAACTTGTTTTACCTCAAATTCAGACCTACCTAAAACTGTTACTTTTAATGTATCAATTGATAAGTATGTTTTTGGAGCAAATCCCCCGGCTTCTACTTGCCTTAATAATGGTATTCGTGATTTGAATAATGAGTTGGCTGTTATTTCTAAAATGGGGAGGTGTTTACAAAGTTCTTTACATAATGGACCAGGCCTTCCTCCTGCGATATTGGTTTCTTTTGGAAATGTTAATGCAGGCCAATACTATATAAAGTCAAATAATGGTTATGACGCTAATGCTTTGAACCAGTTTGCTGTTCTTATCAATTTGATTTCCAGGTACATTTATATTTGGGACTATGAAGACATTCCAGTCGTCTCATTTTTTGTTTCGGATGTGGATTCATATGTTGGCAAAGACTCCAATATGGATTCGCAATTGGAAACGATAAATTTAAAATACATATTGAAACGTGGATATGGAATGTTTTTTGAGATGGATTTCAGCAGCTCATTACTTAAGGTGGATAAAACTTCCCTCCTTAGGTTTTTAATTCGTAAAAGATATGGTATTAATGAAGTAGCTTTAGATTATTTATTAAAGGAAATGATTGATATGCACTCTGAATCTATTATGGCTTTATCTAATAAAGAATTAGAATTAGTCATAAACGAGATTGATCTAATTCGCATTAAAGACGTTTTGAATGATATTGAACTATGCAATATTCCGTATACCACTTCATGTGGTAATTTTATTGCACTTGTACCAAATGGTGTGAAAAATGATTTTTTCAGTGTATTTTTGTATTATTTCAACTTTGTGGTTGGAAAGTTGGATAAATCAATCGGTTATTCTAGGCATGAAATAACTTATTTTAGTTATAATAAAGGGATTGGTTTATGTAAAGGTGGATTAGGGGATATGATTGGCTGTATTAAGGTAATTTCCAAAATAAAAAATTTTTTACTTCCATGTATTTTGCTCTATCCCGAGCCATCTAATTTCCAACTTCCAGTTGTTTTTAACGAGGCATCTGGTATTATTGTTTCTGGTGGAAAGGGTTGTGGTAAGTTGAATTATAAGGCAAGCAAGTGAGAAAAGAACTATATGATAGGTCATTAACTCTTCATGTTGAAATATGAGCCTTAAATTTGATGCTTGCACACTCAATTTATAACTGTTAATCATTACTTAGGTAAAAGCTTTCTTGTTACCTCAATTGCCAACTCTTTAAACTGTGGAATCAACTTTGTTCAGACTGCAGACATTTTCAATGCAACTATTGGATTTTTGGAGAAATACCTAAAGGAGATGATAAATGTCTGTACAAGGAAGCGCAGATTTATTCTGGTTTTTGAGGATATTGATCAATATTTAATGAGAAACAACAATACACTTTTTTCATTAATGTTTCTTTTTGATTTAGTGTCTCGTTCAAATAAGTGGATGCATTCAGAAATAATGATATTTGGTACGTCTAAGAGACGATATCCTGTCTGTGCTAATGTATATCAGGTAGGTCTTTTTTTTATGTGGATTTATCGAGTAATGATGATAAATCAGATGACGAGCATGAATTTGATACCTTAATAACGGTTTGTCGACTGATTTTCCTGTTATTTTGTATCAATGGCATTGGCTGTATAGCTTATGTTGATTACAATCGAGGCATTTGTCTGAGCTCTTATTTAAGTCCATAGTAATTTTTGAACTGAATAACTTTATTAACAGCCTTATAGATTTTTTATTCATTTATCTCTTCCAGGCCGTGGCGAGTGGGATTTAAGGGAAATCATCGATATTTTAAATAAACAGTTAATACCAATAGTAACTAGATTTTCAAATAGAGTGCCGATTAAGATAAGCCACGATAAAGTTGATCAGCTGATTGAAAATGTTGCGTTTCTTATTAGACAAGAGTTTACACCATCAGTTGCGGTAGGTATCGCGAATTATTTGGGCCTTTTTTTATTAAGACAACTACTTGAATATTCTGATAAAACAACTCTTCTGGATCTAGAGAGCTACTTTGATATAATTTACAAAACTGTATTAAATATTGCTAGTAAATGTTGCAAATTTTAACCAAATTTTTTTTGAGTGCATAATGTCCCTGCGTTTTCCCCTCTTCGCGCTGTGATTTTTTCTACTTTTCTAATTTAAATAAGATGCGAGATAACTGTATAAAATACAAACGGAATATTTCCAGAAAATTAACTTGTTCAATTAAGTCCCTTTGTGAGGCTGAAATTGGTTCTAGTAAGTTTTACCAAAAATCTGGTGAATTAATATTGAATTTGTAGATCATATTTCAGGAATAAACGCATTGAAGATATATGTTTTGAAACTATCCCTAAGAAATGCAATTGCTAAACACGAAATAGAAGGAATAACTAACTTGCTAAAAATAATGGATAAAAAGATTCGTATCATTAAATCTATCAAAGGTCTTACTTATCAATTAAAAAACTTCCTCCAATACGTAATTAACGATGAAGGTGCTATTCAAAATACTGAAAAACAAGATTTAATTTCTCTTTATAACTGGCTTAATAAATCAACATTATTTAGCTAGATATTCTGCAGAAAAAGGTTATTTTCTTTGCTAAATATAAACAAATCCTTTATCAAAATTAAATACTATCCAATATAACTAATTAATTTTAATAAGCTAATCGAAAATTATTTCATCTTGAAATATTCCTGTTCTGCATCACTTATTTTTTCATTATCTATATTGTTGTTTAGTTCTTCCTCACTATCAACTAAGTCATGAACCAACACAGCGGTTGTAGAAGGAATGTAAACCACATTTAATCTTCTAGTTAAAGGAACTTCATGATATTCAAATCCTGAAATTTGATCATTAATTATATTTGACGCTCTAATTCTTGGTGAACAAATTTTTAAATTTTCTTCAAGTTTTCTTTCAGTAATTTCGAGGGTTTCTCTATGAGACATTTTCTCTTTAGAGTCAATATTCTCATTAAAAAGGTATTTTGAATCATTTACATCATTAAAAAAGTTACCGAGTGACTGATTACTATGAGCTAGCTCGTTTGATAACTCATCTGCAAGTGAACCTCGTTTAACTTTGTTTTGTTTATCTGCTGAACATAATTCCACTGTTCTACTTGTAAAGTTTTCTTCAAAAGAATACCTATTAGAATTAATCTTCTGAAAGTTTTGTTCGTAATATCTGAAAGATGGAAAAGAAGAAATTTGATTAATATTTCTATTTGTGTGTTCAAAATCTTGGGAAATTTGTTCAGTAGAGACTAGTAACTGTTTAGCGAGTAATTCGCTCGCACTTCTTTCTTCAAACATCAATTTATTCTTTTTAGATTCGGATAATTTAATCATTATATTTCCTTCTTTACTTTTGATGTTTGGTTCGACGCAAATAAAACTTCTTGTATTAGCGTGTAACAAATTTAATATATTTTTTTGAATATCACACTCATGCTCTCCATAATCTTCAGTACATTTTTCCTTTTTCTTCCTAAAATTGCAGTAAAATATATTGTCATAAGCATCCTCTTCTGACTCAAGATAAACAAATAACCCATCATCATTTCCAGCCAATGAATACCCTCTAAATTCTTTGAGTGGCCCTTTATACTTGATTGTAATTCCTTCCCATCTCTTTACATTTTTTTTAGGGCTTGGCGGTGCCCTTAGAAAAGACCAGTAACTTAGAGTATTTAGGAATCCTTTTTTCATTACGGAAGACATTATATTCGAGAATCCCTCCCAAAAATGGGGTATTTTCTTAATACTCCAATAAGAAGGCGTTTTCGACAATACAACTCTTGCAGATTGTCTGTCATAATTTGGTTCCAAACCCAAAAAATACTCATCTTCTAGTAACGTAGCACTTAGTGCTATTTCGGATCTATCTCCAATTATATCGCTTACTGTCATCTTCACTTTTTTAACCATTTGTGGGTTTATAGATATTGATCTAGATGTTGATAAAGACTGATTATTAAATAACGATGATTGCCTATAAAGATCATCTACTTGTAAAGGGAAACTATTGCTATTCATTGAAATATACCTTGTACTCATGCAAAGCGACCTTGAAAGCTGCTCATTTATTTCACGAAGCCTTATATTCTCTTCTTCTATACGCTTTAGTTGCTCCAAAATCTGACTATTATCATCACCTGCATAAACATTATTATCTAAATTTCCATGTTTTAAAATAAGCTTTTCTTGACCAAAATCAGTTTCGTAGCTTTTATCACTTTTAAATCCTGCTTCAAATTTAGAGTTGATCTTCTCCAAATCTAATTTGAAGCTAGGTTTACTAACAAGTTTGGTAAATTCCATTTTACTGACAATAAATCATCATATTATTGAGTATATATAAAATTTAAAACAAAAAAAAAAGAGTTAATAATATATTATGAGACAATGTTTTGTAAGTTCATGCCATCTCCTTGAGAATTATAAAAAAACATGCAGTGTGAGATGTGTGACTTTAAGCGGCAACATTGTAATGTTAAAAGCGCCATGACCTCTTAAATGAAAGACAAAAATGTAGAATTTGACAGTTTTAAAATGGGAGATTATATTCCAATTGAAATTGAATCAAAGAAAAAATCCTTATATTCTGAAGCTTTATTTAATAATCGGTATTCGTATTCTAACGGAGGTAATGAAGATGGAACGATCAAGAATTTGGAATTCACTACTTTAAATGGAAAAGTTTCTCTCTTCATTACAACAGGAAACAAGCTAAAAATAGTAAACCCTGCAAAAAAAAATGAGGAAAGTTCGAGTGGACTTGCTTCATTTAATTCTAAAAATTTAATTACCGCGTCTGCTTTAAGAAAAGATGGTAGGCTTTGTGGAGTTTCAATGGAAAGTAATGAATGTATTGCGTTGGATACAGAAACCATGACAGTTATCCGTAGATTTAAAAAGAGTAATGAACAATTCTCGTCAATTGCCTTTTCATCTGACAAAAGCAAAGTTATTTCTGGGACATTAACGGGTAAAATTTTGGTTCTAGAAGTTTCTTCTGGTGATAACATTTTGACAGTTCCTGCACATAATGACGTAATCAAGAGTATACTACCACTGGAAGATAGCTTGTTTAAACATTTTAATTTTGATTCAAACGCAGCATACACTGTAAATACTTATTTTGCGTCTTGTAGTTATGATTTTAATATCAAAATCTGGCGTTTTTCAGAATTCAAACGTATTGATGTTGGTAATAATGCTACACTCAGCAAAGATGATCAAATAGCTACTATTAAGACCTTGAAACATAATTTCCCCGTCGAATGTATCGATATTATTAATGGAAATAAATTAGTTTCATGTGGAGGTACTTCTATTAAAATTTGGGACTTAGAAAAAGCTGATATTGACTGTATTCACAATATAACAAACTTTGGTCGAACAATTACAACCATTTCTTCTAATGAAAATATATTTGCTGTTGGGTGTCTGGACCATAATGTTTGTATTTATAATTCGAAAACATATGAATTTATTCGATCTTTTAATTATAACAAAGGAATTTTAAAAGTTGCAATATCAAATTGCTCGTCATATATTGCAATTGCTCTTGAAGATAATAGTTGGAGTGTAAGAAAAAAAGCTACTTTAGGAATTGAAGAAGCACCTGGGGTTGACATTGATGAAGGAATTAACGAATTAAATAAAGGATATAGAACAGGTACGATAAGATATTATAAGAGAGGCAGAGGAACAAATGTGAGCGCTTTGGATATAGAAGTTAAAAACTGCAAAAAACGTCAAACAAAGCTTGACAGGCTACTAAGATCATATTCTTATAAAAAGGCATTAGATATTACTCTTGAAATGAGCTGGTCGCATTTTATTTCACTCTTGAAATCACTTTCATCAAGAGGAGCTTTGCATTTAATTGCGAGAGATAACGAATACAACAAAACTATTAAACTACTGAAATATATTAGTAGAAATATGGGAAAGTGTGTTCCTTATCAATTTATGTTGATTTCAGAATTAATAGAGCACATTCTACATGAAGGTAATATAGTAAAGTTATTGAATCAAAATAAATCAATTGAAAAAAAAAATGAAATATTCGAATGTATTAAAAAAATATCTCAAAAGGTTAGTCTGGAAACAAAACAACATGCAATGCTAAAGGAGTTCAAAAGTACTGCTGAAATCATTATTCAAAGTTGCAAAAAATGCTTAGTTAATTAGTATTTGTATTTAAGAGACTTTAATACCTTGAAATACCTGCATATCATAGTTAATAAAAATTATGCAGTTAAGTAATTTAAATTTATTGTTTTCTAACTATATTTCTCAGAAATCTAGTATTAATCAACAGCAAACACCGAATACGTGGCGTCTTCTTCGGGCTCTTGCTTGTTGGGCATCCATCTGAGTGCCATCTGGGAATGTTGCGGTAGCTTGCATCATTACAAATGCAGTTGGGCCTATTGAAGTATTATAGGGCGTTAACCAGTATGCATAATCTACCGGCAACAAACCTGTTGCTTGGTACTGGTCAAAAGGCCAAGACTCGCCAATGGTCTCTTGCATTCTTGTAGCATTGACAACGTTAGCACCGATAAAGGAGTTAGCAAACATGTCTTGCAAGTTTACATTTAATAACTCAATAGCAGCATTGTTATCTACTGATATTTCATTCAGATTTTCGGTTGCATCTACTTTCTCTTCTGCAGAGTCCTCTTGAACCACTTTACGCTCAGTACTTTGATTGCTCTGAGCTTCCAGTTCAGACATGATTCTAACGGTATGTGAATATAAGGTTTAACAAATCAGCCAAATATAAATGATTCGAGGAATAGAAAAAAAAAGATTTATTACATGCGACATCTATGTGTGTATAATTAGGCGGTGAGTTGCACTTTTTATGATCAAGTCTACTCTACCTAAAGGGAGAACAAACATGGTAAAATTCGACAGTAAAAATTGTAATAAGATTTTTCATCTTAATGTGGGCACACTAAGTCAGTAAATACGAGTAAAATGACACCTTTTTATCCGTAGAAACAGGAAAATTTAAAGTTCATTTTAAAACCATCTAGCCTCATTAAAAAGTACGTTTGTCAAATCAATCCATGTTTAATAGAATCTTAGTTTTTTAATATTAATATATGATCGAATTACTCTGATTTAGTAATGTTTTTATGCTAATATACGTGTTGTTACCGCGCATTAGCCGAGACAACGCGCTCGAGCAAACTGTCTCATTGAGATAAAAAAAAAAACAGTGTTTTAGAGCACTAACTTTAGTTTGAAAAAATTAGAAGAAAATGGGTAAAAGAACCAAGAAGGTAAGTTGTATTTGAGCAGGAGGAGGAAAACCGTGTGAGTGGGTTTTTTTATGTTCTTATATTGTGCTTTATGTTCAGTATTTGAACCTAATTGTTATTTATTTGGTTTCAACCTCTAATATAAAGGATTCTCTATATTTCACATACTTTTTTTACCTTATTATAGGTCGGAATTGTTGGTAAATTTGGCACTAGATATGGTGCTTCTTTACGTAAGCAAGTAAAGAAGACTGAAATCTTACAACGTGAGACATATGTTTGCCCGTTTTGTGGAAAGACTTCGACAAAAAGAACAGCTTGTGGAATTTGGGAGTGTAAAGGTTGCAAGAAGGTCTTAGCAGGAGGTGCATGGCAACTAAGCACTGCAGCAGCAGTCACAGCCAGATCCACAATTGCACGTTTAAGGAAACAAAGAGAAGAAGCAGAATAAACGAATAGTTATCGACAATTTAGATCACTTCAAATCCCTAGTGATATCAAGGTATTTCTCTTACTAAATTAGATACTTTTAATATTGTAGAAAGAACCTAGTTTAACTATTAATATTGAATATAGATTCCAATGCATCGTTAACTGTTTTTCTTCCCAATGGGTTTGTAGGTTTCTCTGTACCCAAGACATCGCTTATTTCAATCTTGTCGTCCATATCCATCAGTAAATCAAGTCCCAAGTGAGAACTCGGAATTCCAGGATGCCTTTGGGCCTTTGAAACCAAATCCTGCTCCATTCTTGATTTCGCAGCTAAGTGATATCCTTGTATAGCACTGAGCATATTCAACTCATTTTCCACATTCCTAACAAAACCCTAGGAAAAATGAGAATTTTCATTTGAAATCTAAAAAGTTATTATTTTCAACTTACGCTTTCTTGAATCTGCTGTGGTAAGCATTTGGGCTTCGTGCCAAGATCTTTAGGAACAAACCCGTTTATTAGTGATTCATTTGGGTATTTTTCACAATATCTTAAATCAAATTTCTTCTCCATTATTAGTGGCAAACTCAATTTTATTGCTATTTATTCTTATGCAATTAATATTCTACTTTAATAATTTCTGTGGGTTTCAATCTGTAATTACCGGCAATATTTTGAGGGTAAATATTGTATTTTGTCTGAAATAAATTAAACTGATAAAATAATTAAATCAAACTTAATAATTTATTTTATAATGTTGAACTCATGATGGGTTAACATGGAAAAACTGAGCTCATGGTTACATGAACGCACTAAAAAAAGAAAGGAGCTGAAAAAGACTATTCGAAACTTTTGGAATGAAGAAATATCTTTAGATGAAGAACCAGAGAAGGGCATTTCAAATGTACAAAATATTATTGAACATTTGAAAGATAAAAGAAGGTCCTCTTTTGAAAGAGACTTATCTTCAGGTGAGGATGCTGCTTCAATTAGTTCGAAAAGTGGTATTAACAGTTGCATTGAAGAAAGGATTGAGGACGATAATATCTTTGGTCCATCTGTTTCTGAAATTCAAGAAAAAATAATGAATCAAAACCTGAATTATGGAGCAGCTCTTTTACATGGTGAAGGCGAGGCTATGGCACAATTTGTGCAAGCAGGGAAAAGAATACCGAGAAGAGGTGAGGTTGGATTAACAGGGGAACAGATTGAATCGTTTGAGAAGGTAGGATATGTAATGAGCGGAAGTATGCATAAGAGAATGACTGCCGTAAGAATCAGAAAGGAGAATCAGGTTTATACGATGGAGGAGAGAAGAAGTATAGCTCTTCAGAACGAAAAACAAAGATTGCTAAAGGAGTCACAATTGATAGGAGAGCTTCGTGAACTCATAAAAAAAGAAGAAAAAAAGCTTTAGAGTGATTTTGTTCTAGTTAGATTTTGTCTAATGATCACGGTGTTTCCATAAATAACTATCCGTGGCTAGATTGGTTTGGCCTTTATATTAAGTCAACCAACTATTTGATACTTTTAACTTTTCTAATATTCTACTTGTTAAATATGGCGTTGTTAAGAATTTGTTTACAAAGTCTTATCAGGCAGAGATCAATCCTAAACAACCCAAATTATAGAAAAGTGGGGATATTCGATACATTAGCACCAATGCACCTTGCGTTTTTTCTTTTGTGACTTCATGATCCTTTGGCATAAAGTCGGTTCCATTCTCTGGCAGTTGACTCTGCATCTAATATGTTATTTTTGAAATGGTCGGCAACCATGGTATCTAAAGGATCGTTCGGCTCCGGAGAGCTTAGCAAAGCTTGAATACTCAACAATACTGTTCTAATTTGTAAAGCTGGGCTCCATTTGTCCTTCAAAATGTCCAGACAAATTCTTCCAAGTTTGTCAATATTCGGGTGGTAAATTTTTGTTAAAAACCTAACTTTGGGAGGTTCCATAGGGTAATGCTCTGGTAGGAACAACTCAAGTCTGTATTTGCCACCCTCATAAGGTGTACCCTCAGGACCCATCATAATAATTTTGAAGTATCTATAATTGTCTTCATCAGGCTCAGCATTTATACCGGGTGATGGGTCGTTTGCAAGATTCATAGTTTCTTTCTGTATTCTCTTTGAAATCGACATTTTTCCAAGATTTTGAATTACTTTGTGCCCGTAAAATCAGATATTGATCGCAGGTGAACATTATGAATCCAAATAGAAGTAACCATGCGCGCGTGGTACCTCACGAAAAAAAAACTAATATAGTTAAATTATTTCTACTAACAAAAATAGAAATTAAGAGAATATTTAAGCAATTAGGATTACTCTATTAACAATTTATGACGTCTCTTCTAGTTAATTACCCGACTGAAATTCTTTTGTTTATGTTAACGTTCTCATCATATAAAGAACGTTTGTTAGCTTTACCTAGTAATGATTGATTAATTGATTCTAGCATTTTAGAAGAAATTTGATCTAAATTAATTGGTTCAGCTGACTGTATTATTGCCCTAGTTTTCTTTTGGTTGTTGTATTCTTCAGCCTTCAATTGGATCTTGAGATTGTAATGTCTCCACATGCATTGGAGATTAAGAATAAAGTTTAACTTCTTGTCGTTATTTTGTTCCATCTCTTTGCAGTTCGAAGCATTCAATTCTTTAATAAAAATCGAACCAATTTCATGAAAACATTGAACGGTCAGAGAGCATGTGTGGTCTTCAATAGTAACAGGGAAAAGGAACTTAGTTTCAGGGATTACAGATTCGTCGCATTTCTCACAATATGAAGTAGAAAAAAGAACTTTTTTTTTGCATATTGGGCATGCATCATATGTCAATGAGCCACCTCTATCTCCGGGAACTTGTTGGTTTACGTTTATCGAACCAATTTTTGAAATCCTTGCAATAACCTGAAATGATTGGACTGATGAAAACTCATTATCTTCCATTTGGTTCCTTATATCTTTAAGAGTCTTTACTGGGTATATTTTCTCGTTAACTCCAATACTATTAGGTGATTCACTCAAAGACAAATTGCTTATTGATTCAAACTTTACAGTATTTCCTATATCATTAAACCAGCCCCTCAACTCTTCCATTTTTTCATCATCAATTGAAAATTCCATATTGCTTCTTCCGTTTAATGTCGATCCCTGTCGGCCCTGATAGTCCCGTATTTGTATACTCTTCAATGCAACTACTGGATTTCCAGATAACTTCTCATCCCTAACTTCCGCTAACTCTCCCCATAATGTAATATTTATCTGAAAGCATGTTTTATCTACTATTGAAATAGTTCTTCTGGAAACTTCATCATTGTTCTTTCTTGAAATCACTTTTGTGCAAGGGCTGAATTGTCTGACTATTCCAATCAAGTCAACTATCGAGGGAACTGGCATTTCTTTAATATCCTTAATAGTCGAAAAAATATATTTGGGTGCCTTGCCTATTGAATCATCATCATTCTCAGCTTTTTTAATAAGACACCTGTCAGAAAAGTTTATTTCGTAGGGATTTGAAGTATCATTAAACTTCGTATTAGATACAACAACATCGTTTCCTGTGCATTTTAAAATGTATACTGAACCGTGATGTAATATATTATAATATTCTTCTGCTTTTTGACGCCAAAACTTAATTCTAATAACATCATTATCTTTATCTATTATGTCTAAGTGAAAAAATTTTAGCCCACTTCTTAATGTCTGAAGTGAACTTTTTTGAACGATACGGCCTTTAATGGAAATAGTTTGCCTGTTCACATTTACTTCTCTGATTGGCATAAAGCAGCTAAATTAAGAGTTTATATATAAAGAAAATCAACAAAATGTTATTAAAAAACTTACTCCGACATATTTAATTCTTTAATCAACCTTTTATTTGAATTAAAAACGAAATAAAAGCTAATCAGATTGTGAGGGGGAGCAAGTCAAATTTCATGCCCCACAATTATTCAATGAATTTAAGTACATGTAAATGATAATTTAATGAAATAAATATATATAATATAATATACAATATATATATCGAGAGTAAACACTGGTCATTAAAGTAATAATCTGAGCAATTGGTTTCGTCCTAGAAATTGGAATAAATGAAAAAACTGCATTTTGTGAAACATAAATCAGTGATAAGAATCAAATATATTAAATTATGATTAAATGAAATACTAATTTTTAAACTGTCTCTAATCTAAATTTTTTTATTTATATAGTAATCATAACGAGGGGAAATGATTGAAAATATTAAATTTAATAAATACTACCCGCTATTTATACAAATACTTAAATCATTGTGGGGATAGTTCCTAAACTCCAATAATATTATTTTAACGTTATCAAAATCAATATTTACAAAAAATTGGTTCTGCTCTTGAATTGCGTTCTCAAGCATGACTAGTGTAGGATCTGGATACGACTCATCAGTTTCTACTTTCTCTCCTGATGGGCGTGTCTTTCAAGTTGAATATGCAAGCAAGGCCATTGATAATAGTGGAACTGCTATTGCAATGACCTACAAATCGGGTATTGTTTTCGCTGTGGACAAATATGTTGCCAGCAAAATGATGGTAGCAGGTACTAATAGGAGAGTTTTTGCGATTGATAATCAGATTGGTTGTTGTGTTGCGGGATTTATTACGGACTCGAACAGGATAGTTTCAATAGCACGTTCAGAATCGTTAAATTATCAAAAGATCTACGGGAACCCAATACCAATACGTGTATTGGCGGAAAGAATTGCAATGTATATGCATAACTTTACTCTCTATGGTTCAGTTCGGCCATTTGGTTGTTCAATACTTTTAGGTGGGCTTGACCAGGACAGGGGCATTGAACTTTATTGCATCCATCCATCAGGTTCATGCTATAAATACTGTGCAATGGCAGTTGGGAAAGGTAGGCAATTTGCAAGAACTGACCTAGAAAAGTTAATAGACAAGAATTTATCTGAAGAAGACGCATTATATGAGGCAGCAAGAGTTATAATACAATCTAGAGAGGAGGGAGCATCGAAAAACCTCGAACTAGAGATGGCATTCATCGGCCCTGGGTCAGATTTCCAATTTTCTATAGTTCCTGAAAAACAAATAGACTCACTTAATGAGCGTGTTGAAAAATACATAGATGACCTTGCAAGCGCTGAGTAAGACTCATTTTGAAGGGAAAAGTCGATTTTAGTAAATCTAATACTTTTAAGAGCTTGACCTAATGTCTTTTTTCTTTGATTATTTGTATTCGTTATGTTTGTCTATTTTTTCTCGACTTATTCCTCCGCTGCGCTTTTTTCTTTGCCACTTTGATCTTAAGTGTGGCATGATAGTTTGGGTGCGTCTGCATGCCCGCCATCATACAAATTTATGAATAAACATAAAAATGAAGGTGAATGTTCTATTTAATCCAACAGGAGAGCTCATCTCACTCGAAATCCATAAAGAAACTACTGTTGAAGTTTTAAAATCGCTCATTGAAATCGAGTTTAACTTAGATAACTCAAAGAATTATGAATTGTCAATTGAAGGTAATACTTTGCAAGATGATGACATTGCATTATCAAAGGTTTTAAATAAAGATTCAATATTTATTGTGTCAGAGAAAAGCAGTCAAAGTGCCGTTAACAGCCTTAACTTTTCCTCAAATTACTCTGAAAATTTAATTCAGACACTTTCATCACAACTATTTACAAAAATTAAAGAAGACCAGTCACTAAAGTTATTGTATTGTTCAAAATCAAATGAATATAAAGATGCAATTGATAAAGATGATATTCAAAAGTTTACAGAGCTAGTAAAAAATGATTACTTTGCCGGAAATCTTAATTCTATGTCTTCTGGTTCAAGTTCATATATGTACAATTTAGACCCGTTAAGCCCAGAATATCAAAGATTAATTGAGGAGCAAGTAAGAAAACAAAATGTTGAAGAAAATTTAATTTTAGCTCAAGACCATTTACCAGAAAGCTTTGCGCAAGTTCATATGTTATACATAAATGTAGAGGTTAATGGTCATTCAATTAAAGCATTTGTTGATAGCGGTGCACAGACAACAATCATGTCTAAGAAATGTGCCGAAAAGTGCAATCTCTTGAGACTAATAGACTATAGATTTAGCGGAATTGCACAAGGTGTGGGCATAAGTAAAATTGTTGGAAAAATACATGTTGCTCAAATGAAAATTGGAAATTCTTTTTTTCCATTCTCAATAACAGTGCTTGAAGAAAATCGCGTAGATTTTCTATTTGGATTAGACTTACTTAAAAGATATCAATGCTGTATTGATTTAAATCAGAATTTGCTAACTATTGGTAATGAAAAAGTAGAATTCTTATCTGAATCTGAAATAAATAGTGAAATGAATCTAATTGAATCAAATAATACAACAAATGATCAATGTTTTGATGAAGAAAAAAAACTTCAACTTTTATCACTAGGTTTTTCTGAGACTCAGGTAATCAATGCATTAAAGGCTGCAAACGGAAATACTGAATTAGCTGCATCATTATTATTCTCAAATGAAAATATTTGAATAAATAATCTTAATGTAACAATCTAACTATTTTGAGAATCATTTCTAATTTAAAAGCTATTTTCTATACTGTTGCAACAAAAATCTTGTAACTGTACGTTTGTCTTTTCATTTTGGCTTATTTCTCCAAAATCTTTGAGATGAATTAGTCTATTTTTATCAATGCTGGGTTCACTGATAATAAATCTACTTTTCATTTCCTCAAGGATATCGGTTAGATCTGATGTCTCAGAATTATCGTCTCCGCTCGTATCCACGTTAATATATTTTGATCTTAAAATTTTTAAAATTGACGACTTGTTCTTTATGGTTGAGTGGTGTGGTTTTTTATTAGTAATAACAATGATTTTGGAGTTTTCAAATATCTGTAGAATTTCTTTTACAAAACCCAAATGGAAAGGCGAACTGAAAATTATTGGGTACTTATTGTTGTAATTATTCTTTATTAATGTTCGAGTAACATAATTTTTAAAAGATGAATATGCTTCAATTATTTTCTCGGAACTACTTATTATTTTATTTTTATATCCTTCGAAGCCTTCTTTACCGGATAATAATGGCAGACTAAATGGAGCAAACATAAACATTTCTAACAAAATTGAATCATCTGTTAATATTTCTTCTGAATCTATCATCTCAAATCTTGATAAAGGTAAAACTGATGTTGCAATTTTTACTTGTTCTAAAATTAATCTTCTTGAATTCTTTATTGGGAGATAAGGACAAGCAATATCTGCAAATTTTAATTCATTGTAATTATTTAACGATTTCCTCAGAATTTTTCTCATTTCCAGTATTTCCTCAAAAGTTGTTCCTGTAATAAAATAACAGTTCATTATCTTAAATTTTTCTATCATTGAAGAATTTAAGGACTCTTCGACCATGTATTGGTTTATTACAGATTGTTTCAAAAATACGTAATAAGAATATTTGGCATAGAATTTAATTGGAACTTTTTCCAATAAATCACAAATCGTCTCTGCGTTACTTTTCATCTTTCTGCAAATAAGTTCATATCTATTCTGGTTGAACTGAGCATTTCTTGTGTTTAATTCTGCTTTAATTTCGTTCAAAGCATCGCTGAAACATTTATGAGGAGCTAAAGAGACCGAACAAGAGTTTGGTGGGAAGTACTCTCTTTTTACGCAATATAAAAACGAATTTTGGAAAGTAATATCTAGTGGTGGCCATGAAATTTCAGGCATGTCTTCAAACACATTTGATGTATCAACCGGGAAGGGTTGAGTTCTTTCAGTGTTATCAAACCAATAGTGCCTCCAATATTGCATTAAAGGTACAAACTTAAAGATGGGGCTTTCTGGCCCCCTCTTTTTTATTGCAGTAAAGAATTCATCAATTGCAACACCTTTATAATTTTCTAATCCAAGTTGAGAAGCCAGAGTTTCGATATGTTTTTTTCCTAAAATCCTTGTATCTAATAAATTATATCTCCAATGTTTTCTCTCCTTCTTTTTAGATGCAGATATTATTATTTCACAAATTGTATTAACTGGTGTTAATGGTGCGGTAGAAGAACCAATAGGGAATATTCCCTCAAGAATTGAAGCGATCAATAGAGCCGTCGCATAATCGGTTTTGTTTGTATACCCTGTATCTGAGGCAACGTATGTATTTGGTAGTCTGTAAATCGAAAGAGGAAGGCCTTGCTGATGGGCAGCTTCTAAAATTTGCTCAGCTGCCCATTTACTCCAAGGATAACCTTGTCTTGTGGGAGGGAATAGCCTACTCATTTCTCTAGTAGATGGTCCTTCTGTTTCCTTAACTACTGCACTCTCAAACTCCCTAGTGAACATTGCAAAGAATGCTGGGAACTGACCAAGTGTTGAGGAGAAGTGCAAATGTTTAAGCTTGATGGTTGTACAGAAATTAATTATTCCAACTAGTGAAAGAGTATTTGTTTTTCTTAGCCTTTTGTAATTGCTTAATAGGTTCACATCACCTCCTATGTGGTAAACTACGTCAATTTCCTTACATAATTCATAATACCTTTCCTCTGAAAGCCCCAAATACTCCTCCTCAAAATTTCCACATTCTACAATAATCCTAGAAGCATAGGATGAATCCCATATCTCCGCCTCTTCACAAACATTAATTATTCTTTCTAAACCTTTCTCGGGATTACTTGCTCTTACAAGGCAAACAATCTGCATATTCTTAAACTCCTCAATTAGTTTCACAAGCAATATTCTGCCAACAAATCCTGTAACGCCTGTCAAAAATGCAGTTTTGAATTCGGAGGGATCAGTAGTTGTTAATACTCCATCCAAGTTTAATTTCATCGAACTTCTGATTTCCTCTACATCCACAATTGGGTCAAAAGTCGATTTTTGATCAATTTCTTTACCATTGTTCTCATTTTGTTTTTTATTATTTTCCTCTTCTGAAGAAATTAATTCGTTCCAAGAGACATATAATAGATCATAATCTTCATTATTTTCAACTCCCAAGTCCTCTAATGCACTAATAATATCAGTCTCAGCAATTAAATTATTGATTGTTTGATATCTTTTTTCAAAGGTTTCAACATATAAAATATATCTTTCTGATTGCTTTAGTGAAGATAAAAGCCACTGTTCAATTGTCATCTTGGTTTGTTCGCTCGAAGTTTGTGAATAACTCTTTGTAGAATCAAATGTTGACGAATTTCCTAATTTTTGATCCCTTACATACATGGAAATCGCATATATTGTGGGGTTTTCAAAAACAAGTGTCTGAGGTAATTTAACCCCGGTCATGTCAAGTACCGAATTCCTAAATTCAACTGCTCCCAATGAGTCTAATCCTAAATCCAACAAAACTGTATCTGGACTTGGTAATGTTGGCGAACTTGCACACTGCTGAGCAATTTGAGCAATTACCACAACTAATTCCTCATCGGACAACTTGCTAATATCAACGTGGCCCTGCGATCTTCCTTGCGAACTATAATCGACTTCACTTAAAAATGTGGGTATTGTATTATAACGACGCATGAATGTGTCCCATTTTAATGATTGGCAACCAACAACAGAAGTACTTTTTGAGACAAAACATAGGATATCATTTAATACACGAATTCCCAACTCATTGGATATACCGTACATACCGACTTTTTCCAAGTGTTGCTTAAGATTTGCTGCCATTCCTTGTTCGATCCA